GCCAAACTGTCGTCTCCGGCTCCGACGATAAGACTATCAAGCTGTGGAATACTGCGACGGGCGAGCTGCAACAGACTCTAAAGGGTCATTCAGGCCTGGTTCGAGCCGTGGCCTTCTCGCCTGATGGCCAAACTGTCGTCTCCGGCTCCTACGATGGTACTACCAAGCTGTGGAATGCTGCGACAGGCGAGCTGCAACAGACCCTTGAAGGCCATTCAGGTTCGGTTCAGGCCGTGGCCTTCTCGCCCGATGGCCAAACTGTCGTCTCAGACGCGAGTCCTACTTCCAATCAGGCTGCATCTCGGATATCGCTAGCAGGCCAGTGGGTATATATAAATGACAAGAAGGTCTTGTGGCTCCCTTATGAGTACTCCCAGTTTTCTTGCTGCTGCACGAAAGAGGGTGCGCTTGCGCTCGGATATCGTAGTGGTCGGGTGTTTATTATCCAATTACATGCACCGAATTAGCTTAGATCATTATCACCCAGATTCCGCTTTACATCATTTTCTCATTCCTAAATAAAAGGAGGTCCCAGGATAATCGATGAATTTATACTTTCTTTCCTCCCAAGAATTAAATCACGAGTAGATTCTACTATTTTCTATAGTAGTACTGGATAGTGGATCTGCATGGCAAATTGACAACAGAACATTCCTGAGGCTGCGGTACCAACCGAAGAAGTCGGACGTAGAATATTATGCTTTGGGTTAAATTATAGAGAGGCGAGCTGAGAAACTTCTTACTAGGTCTGAAAATCTGTCAGATTTTCACATGACTATGCAGCAAATGTTCTAGAACTAGAAAGTCCGTGATTTATGCATGTCTTTAGGACGTGACTTTCAACATGATACACGCGCAAAAGAAATGGAAATAACGCACAAGTCCCAAAGATCAGCTAATTCTCGGGTGTGGCGTTGAGAATACTGTCCAGGAGTGTAAGTGTAAATCGTGTAGAAGCCGCACTTGACCACAGCTGTACCACGATCAGCAGATAGGTTCTTTATAAATATGAGAGATAACAATACCATCCTGAGAATACGCAGGTAGTATCTGGTAAAGTTGTCCACGGTGAAATTTGGATCTTTCAACTGGTGTTATGCCTGGAGGCGACCAGCCTGTTCTTCTAATCCCTAACCGTTTATCACACCCAGACTCATCGACATAAACCAATTGAGATGAATGATATTCTAACATATCATGCCGATATTCGTCTCGCAATTCCGGGTTTCGCTCTTTTGCCTTTTGTTGGATTGTTTTTTTGAACCATTTGATCTTCTTTAGAGCCCTGCTGATGCTATTTGTTGAGACATTAGCTTCGAACACATCCCACAGGAAATCTGCCATTTCATCAAGATATGATCCTGGCTTGACAGGAAAATGGTCCCGTAGAGCTTCTAGCATAGGTGGAGTAATGTTTGACCACCGCCCTACATGATTTGGGGGCGCTCCAGGAGTACCGAACATAGGTAGGTTAGATCGAATATACTTAACAGCCTGCTTGCTACACTCAGCTGCAAAAGCTGTATCGGATATAGACTTGCCATTCTTTGTCATATCACAGATAAGCTGCTTTTTTGCAGGTGATAGGGCGGTGCCATTCTTTGGTACTGTGGTAAGACTCTCACAGCCCCTGATATCCATGTTGCGAGCAGAAAAAGAGGTCAAATGCATCAAGGTCAAGGATACGGCTAACAGGTAATTTACCGGACCGATTTGCCATAACAACACTCATTTCAATAACTACATGTAAAGCCTTATGTAAAACGCCAAGGCTAACTTAGTTATATTAACCATATATGTACTAATTAATTAGGCTTGGCATTTATCTATAAAACACCAGGAGAGTATTTTGGGGGGCAGGCTCATTTCGCAGATCACTGTAGTGCTGATACTAACTACAATATTGTCCGACACACTGCTAGCCCAGTCCCTTCTACATATACCGGGAGGGCCTCGTGGAGATGCTGGGGACTTGGGGACGATCCGCCCTGGAGGGATCCACCGGGCAGTGGCTGCGGGGGCTGGATGCTCCAAGCCCTAAGTAGTTACCTAAGTCATCTTCTCCCCACCCCTTCACTCGTCTGCGATATCCCTGGGATTCCACGCTCTCCGTGCGGATTGCCTTTAGGTCTGAGGCTGTCGGGGGTTCTTGCTATGGGACCAGCTAGCGGGCTACACGACTGTGATAATCCTGGTGATGTCAGAGATGCGAGTTGCTTGGCAGTTTCAGTGGCCGTGGGTGAAGGTTGTGGTCCCGGGGGAACCGGCTCTGTTGGCGCCGGGAAGTGTGTGCTTGCTGGTGAGTAAGTCAGGGATGAGGCTTTGTTTGTGAGGTGGGAGGGGGAGAGTATGGCTGCGCAGAAGGCGGGGTGAGACTTGAGGTTGTGACTGGACACGGGTGTGTTAGGGTTCTACATTAGGAAATCTCTCAGGGTAGGTCGTAGATAGCTGGGGTTTATCTCAATTTTAGAGTATTATATAAAATGCAAAGGAACTTCAACTTCCAAGTCCAAGTCCTTCTGACCTCTGAATGCGATAAGAAAGACCGATAAGAAGCGGTCTTCGGTGCCGTCTCGGGTCAGGATCATCCCACTTGTCCGAGATTAGCCCACGACAGGGTCTGCATCCTGTCCGATATGCACTGTCTCTGATTCACTCAGCATCTTACGCACTCTGCTTGCATAACAACTCCAGCAAGGGTTGAAACAGCCCACTTCACCATGCCTGATCAGGACTAGAGCAGCGATAAACATCGTGCAAGATAAGCTTCGGAACTCGGAAACAAAAATGACACGCAGCCAAGCGCGGAACACCCGGCCTGATCAGCAAAGCTTGCCTCCTGCGTCGGAAATAGATCACTAGTGAGACACCGTCTACCTCCGATGGCATGGAAAGCCTCAAGATAGCGGCTTCGGATCCGCACGGGTGTTTCATACCCATCCTAAGCCACCAGCTCCGGGCAATTGCAGCCAAGCCGGAGACCGCGGGCCGACTTTTGTCTCTCCGTATCGTGGTGATTTGGAGAAATGATGAGCAATTCGGGGTCATTTCAGCTCAGCTCCTCAATCCGCCAGTCCTCCGAGATCAGAGGTACATTGATGGAACAAGCACGAAGCCATCAGGGTAGGGAGTGTCGTCACTCCGTTTTCGCATCATCCTACCCTCGAAGAGATGATGCCGAGTACCCGTGGTGGAGACTATACCACTAAATACTAAGGGTGCCCTGTCAACGTAACAGGTGCATGCGATACAAAGTACCCACCAGACACCCGTCCAGCACCTTAAAACAGACAAGCGGTTTCATGATGTGGGAAGCACACGTTTCCATCAGTCCACTCGTGAATTGCCCGGGAGGTGTAGACGAGAAAAGCCCAGGCGCACCGAGCAAGTACTTAAGCTCCGTCGGGCCCAGGGGCGATCACATCTCCCCATCTCTCCCCCCCCCCCCATCACAGCACCATGTCGATCGAAGAACAAATCATCCTCATTACCGGCGCCTCCGGCTTCGTCGCCACGCAGGTTGTGCGCCTCTTCCTGCAACGAGGCTACCGAGTGCGCGGCACGGTGCGGTCCGAGCAGACGGCCGAGAAAGTGCGCAGCATCTTCCCTGAATACAAGGAGAAACTGTCCTTTGCCATCGTCCAGGACATCGCCCAGCCGGGAGCATTCGATGAAGCTGTGAAGGGGGTGCAGGGCGTAAGTCCCCCCTCTCCCTCACCCCGTTCCCAACCAAACCCCCCCAACATACACCAACCCTCATTAACCCACCATCCCCGCCATAGATTATCCACACAGCCTCCCCCTTCCAATTCCGCGTGGAAGACAACGAGCGCGACCTCCTCCAGCCCGCCATCCGAGGCACCCGCTCCCTCCTCGAAGCCACCCAGCACCACGCCCCGCAAGTCAAGCGGGTAGTCCTCACCTCCTCCTTCGCCGCCATCAACCACCTGCGCAAAGGCTACTGGCCCGAACACACCTACACGGAAGCCGACTGGAACCCGGACACCTACGAGGAAGCCCGAACGGCCGACGGCCCGACCGCCTACTGCGCCTCGAAAACGCTGGCCGAGAAAGCCGCGTGGGAGTTTGTGGAAACCGAGAAGCCCAACTTCACCCTCGCCACCATCTGCCCGCCCATGATCTACGGGCCCGTCGAGCAGCCCGTCGCCAGCATGGACCGGCTCAACGAGAGCGCCGCCGATGTGTATCGGTTCATGAACGGGAGTCTGACCGAGATCCCCGCCACCGGGTTCCCCGCTTGGGTGGACGTCCGCGATGTGGCCGAGGCGCATCTGCGGGCGTACGAGGCGGAGCAGGCGGCGGCCAATGAGCGGTTCTTTGTCGTGGCCGGCAATTTCTTCTATGACGAGGTGTGCGAGGTCTTGCGAGGGGTAGAGGGAGTGGACAAGGCGAAGGTGCCGGTGGGGAAGACACAGGAGCGGCCGAAGGTGTATGGCGTGTCGAATGAGAAGGTGAGGAGTCGGTTGGGGATGGAGTTTTATTCCCTCGAGGCGAGCATTCGTGATACGGCGGAGAGTTTGTTAAAATTGGAGAAGAAGTTGAAACAGTAAGGATTGTTTATTTTGACTTGATTGGATAGATGTATGAGAATGAATGACTGAGAGCAGTCTCTGTGTCGTGGATTTGTGGAATAGAGTGGAACAGTAACATACTGTGTATGTGATATTCTGGTAGTGGTAGGCGGATCTGTTGATATACAAGCACTACGAGCTGGGGATGCATCAGACATAGTAAAACGTGTAAACAAAGCTATTGTTCCTTGACCATCAGACCAGGATTAGTACTAGATATTTATGCTGCATTCATTATTTTATCCCTTCTTGGCATCCAGTCAACACCTCAGGCATTTATTCAATACTCCAAACTCTGCCATGACTCGAGACCCTCGTTGATCAGGCATCAGCAGGCATCCACAGCCACCGGGGGGCCACTTTAGCTCTCCACTAACCCCGATGAGGAGCAGAAAACGACCAAACCGCATTAGCGCAGGGCCAAGAGGCTGAAAGGGGAAAATCCCGGCACCGACCGTCAGCCGACTAGACTGTTTTGCGCATAGCCCTATCCCCAAACCCTGAAAGCGAGGCCGCTAATCGTTTGCCCCTGGCGCTTTTCGCCCCCGACAATTTCCACAGAATGGATGACTATGGCCGGGGAATACGAGGGAGGGAGTTTAGGAATTGCCCTCGGTTTATTCGAGATACCCGTCCCCGCTCCATGAGGCAACACGATGCCAGATAGTAGGCATATTAGTCTGATATCGGTATGTTCGACCGTGTGAACCTGGCGGAGACATCAGGGCCGATCCGATCTGGCAATTAAATCCATTGACCCTGAGAATCACCGTGGGATAAAGGGTCTTAGCGTTCAGACTATATCCACCGACCCTTCCATCCCCGCCAATCACACCCGACACAACGCCGGTGGGGAGAAAGCCAAATCTCCCTCTTGCAGCGTGACTCTACCGAGTAGAGGGAGTAAACCCAGAGTTGAGTCTAGTGGGATGCTGGACCCCTCGCTATATGAACCCTGTCGGCGCCACATCCATCCTTTCACTTCCTGCGTGCCCACTGAACTGGAAGTCTTCATCGGCTGGACCATCCCACGATGGCCTCCGCACATTCGTTTCTGCTGTTCCTGTCGCTCGTTCTGATCCAGCTGTCTTCATTCGTTTCGGCTGCGCCCTGGATCGTCACGGCCTACTATCAAGAGACCGTCTACACGGAATCGGGCTACTACACGACTTACACCACCACCTCCATCGACCAAATCACCCCCACGGCCACTTCCCTGCCCCCAGCGCTGTCCACCATCACCTCCGTGGCCACCGAGAACACCTATGGCTCCTACGACGACGAGGTCGTGACTGTCATCCAACAGCTGTATCCCAGCGGAGTGGGATCCGACTTCTACGACGCCTACTACGACCAGGAAGACGAGGCGGACAGCACCCAGTTCGTCGTCAACCTGACCTACACGGCGCCTACCGGCTGCTCGTCGCAGTGGACCACCACCACCACCGCCGAGATCTTCCCCCCGGCGCGCGTGCAAAGCCTGCTCCCCCTGACCGCCGTGTCCACCTCGCTGTCCGTCGACAGCAGCCAACCCTTTCAGCCGACCACCTACACCATCGATGTGGTTTACGTCGACCCGACGCAGATCCCCAGCAGCTCCCTCAGCCTGCTGAGCGCCGAATACCTCCCCACGGGGCTCTACACCGGGGCCGGCTGCACCTACACCGGCTCCGCGAGCGGCGGCTACGACAGCAACGGGTACTACAACGAGTGGGACGACGACGACTACAACTGGTTCACCGACCCCTCGTACTTCGGCGGCCTGTCCCCGCTGGGCCTCACCCTCGCCGTCTCGCTCGGCTGGATCGGCCTCTTCCTGATCCTGGGGTTCGTCGAGGCCTGGGTGCGCTTCCGCCGCCTGATGACCGGCTGGCAGACCCGCCGCGGCCTCCCCGTCTGCTGGTCGCTGCTCGTGCTGCCCTTCACCCTCCTCCTGCTGTGCTGGTTCCGCAAGGGCTACCGCGCGCGCTCACAGGCGGACGGCGAGGTGCTGCAGAAGCGCTGGAAGGCGATGGGGTTCGGAACGAAGCTCAAGCTGTTTTTCGTCTGGGGGTTCCGCTTCAAATACCCGCCTATGCTGGGCCCGGCCCCCGCGCGGGTCAAGACCAGCAAGCAGCCGGAGAGGACCCCCGGTCCACGCCTTCTGGAGCCAAGTCCGGCGTCGAGTCTGGCGCCCCAGTCGCGGCAGGGGTCGACGGCCGAGGCGAGTGGGGGGGTTGCGTCTGCCACCGCTGCTGATGCTCCTGTGGCTGCGGCCCCGGCGGATGATGCTCCTGCGAACCCCGAGATGGCGGAAGCATCGCGATCGGCCTCGGTTGCACAACAGCCCCAGCTTCCCACGGTGCATGTAAACGATCATGATGACGAGATCGGTCAGGCGCGCTGCTAGTGTTAGGGTTGGAGTGAAGTCGGCTTGTGCAGCGGTGTTTGGTTCATTCGAGCTGAAGTCCCGGCTACGGTCGAGTGCAACCGCGGGACTACTACTTATTGACCTGATCAGGGATTGCATTCGTTTAGTTCTATTATATCCCTATTCAGGAATCATCCAGTAATGTCTTAATGTATGTATTGCGAGAATTAATCGGCTGTGTCGGCGCCAGTGTCCCAGAGGCACTGCATATCATTTAGCCTACATGCGTACTTCATAAGCAGTCACAGACTTTCTCCCGATAACTCCAGTTAGTATGTGTCTGGACGCAATGAAGATCCAGTGCAGTTTTCCGTTTGAAGCGTTTCTGGCTGCGATTCGTGCCGCGGAGGGGACACGTAAACGCTGGTCCAGGGAGATTTTCTGGATTCGATGTATACCGGTAATAGTGTATGTTCTTAGGTTGAGTTGTCTCTGTGTCGGATTGTCTCAGACCTCTGATTCGGCATCTTCGGTTCTTTCGAGCATCAGCATCGAGTATACCCTGGAAGGTGAAGAGACTCACCGCATCGAGACATGCACATCATAGATTAACAATGCCTTCCTCACTTCTTCGCAGCAGGAATTCACCTTGATGTTCATTCTTCCAGGTAGCTACCCATTATGTATATACACCGTAGATAGGCAGGCAGGCACTGCCAAAACACCACCAGGCTCTTACCGAGGAGGCTAACGTGGTGTGTTTGTAATCAAGTGCCGTGGAGCCAGATAAGGGTTTCCAGCATGTATACTGTGAAACAGCTTGATTACTCTAAACGACTGCTCGATAACTCAAACTAATCCACCAGTCAGGCTTCATCTCCAGTTTCCGTATGACTCTCGCGCCACAGTCACCTGTCCAACCATCTGGCAGCAGTCATAGGAGTAGGTCTTCAGTGACACGTCAGCTGTCCAATCCGAGTAGCCGCCCATGCATGCCGTCCAGAGCATCCGTCCAGTCATATCCAGATCATCTATGCAGCCTTCAGCCGCACCTGCAGCTGAGAAATACGAGCTGCAGGTTCTTACTGAATCACACAGACAGGTTATACCACCTGCTGGAAATCTTCAGCCTCGTCTCACCCACCAGACTCTCACTGTAGAATAAGTACAGACAATTCACCCACCACACCATCCCACACCCAACCACCCTAAGTATCCCCTCATCTAACCACATCGATACTCACCCAACAACCCTAACTAGCATGCCACCCCCACAGCCACCACCAACTCCTCCTCCCAACCCTACTTCACCTCCCCCGACCAACCCCGCCCAAGCCACCATCACAGCATTCTGGGACAAATTCCTCGCCAAAACCCCCGGCAAAGTGACCACCATCCTTCCCGACACCCTCTGGACCGATCTCCGGCCCTCGCAACCGCAACCCAACCGCCCCTCCACCCCGCGCAACGCGGCGGAGAGCTACGAGGCGGCCGCCCGGACCTGTCGCGCCGAGGTGCAGCGGATTGTGCGCGAGTGTCGACGCGTGAACGAGAAGTTCACCGACCCGGAGTTCGATCTCGAGTATGATCGCGAGTTGGGGTGGTGGAATTGTCTGCGCGGGTTGATCCGCGAGGAGGATGAGGATGAGGATTCGCGTAGTGATAGTGATAGTAGTGATCGGGAGGGGATCGGAGGGACGAGGGAGGGTGTGTTTGGGGCGAGGAGGAGGAGAGGCGTAAAGGTGCGGACTGGCAGTGGCAGTGGTAGGCCGCGATGGGGTGAACGGGGGAATGCGCAATCCCATGCCTTAACCTCCTCCTCATCCTCCTCCTCCTCCTCCTCCTCCTCCTCCGACAACACCCAGGGCGGCGTGCCCGGATCCGTCCACCGCGTCGACTGGATCTTCCCCCATCCCCGCTTCACCATCAACGGCTACAACACCACAGACATCAAACAGGGCGCCAACGGGGACTGCTGGTGGCTGGCGGCCGTCGCCACGATCTGCAACCGGCCCGACCTGATGGATCGGGTGTGTCTGGCGCGCGACGAGGAGTGCGGGGTGTACGGGTTCGTCTTCTTCCGCGACGGGGAGTGGGTGTCGACGGTGGTGGACGACAACCTCTACCTCTCGGTTGCGGACTTTGACTTCTACGGGGACCGCTACGACAGCACCGGCCGGCGGGCGCGACAGCACCGGCAGCGCCATCAGACCGGGTCCGAGGCGCTGTATTTCGCCCAATGCGTCGACGAGAACGAGACCTGGTTGCCGCTGCTGGAGAAGGCGTATGCCAAGGTGCATGGGGATTATGAGGCGCTGTCCGGCGGGTGGTCCGGGGAGGCGGTGGAGGATATGACCGGGGGGGTGACGACGACGATTGCCACGAATAAAGTGCTGAACAAGGGGCGATTGTGGAGGGAGTTGGTGAACGCAGATGGCAATTTTGTCTTTGCGGCGTCGGCGCTGGGGTCCGGGCGGGATCGGACGAGGGGGGGGTTGGCGCTGGGACACGCTTATTCGATCCTACGCGCGACGGAGGAGGAGGATGAGGAGGGGAATCCAGTGCGTCTGGTGTTGGTTCGGTAAGAGGATCTTGCGCGTCTGGTGGATTCGAGACTGACGGGGTTGCTGGAATGGCAGGAATCCATGGGGTGAGAGGGACACCGGTGGGATTGGGGAGTGGAACGGGCCCTGGAGCGATGGCTCTCGCGAGTGGACCCCGTACTGGCTCGAGAAGCTGCAGCATCGATTCGGAGACGACGGGATGTTCTGGATGACCTACGAGGACCTGCTCTCCATCTTTGTCTTCCTGCACCGCACGCGCATCTTCGACGAGACCTGGACGGTGGTCCAGCGGTGGACGAGCGTCAGGGTGCCCTGGCTCGAGGGCTACCTCCAACCCAAGTTTGTGGTGGGGATCACGAAACCTGGTCCCGTCGTGTTCGTGCTCTCGGAAGTATGTTGGATTGTGACTGTTCCTGTGGGTGGATACTGACGCGGACGTTTTGCAGGCTGATAAGCGTTATCTGCGAGGTCTGGAAGGGCAGTACGAATATGCCCTACACTTCCTGCTGCAGGAGGAGAATGCGAAGCCAGAAGAACACCTGCTGTCGGTGCGCCCGGTGCAATGCCAGGACAATCGTTCGATCAGTGCAGAGGTGGAGTTGCAGCCGGGGCGATACGAAGTCCTGATCAAGATCGTGGCAAGCAGAGACGCCAAAGCGAGAAAAGTGGAGGATGTGGTCAAGAAGTGGGTGGAAAAGAACCCGCAGAAGCTCAAACAAGTCGCCATGAACTACGATCGCGTCAATGCCAAGGCCCCGTTGGAAGCGAGACCAGTGAAAGGCAAGGGTGAGGCTGTCCAGGGTGAATCTGCAAAGGTGGAACCCGCAAGAGATGATTCTGCACAGAAAGAGAAAGCCATTGCGCTACACCCCACAGTCGACACGCCGAGTCCAGATCCTCCACAGGCCACCCAAGCAGCCTTTGCCTCGCACCCACAGGACGAGCATCACAAAGAGACCGAAGTTGTCGTCAATGAACATGAGGCAGAAAATCATCAGAACCAGAATAAGCATAAGCAGCAACATCAGGATGAGGACAAAAATGAGGATAAGAAAGATCACGGCGAGGATAAGCAAGACAGCGATAAAGGGGGCGATGACAAGAAGCACGATGGCAAGCTGGACCGAGAGCAGAAACATGATGACCAGAAGGACAGCGAGAAAAAGGACCAGAGCCAGGAAGAAGCCAAAGATGCGGCCTCAGCATGGAACGCAGTCTGCGTGCTGGGCTTGCGGATTTATGCTCAGGATCCCCAAGTTAGCATTGAGCTGGTCCTGTAGCACTCACTGCTTTGCCTCATCGAGCACGGCTTACGTTCAAGTAAAGAAGCAAATATCATTAATAGCACGGAATTTGAATGACTTGACAGTGAACAAGCAACCGTGCATGTCTGTGGTAATGACAGAATCTCGGATTGTAATCCGGAGCAAGGACCTTCAATTACTCAATGCAATGCTCAAGGATTAAGTGAAGTCTACCTGCCGGAGGTAACCGTACAATTGACTCCCTTTCTGTGGCTGCATTGGCCTCGTTAATCTACACCAACACTATCAAGTTAGGGTTGAGGGAAGCTTCCGAACAGATGAAAAGTCCACGAGCACGAGTACCCGGAGAAAAGCAATAAGGACAATCTCATATTCATCCAAGCTCAAGCCGCAATGATACAAAAGTCATTTCCATCGTTAAGAGACAGAAACTCCCGGTCGAACTGGGAAAAAGGCTTGCCCCAATCAACCCTAACCTCCTCCCAACAGCTCTCCATGATCAGCATCGCTGCTACTCAAACCTTCCAGACCTCCCAATCAGCGAATTCACAAGGTCGCGACTAGATCGCTCTTCAAAGCTGGGAAAGAAGACATTAAGGCTCGGACTAAAGATAAGGGCGTGACTGCTGCCTCCGAAGTGGAACATGCCAATTTCATCGCCTTTGCCGACCTGATCCCCCTCCTTCACCGTTGGCTCGCAAGACCCTCGCTCTCGTATCCCCGCGAAGACGCAGCCCACCGCGCCCAACCTCTCATTGTTGATAACAATCACACTCCGGGAGGCCTCGTGGACTGCAGCCTGGGCCTCGGCCTTTCCCCATTCCGACACCTTGCGCGCTCCCTCGCTTTCGATCGCGTCACTGATCGATAGGAGCGCTGGAGCGAAGCGACCCTGGATAGTTTTCATCGCTAGAATGGTGCCGGAGATGGGCGCATGCCAGCGATGGTAGGATGTAGGGTGGAGATACCCTTGATAGAGTCTCCCGCCGATAAACTGCTCGGCAAGCTGATCGTCATCGAACATCATGCGGAGCGAGTATTTCTGCTCCTTGATATCGAAGATGTCGTTGGACTGGAGGTCGGTCTGAATGCGGAATGGAATAGCTTCGCAGGGCGCAGTGATGACGGTATCGTTGTCGGGATCGGCGATGGGACGGACGCCCTCCCTGAATCGGCGGATGAAGAAGTCGTCCCAAGATACATAGCGGTGATGCTCCTGCGCTGGGTCGGTGACGAAGGTCGCATCGAAGTCGTCCAAGCTCTCTTCCCCGAGAGCTTCGCTGCTGAACCATCCGCCGGGCCCCTCGTGCAGCACGCTGGCTGATTCGGGGGATGTCAGGAAGACGGTCCACTCTTTCATAAGAGACCGGGAGGCCTTGTCGACTCGTGCATCCGAAAAGAATACCCGTCCGGCTGGGGACTTGATGAAGGGTTCGGTCACGTTGGTGAGAAGGCCCAGGGTGCCTCCAAGGGAGTGGTTGGCAGCGGAGGCATTGTACGAGGGAGCAGTCCGGACCACCTGGTCCAAGTCGGTCAGAAAGGTGACTAGTCGCTGCGGGATATCCATGGGGTTGGATCCAGTCTGGATGAACATCGCCGATGCGAGCTGGAATAGCTGAGGGTCACCCTTGATGAGGGTTGCGAAGTCTTTGACCGTTGACGAAGAGAACTGCCTGAGGTCGGGGAGAGTCACGTTGGGGAGGTTCACGTGAGACTTGAGAAAATCCATGATAACGATGAAAGCAATGCTTCTTGATTTGATAAGGTGTAGTGAAGATGGCTCACAGCAACAGCTGAGGGTAATTCAGGGCTTAAGTAGACCGCGACTGAGGGCTTTGCTTCCACCTTGACGTCTTCGCTGTCACCATGACGCGCACATATGTTCACTGTCAGTGGGTGGGCCTGGTCGGTGTTGAGACTAGTTTTTCCTCTCATTTGCTTTTTTTCTCCTCAGTTGATCAACCCCGCAGTTGCATCCGTGGCATTAAATGAGCTCATTGAACTTGTCGATCGACGATCTGTACAGTATGTCACCTTGCATCGAGGGGGGTTGCTTAGGTTTGGTATGATGCTCGGTGGAACGATCAGCCGGCCAGACCCTGATTGCCTATAGCTTCAATAGCGCGGTTCCCACGAATTTCTGGCTCCATGAGGAACATGTCATGAGACATCTGTCAGCGGAAGTGTCAGTACATGCTCCTGCCACATGGTCTGTGGTGAGTACAAGCTCAATATGAGTCCCCAAGACAGCAGGGCTGGATCTGCCAACTGGTCGGCTTCTGTCGTTCGGCGGGCGTCCACAGCGCGCTGCGGTATCCATCCCTTACTGCTACGATGCACCTGTGACCCTGTCTGGTACTCCCTGGAGCAGATTACTCATACAAATACCCAAGTTAATCGTAAGTGTTCTTAAAGATATCAATAATGTTTTGAGTTCGTCTGAATATGCAACCGGGCCTCCATCATCATGATATACAAGCGCCGCCACCCGCCTATCACCAGCCCTAGTTACCTCCACCCCATTCCACCCCCTACAGACCCCCCTCCGCCCCCATCAACGGCACAAACCCTTCATATTAATCCCTCTTCCCCAAGGGCACCCCCTCCATCCTCAGAATCCCATATGCGGTCGTCAAATGGAAATACACATTCGGCAACACCACCAGATGCGCATACCGCGCCCCGCTCATCGGGACCGTCACCCCGGGCCCAACCGGCGTGGGCTTCAGCACATCGGCCTGTGCATTCACCACATCCTTGTCCGCCGCACGCGCCATCGTCAGCACCGCCGTGATACAGTCATAGCACTCGGACAGGCTGGTCGGGTTGTTTTCGAATCCCGTCGGCTCGGGCTGGTCTGTCAGCCGGGCGACCAGCAGGGCACTGAATTTGGTGGCGAGCCGGATCTGGTCCGCGAGGGGGTACATGGCCTCGTGCAGGCGGGCCGTCAGAAAACTGGTGGGCGAGGCGGGGCGGTGGGCTTCGGCTTGGTGGAGGACGTGGGAGAGGGTGGTGAGGATGCCAGTGAGGACGGGGATGGTGCTGTCGTAGAATGTGTGGGGCATGATTGTGGTGGTTGATTGTGTGCAACTCTTGGAGTTGAGGGGGTTGGGATGTGTGCAGTGGTTTGGGATGACTGGGGGTGGTGGTTGTTGGCTTTATATCTTGGTTTGGATTGTCAGGTGATGTTGCAGGTTGCAGCTCGGAGGAGCTCGGAGGAGGTCAGAAATTAGTGAGAGGGAGTCAGACTTTAGTCACCGAGAATAAGACAATATTCGAGCCTCGCGAAACACACTACTCCTCCATTTCTTGGGAGCCGAGACCCGATGTTCCTGACTCTCAAGCTTACCCCAACTGACTTAGGGGCGGATATGGAATCCTTCGTGATGCTAGCGTGGAGTCGCAGTCGGAGGTAATGAGTCCCGCCAAGGCTGCTGCCAATTCAGATCTGATGCGTTGAATGGACTTGTGGCTTCGTAGGACCTGGACAACCCCGTTAATGTGTAGCGTTGCCCAAAGGGTTCATCTGAATTGTCCCACTGCAAGCATAAGACAAGTCGACAAGCCCTACTGTTCCATGAACCCCAGCTACCACTGATTGGACGACACTCAACCAAGTATTCGCGTTCGCAGTGTGACCTCTCTGACTGAAGATCTCTACTCTGAACACAAGAACCCTAGATCGTATTCACTAGAAGCAGTGGTCTTGTTGTAACCTCGTCGACAGGAATTCTATCGCAGTGTCTTGGATCCAGTTAGGGTTTCAGGCCCTGAATGTGGTGGATGGCGGGTCGAGCTGAGAAATGTCCCTTCTGGAGAGACTTCCCCAGGGGTGAACATTTCTTGTGCAAGTCGAACACAGACTGGTTCTTTTGATGCAATATACTCGTGCAGTTTTTCTTGTCTCTTGGCGAAAGTGCAAATCTGTGTCCACAAGTTCAATTCGCTATAATGTGGGGTAAAAACACCACGAAAAACACTGACCGCCCCGGAGCGTCTGTCCTTCCGTGGGTAAGCACTAGTGATCCACCCCTATTCCACGCGAGGGCCGAATTTGAACCATCTGATATTGTATGCAGCCATCTGCAATGATCACCACAATGTCGGAGTCAAGAACTTTTCTGAGGTTGGCAAGTAGGTCATCCCCCGCAGCCAGCACATTCTAGACTGACCCCGTCAAAGGTCCCAATGAACGCCGCACCATCAGCCGGGAAGACCTCGGGTTCTACCACGCCGTGGTCATTGGTGCGGTTTATGAGATTCATTCTCGCGACATGGATGTCCGGTCAGCGCAATCATTTATCCCCCTTTTGAGACAGTGCGTCCTACAGCATCCGCACCTGAGCATAGTGGTCACGGACAAGCATACAGAGAAACCCGCCTACGAAGCTGTGACTATTGTGAACCTCGAGGACCACGTTACTATCATCAACGATGACCCAGCGATAACCAGCGAGACAGACGAAGCGACTGCATTTGAGAGGACTCTGCCACCGATCATGGACCGACCCTGGCCAGCCGACATACCCCCCTGGCGAATCGTCGTCCTGCCGTTAGATTCGCCCTCCACCGTCGCGCGTTGCCTCATCGCATTCGCCTTCTCGCACGCTTTGGGCGATGGCATTGTCGGATTGACTTTCCACCGCACTTTTCTAAAGGCACTACGAGGACCCCTCGAGTCCACCTGCACTCGAGAAACCTCCCCCGTGGTGACTCTCCCACCGGGTCGCACGATCCCCGCCCCCTTCGATACCCCAGACCGACTGCCAATATCCTGGGGCTTCCTCCTGAAACCCCTGCTCGCTGCGTATCTGCCGACATTTCTGGCCAAGCTACTCGGCCTGCGCGCACACGCTACCCATCTTGACGCGGGTACATGGACCGGGTCTCCCATGTTCTTCCATCCGCAGGCCCCGCAGCAAACGCGCGTCAAGCTCTTGACAATCAACGCATCATTGCTCGAGAGCGCCCTGCAAGCTTGCAGAACCCATGACGCCAAGCTCACCGGACTCCTGCACCAGCTCATCGTCCGGGCGCTCTCCAAGGCTCTCCCGGACCCCACTGTGACCAACTTCGTCTCCGGAACTGCAGTCGACATGCGCGCCTCCATCGGGCAGCCGCCGCAGACCTGGGGATTGTTTGTGGGTGGGCACTACGACCGCCATGCGCGTCTCGCGGCGGAGGCTGCCTCCCCGGCATTCTCGGAGGAGATGTGGGCGGCGGCGAGTGCCATGACGAAGCGGCTGGCGGAGTGTGCAGCGAGTCTCCAGGATCAGGCGGTGGGGTTGCTGCGGTACGCCCCGAGTATACGGAACTGGACACTAGCAAAACTGGGTCACCGACGGGATTGTTCGTATGAAGTGAGCAACTTGCGGGCTTTTAATGGCAGCGGGGGGGCGGACGCGGCGGAGGGGGCTACGATCTCGATGATGGTGTTTTCGCAGCCGGGGAATGCGACGAGTGGGGCGCTCATGTTCAATCTGGTGAGTGTTCAGGGGGGGGACTTGGTGTGCACCGTGAGTTGGCAGGCTGGGGCGCTGGATGTGCCGGTGGACGAGGAGGTGGGGTTTGTCGAGGGGGTGTGCTCGTCGATTCGGGGGGACTTGGAAGCATTGAGAGGGTGATAGGATTATGGTTCGTTATTTAATTCACTGGACCTCACCACTGCGGTTGGAGAGGCTACGGGCGTTGCAGAGCGAGTGTGATCCGGACAATCGATTTGCCTACTAGAATCCTATTTTTGTTTAGCCTGTGCAATGGGGCTGGGATCTCAGGTTTGGGATCTACGGCTCGGATGTGATTGTATGGGCGGGTTGTGTCTTGTCTGGAAGGGGTGGATGTTACAATTGCTGGAATGAACATCGTAGGTGAATTATCTTAGACAGATCACTTTTCCAGTCTTGTTGTTGATATTGTTCTGGCCGGCTTACGGGTTCTGCACGGAAAGCGTCCAGTTCAGCGCTAAAAATAATATATATCAACGGATACTACTCTTTCTTCCCGATGAAAACAACAACAAAGGCAAATCCCCCTCAACGAGCAATTCACAGAGGTAGTTTCTGATTTCTCAGTTAGCATCCACCGTCAAACCGACCGGAGGAGCACAAAGCGAAGAAATCCCAGCCCAGCCGATCGGATACGTTTGGCGCCTTCAGCTCCCACCAACCAAAGCCCTAAACCAACACCCACCGATCACGGTGACGCATCCACCTCCCCAGCCCAACAAGCAAGAAACCGTGCCAAGTGTCAACGAACCAGAGAGGTGGGTGGCTGGGCTGAAGCAAGCGTCAGTTCTTCAGCTCTCCCCGCATAGTGGAGCCCTCGCCTACAGGCAACACCTCGACTGGCCAGCGCGGCTGCTGATCGGCGATCGAGTCCCCACCTCCGAGCTGAAGGAACGGCGATTGCACCGATACACAGATCCACTTGGGACCTTCAGCTGAGAAACACAGTCGAATCACTGACAGCGATAATCGTGCAGGTGGCTGCTAATGCTATAAGAGGGCCGGTTGTGCCGGTTGCGGCTGACCGGAACGACAGGAATTGGCAAATTCCTTCTTCACTTTCCCCCCAAGACCAGGAAAATATCCCCTGACACAAATACCCCCAGACTAGAAGGACAATGGCACGCGACAATGAGCTGGTCTCGCTCGCCTCCTTCGGGGAGGATCTCATCGCCAGCGGCAACTTCGCCTCCCTAAGTAGCCTCGACATCTTCGCGGCCTCGACCGACCAGAAAGCGCGCAGCCACCTCACCGTCGCCCCGGATGTATCCACCACCACGCGAGCTAAACCAATCTCCAGAGTCTCCCCGTTGGCGGGCTGGACTGCAATGTCCCGGTCCACCACGGCACACACGGAAATCAACGACGCGCTGATTATCGGCGGCGCGACCGTGAAGAACGTCTCGCTGGTGGTGGGTGAGGCCCTCTCCTCGGGGGATCCCGCGACGGGGCACGAGGGACATGATCTCTACAGCGATCTGAAGGTCCTGCCTGTGCCGGTGACGGGGGTGCAGAGTGGCGGGGGTTCGCTCTTGGTCGCTCCCATCGGAAAGACGGCCGGTCAGTCGATGCTGCTCTTGCCAGCGGACAGTGACTCCGCGATCACCTTCCCACAGCAGTCGAAGCCGATTGCCCTGCCGAATGTAGGCAAGGAGATAGGCGCGACCAAGGGCGAGGTCGGCGCCGCGCCGGTGGATTCGTATGTCTTGAGCGGTGATATCGAGAATTTCTTTGGGATCAAGGGGCTCAAGGCGAAGCTGTACTCTTTCAAAAGTGCAGAGGAGAAGAAGGAGGAGGCTGAGAAGAAGACGAAGAAGGATGAGGAGGAGTCGGCCGAAGACAAGGTTGCAGGGACCTCCAAGACGCCCGAAGCAAAGACCGAGGAAGAAAAGTCCGATGATACTGCTAAGAAAGCAGAGAAAGATGAACAAACCAAGGACAAGGACGACGACAAAGACAAGCCCGTGCAGGAAAAGATCAAGTTGGAGGACATGGAGTCCCCACTCGCAATCCTCTTCCCGGAGATCGAGCAGTCGACCATCCAGAAACTCCCCATCAAGAACCTGGAGTTTACCTACAGCAACACCGAGAAGGATAGTTTGTTCCCAGTGGGGCTGCGACTCGAGGGGGATCTGGAGTTCAAAGATGGCCTGCAGTTCGTCGCAGACGGGCTGAAGAACGTCTTCGGCAGCGACAAGGGGACAACTCTACCGTCCAAGCTGCGGATCAGCGCTCTCATTGCCAAGGAGAGAGACTGGAGCAAGAAGCCCAAGATAGACGGGCTCGTGTTGCAAGCCTACGTCGATATGTCCTTGCCAAAGTGGGACTTTCTAGAGTTCAAAACGGCGGGTATCGAGCTGTCGGCGAGGAGAGAAGAGAAGAAGGATGACAAGAAGGATGACAAGAAGGATGGCAAAAAGGTTGACAGCACGAAGGATGATAAAGAAGGGAAGAAGGAGAGTGGGGAACCCGACGATGTCTCGGAGCCTACATCGTTGAAGGTGGCAGCCGAAGATGTCTCGAATAATGATTCCAAGCCAGAAGCAGAGGATTCCGTGAACAAATCCAAGGATGCCGATACAGAAGAGTTAGAAGATAAAGTACGTACCGCACACAGTATCTGCTCTAATGTTCTGATTGCAGAAACTGAGATCTATGCAGAACAAGTCGGATAAAGAAAAGGACGAAAAAGACAAAAAGAAAGAATGGAAGCTGGGCTTTGGAATCTTTGGTAAACTGAACATCACCAAGCTTCCCAAGTCAAAAGGAACTTTGGAAGCACGATACTGGATCCGCGGAGGTGACTGGAAGGAGGAGAAAAATGACAAGAAGAAGGACAAGGACGGTAAGGACAGCAAGGAAAACAAGGACAAAAAGACCGAGAAAGGAGATAAAGACAAGAAGGACGACAGTAACGATGCAGGCAAGAAAACTGACAAGTCAGAAAAGAAGATTGAACAGAAGGATGACGGCTCTCTTGCCAAAACTAAGGACGAAGGTAAGGACAAAGCTGACAATAAAGACTCAAACAAACCTATCGACGAGGAAGAGAAACGAGCAAAGACCAAAAAGACAGACGATAAGAGTGGTGGGAGCAAGTATGAGTGTAAGCGGCATCATCTTCCAGCTCTCAGGATTATGAACACTGGAACTTACAAGCTTCGCAGTGGTCATTGACGTGGGCAAATGGAAGAACTTTTGTGGCGTGGCAAATCTGGATGTAAGACAATCACTCACTAACGGGCTCATACCCTCAGATGCTAATCCTATCTCGTGGAACAGATGAAGAAAGCCCAACTGCGCGCAAGGTTTGCACCGGGAGAGTTCAAAGAAACCTGTACGCTGACTGTGTCTGGATCCCTGGAGTTTCCCCAGGGCAGTCTGGACAAGGACGAAAAGAAAGATGATGCAGGTAAGAAAGAGGGCAAGGATGACGAAGGTGACAAGAAAACTCCCGGCGTTGAGACCAAGGCTTTGCCGGCGGCTGAAAGCAAGCCCAAAGATAATGAGGAGTCCAAGGAAGGAGACAAGGAGAAGGACGACAAGGAAGACGAAGAAGAAAAGCCCAAGAATGCTACCCTGGCGATCAAAGGCCAGCTTTCCAGGAGTGAGTCCACCCGACAATTTACATTGCAGAAACCCATACTAAGCCCAGCAATAGAAGACTACCACTTCGATGCTAAAGTGGGAGATTTGAAGCTCGAATCAATTCTCAAGATTTATGCGCATATAAACGGAGTCGAGCCCAAGGCTGATGGGATTAAGGACCACAATCTGACATTCGAGGAGTTGCATCTCAACATTGGCCGCAAACTGAAGAAGAAGAAGAAAGAGGAAGAGAAGCAGGACAAAAGCAAGGGAGATGCAAAGAAGGAAGAAACGAAAGACGAAACGAAGCGAATTGAAGAAAAGGCAGCCGATGCAAAAGAGACGGAAACACTTCAAGCTGACGGGGATAGCCCCGAAGACAAGCAGCTTGACGACGAAGCCAAGGCGGAGAACTCGACCGTTGGAGCTAAAGATAAGAAACAAGATCCCACTGCATTGAGCAAGGACAAGACAGATGCAAAAGCCAAAGAAAAGATTGTGGCGAAGAAAGAAGACGAGGAAGAGACGGAATGGGCGTTTGAGCTTTCTGGGAAAGTGAGCTTTAACGACGTCAAAAGCGTGCACGGCTTGATCAAGATCGATAGCACAGGTTTAACTATCGAAGGTGGCGTGGAGGATTATGAGATCAAGGATGCTGGTGTCACAATCAACGAGGCCAGGATCGATATCTTCATTGGAGCCAAGCCCAAGGCAGATAAGAAGCAGAGGGATCAGGGCGAGATCAAGTCTGTGGAAAACTCAACCACCGAGGCTGGTGATGGAACAGTTACCAAGTCATCGAAGGACGAGAGCCCTGCAGGAAAGAAGCTCGTCAAGAGCGAGGCGGACAAAGAGAAGGCAATTGTCTATAATCGGGCGAGCAAATTCTCCATTCGAGGGAAGGTCACTTTCAGTGGAGTGACTGTGACCGTCGTCTTCCTTACAGAGCGCAAAGAGACCAACAAGAAGTCCAAGAAGGCTTCGGAACGCGAGTGGGTGCTCTATGGATTGGCCGACACAGATCTCAGTCTTGAGGAGCTTTGTGACACGCTCAAGGGGTCTTCGATTGGAAAGTTGAAGTTGCGCAACATCGCTTTGATTGCAGCATCCGGCAAAATTAAGACAATCGAGGAGTTGAACACCATGGAATATCCGGTTAATAAAGGTGAGTCAATCAGCGCTCTGGACCATGTGTATGATCGCAGTACCACGTTATGATGCTGACTGGGGGATAGGAATCTCCCTCTGTGCCACCATCCCTCCTCTCGACGAGCTCAACAACCTCGCCAAGCAGACCGTCGATGGGCTGATCCTCTGCGCGACTATCCAGAAGGGACTGGATCTCAAAATCTGCTTGCCCAAGTCCATGGATGTACGTTTCTCTTTCCCTACCTTTGTATCAACTAACCTCCAGGTTCCATAGATACATTTCTCCGAGACCGTCACGCTTGGCAATATCGGAGTCGGAATTGAGATCAGCAAGTCTCCTAGTCTATCGCTGGAGGGCGTGTTGACCATCCTGATGGAATCAGGTCAGGATCCGCTGGTCCTTGAAGGAATGGTGCGGGCAGGGTTACTCGAAGCATCTGCGAAGATGTAAGTTGATATCCTGCTTGGCCACAACACGTAGAAGTTGCGATGCTCATAATCTCTGCAGTGCGACTAAGCAGCCCTGGGTGAATCCCTTTAACATCAGCAAGGAGGTCACTATCGCAGATTTCAGAGTCGAAATTCTCATCGAGTATGCCAAATTCCTCGAAGTGGGCCCTTCGTAAGTCTGCATTGATTCCTGATCCTGTCTTATGCGCGGAATTTCCATTGACAGATACAAGGAAACTCGGTCTCGGGGGCCAGATCGAGGTCGGCGATTTCCACGCTGGGGCAGACATGGTCATCAGCCACTTTCCCAATGACCAGCTCATCTCCGTCAACATTTCCAAGGTTGATCTCATCGAGATCATCAACGTCGCCGGTAAGGTAGCCGACATTCCTGCCCTGAGGGAGATGCGTGGAGCCGAGCAGACATTTGTGTTCACGGATGCCGAGCTGTACATCTCGACAGGAGCCACAATCGCCGACAAAGAGTACCCTCGTGGCATCTCAGGCGGCGGCAAGCTGACGGCATTCGGCAAGAAGGCTGAATTTGAGTTGGACATTGGTGAAGTGGGTCTGGATTTCAAAGGCGCCATCGATAACTTCAGCCTGGGTCCTCTCGTGGTGTCGTCGGCGAGTGGCGAACCTCGCGCCAGCATGGTGGTACTCATGACAAAAGATCAGCAGGTCATCAAGGTGGACGGCATGGTGACATGCTTTGGCATTGGGTTAGTCGCTCTCGTGGACATTCAATTGGGAACGGAGACCCCAGTGTTCAACGCCTACATTGCCGTGCAGTTCACCGAAGCGTTTAAGATCAGTCTGCAGGCGACTACTAGGGACTTCAATAGTGTCCGTGACCTGGCGAACCAGGGCCTCTACTTCCAAGCCCAGATTGAGGGCGACCTCTTTGACATGATCTGTGAGAGTGTCAAGAACATGATCAAGACGCTCGAGAAGATGGGCACGGAAGGCATTGAGGCGATGCAGAAGCTTATCGGCGACAAGGTCGGTGAGAAGCAGGCCGAGATGGAGAAGCTTGCCCAAGCGTTAGAGGATGCTCGGAAACAGCTGGAGAAGAAACGCAGCGAGCGACAGATCGAGCTGGAGAAGGAGGAAAAGAAACGAAAGGAGGCAGAGACCGAAATCTCACGGTTACGAAACGCAGTGGCCACTGCTAAGAAGAACAAAGAAAAGGCCCAGCAAGAGCTGGAGCAGAAGGTCAAACAGGCAGAATTAGAAAAGGAGTCTCTCATTCGACAGAAGAGAAAGGAGTATAGCGACAAGCTAGAAGAGGCCAAGGAAGAAGAGGCGCGCAACCGCAGAGAGCTCGAGAGACTCAAGAGAGAGCAAGCCAACAGATACGGAACTGACTTCCTCAAGCGGGTGGAATTGGCGAAGGGGGCCTGGTACGAGAAGCAAGCAGCCGAAGCAGAGTCGTGGAAGGCAGTGCAATGGGTTTATCAGCAGAAGTGCAACGCCAATGTGTAGGGTTCTCTCCCTGTACCTTGCAGATGATGAAAAGCTAACAGAACTAGATTCACATTTGCATACTGGGTAAGTTGGTCATAGCAACCGAGAGAGACTTGCGACGAAAGGGATATCAAGGTGTTGGAAAGATAGATCGAAGAGCTGATGATGAAACATAATTAGGCCGGAAGACTCGAGGCAGCCAAAGCAGCCCACGAAATCGTGAAAGCAGCCACTGACGTCTACCATGAAACAGCCAAGGGATTCGACGCCACAATCAACTCTGATGCCTTTCAAAGTCTCGTCAAGGGTATTGAGACAGCAGCGGAAGCCGTCGAGAATGCTGCCAAGGGCGTAGACAACCTTCTTCAAGGTGGCGGAGTCGACGGGTTCATCAGGGCATTTGTCGACACGGAAAACAGAAAGATTCAAGCAGCAATTGACAACCTCCGGGCACTGCAGGACGAGAACAGCAAGTATCAGAAGGCAATTCGCGAGGCACAAGCCAAGCTCGATGCAAACGGGCCGAATCTCGTGGCCGATATCCGAGCAGCGGACGAAGCTATCACGCGCATCAAGGAAGACGCGGAGCTGGCAAAGCTCCAACGTGAGTACAATTACAAGCTGAAGGTTCATGAAGAAGTGCACAACACCATTGAGCAGATGCAGGCGGGTCTCGAGGCGCTCAAAGAGGACTGGCAGAGTGGAATGAAGAAGCTGCAGGATGTGGTGAACGAGATCCAGAAAGCGATTTCGTCGGTCTTCCATATCGAGAAGATTATGGTCGGAGTGCACACCCATGCTCTGGTCAAGGATGAACCACTTGCCTTCAAGTTCTACGGAACTGTGGCTGGTCGAAAGTTCGAGGTTGAAGCCGAGTGGTCACCGAATAGAGCAATTGGCGACCTGTACAAGCAGGTCACGAACGAAATCCTGAAGTTATAGAGGAGGTTGCATTTGAGACCTGCAGTGAATATCGCTAGATATGCAGTCTTGTACGCATTGTTCGTGAACATGTGCGACGACGTCGAAGCGGACAAAGTCTGATTGATTGTAGATCTGCATATATAGACTGCTAGTGAATATATGTAGTGGAAGGAGACATGATTTGGAATGGTTATGCCAATTACTCCGTCACCTTGACAGACACGTTCATTAAACCCCCGTTTCAAGAGTTTGATCAAGTAGAGTCTAAGTCCAGCAAATGATCTAACATCCCATCAAAATGATACATGCAGACGGTTAGTGTTGCAACCGCCACAAAGCATTGGAATAAGATGACAATCTCCATTGGATCGTAGAATTTATGACAACTACCTCGTACGGAGCAGATTTTGCGCCAGTTACCTCGATCAGAATCCAAGTTTGCTGGAAGACTGCAAGCCTGTTGACCTCGGTGGCTTCCCACTAAAAATCGATAGTGCTGTCGATCTCGGTGGAGTCATTATGGTTTTTTCCGCCATGATCCACACAAGGGGGATAACACTGGATTTATCATTGCGCAAATATTCTCTCATTTGATTGCCTTTGCCAGATGAACCAGTCGAGTAACGATTGACTCATTGGGGAAGGGGTTCGACACGTTTTTTCTTTCTGAGACAGTCATTCTGTTCAATAATGCCGGTATCTAGAATGATATTGCGGTCGTTGAGGCAGTGGCATAAGATCAGGCATGACCTCCAGGGAATTCTTAGAGAATATATATGTTCAATCTCTAGAGGACTTACGTAGATAAGGAATAGATATCTATAAACACTATCTATGATAGATTGTTCTTTTACGACTGAAAGGTTACGAAAAGTATCAATATGTATGTACTTGCAGTAGAGCTGATGCATATATTGATATAAGGCCCAAGAGTACGATTTTGCTAGGACCGTATATCGATATCGGAGAACCGTAACTTATCTGGCCAGGCTCATAAGTCGTGCTAATTGATGGATGATCCTGGCAAACAAGATTGGCCATATCACAGTAGCCATTGACCTCGACGTTCGTGGGCCGCCAAACCCCAATGACAGACCGTTCATGCAGAAATTGGTAGGGATGAGAAACAACACAATCAATTGATGTCCCATCCTCATGAGTAGATAACATTAAAAAGCTCTAAGATGCCAATGCAAGGGGGTATCGTGCGCCATAGCCGTATACGTGACACACCAACCGCAGACCCTTCGCTGAAGAAACAAAGCTCAAACCTCAAATCAACGTCTTCAAGCCGTCGTCAACTTGAAACATTAACAAAAGAATCCTGGGTTGGGAGAAAAGAAAAGTGGCGGCAAAGGTCATGCTGGGACCAGAGCGAATATAGCTGAACATGTGAATCCGCCCTCATAGTTCGTTCTGCTTCCATTTATCCAAATACTCGGACAATTTCTCAAATGAGAAGGGCTTGGTCACGAACATATCCATCCCGGCGTTCAGGGCCTCCCTTTCGTCTTCTGCGCTGCTGAGACCGGTGAGAGCGATGATCTTGGCCTTGACGCCGCTGTCTCGTTCTCTCTCTAGGGCGCGAATGGCGCGGGTGGCTTCGAAGCCGTTCATCACAGGCATGGAAATGTCTATTGCAGTTAGTGGTGTGATTTAAACTGTAAGCGAAATGGAAGGGGAGCGAACCCATGAAAATCAGGTCGTAGCCTTGCTGTGCCCGCTCCACTGCTTCGACAGCGCGTTTGCCATTGTCGGCCGACTCAAGAGCAGCGAGATTCCGCTTCTTCAGGAATGTCAGGATGAGGTTGCGGTTGATGGGATTGTCCTCAACCACCAAGACGCGTGGGCCTCGCGTGCTTCTTTGCACAGTTGATTCTTGTGGTGATTCGTTCTGGCATTGAGGGCACAGGGTTGACTGGGTCTGAGTAGTCGCTTCCAGAGGTAGGTCGCCTTGCACGGCGGGCAACGCTCGCACTTGCGGGGGGGCTACAGAGGTCTCGGATTGCTGGTTCAGGCAGCGCTCGATTGCAGCAGACAGCTTCCAGGGTCCGCACGGCAGACGGACAAAGTTCACGGTAGGGGCTGAAGATAGCCACTCTGGCAGCGGACTCGAGGGAGAGATCGATGGGTCCCAAACGACGATAATCGGCGGGAGTGGAATGTCTTCACTGCCGAGTGTGACAGTTGTAGTTCCATCCACAAGCATAAAGTCCGCAGGTGAGTCGCCGCAGGGCGGGACAAGCTCGATTCCAAACCACTCTACCAGGTAGCGACGGATGATTGACCAACGTGGAGATGACGAGAGTTGGTCCGCTTCTCCATCAAGGAGAATGCTCACGCGTCTACCAGCATGCTTCCCAATCGGCTCGGAGCCCTTCGTTCCTTGCACCGTTAGATCCTGGAACTGACGCTCCAAGGAGCTGTCTTCCAGGCCCGGGCGAGTGAGCGGAATCGACACCTTGACGGTGGTCCCTTGGCCGGCAGAGCTGTGGAATGTGATGTTGCCTTCCAACGATTTGACAAGACTCCGAACGATAGACAGCCCCAACCCTGTGCCTACGGCCAGTGGATCCTCCTGCGCGAATGGGGTGTAAAGACGGTTCCGTAGAAATTCCTCCGAAATGCCTTTGCCCGTGTCCGATACTGTCAGCATCAGAGTTTCTCCAGGTTTATAACCGTTAGCCCCAGCCTTTCTTGGCGCCACTTCGACTACCTCCATTGCCAGAGAGACCTGCCCCGCCTCCGTGTATTTCAGAGCATTCCCGACTAAGTTCATGATAATCCGTCGCAATGCACCTGGATGGGTCTGGTATACCCAGTGGTGTCGCGCGATGTCGAGGATGACTTCAACTGCGGGCCGATCAGGGTTGGGGTTCGACGCAGAAGAATCAGGCAGCGATTGCGGCGTCGCCATCTCCGGACAGTCGGAAGGGGCCATAGATCTCTGCCCATAGGCATGGCCCAAGTAGACGCCTTCTACGACCTCCTCGGCCAGCGCGCTCAAATCCGTAGCCACCGAGGTGTCCAGTAGTGACGAGGCACCAGAGTTGGTTCGCTTAGCGCTGCGTCGCTTGGCGTGCGCGCGGCCCCGCTCCGAGGAGACGGTTTTGCTATAATCTAGAACCTGATTCATGGTATCCAGCAGGGTGCGGCCGCAGTTGGAGATGGTGTCCAGTAAAGATCGCTGGAACTCATCCAACCGGGTGCCGTGCAGAAACTCGCCGGCGGCCATAATTCCGTGAAGAGGGCTCCGTAATTCATGCCTGGAATTGACACAGTCGTTGGGTCAGTCGTTCAATGTGCTCCGAGAACAATCATGAAAAGAGATGAGGGCGCCTTACGAGATGCTACCGATGAAATGGCTCTTTTGGCGATCCGCGGCCACGGACTGCATCCGACTGTATTCCGCCATGATGGATGAAGCGAAGCCTAGCACAGAGCTCAGTTCGACAGTAGGGTTAAAGACACGCGTCTCTAGTGTGTTCCAGCAGAAACAGCCGGCAAACCACTGGGAATCTGCTGCATTCCAGAGAGGTACGAATAAGACTTGCGTGGCGCCGGGAAAGTAGCGGTTGAGTGTTGAGTTCTCGGATGCTTTCATCCCCTTGGATTGGTCGGCGGTTGCTGCATGGGATTCCGCTTGTGCTGGTCGGTCATCGTCAGAACTGGAGAGGAGCCCGTCCCGGAAAAATGACCACAGTCGTCCATAATTATAACGTTCTAGTAGCTGGTGCAGAAATTCCAAGTTCAACTCCGATGCGGGATACTGTGTACTTCTAGAACCACCAGATTGTGAAGCGAAGGGCTCGCGCAAGGTGGACGCTGCCAGCACATGAGGCAGATTGGTATCACGGGGGGTTTTTTCACTGCCACTGCTACTGCTTGTGCGCCATTTGGTCTCGTGCAATAGATGAGGGTCCGCACGGAGGAAGATCACGCCGCCATCGTCACCCAGTTCTAGACTCTCGCGAAGCAGGTTGGCTGCGCGCTGAAACATCCAGAGAGACCCCGTGGAGCTCCCTGATGATCGATGTTGCGCAGTGCTGGTGGTTCCCTCAGACCTGGAGGCAACCGACTCCCGCCTTTCACGGGAAGTGGACCGCGTGCGGGAAGACCGCGTGCGGGAAGCCCGCTTGCCCTGACTTCGCGTACTCTGAGATTGATTCGAGCGAGTTTCGCTAATCCCACCGCGTGGGGGAAACTCAGCGGATCGCTGACCCTCAGATCGAATGGATGAGGGAGCGGGTGGCGGCGTCGACCACGACAACGAGCCTGTACAGGCAGCGGGGGTGGTAGGGGCACTCGATCTTTCCTGCATTGCTGAGCTGCCTTCAACGAAATAGTTCAATGCGCGAGAGAGCCGGGCCGCACGACGTCCATCGGTGGCCTGACGACTGACCGCTAGATATTCGGTGACGAGTGCCCCGACGGTCACCAAGGCTTTCTTCTCAACTGCCGTCAGGCCCTCGGCGTGAGGCTTCTTGTCTAGGACAAAGATGGAGCCAATGTTGATTTCCTTCTCCCCGGTCAGAGGCGTCCCAGCGTAGAAGCGGAAGCAGGGGTCCCCGCGCACGAAGGGAAGATCCCGATACCGCTCGTCGGTGCTCAGGTCGTTGACCTCGATGAATGAGTAGTTACCATTCTTTGCATCAGATGGAGGAAGGTCGAGTGTGTCCTGTTTGCGAGTGTTGGGATTGTTCCAGCCCGAGAGGATTGTTGCCTTTGTGGAGAGAAGGGAGACATACCCTGCACATAATCCAGTCGTCCAGGGACAATCGCGTATTGCCGTTCCAGACCCCCTCGCTCAGATGCTGCAAATCCAGATCACCCTGGCTGGTCTGTGCTGCTTGGGCGATGATGAACTGCGAGTCCTGATCGGAGACGCTAGATAATGATCAACCCAAAAATAAAACCAGAGACAACAGGGGACCGGAAGATAGAAGAGAGGTAAAACGATCACGTGATCGCAGGTAGTCGTATTCGGCCTGGTCATCGAAATCGGTATGCATCAGATACATACCTAATGAGGACACGCTCAACATCCAGGCGCAGGGCTGCCAGTTGAGCAAAGGATGTCAGGGTCTCGTTGTGGTGGCCAAGATGTGGCTCGAGCACCAAAGGGGCAGTATGTCCGGGGTCTACTGCGTCCAAGTGGGGGGAGGCGGCGGCGGAGGGATGTCGAGTCGGGAGAGCTCCATGCGGAAGAATCTCGGACTCGAGCGGCGGCCAAGTCGCATCCTCGTCAATCGGCGGGATAAGGCTCGGGGGGTGGAATATACTGTATACCTCACGGGCCCGACGGCCAGCGTCATGGTCCCGGGCAGGATCCAACCCCTCTCTCTCATAGCCAGGACGCCCAGCCGGGGGGATATTTGGGGGAGGGGAGGTCATGAGACATGCAGGACAATGACTTTGGGGGGAGAGAGGGGGAAGAGGAGATAGTGGATAAGAGGTTAAAGAGGTTAGAGAGATTAAAGAGAGAGGAAGAGTTGAGTGTGTGTGAGTCTGTGATGGGATGGGTATGTGAAGTGAGAAATTCATCCAAGGGGGACGAAACTGAAGACCGAATTCGGATTGGGCTTAGCTCAGTGACATCATCGTTTGCCTTCGGAAAACTTACTTCCGTTGGACCTGGCACGTGATTTCTACCCAAGGAAGGTGGGGCTCGCTTACTTTTGTTAGTCCTAGTTGGGCTAAGCGTAGGGCGGGAACCCCAGCTCAACTCCAGGCTGGGAAATTTCAACCCCGGCTCGTTCCGCCGCTACCAGCACGCCGGGTCCGGCCAGGCCCTCCTTAGGGCTTGCCTCGGATGAAGACATATACACTAAAGTACACTGTATGGATCTAACAGCTGATGTCCTCGTGGATCCTGAAATAACTGAATCTTAACTATTCTTTGCAGCTTCTATAACTCTCACGCCCAATAACCCCCGGTTCGGCCGGTCGGAGGAGGCACCCGGGTTCTCTCTCGTCTTTTGACCCCGGGTCGGCTGGGATTGCCATCTGAATCAGCATCATGAAACCCCTATCCGCCCGTCGATCAGGTATCACATACTGCCACCATATCCAGTTTAGCTCGGGGTTCCTGGCATCCCCGTGTTCGTGTTTCGGGATGGCTTGCAGTAGCCCGGATACGGGGTGCCACATCTATCTATGGTCAAGGAGCACACGACCAGATGTCTAATTAGTGACATTCAGCCACAGGACAATAACAGCTGGGCTCTGTGACCTTCGCAGCTCGGAGGTGACTTGAAAGAAGCTTAAGGTTGGTACCTAACATCCCCCTGACAGCTATCCCTAGACCACTAGCAGGGCATTGGATCTTGTGGCTGAGCAGCATCCGCCAAGCCACCTCTATAAGAGGTGAAACCGGAATTTTCAAGTAATATCTCACGGATACATATCGGGCGTGGCGAGTGGGAGATTCGGTGGCCAGGGAGGGTACGATGGGCAGCAGAATAGACACGTTCGGTGGGCCTCCTCCAATTCGTTCACTGCCACAAATCAAGGGGGATGTTAAATATATTCCAATGGCATGCCCATTTCCAGTAGGCCATACCTCAACACTCACTTACCATGACTGTCGATCCTTGTCCGAGAGGAAGTGATACTTCCCTGGGCCCCGTCGTGAACGTCAATTGTCGACCATTCGACTTTACCTTGCTATTCGAAGATGTGTTTGTGGCATGTATACCCTCACTGATATTCTTGTCACTTCATGTCGTGCGAACTGCGCATGTAGTCAGGAAGCCTGCCAAAGTTGCCCCGCCACGGCAGACTCTATATTTCACGGTCAGTTTCTGAGGGCTTCAAGTTATGGAGATACGATCTTATCCACGTGTTTGCTGATACGGATCCCAGGCGCTATATGTATTACTGTTTGGAAGCCAGCTAGCATTGTTAGCTGTTCGGAGACTACATCCCACTCTACAGACCAGTCTAAGCACTGCCGCGCAGGCCCTACAAGCGATCGACACCGGCGTGTCAATATTCAACTCCAACATTGAACGCGCTCGCTCAGTGCGCCCACCGATCTGGCCCAATTTGCACCTTTTCGTGACTGGACTACTCGACACTGTGCGAGTCCGGACATTTTGGCTCGCCTCGAAATCCTACCTCGCCCCCATTCTCATCAGCGTGACACTAGGCTTGCGCATCTCTTTGTTAATCCTCGAGTCGACAACAACAACCACCACCTCAAATATATCACGGGGTCAAAATGCCTCGAAAGAAGACATATCCAATCTATGGGGCCTCTGCTTCCTGACATGGGTACTTCCAGTCCTGAAACAAGGCTTGGTCGCACCCTTGACATTGGAGCAGGTTCCACTCATTAGCCAGAACTTGAGAGCCGAAGAGCTCACCAGGAGGTTACGGACACAGTGGGAGCAGGGTAGGTAATCAATAACTTAAGTTCTTCCAAAATTTTGCATCAACTTCCTCCTCACGATCACTGACTCTTGCCACAGTCTACCAATCACGCAAGAACCAGCTTTTTGTCACTGTGTTCTGGACATTCAAGACGGAATTCCTGAAAGCAGTCCTCCCTCGACTGTGCTACTCGGCTTTCACGCTCATGCAGCCATGTTTGGTTAATGCCCTGATCAAATTCGTTGACTCTCCGGAGAATCCGATGACAAGAAACAAGGGTTATGGTTTGATCGGCGCGTCTGCGATAGTGTATATCGGACTTGCGGTGAGTGCCACCTTTCGCCACTTTTCCGTGGCTAGTACTACCTTGTCATGTTTCGACCGCAGATCTGATAGAACTTTCTTACTGCCAGACATCCAAGGCTCTATACAACCGACAGGCATATCGATTTGTGATCAGCGTACGAGGGGCCCTACTCGCCACCGTCTACAGCCGGACTCTTGAGCTGGGAGTGGTCGAGCAAGGGAGCACTTCCGCAATCACCTTAATGGGGACTGACGTGGAGAGAATTGCTACGGGGTTCCGGGACGTGCACGAGATATGGGCCTCACCGATCGATATCGGACTGGCAGTCTGGCTGCTGGGGCGGCAGCTGGCAGTATCCTGCGCGGTACCGGTAGCGTTATCTTTGAGTGAGCTTATGTATCTCTCTCCTGCCGCCGTGGCAATGGCTAATCCTGTTATTAAGTGTGCATCCTTGTCATTGTCAAGGTTTGCAAGTGGAAGAACGAGGCCCAGCGCTCCTGGATTGAGAGAGTGCAATTCAGGATTGATGCTACGCGTCAGATGCTGAACGATCTCAAGTCCATTAAGCTGCTCGGGCTGGGGACATCGATTGAGTCAATTATCTCTCGTTATCGGTCCGCTGAAATCGCGACCTCTCGAAGATTCCGTTCGTTGCTGTGTTGGGAGGTCTCGATCGGTGAGTGGAATCACCAACAAGTTCCGATGGACCCGTTTTTGACTAGGGCATAACTAGCCAACTTCTCGTGGCTTGTTTCTCCAGCTGCCTCGTTCACTTTGTTCACCGTTCTCTCCGCTGCAAGCGGGGGCAGTTCGCTCAATCCCGCGCAGGCTTTCACCGCGCTCTCCTTGATGAGCATGATCACTCTGCCAGTCCTCACCCTAATCCAGGCGTTACCTGCGCTGTTCCAATGCTTAGGCTCATTGAGCCGATTGCAAGAGTACTTCTCTCAGCCCCACGCCTTGCCACTGCTAGTAGACGCAAAATCGCTATCATCAAGCACATCACTACTCGGACGCTCCGGGTCCGAAGTCCCCTCGATAGGGGCAGAAAAGGGCCCTCTGATATCCATCCGGAACGCGACAGTGAAATGGTCAGCGGCCGGACCGGAGGCGCTCCGCGCAATCGACCTCGACGTACACAAAGGCGATATCATCGCCGTCATGGGTCCCGTGAGCGCCGGAAAAACCACGCTGTTGGAGAGCATCTTGGGGGAAACCGTTGTTGAGCAGGGCTACATTCACGCACTCCCGGTGCCCACGGCCTACTGCACCCAGGTCCCATGGCTGGTCGAGGGCAGCGTCCGCGAGAATATTGTTGGGCCCCTCGCCTTGCAGCCGGAGTGGTATCATCAAGTGCTGTGGATGTGCGGTGTCAGTGAAGATCTGCAGGCTCTGCCGAAGGGGGACTTGACGCCTGTTGGGGGGCAGGGCAATGCTCTTAGTGGCGGGCAGAAGCAACGTGTTGTGAGTTGCTCTATACATAAATTCCAGACTTTCACAATGACGCTTACTTACGAACTGACAGGCTCTCGCTCGTGCCGTGTATTCGCGATGTGAGGTAGTGGTCCTCGATGATGTTTTCAGTGGGCTCGACCCCGTCACGAGAGAGAGGATCTGCCAACGCCTGCTGGACATTGACCGGGGCTATTTCCGTCGTCAAGGCACGACAGTGCTGTTCTCCACCCACCACAGTAAGGTCACTTCGCTTCGATTCAGGGATACACTGACGCGTGGGTCATTCGGGGTGTGTTAGCCCAGGTCGCAGCTCTAGCAGACCAGGTCCTCGTTCTGGAGAATGGGCGAATCATGCAGCATAACCAATCCGAAGCCACGAATCGGCCACCGGGAGCTCAGACTATTGATCTGATTCCTGATGAAGATACTGCTCAAAAATGGCCTCTGGCATCCGAGGCGTGTCTGGAACACAAAGGCAATGAATCAGACTCAAACGACGACATCCCCGAACAAGCGCAGCCACGGCCTTCGGGCATTGAAGCCGAATCTGGATATTCTTATTACCTCAAATCGACCGGCCGAAGACTTGCAGCAACTTACGTCATTCTCGTTCTTGTCGCCTCATTCTGTCAAGACTTTCCCAGTGAGTTGGCCATTCCCTGTGTTGAACATAGTGACGATCGGCGCGTATCACTGACGTGCTTCCTGCCAGACCTCTGGTTGAAGTGGTGGTCAAGTGACAGTTCGAACACGTCGAACCAACTGTCAGGAATGTATCTGGGGGTCTTCATTGCCTTTGCAGTCGGTACGGTGGTGGTCGGCGCAGCAGGGTCCTGGTATGTATACCCCACCCCGTAGGAGCACTATTCCACTTATTCGATCTGAAAGCTCACCGGTGGCAGGGTTTACCTGATACGCATGATATCCAATAGTGCAGAACGTCTGCACGGGGATTTGCTAAGCAGCATGCTGAGGTATGCGTGCGATGGTTCTTTCCAATGCATGAGCAAGGCTGATATCAACAGTGCGCCTCTGTCATGGTTGAACGAAACTCCTTCTGGTGAGATTCTGAACAGGTATGATGCTGCTTTTCGGCACATTTCCCACTTTGACTGACCGCTCCTTGGAACAACAGATTCAGTCAAGACCTAGAACTGGTCGATATGACATTACCTCTAGCAGCGGTCAACGCAACGAAGGGTAAGCGGACAATCCGATCCCAGTCCGCACCAGCCGTCACTGACCTCGCATGCACATCCTACAGCCCTCGGGGCCTGTCTCCTGAAAATGGTGATCTTGTTTGTCGTGGCCAAATACATGTCGCTGGCAGTCCCACCCCTGCTGCTGGTGTGCTACGTCCTGCAGAAATGCTACACCCGCACGTCTCGACAGGTCCGCCTGCTCGCCATCGAAGCCAAAGCCCCCCTATTCCAGCACCTCTCCGAAGCCCTCAGTGGAGGTGCGACTATCCGGGCCTTCGGCTGGCAAGGGTATATGCACGCCGTCAATCTCGCCATGGTGGACGACTCGCAGAAGTGCACATATACCCTGTTCATGATCCAGCAATGGCTCACCCTCGCCATGGACCTCCTGGCCAGCGGCCTGATTGTTCTCCTGACCCTGCTAACGGTCTTCATGAGAGGCTCCTTCGACGCCGGCTCATCGGGAACCGCCGTTGTGACGCTGATGAGCTTCACTCAGGAGTTATCCCGCGTACTCAAATTCTGGACACTCACCGAATCCTGCCTCGGCGCTGTCTCCAGAATCCAATCTTTTGCCGCGCACACCCCGTCAGAGACCGGCGGGAAAAGCGCCCTGTCGCGAGAGACGGTCTGGCCCAGTCGCGGCGCCATCGAGCTACAGGGAGTAACCGCTGCCTACAAGTACGTCTTCACCCTCCGTTCCAAACCCCCCCGCAAACCTTATCCCTAACCACCACGTCCCCCTGACTCCAGATCCACACCCATCCTCAATTCCGTCTCCCTCCACATCTCACCCGGCCAGAAAGTCGCCCTCTGCGGCCGCTCCGGCAGCGGCAAATCCTCGCTTCTGCTATGTCTAGGCGGACTTCTCCGCCCGCAAAGCGGCTCCATTCACATCGACGGCGTGGATCTCGCCTCGCTATCCCCCAAAACCATCTGCTCCCGTTTGAGCGTCGTCCCCCAGGAACCGTGCTACCTGCCGGGCACGATCCGCTTCAACATTGACCCCGCGCAGACTCTCTCCGAGGGTGCTCTGGCGCGCGTGCTGCAGACGACGCACCTGACTGGTCTGGTCACGCAGCTGGGCGGCCTGGACGCGGAGTTGGATCCCGCGCGGTGGTCCGCGGGCCAAGGGCAGCTGCTGGCGTTGGCGCGTGCGATGGCCCGGAATAGTCGGGTGTTAGTTCTGGATGAGGCGATGAGTCGGTATGTTACTTTCCTTCCTATCATTCTGGTCTGGGGCAATTATGTCCTGCTGGTTTTGCAAATGTTGGGGGGGTGGGGGGAGAGTCGGAAGCCCGGTCTGTTTTGGTGCGAGGTTAGGGCTAATTTGACACTGCTTTATCGGAACGTGCAGGGTCGATCAAGCGACACAGTCCCTGATGGACAGTATCATCTCGGAGGAGTTCGTCGATTGCACGGTTATCTCGATCGTCCATCGGTACGAGAACATCTCGTGGTTCGATACGGTGGCGGTGATGGAGAATGGGGTGGTGGTCGAGTTCGATCGGCCGGCGATTTTGTTGGCGCGGGAGACGAGGTTTCGGCACTTGTATACTTCGAGTGGGTGTGGATGAGATGATATCGGATGAACTTGCGCAGACTGCAGACTGCCAACCTCGTAAGACTGGTTCGTGTCCATTGTGTAGAGTAATATATATATGTGTTACTATAACAGGTGACGACGTTATTGTTATGCGAGATTCCGTATCAAGCCATGGGCACGAACCATAGTATCTTACGCACTGACACATATGTTAGTGATATGGTCTCCTGTTCACATCGCATCATAGAAGGATCAATGTTTCTTCATAAAGACGTTGTCTCTGGATCCGAGGGGTTTGTGATTAGCATAGACTCCTGAACTGGTTCTTCCCACCGCAGAAATGCACACTGTCCCCGACCACTACATAGTAAATAAGAAGAATTGTAACGAGCCTTCGAAAGACTCTCATATCGATTGGCCGCCATGGCAAAAAGTGTCCCTAGTTTCCGATGTTCGTGTAGGGGCTGGGTAGTGTTTGAGATCTCACGTAGGGTCGAGCCTGACCGATAAGAGCTAACGAGGGCTCCACCCGATAGTGCCGTCTCTCACTCCTATGGATCTTGGATCTTCCGCACTTACGCGCGTTGCAAGCGGGGGAAATTATTCTTCTAGCCTCGATTAACGAATAGGGAACATCCTGATAATCCATATTTGTGGGACATGTTTCCTTTGCTGAACGTGTCACCCTCGCCTCATCTCCAATTTTACCTTGTTGCCTGAGTGCCTTATTACTGCCTTGTTGCTTTTGGCCTCCTTGCCTTATTGCCTTACTGCCTTACTGCCTTGCTGCCTCATCAGGCATCCACCACCTGCCCCAGTCACCACCGTCTGGCCCCTTTTAACACCAGTCAACAACTCAGAATTTTGCAAGTACTAGCGAATTGCCTATTAGAAGAATCGCGGCCTTCAAGCAACCTTCTGCTCTCAAACACGGGAACATCAAATTTATGCTTCTCGCCATCACGACTGCAGGCTTCGCACGGTGTGCAAACCACGTCAACGTCCAGCAAGGAGGGCAACTATTCTTGTTCATGCAGCTTGCAATCAGGTGGCCAAACGTGATGCATATCTACCTACTACGTAGTATTCTTTGAATAAGTTTGGTGACGTACAGTAGACGGTGTCCTCCGTGCTGTCGTGATGATTGGCTGACGGTGGCTGATGGTGGCTGAGCATCGCTCATCGCCTCAGGCAACCACGGATCCACAAGTGAAAAGAACCCTAACCAGCTTAGCGGCCGAGACAGCCGAGGGACAAGCCTCGCTGGACTGAGCCACAGCCGCGTCATCCTCCCATCCCAGAATCGCATCTGCCTATCCCGATTCTTCCGTTTCTCTCCTTACACCCACGAAAGAGGGCCGCGTAGCTCCGGGAAAGAAAAGAAAAAAAAAAAACAGATCCATCATGCGAAACCCAGCTGGATGTCATCAAGTGGGTCTTCGTGGCAGCCAGCCATGACGCCAGCCTCGGTCTCGCCCTGGAGAGTCCCTGAGTATAATTACTCTCAGACATCCCCCTTCGACGCACTCCTACCCTCACTGACCCTCTTTCACTTTACTTCATTAACTCCACTCCTCTCCTCCTCTCCTCTGGCCTTTCGCCCCCATCATGAAGAATCTTGCCTTACTCTTGCCTCTACTGGGGCTTATCCAGCCTCTGTCCGCATTGACGCTGCACGAGAGCAGTCAACCAGCCACCCTGCAATACACTGTCGAACGGCGGCATAACACGATCCGAGCATCTCACAAACGCGCTGCCACCGTCGAGTCGGATATTGGCAACAAGGTAGGTGCAGTCGTGCTCTCACATATGGTGCCCCCTAGTTGGTTTCACCATCTGACCGGATCATGGCGTCTAGGAAGTTGATTACGTCATCAACCTCTCTCTGGGGACCCCCGGCCAAAACGTCTCGGTCATCATCGACACCGGAAGCAGTGATCTCTGGGTCAATGCAGCCAACGGTTCCGATCCCAACGCCAACAGCACCTACGGCACTTATGACGCTTCCTCCTCCTCCACCTACAAGTACATCAACGATGAATTCATCATCCAATACGTGGACGGTAGCGAAGCCGCCGGTGACTACGTGAACGACACCCTCAAAGTAGGAAATGCCACCTTGACGAATTTTCAGTTCGGGGTCGCCAGCAACAGCACCAGCAGTCGTGAGTGAACGCCCTTGTTGATACTATAAACCTTCCAACCTTGGCTGATTCTGTTCTAGAGGGAGTTCTGGGCATCGGCTACACCCTGGGGGAGACCTCCTCCCAATTCGGCGGTGGAGAATATCCCAACCTACCCAAGGCATTAGTCAATCAGGGCTACATCAAATCCGCCGCGTACAGTCTCTGGTTAGATGACGTCGACGCGAAAGAAGGCACCATCCTGTTTGGTGGTGTCAACACGGCTAAATATACCGGCAGCCTACACACCCTGGCGATCGAGAAAGTGAACGGCGTGTACAGCACCCTGGTCGTCAGTCTCGCCGGCGTGCACGTCACCGGCACCGACAGCAGCAGCATCAACAACACCGCTTTCCCCGTCTTGGGTGTCCTCGACAGCGGCACTTCCCTGACTTACCTGCCCGCCACCCCCGCTCTGGAGCTGATCGAGGCCGTGGGCGCCGAGTACATCGAGCGGGCCGGCTATGCGATTGTCGACTGCGACGTCGCCGATAAAGACTATGAGATTGTCTTTGAGTTCTCCGGCTTCAATCTCTCCGTGAGCGTGGGCGACCTGCTTCTGGACGAGGGCTCCTACTGCGTCTTCGGCATTGTGCCTCAAGACGATGAAGACGACGGAGAGTATGTGCTCGGCGATACCTTTCTGCGCAGTGCCTATGTTGTCTACGATCTGGAGAACAACGAGGTCGCCATTGCCAAGACCAACACCGACCCTGGCACCGATCACATCCTCGAAATCGGCTCGGGCAGCTCTGGTATCCCCAATGCGACGGGGGTCTCGTCCTCGTCCTCGTCGGATGGTTCCTCGAAGGAGAGTGCGGCGGTGGTACTCCGACTCGATGTTTCCCTCCTTTGCGCGGCAATCATTGGGAGTCTCCTACTCATCTCTTAAAGCCTCCGAGTTGGTCCCATACAACAACATCCGAAGCGAAACGGGTCGAGAGGCGAAACGGGCTTACAGCAAGACGAGCTCCCATACTTCGGGAGAGGATCCACCACACCCCATTTAGGCATCGCGTCGATTCGTGCCATCCACTCGGACCAGTGGGATTCTCTTTGCCGCGTCGACTCCAGCAAATGCTTAACTCATCTTGCCGATCAAGCATCACAACTCGCTCTCTTACCGAAACCCCATCCCGCGGACTCGGTGGGGCTTCACCGAACTAGGAGGCATTACGTCGCTGCCCACTGCCCCACGACCGGACTCCTCGAAGCCCATGGACTCGATAGTGCAGTATAACTAAGAAGCCTACCGCGATGAAAACATTGCACGATGGTCTAGATCGCCCCACGCCGGGCCTGGGTGGCTGGATCCAGTGGTGCAACACCCCTATGACTAGCAGTCGGGGGGTTGCAGCGCTCTACACAATAGGAAGCTCTCTATCCATCCACCGGTGCGCCCGGGAGTGGGGACTGATGATCATTTCGAACTTCAATAGCTGCTCCGCATTCACTAGCCTTGCAGATCTCTCTGATTATTTAACGTTTGCTATTATTTCGAAGATTGATTTTTAGTTACTCTCTGTTCATTCCCATATTCAGCAGACTTGGAAACTAGTTGAATGGTGATTTCCGTATCTCGCTGCACGAATGTCACTAGCTATAGCTCTTCCCAATGAATCCAGGTGAACATGATTGATTGCTCGTGCCGGGCCGTGCGGGGAATCCTGCAGGTGCTACCGCCACCTGATCGGATGGCCGATCATTTATATTGCACACTGCGAAGAATGTAGATCCTCTTCAACCGAAACACATTAGCAGAGATGATCCACAATCTGTGCGGGCTTGGGTGGAGGTTTCTCATCCCACCAAGTGCTTGGGGTTTATCCAACTAACCCAGTAAATGTCCAAGCTGTATCGATAGGTAGCCCGTCGTAGTATGGCTATACAAAGGGTTTCCTAGAGATCAAGTTGGTAACTATTGACTCCTGTCTCAACAACCACTGCATATCTCATCTCCTTCCCGTAAACTTCTGGCTGTTAAGTCACTGAGGTTAGATTTATTACTTCGTCATAGCACGTAACCAGAATATGCGACACCATCTTGAAGTTCGTGCCAGTAAGGGAGTGCAGGTACAGGGTTCATCAGAGGTGAGTATAAAGGGCGCATCAATTGCCCCTGAAGGCTTCACGAAGCCGAGTTCTCTTTCCCATCAAGTATTCTAGATTACTCCCGACAATGGCTCGGATCCACGAACTCCTGTTGCCGGGCCAGCTGGTGCTTGTGATACTGGCTCTACTGGCCAGTCTCTCCCCCAGACATGCACCACCATACCGAGCATCCTACTCTACAACATCTTCTTCCACCCTCTATCTAAATACCCCGGCCCGACGTCTAGACCGCCACGCGCCCCCCGGACTGCTTAATGACCCTCCGCGGCCGCACCCCGCACGCTGATTGTGGCGGGGTCAAGACGACCGCGATGTCGGTGTCGGGGTTGGTGTTCTTGTTGCGGAAGAACCCCCGGTGTCGGCGGAAATTGCAGGGGGAGGGGCGGGGTGCGTTCGCTCAGCCGGAGGAGATTAGCGTTGAGGTGGTGGATTGCTGGCCCGTATGGTTTGGCGGTCTTGGTGGAGGGACTGCGTGGGCTAAGTACTGATGTGTCTTTAAGTCACTCGTGGGGGTTATCGGTTATAGAGTGGTTTCCGAACCCACATAGCGAGGGGTTGCATGATCGAGTTGGCGTTAAGTAGAGGCGTGGCTGCACCGGATGTGTATACCTCAGAGAGCTCTTGTCGAGTGGCTGGAAGTGGTAGTATTGCCCATAGGATAAGCATCAACGCCCGCCTGTCAATCCGTCCTACAACAGCCTTCTCCTTTTCTGGGGTGAATTCCCTGATTCCAAGGCATAAGTGAAGGATCAGGATTGTAGCGAGGTTATGGGGCCCTGTTATCTCATTCCTTCACAGACACATCTTGCCAATGTCGCGTGATCTAGCAGTAGAGATTGAAGTCGTGTCACTGTTCGTGACCTTAAGGCCTCCTCATTCCGACACAAGGATGCTATCTGTTGGAGGTCTGGGTAGACGGTGGGTTTGCTGTGATAGAAAATGGTAGTGTAAAGATATTCTGGTGATATCCTCGAGATCACACCACAAATAAACAACCACACAAGGCGAGATATAACATCTAGAACGACAATCGCTTGCATGACGACCTACTCACAACCCGCTCGAGAGTCGAGCGACAGCTATCTGAACATTCTCCATGAAGAGAAGGGAAGAGAGATAGGGCAATGCAGATCACATGACCGGCACTGCACGAGGGTCTTAACTTATGTACTCCGTAGAGGGCGTTGACCTGCGTAGACCTCCACGTCAGCCGCGACCATCCGAGTCAGGAACGGCCGTAGCAGACGCCAAGTTTGGGATTAGACCTAACAAGGCAAAAGCAGGAAGCGTGTTGTGGAAAGATCTGCTTGTCGCCCAGGCGCCACGTCACATTAGGGCGAGCAGGGATAGTCATCCTTTTTGATCGGTTCTTAACGTCGGACATCAGCCGTCAAGGCGTGAGGATCACGTCTAATCATAATTTGTTGCTTAATTTGACGTGGGATCTGGTTTGGGCGAGAGCATTACGGACTTCAGCTATCTAATGAACCCCCTTTGATCCACTAGTCTCCGGATGCAAAGCCAGAGATGTGTCCAGCCGTTCAGGAAAGAAAGGGAATTAGAGTCAGCCACCGAATTAGGATGCTGCATGTTTGCTTACGGATGAGCGTTAGGGCGCATAGGCGCTCAATTCAACGTCGCACAAGCACGTCCATCGACGTTCTTTGTCTCCAGGAGGTCAGGAGAGCGGGGGAAAGTCTCCATTCTCTTGCATCTCCTACACGCTCCACCTTATCTCCAACTAACAACTCATACGTTCCTCATTTATACTTGGAAACTCACGCCCACTAGATAGGCCATAATGTCAGGAAAACCCTTAACAATCTATCATTTCTCATCTACCACGCGAGTACCAAACACATTCAAACATGAAACGGATTCCCTCGTTCCAGCCGTAGAAAGCCATTCTTCCTAGAAATGTACCCCCAAATCCGTACTTCTACAAAAGCACCAACTCATGCCTGCATCACAAACTCGCCAACTAGTCCCGACAGCAAAATGGTCCCCAAAATCGCCGTGCCCTTGCCAAACCACCACGCGCAGCTGGCCGACGAGCGTAGATCAACCAGCACAAGCATAGCGGCCAGCGCAACCGCCACTCCCCCACACGACGCCACAAAGTAGACGGCGGAAAAGTGACTCAGAAGACCAGTACACACCAGCAGTCCGACCTGAATGGCCGCGCCCGCCGCGAGAGCCGGCTTGGTGTGTTCACCCAGACGAACCGCCAGGGAGCGCACACCCGCTTTGATATCGTCCTCCCGGTCTTGGTGCGCATAAACCGTGTCAAAAATCACAGTCCAGATCGCGCAGGCAATGCACAGACTGAGCGACGCTGCGCCCACCCGCTCGTCAGCGCTCCATGCGGTAAAATCCAGCAATGTCGGCAGCGCGGGGAGAGCGTCGAGGCCTATCATGGCAGCCGAGAAGGGGATGGCAGCCGCGAAGCCCACACCCAGGATCAACTGCGGCATGTCGGTCACCCGCTTGCCCAGCGGGTAGACGCTCAGAATGATAGTGGTCAGACTGGCGTAGAGGGGAATGGCCCCCGACTTCGTAGCGTACTGCAGGGGACACTCGAAGGCCATCACAGCCAGGATGGCGAATTGGAGCAGGGCAAAGACGTTGGCTTGGGGGGTGGAGACCGCCCCCCGCGCAATGGGCCGCCATCTGGTCCGGGCGACCTGGCGGTCGAACTTCTGGTCGAGATTGTCATTGACCGTGCAGACTGCCCCGCGCAGTATAATGACCCAGACAATCTGGTACACGCACGCTTCCATGAGAGCCGGGAGCGGTAGGGAGGGAGGAAGGATAGCGGCCGCGAAACTCATTCCGATCAGGTAGTGCCAGTAGAAAGCAAAGTAACCCGCTGGTCGGTCCAGACGCATCAATTCCGCGTATGGGACCCATTGGGCTGGGAGAATGGAGAAGATGCCCGTGGATGGAGGATGGTACTCTGCCTGGGCAGTGCTCTGAAGCTGTTTCTTTGGCATCTGCTTCGCTTTGGACATTTTCACAAGACTTCAGAAGAGGTAGAGCTTGATACATTGGACTCAACCCTCAGTTGAGGCTTCTGTCTCACATTTATAGTCTGATCTCTCGTATTAGCCAGCATGTCTCATGGCTATCGTGCTTATCCAGGAGTCTCCGTTTCAGGTTAGAATGCAGTGCACCACTAAAATTGCCCAGCCAACGATTTCCCCGGGCTTATATTACCCCACGACCCTGGACGTCTTGGCTTTGACATCCAGCGATGTCTGGCTCACGCCAACCTCGTATTTGATCGTGCGCAGTAGCGGTAAGGTGGGAGGCTGTGTTCCCGACTTGCATGAACAGGAGCAGGGATGATTGATAACCGAGGGTTTCCTGCTTCGATTCACCGGACGATTCTGGTGCTTCGATGCAAACACGTGCTCGAGGGATCGCCATTGGTTTTTGTGTCAAAAATACCCCTTGGGGAGACCCTGATTTGACTGGCTCGTTGGTGACAGGGTCTGGCGCATCGCTACGCGGATCTTTCCCCGCCCTGTCACGGCAGCAAACCGCCCTCATCCTGGCTATTAGAAGTGGATCAAGAATCGGTTGGGAATAAAACATCTGTCTCATATATTTGTCTCTCGGATGGCCGTGGCTCTCCCGAGTGGAATCAGACTCCTGTCTAATCTGTATTCAGTCGCATCCGAAAGAGGAGAGGATAAGCCTTACTCGCTTGTTGGAGCCCCGCCTATTTCTGTCTTATCCTTGTCTCATCCATTGGGGACATACTGTTATCATACGTCTTGCCAGCCATAGGCTCAGAGAATCCAAGACTGGCAGAAATGAAATGACGCTCGCAATTGCCCCGCGGGTTGAGAAGGTAACACTGATTGCTCGTCACTCTGCAGTAATTGAACGGGTTGCGTTTTCAGATCTCATCTTCAGATTCCTAATTCTACAACCCTTTTTCCAGGGCCATCCTCGTGCTTGATAAGATTATTTACCAGTTCCAGCCTCTGATAATCTTACTATCGTGGTTTTCGCCATAGCTCAATCCCACAGGAGCCCCCCGTAGTAGGTCCACAACGGCATCATGATATTTTCGAGTTGCCCACCTAGGTCTCGTGTGAGTCCTGAATGACTTCCTTTGACGTGAAAGACCAGTTAACCATGCGCTCGTTTTCCGTCTTATCAGCTGGTGAGAGTGTCGAAATTCTCTCCGCGAATTCTGGCCGCATCGGACTTGCGAGCGAGGATATCCGCCATCACTCTCTCTGGGACTAATATGGGTTCATGATACCAGGATATTGGCTCGCAAACGCCTATAATCTTCCCATATTGCCGCTCACTCCGGCGAGCGTAATTAGAGCTCAAGGGAAGTCAAACTGTCAGCGGCGGATATCACCTTGTCAAAGACAACCAGGTGTTTCATCTGGCTGTTGATTCCAGACATCATCGTTTCTGTTTGACATCACCTCCGTCTTCCAGGGAATCGACGCTCTGGCGGGATATCTTCGACTATTGGTGGAGGAACAACACGCAGCAAACTCTCGGCACACGCCGCAGCGGTGACAGCCACATAAGGCACCCAAACGGAGCAGCCGTCCGCATGTCCATCGCCGTCCGCATATCCCTCGCACCACCAAGCAAGGGAAAAGGTTCATCAGCCAACAACAGATTGAACAATTCAGTGATACGGTCGCCATTCTCAGCAGGGCTGACTTATACTGACTCGATCAGCTCATGGCCCCCTTCCTCGTCAACTCATCGACCGATCCCGCAAGCAGCACGGCTTCGCACAGACAAGATTGGACAATTCCTTTCGATGAATAATTCACACGCCAACTGGAAAAGAAGGTAGACGTGAAGCAACACCATGGGACCGTTCACACCAAGCCAGCTGGCATGCCCCCGGCCAAAATAACCTCGTCCATGAGGGCAGCGGTAGACTCCTCCGGGAAAGAGCCTTGTGGGTCGGCCCGTCCCGTACCTTTCGGCAATGTTACCCTGGGAAGACGGCAAAAGCGGGAAGCAGAGGGGAGGATAACCGTTGGTCAATCAGTATGGAATGCAGTAGCTACCCTCCCCGCCATCACGCACACGACACTGACTCCGAACGGGCGGAGCTCCAGACGCAATGTCTTGGATAGCTGCGTGAGTGCCGCCTTGGAGGAGGAATCCGAGGGGTGTTGACAACGGCGCTAGCGCTGACGCTGCTTATGTTGATGATTCCACCGCCGACGCGATGAGTACCTTCTGGAATAGATATCTAGAACAGCATCTGGGGTATTATATGATTTTCGCACTGCCTGAGGGATAGATGTTGTGTCTGTGCCGTCCAGGGTGCATACGTGCACATTGTCTCGGGTGTGGAGCCGTTCAGACATCTTGCTTAGGGTGCGCGTGGTGGCGAGGATCTGGTGACCTTGCTGCGCTCATCGGAGCAGTAGAGCGGCTCTTCTTGGGTGTGCTGAACAGCCGTGATGAGTATGCTCTTTGAAATAGGGCCCATGTAGTGACGGTTCGGTGTAAATGAGTGTCGGACATAGGCAGAAGTGGATTGCACAATAGGACGGAGCGGGTTGGTGTGAAGCAAACTCAAGACGAAGATGGACGTGAAATCCAAAAGCAATTGATCTGGTTTTGTGCACAAGATAACAGGTTTCAGGATGTCCCAAAGTGCCAATGAAAACTAACGGCCAGGCAAGATTTATCTCCGACAGATTGACACAAACACCGCATCTTAGAAATTAGGGCTCCATTTCCTGTGCCTTCAACAAGGCTGGACCCTGCATGTTAGATACATACGGAGTACGGGACATATCCGCTGAGTGGCTTGAGTGATTCTCCAATGTGGAGACGGACGAGAGCTGGGATGCCTGGGTGCCTGAGATAAGTGTTTGACTGTTGATTGACCCAATCACTAATGATATAAGTTATTCGTGCATAAGACACTGGATATACTCGTAAGCATAGACGCAGGAGACAGTCCTCTTTCTCCACCGCTAGTCGCGTACTAAGCCATTTCAAATAGTAAAGTTGTGGGTTCCGAGGTAGGCGGATTCTAACCATATCATACGCCTGCATACGTTTCTTGTAGAATACAGGTTGAAGAGCATACTCGGGCTTCGACCAGCATATTCCTCGTTTCAGACTAGGTCGATGCATCTCGCTAAGACATTGAAGTTTGCTGCCTGAGGCATCAAGATGTGACTATCCTTCAAGCCCTACGTGGACTCTGACAGTCTGCATATTACTCCAACGATCACCAGCCCTCAGCTAAGAAGCAATCAGTCTCGAACCACTTACAATTATCTCCTCCTGTCTGTTACTAATCCAGACAACTGGCGTCCCAGAAACCTGAATTGCCCCCCGCCCCACCCTGTGGGGCGCCGTTGAAATGCAGTCCGGCACCTCCGTCTCTCCCTCGATTTCTTCCCATCCGGCAAAGCCGAACGAACACAGTACCCGACCTGTCGATAACAACCAGCCCCCAATACAACAAATATGTCTTCTCCCAAGACCTTCATCGTCACCGGTGCCTCGCGCGGTAAGCCCTTCCTCCACCCGTGACCCCTAGTACCTACCCAACCTCAACAACCCTAACCACCACCGCGACCACCACCAGGAATCGGCCTCGCCACGGCCAAGTACCTCCTCGCGGCGCCGCACTCCCACAACGTAGTCGTGCTCGCCCGCAGTGCAGAGCCGCTCCAGCAACTAAAAGACCAGTACCCGCAGCAAGTGGCCGTGCTGAGCGGCGACCTGGCGGACCTCTCGCTCGGCCAGCAGGCGGTCGACCTGGCCCTGTCCTCGTTTGGGGGGTTGGATGGCCTGGTGCTAAACCACGGCTGGCTCGGACAGGTGGCTCCCATCGCCGAGGCGGATCCTGCGCAGTGGCAGCAGGGATTTGCTGTGAATTTCTTCAGTGGGGTTGCTTTTGTGCGTTTCCTTTGCGCCCCCCCCCCCCCCCCGTTCGTTACGTGTTGAAAGTGGCCTCAAGGAGGAGGAATGACTGACTGACAAGTAACAGGTGAAAGCCGCCCTCCCGACGCTCCGGCAATCCCACGGCCGGATTATTTTTACCTCCTCCGCGGCTGGTGTCAAGCCGATCCCCGCGTGGGGGCTGTACGGCGCCAGCAAGGCGGCGATGAACCATCTGGCGCGGACGCTGGGAGAGGAGGAGCCGGCTGTGACAACGGTCTCAATTGATCCGGGGTTGGTCGACACGGAGATGCAGCGAGAAATCCGGGAGGATTTGGCGACGGCGATGGAGTCGCAGTTGCATTCCTTCTTTACCTCTGCTCATAAGGCTGGAGGGCTGTCGAAGCCGGAACAGCCGGGGCATGTTATTGCTAAGTTGGTGGTGGGAGCGCCGAAGGAGTTGTCCGGGAGGTTTATCGAGTAAGTCGAATGTCTTTGTGTTTTTCTTCTGGATGAAGTTACATCGGAATGGAACTGACGTGGGAGTAGATGGAATGACCAGGTCTTGCGCGCTTTTCAGTGATTGTTCGGTGCTTGGAATGTATTTTGAGGGTGGATATAGATCGATTGTAGAGTGCACTGATATGGGAAATCCTCAGAGGACAGTGCAGCAACCAGAGAGATTGTCAAACAGAGATCTACTGTGACGGAACACAGTGTATTTAAGCATGTATACTTCGCGGTCAGCCCTAACCACATGATGGTAGAAACTACGTTATGATATACATGATGATGTCTGCACAATAAAACTCCTGACATAGAAAACAGCAACAATCCATTATCCCATTCTACCCATCAACCCAGCTCTCTTGATGAACCCCTAATACTCATGCTTAATCCCCGTCCGCCCCGCGACCAACATACTCAACGTCCGCAACGTCGACGCCCCCTGCGTCTCAAACACGGCCACATCGGCACTGAACTCCTTGACAATCCAGTTCCTCAACTCGATCGCCAGCAGCGAATCAACCCCATACATCTGCAACGGCCTGTCGCGATCAATCGCGCCGGCATCCTGCATCGCCACCAACGACTTCCCCAACTGATAGATAGTCGCCTGCATGACCACCTCAGCCGCCTGCTCCATCGAGGTCGCAGCCCCCAGCCTCTCCCGATTTCTCTGACGACTCATCGCCCCAGCCCCGGCTCCAACATCCCCTCCCGCTCCCACAGACGCAGTGGCCTTCCGTTCCGCTGCCAGCATCAACGGCTGCAACAACGGATTCTTCGCATGATCCACACTGCCCAACAGCCCACTCCCCCCGACCCCCAACCCAATCGCCACCTGCGCCTCGTGCGGGGCACCGAGGTCTCGAGCCGGGTCACAATAATAATCCAGAATCCCATAGAACTCCGACCTGGTAATCCCCTCCAAACTCCCGTAGGCCAGCACCTTGCTCAGCAAGTTAGGGTCCTCGTTAAGAATACCGTCATCGACCATCGCGCCGAGGTCAAGGGCTGTAGTCTTCTCGCCCTGCGCGACACGCCACCGCGCAAACGCGTCTTCGAAGGTGTTGCCCGCGTTGTAGTTCGCCTGGCCCTTGATGCCGGCCAGACCGGAGGCGGAGGCGAGAATGATGAAGAAGTCCATCCCCCGTGGGAGGACGGCGTGCAGGTTCCAGGTTCCGGTGGTTTTGCAGTCGACGGCGACTTGCCAGTCGGGGTGGGTGAGGGTGTCGAAGAGGGAGTCCTATACAACATTTAGTTATCAGGAGATTTGCTGCATGGTCGATCAGAGAGGGGGGTTGCTCACTCTCGCAATGATAGACATCTGAAACGCGCCCTGAATCGGGGGCATCCGTGCGGCCAGCCCCCTAAACACCTCCTGCATGCGGGTCTTATCGGTGATGTCGCAGGCGGGCGTCTCAACTCGCACCCCCTGATTCTGCAGCTCCTGGACGAGCAAGCGTCCTTCCTCAGTACGCGGCCCGAACCGCGACAGCAGAATCAGGTTCCTCGCGCCGCGCTCGACCAGCCAGCGCGCAGTCGCGCGGCCGATCCCCCCCAGTCCGCCGGCTATCACAAAGGTAGCATTCGGTTCAAAGTAGAAGCTAGGCCGGGTATCGCACGTCGCCTTTCACTACATCAGCCCACATCCCTACTCCCAGTCTCAGACAAGGCAAATACTCACCTGTACCTTGGACTCCTTCCGCACCTCAAACACAAACTTCCCCACCGCATCCCCCAGCTGCACCTCCCGAAACACCTCATTTACCTCCCCGATATCACGTACCTGCAACGGCCACGCCGGTTGAACCAAGCCCTCTCCCACCAACTCCATCACCCTCTCCAGATCTCTGCACGCCACCCCCGCCCTCTCCGCGCGCCACGCCACCGCATCCAACGCCGAAAACGTCACATTCTTCCGGAACGCATACATCGGCAGTGCCGCATTGTCGAGAATATTGGTCCTTGCCAGCTCGACGAACCGGCCATACGCCGCCACGCATTTCCACGATGCGAGGAGGCCCTCGCCTGTGAGACAATTAAGCACAACATCCACCCCGCGGTCGTTCGTGGCGCGCATAATCCCCGCGGCAAAGGCGGTGTCCCGGCTGGAGAAGATGTGCGACTCTGGGAGCTGGTACTGATCCATCAGGAGCTGCTTCTTCTCCGCAGACCCGACCGTGGCGTAGACGGTTGCCCCGAGGAGCCGCGCCAGCTGCACGGCGATTTGTCCTGTTCCGCCGGCGACGCAGTGGATAAGGATTGATTCCTCCGGTTGCAGGTGCGCGAGCCGGTGGATAGCCGTCCACGCGGTGCTGGCCTGTGCGGGGATGGCGCTGGCGGTTGTGAAGGATATCCCATCAGGGATGCGCACGGCTACGCGGCCCCGGGCAAAAGGGGTCTTGAAGCTTCCGTGCTCGGTGGCAAGGGCGACGCGGTCGCCAACCTGCACCTGGGTTACGGCGGGGCCGGTGCGGGTGACGATGCCGGCGCATTCCTGCCCCAAGGGGCCGTCGGGGAGGTGACCGAGAGCTGTAAGGGTGTCGACGAGGTTCAGGCCGATAGCGCGCGTTGCGATTTCAATCTCGTCGGCAGCGAGAGGGGTGGTGGGGGAGGCCGTGTCCTCGATGAAGGCCAGGGTGTCGAGGATGCCAATTGAGGAGATGTGGAGGGAGAGGGGCGGGCTGGCGGAGAGGGCGCGCAGGCGGGTGGTGCGTGGGCTGGATCGCTGAGCCAGCTGGTGCGTGGTGTGCGTCGCGGGCGTCACGCGCGGAATGTGCAGGATACCGTCCTGCTCGCGGTACTCGGAGTCGATGATTCGTGGGTCGGAGTTGATGTGGCGGGCGAAGAGCAGGCGGGTGAGCTTTTCGAGTTGTGAGGGTATGAGGGTCTCGTCTGCGTCGAAGTCGATCACGGTGATGGTTAGGGCTGGGTACTCGCTGCGCAGGACGCGCGTCAGGCCGTGCACGTCGGCGAAGGCGGGTTTGGTCCATGCAGAACCGCCGGCGAAGGTGGGCCAAATGATGTGCGATGCGGTTGCGCAGAGGGTTTGGAAGGGGGAGAATCTGTCGGGCGTCAGGGTGCGTGTAATGGGATCGTCGAGCTCGAGGAGGATGACGAAGACGGTGTCGGCTGATACAGGGATCTGCGTGGCTTCTTGGAGGTCTCCTTCAGTCACGTTGGGGATGCCCTGCTGCTTCCAGTACTCCTTCAGGGCTGTTGTGAGGTGAGTTTGCCTGCTGGAGTTGCCCTCACGGACGATGAAGATGTCACGACCGGAGGCTCCCTGGGTGATACTGGACGCAAGTTGGTGTACGTGCACCCTGCGCTCATCCGCCTGCAATGTAAAACCCGGGTAGAACCCATCCTGCTGCTCGAAAAGCGTCTCCGAACCCTCCGAGTCCTCAGACTCCACCAGAATCAACCTCCCATCCGGCGAGAGCAGGCTGCGCAGATGGCTCACATCCCAGCTCGTGGAGGCAACCACCACATCAAAACCACCAGCCTCCAGGCCCTGCTTGACGGGGCTCTTTGCCGGATCCAGCACCGCCCACGTCAACTGCGCAAACGCAGCCAGCTCCTCCTTGCGCCGGGCAAGTACATCCTCCGAGGGAGCACAAAGGTGATAGGACGAGTATCGGGGCCAGAGCACCGCACCTAGATGATCCCGCACCGAGAGACACTCGAGGACGAGCCTCGTCAGACCCGCATCCCCAGGATCAAGCTCCACGAACCGCAGACCCCCGTTCTTATGCGCGAGCATATCTAGATACCGCTGCAGCTGGCCATCACCCCCAGCAGCACAATACCGTCTCATCTCTCCAGCCCCCAGCAACTCCACCTCCGGGCGATACTCGACATGAAAGGCCGTATGCAGCCCCTGACCCTGCTCCGCCGCCTTCCCCTCACTGGCCGCAACCGTCGTCAACCGCAGATCCTCAAACTGCACCAACACCGTCTCTTTGGTCGGATCCAACACAAACGCACTATACTCCGCGCCCCGCCGGTCCTCCATCGCTCGATAAACATACTCCTCCACTTCCTTCATCTCCGGAGCACTGACCCCCGCCCTATCCACCACCAACCGCCGCAAATGAGTCGGAATGCGCGTCTTCAGCCCCGCATCCTCCTGGGTATCCCCGAAACAGGCGAAGCCGAGATGCAAGACCCCGTCGAGACTCGTCGGATGGATGAGATGCGGCTGCGGGAACTCACTTTCCGGCCACGCATACGGGGCGAGCGTGCCGCGCACGCGATGGGTCGCACGATCGGTAAACGCCGTCCGGACGCGCTGAAAGGCGGGCCCGAGTTCGACCCCGCTGCGCGTGATCGTCGTGTAAAACTGCTTGATATCGAGTTCGGACGCACACGTGCGGTCCATTTCTGCCGCCAGCGAGCGGCAGGTCGCGAGCTCCGCCGTGCTTCCCCCGCGGTTACGGGCCCGGTCCGTGGCAACAGCACAATGCCGCGTCTGCACGAACCCGTGGCAGCATTCCGTCCACTCCCCGTGATGGTTGGCGAACAGCCGGAACTCCGCGCGCTGAGACAGGACCGACTGCGAGTCCCGCGCGAGGCGGAGACCGAGCTGCAGCTCCACCCCCTCCGCTTCGCGGGAGATTAGGATAGGCTTGGGGAAGGCGACGTCGGAGAGCTCGAGCGCAGTTACCGTGTCATCCCCCGCGGTCAATTGGTGGGCCGCCTCCAGCGCCATGACCAGCATGCCGGCGCCGGGGTAGATGAGCACGCCGTTCACGCTGTGGTCCTCGATCCAGGGCAGTTCGGAGGCGCGCAGGAAGTGGCGCCACCGGGGCTCGAGCGGGTTCCAGTCGACGACCGGCTTACCCAGGAGGTCGAGCTTGGGGTGTCCGCCGAGCCGGTAGTTCGCGCACAATCGTGATTCGTCCCAGTAGCGCTGGGAGTGGTCGAAGACGTAGCTTGGGAGGTCTGGGAGGGCCATGTACGAGTCGAGGTCCGCATGCAGGGTATTGGTCTGCGCCAGGTCGAGCGGTGCACCGAGACACTTGACGGCGCCCAGCGCCGCTAGGGTGGAGGCGACGCCGTCCGTCCCCTTGGTCAGCAGCGCGGCGTAGCGGATGTGCGCGGCGGCCCGCGACGCTTGCAGGATATCCCGGACCGGGCGCTGCAGGGCCGCGTGCGGACTGACTTCCACTATCATGTCGACGCGGAAGTGGTTGCGGTGGCTGAGGTCCAGCTTGCGGCGCACGCGGTGCGCGGCGGCTGCGACGAGCGTGTCAATGGCATCGGCAAAGCGCACGGGGGAGGTCATGTTGCGCTCCCAGTAGGCGGGGTCGAGGAGCTCGTCCGGGGAGATTCTCGTGCCAGTGACGGAGGAGATCATGGCGATCGCGGGGAGGCGTTGCGCGCCGGGGAGCAGTTTTCGGATCGCGTGGCGGTAAAGATCGGCAACGCGCCGCATGTGCGGCGAGTGATACGCGACGGGGACGGCCAGCTTGCGGGCAAAGATCTGGCGGGCATCTAGGATGGTCTGAAGGGCCCCGAGTTGCTCGACATCCCCGGAGACGGTCACGTTGCGCGGGCTGTTGATGCACGCGACGGTCAGTCCGGGGGCCGCGAACCCGACGCTGGCTTCAGCGAGATAGGGGCCGATGTCCTGCGCCGACAGACCCACGGACATCATCGCTCCGCGCGGACCAGGGGCGTCGGGGCCCGTCAGCACACGGCAAACCTCGCCGCGGTGGTAGGCGACCTTGAGGGCGCTGTCGGCGGAGAGGGCGCCGCAGCAATACGCGGCGGCGATTTCGCCGGACGAGTGGCCGACCACGACGGCGGGGCTCACGTTGAGGCTTCGCAGGAGGTCGACCAGCGCGATTTGCAGCGCGGTGCAGCATGGCTGGGCCCGCTCCGGGTCGTCTAACCGGGATTTCTCGTTCGGCTGCCAAATCGCCTCGTGCAGCGACCATGGGCAGCCCAGCCTCCGCAGGATCTTCTCGGAGCGTTGCAGACTCTCTTGGAAGGCAGGGAAGCTGACCAGCTCCCGACCCATTCCGGCCCATTGCGCGCCTTGTCCGGCGAAGACGAAGCCCAGGCTGGGGTTGGCGATGGACTTAATTGCTGGCGAGATCAGTTGATCGAGCTTTTGGAGGTCGTCGAGCGAGTCTACTACCGCGAACGAGGTCCAGGGCAGCGCACTGCGTCGGAAGCAAAGGGTGTATGCGAGATGGTCCAGGTATCGCGGGCTGAGCGGATCTTTGTGCTTGCGAAAGTGGTCGACATATGCTTGTGCCTGCCGTGGGACGCCCTTTTCATCGTTGGCAGACAGAAGAAGAAGCTTGGGTCGGGTCGGGGCCTCTGGCGCGGCCATGGTAGCTGACGGCAAGACTGTCTGGCAGTTAGGGTTTTCGTCCACCTGCGCCGGAGGATCCCGGACGGTAAGATGTCGCGCGCGCAGCCCACGCGCTTCCAGATAATGGTAGACATCATCCAGCACCGTATGCTAGCAACCCATGTCAGCAATCTCATTCCACTCAGTCCGTCAAGCCGACACCCACCGAGTTAGTGCCCGCATTGCCAAAGGAATTCACCGACGCTCGCCGCAACCCTGGGGTCGGCCACGGCATGATCTCCATCGGGAACCGGATGCGCAGATAGTCGGTGTCGATCTTGGGGTTGACCTTTTCGAAGTTGGCATTAGGGGGAATCAGCCCCTTCTCCAGCACGAGCATCGCCTTGATCACCCCGCCGACTCCGCTGCTCCCCTCCATGTGGCCGATGTTGCTCTTGATGGCCCCGACCCAGAGGGGGTCCTGCGTGGTGCGCACGTGGCGGAAGGCGGCGCCTAATGCTTTGGCTTCTACCGATGAGTTAGCGATGGGCGACCTCCCTGTTCGTCAATCGATCCAAGCGACACGCACCTCCCGGATCCCCCACCGAGGTGCCCGTCCCATGCGCCTCGAAGAACCGGGTCGGCTCCATACTCAGCCCCGCCTTGGCGTATGTATCCCGTATCAGCCGGGTCTGCATCTCCGAGCTGGGCAGCGTGATGCTCGGCGTGTGGCCGTCCTGGTTACAGCCGGTGCTCCGAATAATGCCGCGGATGGTGTCGTTGTCGCGGATCGCATCGGAGACGCGCTTGAGCACCAGCACCCCGACGCCTTCGCTGCGACTGTAGCCGTTGCCCCGGTGGTCGAAGCTATAGCACTGCCCGTCCGGGGAGAGCATGTTGAGGTTTGTGAGGGTGTGGATGTTATCCGGCGAGATGATGACATTCGCGCCCGCCACGATACTCTGCATGTCTGATGATTAGTGCCTGTCCGCGTCATCTAAAACTTTGACCACTCGAGGTGAGCCAAACTTACCATATCCTCATCCCCCGCCCACAGCCCCTTGCACCCCAGATCCAAACACACCAGACTACTCGAACACGCGGTATCGACATTCGCGCTGCTGCCCTTCAAATCAAAAAACCAGCTCACGCGGTTGGCATTGAAGCACGGCTGCACCCCCAAGGCGGTGGTGGTCTTGGCCAGCTCGCCGTCCTTGTACTGCAGCTGCTGCCAATCCGTGGAGAACGAGCCGGAATACACCGAGGTCCGCGTGCCGGCGACCTTCTCCATGGGCAGGCCGGCATTTTCCAGCGCGCGGTAGGTGTATTCCAGGAGGAGTCGTTGCTGCGGGTCCATGGCGGCCGCGTCGGTGGTGGAGGTGGCGAAGAAGGCCGCGTCGAAGGCGGCGAGATCCTGATCCAAGAAGTGGCCGTGGGTGAGCGGGACCTGTCCGCGGCGGTTTGGATCGGGATGGTACATGGCCTCGATGTTCATGCGGTCCTGGGGGATCTTCGTGACGGTGCTGCGCTTCTCGCACATGACCCGCCACAGGGCGGCGGCGGAGGTGGCATCCTGGGGAAAGCCGAGGGAGAAGCCGATGATGGCGATGGCTTCGAGGGGGTCATTTGGGGGTGGTGATGGTGGTTCTGTCGAGGAAATAGAGGGGGTGTGCGGACCAGACGAAGAGGACAACGAAGCAGGGGCCGAAAAGGGGGGAGGATCGCTGGTACGATGGGGAGCCATGATTAGGGCTCAGAAGGGGAGCAAATCGCGGACACAACCACCTGCCGGTCAGTCTGACACCAATAACCACGAGCTGCAGCGTATCCTTAAGTAGCACGGCGTCAATTCGGAAAAAATCGATTAAAGTGGAATAAATTGCGGCTCCCCTGCAGGGCCGATGAGCCCCACCTGGAACGGACATACTACGTATAGTTTAGGGGAGTGCCTGACTGGCCGCGCTACTGCACCGCCGGCAAATATGATGGACCATACAGTATGTGGCTCTCAGACAAATTGTTGGCGGGACAGACTCAGCCGCAGGGCGGAAGCCCGCCGGGGCTCTGAGCCTTAGGGGGGCATTGCTTGTCGCAGCTTGACTCGCTATAGATAGTCTGGACGAGGATCAATTCATCGTCGACTCTTGTCGCTGCTACACGACTTATGCTCCGCTCCGCCGTTCTCACCAACTCACCATGCGCTTCCTCTGTCTTCATGGCATGGGCACCAACAGCCATGTCTTTGAAACGCAGCTCTGTAAGCCCTGAACCACCACCACCACCACCACCACAACGAGCCCAGCAGCCCTGCTGACCGCTGCAAGCAACCATTCGGTATGAAATGGACAGTCATCACACCTTCGAGTTCGCGGAAGCGAGCCTGCCCGAGCCCATAGCCCCCGGTAAGCCACCAGACGCTCCGGTCGGTCGCTGCGAGGGTTCCTGTTCCTGTTCCTGTTCCTGACTTGTTCCCATCCAGGCATTGAAGCGTTTTATCCGGCGAGCGATCAGTACTTTGCCTACTACCACGCCCACCCCCAAAGCATCACCGAGGCTCTCTCCCAGCTCCACCGGTACCTCGAGGAGGAAGGGCCCTTTGACGGAGCAATAGGGTTCTCGCAGGGGGCGTGTCTGATAGCAACCTACTTGATCCATCAGACACAGCAAGCCCCCAGTCAGCCGCTGCCCGTGCGGTGTGCGATTTTCTTCTCCGCGGCGCGGCCCTTCCACGTCCCCTCGTTGCAGGCGGGCGAAATTCACTGGCTGGACGAGCCCGGGCTGCCCCCAGTGACCCCTCTGGCGCTGCCCACCGCGCATCTGTGGGGCACGGGCGATGCAGAGTACGGCGACCAATCGCAGCAATTCTGTGGGATGTGTGAGGAGGGCTTACGCGAGGTGCACCTGCATGCGCTGGGCCATGAGATTCCCGGCCCCCGCGCCAAGGAGGAGGTGCAGGGTTGCGTGCGCGCCATCAACCGCACCATTGAGCGGGCAGGTATCGACCGGTAGGGAGATTCGAGGGATGGTTGGTTGGTTAATTCGGGGGGGAGGGGGAGGAACGTAGGGTTGGTGGTTGGTGGGACAGAAGTCAGACAACTCGACTGTCACACGTGCGGACAACTAGTCACAGTCTCAGCCCGTGCAGCCTGGGTAGCGTATACACTAGCGATGTGCAACTGCCGACAGGTGGACCGTGTGAATGGATGGCTGCAAGATTCTTAGTGTGATTGGGGGCGAAAAGCGCCGTCAAGGAATGTCTTATCACTCCTTCCCGCGTGCAGAATGGAGCATCCTTGGGGGCCAATAAGGGATGTAGACAGATACCCTTCTATTTAGCCTGTGCGTCAGCGTGGACTGTTCTTCTTCCTTCGTGTCCGAATCTCCTTCCCTCCTCTTGGCTTTTCCCTCTCTCTATCTCGCCAGCTCTCTGGACTTTCGGTCTGGTCGTTGTGCACTGAGTCTACCGTCTTCTATTCAGCTGTTGTTGTTCGCTCGCTGGATCATGGGCGTCCCCCCGGACCACCGGACGACGGGGGGGATTCTGGCCGAGTACTACCTTCTGACCGCGCTGGCGCTCTTCTGGGTGGCCTTGCGGGTCTGGGTGCGGATTCGGCTGACGAGGAATTGGGGATGGGATGATACGTGTATTGTGCTAGCCTGGGTAGGTCTCCCTCCCCCCGAGTCATTAGGATCCTTCCCACCCCAGCGCTCTAACTTGGTGGCGGGTCTAGCTCCCTCTGTTCGCCGGTCTGGTTCTCATCCAGATCGAAGCCAACCTGGGCCTGGGGCGCCATATGATCTATCTGCAGGATGCGGAAACCGCTGCCCTCCAGATCCTCAAATACAACACCTTCTTTCAGATGCTCAACGTGCTCTGCACGCTGCTGACCAAGTACTCGATCAGCTTGTATCTCCTGCGGATCCGGGATGATCGCCGGCTGCGGCTGGGGCTGGGGGTGTTGATGCTGCTGATGACCCTGGCGACCATCGCGGTCATCGTGGTGCTGTCGGTCTCCTGCATTCCCCTGCAGCGTCTGTGGGACAAGTCGGTGCCGGGGACCTGTCTGGCGCTGGCTGCGGTCTACAACGTCGCCTACGTGCAGTCGGGCTTCACCATCGTGGTCGACCTGTGCCTGACCATGACACCGATCATCGTCCTGTGGGACGTGAAGATCAAGCGCGGGCGCAAAACGATGATTTGCGGCCTGATGAGTCTGGGGTTGATTGCCACGGTGTCGAATGCGCTGCGGAATGATTTCCAGTCGGGGTTGACGAGCGCGGATATGACTTGTGAGTGTCTTTTCGGGTCGGGGGGGAGATGGACGGCCCTGCGCTAACCGGTGCATCCCTTGCCTAGATGATATGACTGCCGTCAGCGTGGTCGCCATCCTCGAACTGTCGAGTGGGATCATCGCTGCCTGCATTCCGGCGTGTGCCCCTTTGCTCCGGCGCAATCCGCCCACCAGCACGATGGCGCAATCCACCGCCTACTACGCCCCGCACGCCGGCGGGAGGAGTACGCAAGGGACCCCGGGCGCGTACTCGACGCTGACGACGGACGACGAGGTGCCCCTGTATGAGCGAGACCGCGGCACCCCGACGACGGGGGAGACGAAAACCTCGATGGTGACCGTCCACCATTCCGAGGGGGTGGGGGTGGCCTGATGTTGGCGCCTGTGCGAGATACTCGGTAGTCATTTTAGCATGAACCCCTCCATGTATTTTTCCGTCGATCTCATCCTATGGATCTTCTACTGTGTACCTTCATACTTTCGGAGTCAGAATGAGTAAGAATGTGGCGTCTTGGGGGGCTGTGACTAGTGCTTACTGTGTACGCTGTGGGTGGTTTGCCTGATGACGGCGGAGTATGGCGTACTGCATTTCTGACCAGGAGCCGGAATGATCGGCGAATTAAGCTGCTCCATCGAGTCAGCAGTGCGTCTCTCCTCACTTTGTACCCCTCATGTAGACGGATAGAGGTTTGGGGGGGATAAATGGGGGAGTAAGTGAGTGAGGGAGGAAGTGAAGTGAAGTGAATGAGTGAAGGAGTGAATGAGTGAAGGAGTGTGGGAGGGAAGAAGTTGTGGAGAAAACGAATCCAGGGTCGATCCCGTCCCACCCGCTTTTCCCGCCCCTCCTCCCGTTTTATCCCCACTTCTTCTTTTTCTTCCTCCCAAAATAACTTCATCCCAAATACAACACACCACACCACTTTCACTTTCACTACATGCCATCTCATCTCATCTCATCACTACATCAATCATATAAATTTCCCTTAATCCTACCACTTCGCATCGCAATCACATCACCAAGTCCCCACAAATCAATTAATCATTCAACCAACCAACCAACCAACCAACAACACATAATGCCCACCGACAAATACTTCGCCCAAGCGCCCCCCTTCCCCACCTCCCCCGACTTCCCCATCGTTTCGCTCCCCACCATCTCCCTCGCTAAACTCAAGGCCCACGACCCCACCGAATCCACTCAATTGTTCCGTGCATCCCGCGAATGGGGGTTTTTCATGTTGGATCTCCGCGCCGACGAGCAAGGCGCCAGCCTGCTCCACCAGGCCGAGAAAATGTTCGATCTGGACGCGGAGCTGTTTTCACTGGACCAGGCCACGCTGGATGAATATGCGTATGATGCGCCGCGGGATTTGACTGGGTATGGTCCTATGGCCCTTTTCCTTCTAAACCCAGCAGTTTGAGTCAGACTGACAGGGGGGGTGGGTGACGGTCTAGATACAAAAAAGCCGGTCTCCTAAGAACCGACACGGGCGGCTACGACCACATGCACCTCTACAGCATCAACCAAGACGACATGCTGGGCAACCGGGCCGCACGCACCAATGCGCCGCCCATCGAGGCCCACCGCGGCGACCTGCAAGCCTTCATCCGGGAGTCGTCGGCCGCGCTGGCGGTGATCCTCGCGACCCTCGATCGGGAGCTCGGGCTGGAGGCTGGCACGCTGGCGAAGCTGAGTCCGCTGGACGAGGAGAGTGAGACCTCGGTGCGGTTGCTGTGGAGTCCGCCCGCACCGGCCGTGGCCACCACCCCACCCCCCGCGGCGGAGACCCAGCGGGTGATCACGCTGGGCGGACACACGGATATCGGGACGTTGACGCTATTGTTCCACGTCCTCGGGGGGTTGCAGATCCTGCCTGCCGGGGTGGAGAATACCGCCCAACAGTGGCGGTATGTGCGGCCGGTGCCCGGGTGTGCGCTGGTCAATCTGGGGGATACCCTCGTGGAGTGGACGGGGGAGTTGCTGCGGAGTTCCCTGCATCGGGTGGTGACCGCCCCGGGGGAGCAGGCGACGGTCGCCCGGCGCAGTGTGGCGTATCTGGTGCGGCCGTCGAAGAAGGCAAGTATGCGGCGATTGCAGGGGGGGAAGATCCCCGCGGTGGCGGAGGGAGAGGAGGAGGAGACGCGGCCGGTGAACGAGTGGGCGGCGTGGAGGTCGAAGCAGATCATGTTGGGGACGTTGAAGCCGCAGACGCGGGGGGGTGCGCGGGCGGTTGTGGTGTGATGATAGGGTCGTGTACTGTCTGTATAGTAAGGGGAAGGAGATCTCAATGCTACGCAGCTGCCGAAGGGAATATGCAGCATTCTACTGAGCCTTCCTCTGACTATGTTGGTATGAGGCACCATGTGGAAAAGTAGTAGTTCTTCTACCACCTCCACACATCCCCGTCTACACATTAGGGGGGTCGTACACAGCCATGCACCCCGATATTCCGATAAACGATATCAGTTGTGCATCACGGTTACCGTCTCTCGACACTCCATTCGAAACGACTGAAATAACAGCGAGACGAACCGAGACTCCCACGGAATGCACACCTGCTTCTCCACAGCTGACTGAGCACAGCCCAGCCCAGCCCAGCCCTATCCCCCATGCCTACCGTCGCCAACATAGTCCCTCAGATGCAAGATCACCTGGATGTGGTGGAACGTCAAGCCGCAATTCTCCTCCGCAGCCAGCAAGTGGGCAGTGCGAAGGACGTTCTTGATCTGTCTGCCATTCAGCTCCAGCTTCGCGAGCTGCGACACATCCTCCTCCGCAAGCGGCTCGACCCCACTCTGCGCGATAAACTGCTTCCAGATCTGACGTCGCGAGCTGCGATTGAGCTCCGGATACCGGATGGAGATGTGAATGCGGGACTCGAAAGCCGGGTCGATCTGCTCGGCACGGTTGGTCGTCAGGAACAAAATCCCCTAGAATGGCCACATTAGCTCTGCTTCAACCCGACCCATTAAAAACCGCTGCATACCTCGTAATACTCCAGCAGCCGCAGGAAGATGGAGACGAGCTCATTCCGCTTCAAGTCCCGGGTATCGCGCGCCTCCATGAAGACATCCGTCTCGTCGAGGAGGATGATGGCCCCCCAGCGAGGGATCATCGTGAGGACATCGCGCAGGGTATTCTCCACCGTCTGCGGCGTCGTGCCCAGATCCCCCGCACTCAGAATATACAGCGGCACCTGCATGATCTCCGCCACGCTCTCCGCCGTGAGGGTCTTGCCTACCCCCGGCGGCCCGCTCAGTAGCATGATGACGCCGCGGCCCTTGCCGTGGATTACATCGTCGAAGCCATCTTGGTCCGGTGGTTGCTGCTGCTGCTGCGGCTACGGCTACGAGACTGGGCGCGCGCGAACCTTAGAACCAGTTTCTTCAGGTCCGGGTACTCGTGCGGCAGGACGAGGGAGTCGAACGCCTGCGCGTCCCAGACAATTTCGCGCACCCCGTCGACAAAGAACGCCAGCTACCGCTTATCCTTGAGGGCGTAGCCGCGGAGGATCGGGGTGGCGAGCAGCAGGAGCTCGTCGGACAGACCACCGCCACTACTACTACGAACCCGCGGGTGTGGTCGCAATACGCGCCGGCCTCGACTTCAAAGGCGCGCGGACGTCCGTCCACAGTACGACTATCCACCACGACGCCCGGCTCGAGAAGCGCCCACAGCAGCTCGTGTGTGATCACCTTGCTCTGCACCATGTCCTTCTTGCGGGCGATGGTGTCATGCAGCTCCTCGTCGAGGATGCGGTGCAGGAGGTCCGCGTGGCGGTAGGTCACGTCGTCGGGTTCGCTCTGGAGCGCGGCGCAGAACGCCTCCCACCGGTGCACGAAGGGCTCGAACGGGGCGCGGAATTCCAGCCGATGCAGGCTCAGGGTCACCCCCGGGTAGCCGCTCAGGAACCGGGCGAGGAAGTGGCGGAGTCGGTCGCTCTGGATCACGATCGAGTGGATCGTGAGGCTGCGTTTTCCGTTGTAGCACTTGGCTTTGCGCACCAGCAGGACGTATTGCCCGGACTGCGCGGTTTCCGCCGGGTCGAGGAGGTCGTCGGATTTCTGGCGCGTCTAGGAGGTGCGACCTCGATTGTCGGGGGCGCTTTGGTAGAGGATGTCGGCTTCGCAGATGGAGCCGGGGGCGGCGGACTCTGCAGGGGGATGGGGATGGAATCTGAGTTGTGTTAGTGGGTGGGTGTGTTTGTGATGAGTGGAATTGAGAGGGTTCTTACTGCTGGGAGGATCCTCCATGGTACTTCGATGTTATTCAGTCGGTTTGGGTGAAGTTAGGGTTGAGCGAGGATAAGAAGTGGACGTGGAAGTGGTTATGGTTGGAGTATATAACACGTCAGAAGTGGATGCAACCCCCCCTCTGATAAATGTTTCTGTTCTGCTCTACGCGAGTCATCCAGTATCCTTCTTCTATCAATTTGTATCTGTGTCGCTCGTGCATTCCAGTCCAAATCACTGATGTCGGCCTAACGGGAGTCTAGCAATGCACGGCAGTCTGGATTGCGAAAGCCTCGTCCCTCACCTATAGCGCGGGCCTTCTACTGTATCTGGCATAAATGTGAAGCATTGATGCTACAGGGGTTTGCCTTGCAGCAGCTGACCCTCTGTATTCTCTTTTCCAGCCTGACACTGTTATCTATCCTGAGGCGTGATGTATTTGTGGACTTGAATGGGCCTCATTGCCCGGACCGCAGAAGCATCACCCCAATACACAGACAAGCCTAAGACTGTGTTCACGCGAGTTGAATGAGCGGGGAAGATCAGTCACTCAGCACGAGATTTCACTGCTTAGTGAGTGCTGGCCCCTCTGCCAGTGTGGCTGATTCCTTGCAGATCGTGTCCAATAACCATCCCAGATACAACGCATCTCTTGATGGCAGGCTGACGTGAGATGATCGACATAACCAACCTAGAAAATAAATGTCCAGCAGTGAATAGTACTCAGATCTAGCACGATGATAGAACACTAGAAGCTGCTTGCCCGTCGATCGACGTAGACAAAGCTGGTTTCCTGGATGGGTGAGTGAAATCCCCACCTGCTAGCCAATGGCTCATCCATATCGCAGTCTGGCTGAGTGAGTGTCTGCGCTATCTTAAATTCTCGCAGCAAATGGTATTCACCCTGAGAAGATCACCAGTACTATGCTAGTGAGGGCACTGGGCAGTGCCGCTGTGCTGAGGCCGCTAGTTCATACCTGTATACAAGTGGTGCACCGCTTAGGGTTACGCCACCGTGCTGTACATGATGGGTTCGGAGGAGCACGACTCGCGGCGAAGGTGGGCTGCATCTCTGAGGATACGTTGATTCTAAATCTCAGAAGGACAACTGGAATTGAAACCGAACTCGGCTCTGCCGTTTGTAAACTATCGAGATCTGTGCACCAGGCCCTGGCTGCACCCTTCTAGACATTCTGCAAACTCGCCCACCTCAACCCTAAAGACACTGCGAATACCAAGCATTGACATAAGTACACGTATACCCACTCGCACAAACCGTGGCCCCCGTCCACCCACTTCCCCCACACTGACCCCAGTGCGCCGCAGTCGTAGTCGTAGTGGCAGTCGCAGTCGCAGTCACAGTCACCCCCGAAGCCGTACTCGACGCCGTCGTCGCCGTCGTCGTCGTCGACACACTCGCCCCCAACCCCACCAACAAGCCATCATAAGCAGGCTTCTTCACCAAATCCTCATCCCATGGTAACGCCGCCCCATAGCCAGTGAACGTACTGGGCACCCAACTATACTTATCGGTCCAATCCCAAATGGTGAACCCCACACACCCGTCCACCGCGACACAACTCCCCACCAAGGCCTGGAAGTCACTGGATTGCTGGGCGAGGGTGGTCGCCGTCGTCGGCAACAGGATGCGCACGTCGGCTTCCGTGTAGGCGACCTCGACGCCCAGCGCGGTGAAGGACTGCAGGACGCTCACGAGGGAGGCTTGGCTGGGGACGGTGCCGACGACAAAATGGCCCTGGAAGCCGACGCCGTCGATTTTGGCCCCGGAGGCTTGGACGAGCTGGACGATGGCGCGCGCGCTGGCGGCTTTGGTGCTGCCGTATTCGAGGTTGTAGTCGTTGTAGAAGAGCTTGGCGGAGGGGTCGGCGGCGGCGGCGGCGGCGAAGGCGAGGGGGATGTAGGCTTCGCCGATGGTCGTGTAGAAGATGTTGGTGCGGTAGGTGCCATCGTCGTTCAGGGCTGAGGTTGTCAGGTTAGTAGGTGGTGGTAAGATACGAAACTACTACATTGAGGGGGAAGGGAAAGGGAAAGGGGGATTGGATGAGGATGTCACCTTCATTCACCACATCCCAGTGCAGACAACGCCCCTTGTAATGCGAGACGACGGTCGTGATGTGGTTCTGCATGGCAGCGATGAGGGTGGCGTTCGTCCAGGTGCCGCTGGTCACTATCCCCAGAGTGTCTGTCAGTATGCCGTCTGGTTCAGGGCTTAGGAAAATGAAAATCCAACACACCCCAGCTGGGCAACTGATTATACCAGACCAGCGTATGACATCGCAAGTACTGGCCATTCGCCTCAGCCAGATCCGCGATGACGTCGCCCTCGGTGAAGCTGAAGGTGCCCTGCGAGGGCTCGGTAGCATCCCACTAGATGGACCCGTCAGTCACTATAACCCCCTTCCCCCTCCCCCTTCAGGGAGTAGTCAGTGAGGGAATGACTCCCTACCTTCTGCGAGTTACCAGGAGTGATCTGCCCGAAATCCGCCGTGTTGTTCAGCTGCGTCACGTAGGGAATATCCGTGAGCTCAGGGTTATCGGTGGCAGTGCCAAAATATGTCAGACCGGCGGCGACGGCGGCCTGGTCGAGACCCAGCGCTGAAATACTGGAATGGAGATAGTTGAATAGTCAGTTTATCTGCCTCGATCAGACAGGACAGTGAGCACACCTACCATGTGGGAAGCGCAATCGCGGCCAGTGCCGCAGTGACTGCAAGCTTGATCATCTTGGTTGAGTTCATGCAGTGTGTATCAGATGCAAGATGCTCTGAATGTGCCAGACTGCCAATTTATATACTTCACCACTCATGGCGGTCGAGATCGTGCTCGGAGCTCACCTCCGCAATCTCTAGGATCAGGTGTAGAGGCTAACGCTGCAGGACACGGAGCAACGGCCTGCCCGCGGGCAAACACTCGATAGTGTGCTGCATTGATTGGCAGATCGGGCTGCAGATGGACTTCGATCCGAACCTCAGTTTAGCCTAATGGCTCCTCTTTAGAGGGAGAAGCTACAGTCCGCTGTTCTACTCCCGTGGCTAAAAGGGCTTCACGAGCGGAAAGCGGCCCGAGGACCGACAGCTCCGGGTCTTTAGGCAGATTCATGTATATTACCATTATCTATGTTCACTATGTACACTATGTGCAAAGATAGATTACATATCCTTCCCACTGCACCTCGTTAACCAGCCTGAGCATACACCGTAGTGTTGCTGATCGACTCGGCCGGCAGCCACTGTCCGGCAATAGTATTGGTGTAGGTGAGCTGTGCGAGCGTAAAGGTATGCATCTCCGACACCAACACGGTTTGATCCAGAGGCAGCACGCGGTGCACCATCGCGGTCTGCGTGAGCATCGAAATGTACTCCTCGCCGGACACCGCGCTCATATCGGCGTCAAAGGTCACGCGGATCAGCGCATCGGGCGAGTTGGTGCTCAGCAGCGAGGTGGACAGCAGCCACAGGGCAGGTCCCCCGGCCACAGTCGACGCGTCGGCGAGATGCAAAAGCCCGGCATTGGTGCCCAGCATCGGGTGCTGCAGCTGGAAGAACTCCATCTCCCCCGTGGACCCGATATGACCGAAAGTGCCGGTGCCCCCCGTGGCATTGCCCGCCAGGGTAAACCACACTCCACTCATGGGTCCGTAGCCGGTGATCATGCCAACGGCGTTGTTGCCGACGCTGGGAGGAATGGGCAGCTGCGTGGTCTCGCCGCTGGTGACGTTGATACGCATGATGGACGAGTCGGTGTCCTGGGTGACATAAATCAGCCCGGTGGTCGGCTCCTCCTTGATGAACACGGGGCTCTTGAGGCAGGGGTAGAGCGTCTGGTCGGTGGCGTTGGCGACGTCGGCGGAGAAGACGTAGTACTGACCCGTTTGCTCCGAGGCGACTTTGAGGCCCGCCCAGACGCGGTTGCCGATCTCGAAGACGCAATGCGGGCCGTTGCCAGGCGCAGGGATATCGATGGTCTGGAGGATGGTGGGCGCAGTCGAGAGCTCCTGGCCGGGGTCCACGAGCAGCAGCTTATTCTCCCCCTGCAGCGTCAGCCACATCTTGCCCGGGTGGAGCGTCGACGGCCACACGCCATGCAGCTCGGAATCGCTGTTTTTCCCCATGGGGAACGACTTCCACGCAATGGGCTCCTCCGTGGCGGGATCCAGCTCGATCTTGATCAAGGCGCTGTCCGACATCTGTGACAGCAGCACAAAATTGGTGTCGGGCACGCGGGCGAACTCGTGCGTCTCGGAGGCGACAGGCAGCAGATACTCGGTGAGACGACGGCTCACAAGTGAGTGGGTGGACTCCTGCGCCAACGCGAAACGGGAGGCGCCCAAGGCCAGGGCGACCACGAGCGATCGGACAGCATGGTGCAACATCTCGACGTGGAGCTTTCTACATGCAGCCTGAGATGCTTGATGCAAATTCGCGCACTGCCCCGTATTTGTACTGCACGCGAGCATTGCATACTAGCACCATCAGGCTAGCCAAGAAACCCTAAGATGTGAATCCCTTCCTGTTCGGCTTTTCAGCTGAATCGCGGACCCACTGCACAGATCGATACGCGCTAGCGTGGCGCCACTGAACTCGCACTATTGAGCGCCAGGTATTGGGTTTTGAATGGAGATAATGCCAAGCACAAGTGTGGGCGAGAGAAGGGAGCAAACAAGTGGGGGGATACGTGGTTCATTCAGAGCTTCACGCCTCACTCTACGGAAGTTAGCCGATAACCACCGATCACGGAATCAAGGGACTCACCTGAACCCGCTGTTACGTTGATGAACATGCTACTACTCTCTCCAATCTCCAGCCCGCTGCGCTCATCTCTTACCGTCCAGAAGAAACGCAGAGTCACGTAATCACTGAGTCTAATGACAATCGTGAACAGACTTCCACCTTGAAGAGCTTCAGTCTCTTGGTCAGAAAGCCAAGGGTGGCAGAAACCAGGGCAACCGAGCCAGAATCTTCAAGATAAGTAACGCGGCCTGGCGGAAAGGATCGAAGACGGGGACTAGCCGGTTGACAGCGTCCAGCGAGACTGAGGAGCCCGAGGCGATGTTTCCAGTGCTGGAGAAGGCGGAGTGCAGCAGGAAAGGGAAGAACAGACAGACTCTTACATCTGATAGGATGAGGCTTCTGTAGTCCCCCTCTGCGACTTTTTCACTCGGCTTCGCTGTCTTCTGTCTTGGTAGCTGTTCCAGGCGGCCTCGAAAGTTCCTTTTGCTGGACAATCTTGGTATTCACGGCAGGATCTTTAGCTGCAGCGCTTCTGGCATATCCCAGTGGACGAATACCATCGCTGGACATGATCTTGCGGGTACTGCCGCACATAACTCGTTGCTGTACTCCGTGTGCGAGCTGAACCCAGCTAGAGTGTGGTAGCAATGACAATGTAGAAGAGTCCCTTCTAGAAAATTGTAGGATGATGAAGAGTGGCCCAAGTGCAAGGGAAATGATCATATGGCGGCGGAGATAGTGTTTTCGTGGACGTAAGACACGCGCAAAGGGCAGAATGAGGGATGCAACTGTTACTGGTTGTTAGCGTGGATCTAGACTCGAGCACATATGCTAGTAAGCATCTCTCTCGCTCCTTGAAGAGTGGTCTGGGCAGGACTTGACAACATTTGATGCCATAGGACGCTAGTGAGTCCAGCAACAACAGCAAGGAAAAGTAGTCTTACCCAACGTAGCCCACCCAGCAATCTCTGTCCCAAATGGAACTCCCTGCTTCGTCTGTAAAATAGCCACACTCGACCTCGTAACAGCATTGTAAGAGCAACCAGTCCGACCTGCAGCCCAAGAATCGCCCTCGACCCACAATCGGCATCTGCTTCACTCCGCCCATCTTCTGAGGGCACAGCCTATGCCAATAGTCTCTTATCAAATGCACTATAAGACAACCGAGCAGAAGGAATACTATACCCCCGGCAGAACTGCAACAGAGTCAGCTGTAAGACAACATGTGTATGAGATTCCACATACATGAGGGTAATATCTGCCTATTTGTTCGCTGGCAGAAGGGTGAAGACACTCATAGCAGCGCAGGAAAGTGCATGTAACACAGAGGGGAAGTTGATCCTGATGAGGTTTGTGCCATAGAGCAGTGGCCAAGCAATCGCAAACAAATAGACAATCGTATAGACCTCTCGCTTGTAGTGATTTTGAACCTGTAACTTGTAAGCAGACGTGGTTTGTCACGGACTCGGCGACTCACCATGACTTCCAACAAGGCCAGATATGCAGCACAGTTCAATGCGGCTCGAACTGCATCGGTCTTCGAGAATTGCGAGAATGGTTGTTTCTTGCCCTCGGCCAACGCTCTCCTCGACCATGCGAAAACTTCATCCCAAAACAAAACTGGAAAAACAGCGTAGGCGTAGCATGTGAGCGGCGATACTTGGAATATGAGCAAACTGCAAAGCCCAATCAGGACTGAGGATGAAGCTATGGATGAGCCCCGGTGATCTCCGCGCATCGACCTTGCCATGGAGCACATGAAGATCAACCGAGGTCGTGAAGGCGAATTCGATCCAGCCGAGATAGCCTGCTGTCAAGCCATCTTCATGGCCCGGGGCCTCCTTGCCACGTGGCACCGTCCTCGTATTATGCGGGTGCCCATCGCCATGACTCCCCCAGTTACTCATCCCATGGTCTGCTGTGAAGATGAACGCCGTCTTATCGTCTCCGTAGAACTGCTTTATAATCTCCGTGAACTCCTGCATCTCGTGATCCACAAACCGGATATTCCGTGATACTCCTGCGAGTAGGGGCGATGTGCATGGCCCGTCGTGTCCAGGCCCAGCAGATGCAGAATATGCAAAATCCCATCCTGCCCTTGACCTTGCATACAACCCCTGATCCGTCACAGCCTCCTCGAAGGACTTCCTGACGCTATCGAAGTTGACGGGATTAAGTTTCCAACAAGTAGTCACTGCAGCGACATCTGCAAACAAGCCCCGCGATGAGAGCGACATGGCCCGGTCGGGACTCTGTGGGGATGCGCATGTGCGAGACGCCAAAGGTTCTGTGATGGAGGACCTCGAGCGAAGGAAAGGCGCCATGGGGACGAGATCCTCCCGCGCGGAAGAATCATTTTGTCGGCCTGGAAGGGTCAGGAAAGAATTGGAAGACTTTGTCGGCGCGGAGGCCATCGCCTGCAAGGTCTTGTCAGTATGCGATACATTCATGTGGATTGAGGAGAGAGCGATAGACCTACCTACATACAAAGCCATTCTCTTCGCGGGAGGCTAAGGGGTATCGACTTTGTCTGCGCGCATCCCATGCACAATCGACGACCCGAAGGAGATGTCGAAGAAAGAGTAGACATACCCCAGGTGGAACACGATGGCACTTCCATTGAAACCGATGCGGCCCATTCGTGCCATTATGCGAGAGAGTAGCGTTTTTGCTTTGTGCAAGATAGTGAAGCAGAAGAAGAAGAAGAAGAAGAAGAAGAAGAAGAAGAAGAAGAAGACGCGTAAGTCCAGGTTCAGGCGACAGGGATAAATGGCCGGAAAATGGATGGACCGGGGCCTGTTGGTTTTATAGTCAGTTCCATAACCCAACTTGGAGCTTACTCACGAAGTGCAGATCCATGTACGATATTTCAAGTTGATATAGAGAAGTCCTCATGCAATCAGCCCTAATCTCCCCTCCCCCACACCCCATACAGATCCATCGAAAGAAACGCCGCCAGTGAGACTGATATTCGGAAAACACGACTTAATCTAGTATACCTGCACTCCAGAGAAGCCATTGACGGCTGCAGCTGGAATGGTAGATTGGTATATCGAAGACAAAATGTACCTCTCCGATTGCAAAACCGCATGTTCATGTGATGTGATAGCTTTCTCTCCATTGCAAGTATCCGCTGTGTCGCCCAACAGGCTAAACTTACCACTGCTTACCCACCAAGATAGCTGACTGAGTCTATCGTCAACCCTAGATGGGATGATTGATCGTGTGGCCAATCTAACCAGTCTTTCTGAGGGAACTCTGCCCCCCATAGACGGCGATACTGCCTTTGTCTTGGATCTGGGTCTGCACCCACATCGCTGGGCGGTCGTGCACGTATTCTCAGCGATAGTCCTGCAACGTCCTCTTTTGGGCATTGACTTCAACTGTCCCAGAAGAAGACGATGGTCTGGGTGCAGGCTCGATTATTATTGTGGCGATCGATCTCATATGCAGAAAGAAGAATGTAGAGATCCAGATACCGCTGGTAGCTGCATCAGGGAGATATCTGGAAGACAATGCGCGCGATTTCGGGGAATCGGTCAGGAGTCCGAAGACGATAGGAGAAGGTTCGCTTTTCAATCAGTGGCTGCCACTTTGTACAGATACTGGTATAAGAAGCTGCAGAGATTTTGCCTAGATGTGCCAGAATCAAGTACAAGAGCTCAGGGGATGGAGAACCAATGTCAGGCATGTTTCTTGCCAGTAAGCTGCATTCCAGCTGGTGAGGTGGAGTGAGGAACAACACATCGTGAAATCCGGTAGGCAGTCGAGCCTATAGGCACGTGATGAGTCAACAATATGCTTTTACAACAATCACCAATGGACAACATCATGAACAATAGAAAGTGGTCCAAGAGCGGGCCGAGCATGTCTGGCACTGTACTCGACAAAACGTTCGGGGACGGTTTGTATCTCATTGGCAGTTGTTTCGCAACGTCTGCAATTCGGTCTCCGAGCAGTATCTCATTACATAGAAGAACGCAAATATTTGGGAGGATTAAGCTCTGGGTGCATGAAGAGCATGTCGAATCGCCCTCTCTCTACCTGAACCCACACATAATGCTGGTACACAGATCATCACGACAGAACTAAACAGGCTTCACAATGCAGGATTTATCATATTCAATCAGTCCACCTCCCAACAGGCTTCCACCACGTCTATAGGTATAATCAGGGTAGTGAATCATTAATTACAATAGCAGAAAAGATCGCACCCTGCCCCGGTCTTATCTCTCTTCATGATCAACGAAATAGAACAAATTCAGGGCAATGACTAGCCAGAGGGGTATGCAAACGCCACAGGTAATTAAACGAGAGAGAGGGAGTAAGAACCACAGAAAATAGAATACAACGCAACCATCAGGGCATGCCACAAGAGACGAACATGAAAAAGAAAAAGTCGAGTATATTATGAACGGTCCAAATGCCACTCCTGTCTGTACAACCCCGGGGCGCATATCGGCACAGATGGTCGAAGGAGGGACGCCCCTTCCTTGCGGTGAATCCGCGTAAGTCACAAAACAAGCCAAAATTAAGAGTCGTAGATGATCCGTGATGCTTCTAATAGATGATGTGAGAACCGATGGAAAAGTAGTTTTGTCATATCACAAGACCGTTCAGGTCGACTTGGTGAGATGTGGGAGCCGAGCGGGAGTCAGCATGGTCGACGGACACGAAACCGCGCGGCCACCATCAGTCCCTTAACCAAACCACCATGAATCGAGGTTGCGTGTAAGTCTTGTACGAGTGGCCCCAGTGGCCTGAAGTCCGGCGATGTCTTTCCATGGTACATAGCTGACTCCGAACGACCACTCAAACCAGCGGACGGGACTCCTGCCGCACCGTGTCACGAGTCAACCCCGTTCCCCTCAGATCTCCCGTCCAGGGATGGTCAATTCACGCCGAAAATGCCTCTGCGCTCCCTACATCGAGCCGCAACCGTCCACCTCAACTGATGATCTGTCTTGCGCCTTCCTTGCCCAGAACTCCAGGTTCTTGGGGCTTGGGGCTCCTGTCGCGCCCCTTCTTCCGACTCAGAAAAGCAAGCATGCCGCTGTTCGAGCCTTTGCCTTTACCGGTAACGGTGTCGTATCCTTCGGCCGGGAGAGTAGAGCTATGGTCGGCGAGCTCACTCCAGCTTCCGGCTTCCTCCAGTACCATCTGGACACCGCCGCCCTTGCTCGCTTTCCGGGTTGCACCACGGGGACGACCAGCTGCGGGTGGTGGTAGAGGTCTGCTGAACGACGGAGCTGACGCCGGGGGTGGGGGTGGCGGCGGTGGCAGGGATTGCTGAGACGTTGGCGTCTCACTCATTGTGGAGGGGGTGTCGGGCTGGGTCAAGTGACCGACCGATCCCTCGTTGCGTGGGGGCGGGGAGTTTCGAGAAAGATCGGGTTGCGAGACCTGCCGGGAATGCGTCGATTGGATGGGAAGGCATTCTTCGGGGTTTCTAGCGTCGATGTAAGCAAAGCTATTTCATTCCTAGCAGGGAAGAGGGAACACTCACGATGAGTTGGCGATGGCTTCGGCGGCGCTTCTAGACTCCCCATTAGCGAACTGTATACCACATATAGCGGTCGCTGACCAGCACGTACCCGGTGTAGGACACTCTCGTGTAATCGAAGGGCTCAAACATCGTCTCGATCAAACGATGGAGCTCGTCTTCCCGAATTTCCTTCGCCGTGGCGTCCTCCCGCAACTCCGCCCGCGGTTTTTGTCGGCGGGCCCGAGCCTCGAGCGGCGCCTCCTCCAAGAGCAATTCTTCCAGATCGTATGTTGCATCAAAATTGGTCTTGTCGCTGGAGGGTCGGAACACGGGAGGAATCTCCTTTCTCTCCAGCGCCTCAAAGTCGATGTCGGCAAAGAACATGTGCGAGGTGAAGGTCTCAAAGCCTGTAGCACCGATTCGTTTCGACCGATCCTTCTCCATCAGGGCGGCCAATGCTCGGAGACACGGGACAGATACGGCGGGGTTGGTAACGTAGTACTTGGGTTGCGCCTTTTTGATATTCTCGCTGAGCACATCCTGGGTCCGACCTTCGAATGGGCGCTGGGATGGGAGATTCTCAGGTTAGCTTGTCGGGCTCACCTCGTTCAGTTCCAGGGATCCCTCGACAAACCTTGTTATAAATACACTCATAAAAGGTCACACCAAGCGACCACCAATCGACTTCACTGTAGTAACCGCCGCCTTCGTAAACCTCTGGGGCCAGATAGGCCAGCGTGCCAGATTTGCTCGTAAGGGGCTTGCCGGGCCGGAAGTCAGAGGCCACATTCTGTTGGCAATCGAGTCAGCACAAGCAAAGAACAAAACCATCAGTATCACGACACTGAATCAAGACCAACATACGAAATCAGCCAAATGCACGTGTCCTTCCGAGTCCAGTAGCACATTGTCCGGCTTCACATCCCGATGGATAATTCCCTGCGAGTGAATGTACCGCAGAGCACAGCCCAGCTCTGCGGCCCAAAATCGTACAGCTTCCTCAGTGAAACACTTTCTCGAGATATGGAATCGCAGATCGCCGCCGTTCATCAAATCTACCACAATGTAACTTTGAGGCCATCAGTAACTTGGTCGAATCGGGGGGGGGGGGGGGGAAGGGAGAAATGTTCGTGAAACGCACATGTATTCGATGTCTTGAAAGCTGTATCTCAAGTTGCAGAGGAAGGCATGGTTGAGGTGTTCGAGCATGCGCCGTTCACGGATGATGTTTCGTACACTTTCCGATCGGACGACTGGGACGCGCAAAGAAGCACTGTCAGCAGGTGCTGCGAGAGCATTTCCGGCGATCTCGTACCTTCTTCTTTCCGGATGTACTTTAATGCGAATGTCAAGCCGGTGTCTTTTTTCTCCACGATGCGGACTTTGCCAAAAGCCCCTTTCCCTACCACCCGCAGGAGGCGGAACTGATTCAAGTTCACTGCATCCCGTTATCAGTATTTGCACACAAAGCTTTGTGGTACCATTGCTGCGGTCGCTCCAGGTTGGGTTTGGTGGAGAGTCCAGGGGGGGGGGAATGGTTACGCACACTCATCGGTGGGGGCCACCTGTTTCCCTTGCGAATTCCCCATTTACGAAGCTGTGTAACAACAAATGCTGAGATCCTTCTTGTTGAGTTACCTCCGACAACATCCCATTCGATCACGGTTCGGTCGGTGGACAAGATAGCTCGGTCGAAAGCTCAATTGTGGGATTGAGAGGGGGGGAAGGGCAGGCGAAGACGAGTAGGAAATCGGATGGAGATTTCTTTGGCACGCGGCGGGGGGGGAGCTGAAGTGAATTGGGATTTATAGGCCAAGCGACGAGCTCACCGATGTAGAGCGACAGAGCGATACTGAGCAAGACAAGGCAAAGTTAGTTTTGGAAATTCGAGAAAGGCGGCAGAGTGCAGTCAGTGAGTGGCCTCTGCACAGCGCGGAAGAACGTGGGCGGAGGGGTTTCATTTTCCCGATTGGCAGAGGGGGGGGGGGGGGGGGAAAGAAACAGCAATCTGACAGGTGAGACCTACCCTCCGTGAAGAGACTTGTGTGGCAGTCAGAAACAAGTTGCGGTTAATGTGGAAGGAAGAGATGTGAGGGGAAGATAATTGTTGAGATTTAAGGGGGAAAAAAAGAAGAAAAAAAAGAAAAACCGAGGAAAAAGACAAAAAGAAAAAAAGGTGAAGAGACACGATCCCGACAAGAACCACCAAGCGGAGGGTTAAGCGGAGGGAGAAGAAGAAGAAGAAGAAGGGGTAAGGACCAGCGTATGGGGTGGATTGAGAGGAACGGGGAAAAGGATAGCGGGTAAGAAAAGTTACTGATGGTATTCCGAGTTAGGTGGAAAAGCAGGAGGTGAGAGGAACAGGAGAGGGACAACCCTGAAGGTCAAGGCAATAATGATGAGGGAGAAGAGGTGTGAAACTGAGTAAGTGAGTTGAGTAAGTGAGAATTGAGAGACTCTAAGAGGAGAAGTTTTGAGTGTGAGAGAGTGAGAGTAAGTGAGAGAGAATCGGGTCGGACTATGGATTGAGCAGGAGGAGCAGGAAAAAGTGCAGTGATGGCTTGTCGCCTCCTAAAGATCTTCCGTCCTCAAAGCAAGGTAAATCACCTGTCGATGAACTAACCCAATCCATTGTGCATCAGGTCAAAAAATATAAGGAAAATAGCAAGAATACTCTGCATTCATATTTCTACAGACAGTAATAATGAGTAATTAGAATACCTATCAATGAATAAGCTATTAAGAATACAGCAAGATTACGATCCAATGCAGACTCATTAAAGAGAACAAGATTAATTAATGCCGAGAAGCACTGCTTGGATTCGTTGGTTAGATTCCCTACAACTTCTTTGCCCACCCTTAAGCAATGCTTGTGTTGCTTCTTCTTCTTCTTCTTTCTTCGTCTTCTGCTTCTCCTTCTTCTATTGCTATTCCATTTCCTGCTTCTACTTCTATTTTCTTTTCTTTTCTCCGATTCTGGTTTCGGCTGGTCCTTTGTCGCTGCTGGGATGTCTTTCTTTTGACTTCGGATCCATAACCGCTCGGATTCAGACTCCGGGAAGACACAGAACCAGGGCCAGAAGCCATCGCACCGCCAACACGAGCTGACTGGCCCCGATCTCGATGGAATATCATCCTTGGGGGTTTGGCCGCCGTGAACTTGTGTTTGCGGCTGAAGGATTCGGACTGACTATCCTAAATCTATCGGAATTAGATCGAGATTGAGAAAAGTCCCCTTCCATCGAGACCCGAGGGATGTTCTAGCGCAAAATACTGTAGTCATGGCTAAGCGACGCTGACGGGCGGCGGGATGGGGGAATGAGTTGATGACAGCAACAGGCTAACGAGAAGGAAAAGGGGGCATAGCCGTCAAGGAGGCTGGCTTCCCGCTGAGGGGCCCAAGCGAGAAAGATGAATGCATCATCATCTGGTGGAGAGACATTGAGATGTGCTGGGGAAAGCTAAAAGGATGGATGGGAATCCGGTGACATGGAAGAGGGTCGATCCATGGGTTCAGGCAGGACCCAAGGGACAGCAGCATCGCACTGCATGTCCCCCCCCCCCTTTTCACCATTAACATCGAACAAAGAAAGAAGATATGTAAGTAGGTAGTATCCCTGTCATGCAATTTGGACCAACCGTAATCGGGACCCCGTCCCGATCTATCGTTGGATATTATAGTCATGGATAGATGGATGATGCATGGATGGATGTATCAACCCACGCAAGGAACCCTGTCGAAGGCTTCTGTACTCCGTATTCCGTGCTCAGGTACGGGAGTACAGTCAGTCACTACTTTGGATGTGTGTTTCACATGGCGGTTCACCGCTTGGTTGCTCATCCGCCCGTGCTAATTTGTCGTCTGCATCATTCCAACAGGGCTACCAACCACGGTATCCATGGATGGCAAGTCAAAGCCAGTCACCCTCCATACATTCCATCGTAGAGTTAACTATGCGTGGCCACATCTCGTGGCCGCCACGTTTGTGCCCCCTTCTCCTTCCTCCTCCACTCCTTCCTACCGGTAGATTCTCCCGATCGGGTCGGAGTGACCGTCTGCCGCTTGGGGGCAGAATCGCTTTATGGATAAGGTATACTGTATCTCGTGAGGGCATCCGGCGTACGCCGTCACTGGGAGGCAGGCAAGAACACCCCCAAACATTGCTACATCCATGGACTGGACACTGGGTTGATGCTCACGCTAGCTGCATTCATCATCCCTGATGGGCTCGGTCGGTTGTTTCAGGTTTCGGTGGGCAGGAGAGGCTGAAGAGCGATCCCTGTCAGAGTTAAAGTGATGGTTTGATTGATTGACTGACCGACTGTTCACGGAGTAACTATCCATGTATCTGTCAGCATCCGATGCTAGTAAGTTAGTTACCTAAGTTGCCAATATATCATCTATCCTCAACGTGGTCGGTCCATGACCCAAATCATCCAATATCAGCCAAGAAGGGATACACGCGCCCTATACGAAGTCTCTCACCTTCTCGTCATAACTACCTTACCAAAAAGAGTCCAAGGACCAATGTCATCACCCCGCCAAGAGCTTCAAAGCAGAAGCCGGCACCCAAGAAAACAAGATCATCTTTTTAGGTGAGCGGGTCCGACTCCCCAAGCTCCTCTTAGCGCAAAGACGGAGTGGATTCTCGTCTCGTCAACGGCGCTGATCGGCCGGGTCTAGCCAGCTTCTGGGTTAGTCTTGGGAGCGGTGACCCCCGACAGTGGAAACCTTAGCCCTCCCCTGGATGACTGTGCCCATGTCGCCAGCCGTCTATATTGTACATACCCACCGGCACTGTGTAGACATTTCCGGTGGACAGCCGCAGGAGGGATACATGCATGGCATGCGAGGTTATTTGCCATGGCTGCACATGCAAGAGGTCGGTCGAGTTTGCACAAAAAGATAGTAGCTATTAAAAAGGACGGAAGAAAAAAGAGATGACAAGAGTGGGATTCGAACCCACGCCACTTGCGTGACTGCAATGCTCCTCAGATTGAGATCTGAAGAAGGAAGATTCCTTGAGTGCAGCGCCTTAGACCGCTCGGCCATCTTGCCTGTGATGGATTGTTTCCCAATATTCTGGTTATATATTCCTAACACAAAACACTTTTAGTAAGACAGTCTGCCGTATGGTCTCTCACTCGGGCGAGTCTTTGGTCTGTGCCCTATTCCTTGATAATAATATGAACATACTGTGATACCGTTACTCCTGGTATGTTATATGAGGAGTGACAGAAAGTGATGGTCTGTGTAGTATCATGGAAACCAAGTTGCCGCCCCCCAGTTCGCTTAGACTGGGGCTACCGGATGTACATTTGTTGAACATTTGTTGTGCATTTGACCTGCATCGTTCTGCTGCTTAGACCTGCTTGGACTGGAGCTTGCGTTGTTGCCTGTGCGGAGTCGTGCTATGTGCACCATGTTACTTAGTGAGAGGACCGTGGTCAATGCGTATCTGTGATGTACATTGCCAATGTGGTTGGTAAAAGCCATGCGTGATGCAATATATACGATACCTGATATGGACGCAGATTAACGGTGCCGGCGTACGCTTGCGAATGGCGATAACAGAACCTGTGCACTCTGAGTGAGTTTCAAGTCAGTAAACATGCTGCAGTTTAATCGGAGCTCACTATAAGCCATTGTAATCACCATGGATTGGAGGGCTGTTTTTACAGTTCTATGTGACAACAATTGCAAGCTTGCCACAACAACAACAGGCAAGATGGCCGAGCGGTCTAAGGCGCTGCACTCAAGGAATCTTCCTTCTTCAGATCTCAATCTGAGGAGCATTGCAGTCACGCAAGTGGCGTGGGTTCGAATCCCACTCTTGTCATCTCTTTTTTCTTCCACCCTTTATCTTCGGCTCTGCCGTTGATCCTAGGTCTATTTTTACATGGTTGTCCGTTACGCTGTAGCTTCTTCTCATTGCCGCTTCTCATACTTCGTCCGTCCATGCAGCGCCCGAGAGCAACTCCAAATCGCATGGCAGCGTGGCAATTCCAACCAGCATATCTGCCGACGCGAGCAGTCCATCATTACCCGCCCAGGCAATACCCCCGGCCAAATTCTCCCTGATCGACACCATCCAACTCACAGACCACCATCACAGTACTCTCCTGGTCTCCTATCAGGAGAGGGAGCCACGCACCTGACCACGCCCTGAGCCACAAGAGCCACAATCCACGCCGAACCGCATCGCTTACGGCAGCTTCGCGGGCGACAACAGATTGACTTCAACGAATACGGCTCTTTGTCCGACCCCGATATCCTTGGCAGACCTCGCATGGCGTCCCCATTCGTTCGCGTACAGTCCTCTGTACATCACTAGTATATCTCGACGTGCTAGGCAGCCGTCTAGACCAGTTATGCGGTAATTGGATACTCCTGTGGTAGACATAGACGATATCACTTCGAGGGGTAGGTTGTGCCTGTGGTGGAGCCGAGCCGGGAATCTACTTCAATGAAAGACAATTGGCCCAGGTGAGTGCTGAGCTGGCAGGCCTACCTGTACGGTTGGTATACTAGTTAAGATCTCATTGATTACATTGGGGTCTGCAGTCCGCGACTCGGTGGCTGTTGCCCCCTGTGCCTTGTTTCTTGGGATGTTTCGCTCGCCTGGGGCTGCGGATGAGGAGGATAGTGCTGTATATGAAGTAGGGCTATCACAGGTAGCATGGCAGTGAGTACCAGGTACTAGGAAGTACTCGTCAAGGACAAGATATATAAATAGCAATTTGGTATTGTGCACATAAAACATAGTATGCTCCGTAGGTAAATCGAATCTTTGCAATGAAGCCACAGAGGATGATCACCACTATGTAAGTTACTACTACTGACAAATTACCATATATTTATTTTGGAATATTTTGGAATATAGCACCACGCCTTCTCCCCATCACCGATCAGTATACCGTACAGAGTGCATACAGCTCGTGATTTCACCCCTAGAATGGAGTTTGGAATAGTTATGATCATCTCCACAATGAACAGCACACTCCGCCATACGCCATACTACGTCCGGAGTTACATCCAAGAAACCCCAAATCCCGATCCCCACAATCCCACACCACCCATACAGCCGAACAAGAGCGAGGAGGGCCTCAAATCAATGAACCTCTACCGTACCGTCAGCTCGCCACCACCAACCATATCGTACCAGATTCCGACTGCATCGTCCAAAGCCCTGCCCTCCTATCTTTCCATCCGATCGATCACATCCCGATCCCACCAACCAACCATCGTCGATAACTCCCCTCACGACCCGTGCATACTTACCTCTAATTCGCGGCTCGCCACACCGGCGGAAACACTCAATCAATCCTGCAATCCGGAGTACACAGACAGTTATACCTACCCCAGCGGGACTGCGGTACTGGATACTGGGTACTGGGTACTGGGTACTGGGTACTGGGTACTGGGTACTGGGTACTGGGTACTGGGTACTGGGTACTGGGTACTGGGTACTGGGTACTGGGCAAGGGTATACTGCAGTGAGCAGTAAGCACGATGCCTGCAGAATAATTTGTGTTTGTATCTCTAGTTCACCCCACCTTCCCCCCACTAACTTGACCCACTTTATTTTTTATTCCCTTGCCTTGCTGTAAGTTACCCTTGCTTGCCCTATAGAGTACGGAGTACTATCTAGGGGGGGGAGTCTTAATGAGTTACTTGGAGTTGTTTCACCGTGATGGTTTGATTAGTATATTCTATACCTAGTCACTGCCAAGTTACTAATATCAAGATCATTACTCTCACCACCTGCTTCAGATGAGGTTATACAGGCCTATGAAGGAAATAGAATGGGAAGTATCAATCATCCACAAAATATACAAAGAACAGAATCCGTGATACGGTAAGAATCACTCCTGGGGATCGTACACTACCGAAATCACCGGGGGTGAACCGGAGTAACTTACTCACTACTCGTAAGAATTAGGATAGATAGAGTCAGGATGTGGCGAACGGTACCCCCCGCAATACCCAGGGGTTCAAGAAACGTACAAGGATCGCACCCTTCGCTCATCAATGTGCAATAATCTCCCGTGGTCTACGGAGTCAACAGTAGCCCTCGGTTGAGAAAGCAATCGTAATCGTGACCACAACCCCTAGTGACGAAAGACCAGGATGATCATCACGGAACTCCTAAATCCGAGGGGTGGAGAAGAATAATGCATTGCGAGAGGTGTATGTGCCGGATAAGTTACGCCTTGCAAATAGACAATCAGATGTGATGGGTCTACGGGGAACCCGGGATGGATCAACCAACTTAGGTCGTGCGCCGAGAGAATCCTCAGCTGCGCCGATTGTTGCTCTCTCGCCCTCGTAACAAGCTTCCGCTTGCCCCGTATTCCAAGTCGGTCTATTATATCTACTGTACTCCGTAGGCCCACCTGTCGGGACTCTTGTCAAACCTGAAACGTGGGCTGAGTACGCCGACCTGCCGACATAAGCATAAACCGCACCCCAGAGGGTCTGACAGGAATGCAGAGGCAAAGATACGATTAATTCGCTCCACCGAGATCACGATGCCCAGTTGAAGTTCGTAAACGCATTTCTAAATCATCAGACCCGTGTCTATATCTACACATGTAGCACTAACATGTCCTGTACCGTGTCCGTCCTAACCCGAATCCCAACTCCTGCAATGCATTGGCTTCCGTCTTCCGTTCGAGGAACCCCGTGTCCGTGTCGCACCACATGCGTTTCAGATCATCTGATCGCATCTACCACCGTCTGCCATATACCGAATCCTCTGTCCGAGGGGCGCGCTGGCCCTGTGGACGGTTGCGCTCGCGCTCGCGCGACTGCGACTGCGACTCGCTGACACGGCTGCCGCTGCTCTTGCTCACGTACGGCGAACCAGCCTCAGCTCCCGACGCCAACAACTTGGTGGTCTGCGTCAGGTCGATATTGCTGTCTCCGTTATATCGAGCTTCGGCGTCCTTGCCGAACAGCGCCATCATATCCTTCATCGTGAGCTTGGCGGCCGCAGTCTTGCCCTCAATGGTCACGTTGGCGAGCTCCCGCTTGCGTTCTTGGAGGTCAAGAATACGTTCTTCCACAGTGCCCTTGATGATCATCTTGTAGATCTTAACGTCCCGGGTCTGGTTCAGGCGGTGGACGCGGTCAATCGCCTGCTCTTCGACAAACTAAAATGGCATGGTTAGCACAGGTCCGGACACTGACCTGACGAATGTCAACTTACAGGATTCCAGAATGGCTCCAGGATAACCACTCGGCTCGCAGCGGTCAGGTTCAGCCCCAATGCACCGGCTCGCAGACTGCACAGAAGAACCCTCGTGCCACTGTTGTTCCGGAGCTTGTTGAGGCTCGCTTCACGATGATCATTACGCATGCCGCCATCATACCGGGCGAATCCGATTCCCGCGCGTTTTAGGAATGGCTCAATCTTGTCCAACATAGAGGTGAACACAGAGAAGACGATAAACTTGTGGTCCGCGGACTCGCGTCGGAGAATCTTCATCAGATGGCGGACCTTGGTAGACGGGAGAACGGCATTGGAGTCATCCCCAGTATTCAGGTAGATGTCTTCATCATCCTCACTGTCGACAGTAACAAGGCCATGGGTCTCCTTCCGTATACTTGTAGGCTTTCGACTCGGAGATTCGGGTCCATCCTGATCAGAGTCAGAATCAGCTGAATCGTCAGAATCATCTGAGTGGAGCCATTCGCCCCCCCCCTCAGCGTCCTCGTCGTCAGTGCCCCCAGCCTTCCCCAGATTGGATTGCTTTCGCTGATGCTCTGGGACAATCCACTCGCCATCCTCTTCATCTTCATCATCGCTGTCGACTACCACCCTTCTGTTTCTGCGGAAACGAGCTGCTTGCGCCTCAGAGCGACGCTCCGAAGGCGACTGCGTCAGATCAATGACCGCATTGGGTCCACTCCGCCTCTTCTTGTCGGTCGTCATGATGTTCGTGTCAAGCGTAGTTTGGCACTCCTTGCACCTGCTTCTACCACCAGACGCCTCATCCGGGCTGAGATCCATCTGGCAGATATCACACTTCCTGGACACCACACTCAGTGCACCAAACAGATCTGCCATACTGTCCAGATCATCTTGCCTGCCGGACGATTGCTGACTCCCAGTAGCCCCAGTTTGCAGAAGAACGTCCTTATCCTTAGCAAGGTCACTCTTGACAAGATCGGGGTGATTGCATGACTGTCGAAGACGCAACAGCAGGACCAACGCGCCGGCATAGTCAACTTTCTCGCCGCCCATCATTTTCTCGAGACTGTCGTCCGTGCGCTGTTCCAGGCGTTTATAAAAATCCAGCTCACCGGACATAAATTCTGCTTCTACCTTGACGACCTCTCGCTTGACAATCTGGAAGCCGTTGGACTTCTTCTTCTTCTCACCTCCCTTGCCCTCTTCACCCGGTTGAAGGTTGGCGTTCTGCTTCAGGACATCCTTAGTACGTCTCTTCATGAAGATCTTGAGATAAACCTGCAAACGCTCAATGGCAAGGCCGCCGCGACCGTTGGATATGGGTTTGGTGATTTGTTCTCTCCAATTGGCCAGATCGTTGAAGGGTTTGATCCGAAGGAACTTGATCAGACTTTGAAGCTCATCAAGATTATTCTGCAAGGGCGTTCCTGACAGGCACCACCGATATTCCGCGTCGAGAGCACAGGCGGACTGGGTTGCCTTGGCATTTCGATTCTTGATCGTGTGCGCTTCGTCCAAAACAATTCGATACCAGTATACAGAAAAGATACCTGTTTTCTTCTTGTTTTTGTCGAGTGCACCATGCTCAGAGGTTAGGGTTCCATAAGTGGTGATCACGACATCGTAATTCTCCAGGTTGTCGGTCGCCTTCGCGCGTGCATTGCCGTGGTATACGAGCACGCGGAGTCGGTGTGATGGTTCGACTTTGTCCAGGATTTCGGCTTCCCATTGCTTGATAAGTGCTAGGGGCGCAACGACCAGGGTGGTTTTGCTAAGGCCGGGAGGGAGTTTCCGGGTATCTTCCTCTTCGTCCTCGTCGCTGTCCTCTTCATCATCCTGGGACTTGGAACGTCGAAGTCCACTTGTAGGTTTCCGGTTAGAAAGGATCAGGGCGATCGTTTGAACGGTCTTTCCAAGACCCATATCGTCGGCCAAGATGCCGCCCTTGGGGAGGACACCCTTCGTCTTGTTGCGGCCAGTTTCTTTGTCGCACATCCAGTTGACACCTTCACGCTGGTGAGGAAGTAGTTTGACCTTCAAGCCTTCCACGGTACCATCATCTTCATCCTCCTCCTCTTCATCCTCTTCCTCGTCTTCCGACTCAGCTTCAGCTTCACTGTCACTTTCATCCTCTTTCTCCTCCGCCAAATGCTTGGTAGTGGCCTTGGGTGAATTCGAAGATGTCTCACCCTCATCCTCACTATCATCCGAAACTCTCGTCTCCTTCACAGTCACACTTTCCAGCTGCGCAGCAAGATCATCTATGTCGGCGATGTCTTGCTTCTTGTCCTTGGCCTTTTCCTCCATCTTCTTCAGATCTTGCTTCTTGTCTTCCTTCTTCGCTTCCTTCTTGTCTTTTTTTCTATCCTTCTTCTTATCCTTCTTCTTTTTCTTCAACTTGTCCTTCTGCTTCTCATCGTCGTCGTCTTCAAACGCCCCCTCAAGCAGCGCCTTGATATTCTCATTCGCTTTCGCCGTGTCAACGAATCCGTTCACATCCATAGACCCGAATCCGTTATTCCTCCCCCGCGCACTTGGAGTAAATCCACCCTCCCCGGTCAAGTCGATAAAATTCTGCAGATTCCGTGAGCCATTCGCCATCTTGATGGCCGAGGGCTTGGAGGCGAAGAACGTCTTCGGCGCGCGGGGCGTGTTGAATGTGAAATTCTCCGGACGGCGAATTTCGACGACATCATTGCTGACGGGACGAGAGAAACGGTTGTTATTGTAGGCCGATGGACGAACAGGCTGGAAAGGATCGTAAGTCTCCGCCCGATGAGGAGTAGCGAATGCTCCAGCAGGGCCGGGGGTCTTCGGTCCTCGCTGATGCGGTAAGGGCTGCTGCTGAGGTCGTGACTGCTGCTGGGGTCTGTGATGCTCAGGACGAGCTTGGTTGGGCTTGGGGATGTTGAAAGGGTTGCCTCTGTTGCTGCTGTTGTTGTTATTTGTGATTGGGGCGTTCGTGTTGTGAGGTTTTGGGTTATGGTGAGCGTGGCTCTGATGATGCACTGGGCGAAGAGGAGTTGCTTTCCCAAACTCTGGATGGACACGACGAGGCTGTTGCTGGTGCTGCTGCTGTGCGTCGTTTGTCGGCCGACGAGGGGTCATGGGATCGAGTGGAGCGTCACTTTCGCGAGCCATGGCGACGAAATTATTGTTTAAAGTCAAGTACAAATGAATGAGGTCCTGTGTTAGTAGCTGCTGCCAATTGCAGTGTTATGCTTCGACGCTATGCATCTAGCTCTCTTGCGAGTAATTTATGACTTGTTGTCTTGTTTGTCGTGGTCAAACGGAAGTTCTATCGGGTTCCTGTGCGCAGGCAGCCAAGTGGTTAGCATGGTATGCCTATAGTGGCGACTGGCACTTCGAATATTGCAACATATGAAAGAGAGGAACCTGAAGTGAAAGCGAGTTTTGAATTGAACTTACCTCAATTTATGATGGAGCAAAGGGACTAAGAAAGAATTCACAGCTGGAGAAGAGATGGAGGGGCAGTGACGAGGCCACAGGAAGATCCCGCTAGCCACATTTTATCGATAGCGCTACTTATCATTTGTTTGGTTTGGCGCCCTTTCTTTGCCCCGGCAACCGCTCGGTACAACACAACATTAGCCTCGACGCAGGGACTTTGACAGTTGGAAATCTGGGGTTCTCAAGCAAGTTTGAGCTTAGATTTCATACGTTGACGTCTCATTGGACTAACTGATCAAATCATGAATATCCACTTTATGTCACGATAGTTAGTTAACTAGTTAATTACTTGTCTCCACAGGAACTTGCGGTGACTCTGCAAGCACCCTGCGCTTCTTCATTTCGTATCGTCATATATAGTCACGTTAGAAAGCTAGACACACCACTCTTCTGAGAGGCCCCCCTCCCCCCCCCCGAGCCTTCTCATACTTTGCCAATCACAGGCTCTAATATCTGAGGCACGATAACTCCGGCATCACCCTGGAACAGCCAATCCTTTGAAGTCAACCCAGAGGACCCAACATCATTGCGATCCATATTAATGACTGCCACTCTCGCACCCCGTTCGCGCGCTTTATCGACATACCCGGCCGCAGGATAGACCTGCGCGCTCGTCCCGATGACCAAGATGAGATCAACCTTGTCCGCGCTCAGCCACTTGTCGATATAGTCCAGCGTCCGTAGCGGTAGGCTCTCCCCAAACCACACCACGCCAGGCCGTAGAAGCCCCTCCTTGCACTCCGGACAGTGCGGCAGTACATCGGGACTCAGCGTGGGAAGAGGGACCCGTTCATCGGAGATGTCCAGCTCTGCGCCCTCTTCCGCGGTGTTCAGCGCGTCCGCCAGGGCCCGGGACGCCTGCTCCCCTGTTTTATCCTCCGCGAATGGGCCGAGGTCTGCCACGCTCTTAGGAATTGCAAGTGCAGGCACGATCGGGTCTGAGAAATCATCTTCACGAGAGTAGCTGCAGTAGAATGACGTGCATTTGACGGTAAACAGGGAGCCATGAAGGAGATGAAGCTGGTGAGGGGGGTGGCCTGCGCGCTGTGAAAGACCTGCGTGATAGTTGACGACAACGGGTCAGTACGCGAACGTCGGTCTCTGTTTTCTTTTTGCTCCGCAGCGCAGACCAAACTCACCGTCAACATTCTGCGTCAGCGTGATGAACTTGGGATTCTTCTTGGCGAGCTTGGCCAGAGCATAGTGTGCACGATTGGGTTGGGCTTGGAGGGCCATGTGCCTTCGATAGCTGTAGAACTGCCAAACCAGGTCTGGGTTGGCATTGAATGCTTCAGGAGTTGCCAGTTCTGTGGCATCATGCGATCGCCAGATTCCGCCGGCACCTCGAAATGTGGGCAGTCCAGAGGAGGCGGAGATGCCAGCTCCTAGTAGTGCAATTATCCTTTTGCACCCTCTGAGGTGGTCGGTAAATGATTTGAGGTCTGCTGCTGGGATGGCGGATGAAGCCATGACGAGAACCTGCAAGCAAGTGCGAATTTGAAAATTCTATATATTTCCCAGCTAGTATTATTCTGGTGCCCGGCTAGCAATAGAGAAGTATTATATCTCGTGGGCAAGTGCCAGGAAGTTTGGAGTTGAGCAGCATATTGACGTTCCAATGAGCGAGGGACGCTAAGCGATGATGACGTGGGGTAATGCGATAAAGAACTTTGTTCCTCAATGCTTCCACCTGAATTGATTCACTACCAGGACGTTCAAAAGTTACTCCTACACTGAGTTCCTTTCAAAATCCAATCTCAGGTTTGGAATACCCTGCTCTTCCAAGATTGTTGCAGTCCTCTGTCAATACTATATGTCTACGGGTAGAGGCACCTGTAACTTTATCGATCCCAATCACTAACTATAACTACCCCGCAATATGTCTTGCGCAGCCCGAAGAGCCTCCCTCATTTAACTCACCACGCTGTGGACAGCCCTGAAATGACATTTCGTTAGACAACATCTACCATAAAAAAGAAAAAGAAAAGAAAAAGAAAAGAAAAGATATAATGCGCCCTTTCAGCCCACGTCAATGCTGCTCCTCCTGTGGCAGCTGAACACCAATGGCCTTCTCCGCATAACCACGATTCTCCGCATTCTTCGCCGCCACAAATGAGCTGATATAGTCCGGCACGCCAGCCACGTGGTTCTGTGTACTGGGTACAGGCTCTCCGAATGACTCCCAGACAGGCACCACGCCCGTCCAGACCCGGTCGGTGACCTCCTCGTTGCCTGTATCCTTTTTCTCGTCGGAAACCCCGCCGTCGCGGATCTTACCACTGCCGCTGACGACCTTGACCTTGAGAATGACGGTGGAGGACATCTCTGCGCGGTCGGGCGGCACGCGCGTGTTGGCCCAGCGGTCCGAGAGCACGGAGTTCGTGATGAGTTCCATGGCGTACAGTTTTTCCGCCTCGTCCGTAACCAGCTGCGCATAGCCCTGGATGATGGCTGAGCGGTAGTTGTAGCTGTGGGAGTTGGGCGTTAGTGACAGGATGAGCCCGTCGACTTTACTTGCTGCCACACAGACGGGGAGCCCCTCCCCTTCGGACTCGCGCGCAAGGTTCATGATCCGCGAGCTGACGTAGCCGTGAAGATAGCAGTCCAGAGGCTCGTCGATGCTGGCGGATGGATAGTCGAAGGAGCCCATTTGCCCGATCATGGGCAGGATTGCTGGAAAGGGCTCGGAGGGCCCGGGACTGAAGGAGACATGGAGGACCTGGGTTGAGTTGATTATGGCATGGATGGCACCGAGATCGTAGGTCGCTATGTAGGTTGCGGTTACTTAGTCCAGCTTTGCAGATAAGAAGAGCTCCATCTCACCTCGATGTTTGTAGCGGTTGACCGTGTTTGATGGTTTCTTGGGATATGTTAGAGTCTTTCCCATTGTTCTTGCAAGATTTTAGTGGTTCGTAATTCAAGTACACTTTTTGATTGATAACATGGAGAGACGAGTGTGTTAGTGCTTGCATCTACTACTTGTACTGGACCGGCAGGATTTATATAGTGGTACTATAGTAGTACTTATAGTACTTAGTAGTAGTTTCCCATGAGTCACTGCATTCTGCGAAAGGACCCGATCACGTTCATTGATCCGCTAGTACGCACAATGATCAGTGTAATGATTGCAATCAACTGAGTACTACGTATCTTATCCTTCCTAGCATTGTGGTACGTCTAGCAGCTCCGAGATATCCATGATGTACTCCACCCGTACTGTCTGTGATTGTGATTGAACCCTTGGCCAATCCAGTTCGCCTTGAAGAGACCATCGGAAACTGGCCATCGTTGATTGGCTGACACCGCCGAGTGCACTGAGCTTTCCGTCCAAGTGGTTAAGTTCCCGTTCGGAGCCTGAACAACAGTGCATCTCGCCCTTCAGGCCTGAGGCAGGAACATCCATAGGTAAACCTTGGGACCCAGAAGTTGGAGATTCCCCATTGCAAGATCCGGGCCATTCGCAAATTCCCCCAGATAAGCGCCAACCCACCACATCCATGGTGCTACGTAATTCAAGAAGCATGTCGACATGCAAATCAGTTCTCCGCCAATGGCCTCGCTATCTCCGCCGCCAAACCCCTCAGTCTGCCGCTGTCCTACCGCAATCTAGCCGTTGGGTGCTTCAGCTATTGCCTTTTGCGCAGCGCCGGACCTATGCTTCCATCTCCGCCGCAGAACTCAAATTCGGTCAGCCGCTACATGAGACTCACCCTCATATCCTGAATCCGGGTGAATGTGAGTGATCTAGTACAGGACATTTCTTAGCATGTATCAGAAGCACTGATCATGGTTTCCGTTGAACAAAGTGACCCCCGGAATCACCGCCCTCGAATACGCCCAGCGCCGCTCGCGCCTCGCCAACAAATTACCCAAGCATGCTGTAGCCGTGCTGGCGGCCTCGGAGGTCACCTATCGCGCAGCGGGGATTTTCCATGAGTACCGACAGGACTCCAACTTCTTCTACCTTACGGGCTTCAACGAACCCAGTGCGCTAGCGATCGTTGGTGAGTTTCCGGCAGAGGAGGAGGAGGAGGGACACACCGCGTTAACGCGCCCTCTGCAGCGAATGATGGATCGGGGAACAATCATCTCTTTCACTTGTATGTGCGCGAGAAGGATGCAAGGGCCGAGCTCTGGGACGGCGCTCGGTCAGGCACCCGCGCTGCCATTGATGTCTTCAACGCGGACGAGGTAGGGATGCTTTTGGTATCATCACTCGAAATGAGAGCTATGCTGATGATACGTTTGACTCTAGTCAGGGGACATCGATCGGATTGGAGACTTGCTACCCAAGATCCTGTCGGATGCTACGGAGATTTATACGGACATTCCCGCCTTGAATCCTGGGCGCTCATCCCTCCATCGTTTCCTGTACGGTCCCACGGCTACCTCCGAGAAGCTGAAGAAGCTGGTTGACTACCGCAAGGTCAAGCCACTCAAGCCGATCCTGAACGAGATGAGAGTCTTCAAGAGCGAGGACGAGGTCGTGCAGATGCGCCGCGTCGGACAGGCCTCGGGCAGGGCTTTTACTGAAGCGATGAGGCAGACATTCACCAAAGAGAAGGACCTGACGGCGTACCTCGAGTATAACTTCAGGCGTAATGGCTGTGACGGCAGTGCGTTTGTTCCGGTAGTTGCCGGCGGCTCTGTAAGTGTAGCTCATCCTAATGCTGGTGCTGGGAGGTCAAGTCTAACATTTTCAGAATGCCCTGAGCATCCACTACACTAGAAATGACGATGTGCTCAGGTGAGTATCGGGAGTCGTGGTTACTAGGTGTTCTCCTGACACAAAACTTCTAGGGATGGAGACATGGTTCTTGTGGACGGAGGCGGCGTAGGTTTTCTCGCCATGAAACGATAGTTCTTATTAATGACACGGGTATAGGAAACGGGCACGTATGTGTCTGATATCACGAGATCCTGGCCTGTCAATGGCAAGTTCACCGGTCCTCAGAAGGATTTGTACAACGCGGTCTTGACCGTACACCGTCACTGTCTCTCCCTCTGCAGGGAAGATGCATCGGTCAGCCTGGATCGCTTGCACACGATCGCCGAGAACGGTCTGCGGGAACAACTGATACAACTTGGGTTCGACGTTTCTGGAGACGTAGGTTCACCCTGCGCCACATACTTGCAGAGTTCGAGGTACTGATTTCAGGCAGGCAATGGGAATCCTCTTCCCTCACCACGTCGGACACTACGTAGGACTCGATGTCCATGACTGCTCCGGATATTCTCGTGGCTATACCCTGCGGGCAGGACAGTGCATCACTATTGAGCCGTGCGTATCCTTGCTCAACCATGATGTACGTATACTAATCTTGTCTAGTGGCTTGTATGTTCCTGAAAGCGACCGTTGGCCGGAAAAATTCCGGGGTATTGGCATTCGCATTGAGGATAGCGTCTGTGTCGGTGACGAGAATCCGATTGTCCTAACCACCGAAGCTGTCAAAGAGGTAAGATATGCTTGTTCATGGTCATTCAATCGTGCTGACACGCTGGGTGCCGTATAGGTTGAGGATATTGAGGCCCTTCGGGATTAGAATTGAAGGAACAGGAGAATAGTATTGATACCCTTCATTATATTGTATACTAGCAAGCACTCGCACTCCCCGTGTTAGTAATGATGATCTCTTTCAGGTGCAGGTAAACATCAAAAACCAAGTTTTTTCGTGGTAGGAGAGACGTCATACACATTTTCGTTGATAGAACGCGTCTTGGTTTGGCTTCAGAGTGAGAGAGAGAGAACAAAAAACCACGATTAAGTAGAAGTAAATGCAGAAAGGCCCTCATGAGTATCTCAGACTGATAATATATTGATCAGCCTGGATAACCCGGGAATTAAGAATGTTCTTGGAGGAGGCAGGGCTCATGCTTCGCGCACGCCTTTTGTTGTCAGGCGCACATCCCGGAGCCAAAACAAACCCGCCCATTCGTTCTCCACCAACCTTCCCTGACACGCTTTGGCCTGGCTCTTCTCTTCGATCATCACTTAACGACGACCACCACCACCACCACCAACCCCAACCCCAACCACCAACCACTCGACTTGCTGCCTCCTACTCCTGCTCGTCTACTATTAGTCCCTCCCCTCCCGTTCGTTCTTCCTTGGGGTGTGAGTTTCTTAGTCGACTCCCCTCTATTTTAGGGACGATTCTAGTCTCTCATTCCGTGTCCATCCACTCCCTTTCCCTATCGTGTTGGATCGTGTGGACAATGGCCCTTTTCTGATCGAGTTCCCTGCTCGTCGAGACGTGTAATTCCATCGCGTGCTCGTCTGGAGTGCCCCTCCTTTGCCACTCCTCGAAAATCGACCGCGACTTGACTTCTCCCGTCCATAATATCGCCATAGTGCTGCCGCTATTGTTACTACCACATGGCAGCAGTATTCATTCCACCCTCTCCCCGAACCTCGCTTAATATGTCGACTCGCCGACCACTCGCAAACGTGCCGAATGCTACCAATTCCCCTCACAGGTCAGGCCTCGTGCCGGCCAAACGTCTCCGGGCGGCGTCAACCCAGCTCGACATCCCTTACGGCCAGCCACCTCCGAAGAAGCAGGTAGTCGATGGCCAGGAGCCCGAGGCTCGTTCGCCCACCCGGCCCCGAACCTCCGCCTTGCAGAACCCGGACTCCAAGCTGTTTACGCGTCGGTCCAACAATGCCCAGCCCAGCGCGTTCGAGAGGAAGCTGGTCGCCGTCCGGGACAAGGAACGTCAGAGTCAACTCAAAGTCACGCGGAACGACAAGCCCTCCGCCGAGACCCTCGATGCCATGCGGCAGTGGCAGAGACATTACCGCAAGGCCTTTCCTCAATTCGTCTTCTACTTCGACAGTATTCCGGAGGATGTCCGGAGTAAGTGCTCGAGACAGGTGCTGGCTCTGGGAGCTGTAAGTTCTGGCCTTGTTCACACTTGATATTGTGCTTTGTATTCGGTAGCATTGGTATCCTCCTCGATCGTACAAGGGTTCCTCGAGGTGTACTCATGCTTGTCTTATGCTTGGTCGTGTATCTTGACTTGCTTGCTGACATCCTATAGCGCGAAGAAAAATTCTTCTCGCGTCAAGTGAGCCACGTCGTGACCTCTCGGCCCATACCCCCTGAAAATGAAACCGCAACCCCGACCGAGCTCAATGCGGAGCTTACAGAGCACGTCAACGCGGATGGAACCTTGCAGACCGTTAACCCCTCTCTACTCGACAAGAGCGCCGAAAGCCACCTCCACATGTCCCTCAAGAACGATGCACGGCGTGAGCAGAGAGGGATGGATGTGCTTCACCGAGCCCGGCAAATGCGGATGAAGATCTGGGCGATTGAGAAACTTCAGCGGATGATTGCGACGATCAATGAAGGGGATATGGGAGGCGCCACAGGTTCGACTCGGACCACCAATGCCGTCAGCGGCCACACAAGAGTCAAGGGCGAAAACGACCTGTCACAAGTTCTGCAAAATGAGCTTATGAACGGTCCATCGGATCGTAACCCTCACTCGGTCCTCAAGGAGCAGATATTGTTCAAAGGTCCCTTCATCTACGTCCATGATATGGATGAAAAGACCAGGCCTGTCATGGTTCGTGAGTACGCCAGGGTTGTCAAGCGGCAGGATGGGACTTGGCCGCAGTTCCGCAGTGCACCGCTAGGCAAGTGTCCTTTCATCGATGAACCGCCTATGAAGAAGGACCTGGATCGACAACGTGCCCGCCAACGCGAGAGGGAGAAGAAGCCCGTGCCGAAACCTGTTCCCGTTCCAGAAATTCGAGACACCCACTTGAATGCACCGGAGATCAGCAGAACTTTTGATGAGGCTGAGGTTGCCACTGCAGAATATAGCCCCGCCGAGACTTTCTGTCAGGAAAGGCAGCCTGAGATGCAAGAAATGCAACCGACTCGACCGCAGTCTCCCAGGAAGAGCTCTGAGAGTTTCTGTCCGCCGCCGCTTCGGCGCACGGGTCCATTCTTCCACGGTCGTGAGCCTGCAGCGTCCGGGGTACAGCCCTCCAACATCACATCAGCCATCCGCTCCCAAATGGTGTCTTCCACCGCTGCTGCACCCGGGGCTAAGGCCGGCCTGAGCAAGGAGGTACATGAATTGAAGCGGAAGGTTCTCGAAAAAGGCAATGGAGTCAGCGCCACCGGCACAGCGCCACTATCGCACCAGACCACGAACTTGAACACAACTTTGAAGATGCGGACCCATGAGAATCGACCAAGTAATCTGAGTCATGCGGAGAAAGCTGCGAATGTACTCGACGAAGAAGCAGCGGCGTTGGAGAGCACTGGGGCACTCAAGCAACTTGCCAGCAATCGAAGAGCCATAACACCGAAGAAAAAAGAACGCCGCAGGGATCCGAAGCCAGGTTATTGCGAAAACTGCAGGGACAAGTTTGATGACTTTGATGAGGTGAGGAAGCTCGCATTGTGTTGGGGAGCCATTTACTGACCTCGACCAGCACATCATGACCCGAAAGCACCGCAAATTCGCCATCACCAAAGCCAACTGGGCCGAACTCGATGCATTGCTCGAGGAGCTGGAGAGACCCTTGAAGAAAAAGTATCTTGTCTAGTGGTTCAAGGCACGAGAATCAGACCCAGAGGTGGTTATATGAGATGTACAATATATCACATATTTCGAATCTGCACATCCATTGCCGTATCGCTCTTCCCGGATGGTCTATCGAGGACCCAGCAGGGAATCATCTACGAAAGGCCTTATCACATTTTCTTCTTTATCGAATGACATACATACGACCCGGTTGCTGTTCGCAGGAGGCCCTTCATCATCGGCTGGTGACGTGCTTAGCGATGTCTATATTCTTTCGCTGTCTTCTTCTTTTTCTTCTCCCTTTGCTCTTATGTTTATTACGATTCACATCCCAGCTAGCAGTTGATGTATGGCTGTTGCCAATGATCTTGGCGCTGTTCTGCGCTGTTCGTTCGCGAATTGATGAGGCAAGAGCGTCTGACGGCCCTGACAGCGTCGGGGTTCCTCTCTTGGAAATTACTCATGTGGCAGCGGAAACAAGGAAACGCAGGGGGGCAGGGAGTGAAGTATTGTGGGCTGCAGGGCGCTGGGATCATGCATGCAATCATGCTCTGCGCTGCCGATGGGGACATCCGAGTCGTGCGTCTGCACGAGCCTTGACTGACAACGTGGGCTATCTCTTCTTTTCTTCTTTGTGTCTCTACTTCTTTGACTTTGATTTCGATTCTCGGGTCCATACTGGATGATGTGTTCAAGGGGTTGCATACAACGGGCTGCATTCGTGGATTGGTGTTGATGCTTTGCATTGCGTTCGGAGGTTGCCTGCGTCCCTTGCGAGTGTTGTTTGCTCTGTTTCTCTTCATCGTGGCTATTGTTAGGTCCTCTGAGGAGTGGACAGGACCTAGGCTTGACTGTGGCTACCTGCCTGGCTTCCCACGGTTTCTATTATAGTAGGTAGGGATAGGCAGCTTTGCAGCTCCTATCCACAGTTAGATAGAAATGCATATGAACAATACGAAGTATATACTGTGTCACTAATTTCCTTCAAAGATGCCTCGGCAGCACCCCTCACCGGCTCGGAACAATCCCCACCTCCGGCGGAGAAGCATCCCCCACCACCGGCAGAATCGGACAAAAGGGAACTATAACTTACCAAGTGTACTAACATACTCCATAGATTCCCAACTACGCCGCATATACCAGCACGCGACCCTGTTCTTGCTATTCTATGTCATGAATAGAACAAGATACGCCGTAGAATCCAGTCTTCTCCACTTCACTTTCCAAGCTACACCGTACATTGTCTCTCTGACCTACTGAGAGGCGGGACACAGCCTCGGGACCTCGGAAGTATAGGTCTTCTACAGGGGCGGATGCTCGGGACTACGCTGCATATACCAGCACAGGGTGGTTTATAAGACAAAAAAAAGCCTTGCCATCAAAACTTCTGGTTAGAGCTTTAAACCTATTCTTTTGAGTTAAGAACTGCATTTCTTGCAACCAGACTTGAGTGTTTCCTGGGGTTAGGTTATTTGGGGTAGTTGTGTTGTCCATCCATTCCCTTGCCAACAATTGCCTGCATACTTACTGTACTCCGTACCTTCTACTCCTTCCGCCGGAAGGCAAAAAAGCTGTCAACGAGAGACCACCTCGACGTCACAACCACTTTCGCCTCACACTCACATTTGACAATCATTGTTCGTTCGAATTGCCATTTGCCGTCTGATCACTTGTCTTGATTGCATGACTGGGGACCTCCCTTCACGGAGCTAAATTGAAGATCTGGTTTGGGTGCTGCGGAGAAGGTTCCGCAGGCTACTTTTTTTTTTTTCTCTTACGTACAGTACCTGCTCGACTATCTCAAACTTCAACTTTTCAATTTCTCGAATCTCCTTCCTTATTAGATACAGACTGAGAAGAAGACCAAAGAAAATAAGAACTGAAACAATGGCATCGACATTAACACGCTCAGCCCACCATATTCTCCGCCACTCCATCCCCTCCCACGGCATCACTCATGCGCGCACAACAACAGCAACAGTAACAGCAACAGCAACAGCAATCCGCCACCTCTCCCTCCTCACCCGCCCTGCTACACTCACACAAATCCACACCCACACTACATCGCCAACCCGCAGGGATAATGGCCCCCACCAAAAACGATATAGCTCGCACTCCCCCCTCAGCGCCACATCCGTCCCGCCCCGCAAGAAAGTCACCCTGCAGACGCTGCGCGCCATGTACAAGCGCGGGGAGCCGATTACCATGCTGACGGCGCATGACTTTCCCTCAGGCCATGTGGCCGAAGCAGCGGGCATGGATATGGTGCTGGTCGGGGATAGTTTGGCGATGGTGGCGCTCGGGATGGAGGATACGAGTGAGATTGTGATGGAGGAGATGCTGTTGCATTGTCGGAGTGTGGCACGGGCGGTGAAGGGGGCTTTTACGGTACATTCTCTCTTTTCGCTTTTCTTTTCTTTTCTTTTACTGGGGACAAGCGGGATGGGTTGGGTGGTTGAGCTAAGCTAATATTCCTCTCCGGGCTCTAGGTCGCTGATTTGCCAATGGGTTCGTATGAGGTTTCGCCGGAACAGGCGGTGCAGTCTGCCATTCGGATCGTCAAGGAAGGGAGAGTTCAAGGGATAAAAATCGAGGGCGGCGAGGAGATGGCGCCCACGATCAAGCGCATCACGCAGGCGGGAATTCCTGTCGTCGGGCATGTCGGCCTCACGCCGCAGCGGCAGCATTCGCTGGGTGGGTTCCGCGTGCAGGGCAAGTCGACGGCGGGCGCACTGCGGTTGCTGAGGGACGCGCAGGCGGTGCAGGAGGCCGGGGCGTTCATGATCGTCGTCGAGGCGGTCCCCGCGGAGATTGCAGCCATCGTGACAAAAAAGCTGCGCGTGCCGACAATAGGCATTGGGGCTGGAAACGGCTGTTCCGGTCAGGTGCTGGTGCAAATCGACATGACAGGCAACTTCCCTCCCGGTCGGTTCCTCCCCAAGTTCGTCAAGAAGTACGCCGATGTCTGGGGCGAGGCTATCAGGGGGATCGAGCAGTATCGCGATGAGGTCAAGAGTCGGGCCTATCCGTCGGAGGAGTACACATATGCCATTCCCAAAGAAGAGCTGGCTGAGTTCGAGAGAATCGTCGAAGAAGGCTCGGATAAATGATTTTTTCTGCGACATCCTCTATCCGTCACATACCCCGGCGAATTTTGATTGCTTGTTGATGCACAGCATTTTGTAAAGATACCTTATGTTCCATAATCATTATTTCATAGGAGCCCTTGTTCATAATTTTGTCTAGATTTCCGCTGTCTCCAATGTTAGCCTATACGTTAGTGTCTGTGGTTGTCTGCGGTTGTTCACCGGATGAACCTGTGGTTAAAGCACCAACAATTGTCCTAGTATTAAATTGTACCCGCACCACGCCCTAACCAAAGGCAGGCGTCATCGAATAAGCAACAATGAGCTGCTCATCTGTCTTGAAACACTGGAGATGAATAGATGAGCATCCAACCGTTTCCTCTGCGGCCGCAGCAGGCGGATACTTACCCGCCATAAACCACCAATGCCTTCATCCAGCCCCGGCGCAAACACGCTATTGACATAGCAAAAGACCGAGTCCGTTTCCTTGCAGTCCAGCCGCTTCCGGAGAAAGTTGACGACTGTCTCGAACTTCTGCGAAGCGCTGACCTTGAACACTCGGGTTTTGAGGATTGGAGCTGACGGAAGAGGTTGGAACCGGACAGTGACTGCGGGGTGGTCAGTTAGATCCTCCAATGCGCCAATGCAATGATTGGAGAATGAGGCATATACAACACTTGCCTTTGCCTGTGTCTACGGCTTCTGCATCGGCCAATGCTTGGTGGGCATCGCGGGGCAGGCTGGTAAGCACCACGGAGGCGGATAGATTCATGGGTAGATCTGCACCATGCTTGTCGTCGGGGATGGGCGTATGTTGCGCAGTGGAGGCAGAAGAGTCGGAGGACTGCGTGCGCTTGGCGGGTCTGAGAGGGATGCTGGTTTGGTCGGGATTGGGGGAATTACGGGCTGAGGGGCCCCGGGAGGAGGAGGTATCCATTTGATATTGCTGCTCCTATGGAATGGAATGGTAGCAGCTGTGGAGGGGTGCAGGGATGGCTCATCGAAGTGAAGTCGGGAGTAGATATAGTGATGATGATGATGATGATGATGATGTTGTGGTTACTGCATGATTGTATGTTGTCTTGTCGGATGAAGCAGATGATCTTCCGGTGGTATACACTTCTATCCATGGATTCGGGACAGGGAAACCCCGTGACTGGCGGGCGGGCCCTCCCACTTGACTTCCTTCCGTCACCTCCCATCTCTCCATCCGCTCCGTCTCGTACTACTTCCCTTCCTTCTCCTCGCCTTCTTCTTCTTCTTCTTCTTCTCCTCCTCTTCTCTTCTCTTCTCTCTCTTTCATACTCTCCTTCTTTCCCAGCTTTCAACCACCTAGCTCTCTTTTTCTTCTACCTCATCTTGGCCTTCTCTGCAATTAGGCTCACTACTGATTTCGCCCTGCCCCTCTTCGTCTGCCCTATCGCTACCCAGATTCGCCCCGCCCATCGCTTCCCCACTTCGACCTTGGGGAAAGCCTTATCTCTCAACCACCCCCCCCATTTCTTGTCGCCTGACTCTTTCAAAGGTGTCTCTGTGAATTATTTCGTGAAATCTCATTTTCCAGTCCTCTACATTCGTCATAAGTCAAGATGAGTAGCCCTAAGCGGAGAATCGAGACCGATGTGAGTATCCGAGGATCCCTGTCAAACCCGTGACGGCAGTGGCGGCAGTGCTAACTCTGGTGTCCTCGAATAGGTCATGAAGTACGCCACATTCCCCGTGCCTCGCAACGTCCCTGAGAGCTAACTGACTGTTTTGTGAACAGGATGTATGCCCCCTGGCCCACGCCATCCCCGCGTACCCATACCGCCGATGGAGATACATAACTCGGAGACATTCCGAGCGGCTTAGATGGAAAGGCCTCATGCTGATAACCGCAGGTTGATGAGTGACTACGAGGTGACTCTAGTCAATGATAATAGTATGTTGCCCTCATGGACCATGTCCTTTTGCCTATGCTGACTGTCGCTCCAGTGTACGTCTTCCCTTCGTCCGGCGAGCGGACCAACCCGAGTACTTACCAATCTTTCTCCAGGCAAGAATTCTACGTGCGCTTCAAGGGGCCTGAGGAGAGTAAGTAGCCACGTCGTACTAGAGTTCACACTTAGAAATCGTATTGACCAAACCCAAGCCCCGTTCGCCGGTGGCCACTGGAAGATCCACGTCGAACTCCCCGATCAGTACCCCTACAAGAGCCCCAGCATCGGTTTCGTCAACCGGATTTTCCACCCCAATATCGATGAACTGTATGTCCTCATGTCCCCGACTCACCGCATGGCCTCCGCAGCTCACTTGTTGTTCCCTGCTTTAGCTCTGGCTCCGTCTGCCTCGACGTCATCAATCAGACCTGGTCCCCCATGTACGACATGATCAACATCTTCGAGGTCTTTCTTCCTCAGCTCCTCCGCTACCCGAACCCGTCCGATCCTCTCAACGGCGAAGCAGCAGCCATGCTCATGCGGGAGCCCAAGACTTACGATGCCAAAGTCAAAGGTGGGAAACACGTCCGTCTCGTCGTTGATCAACCTACATGAAATTAACCACCTCACAATAGAGTATGTCGCCAAATACGCTAGCAAAGAGGCCGTCGACGAAGCCGGCGAAGACACCGAGTCGGAAGACGAGCTCAGCTCCGCCGGAAGCTACGAGTCCGACGGCGAGGAACCGGCCGGTACGATGGATGATGTTTAAGAGAGATGAACTATAGAAACCTCTCCGCTCCGCTCCTCACTTTGTGTGCGCGGAATTATGCCGTGCATCGCATCTAGACTGATTTCAGTCATCTTACCCTTCGCGCATGCCGGTACCTTTTCCGATTTGAACATTATATCCTGTCCTGTACATATACACTGGCATTGTCGTCCTTTCTCTAACCGATTCGTCTTCTCGGTTTTCGGCTTTTTTTCTCGTTCTTGTCCTTCCGAGTGGACTCATCCCCGGTGTTAGGCTGGAAGGCGTCTCATGGCGGCGTTGTTTTGTTTTTGTTTCCATTATTGAAATTCATTCGTACAATCCAAATCTCTCATTGAATTATCCTTGGTGTTTGAGCCAGTCTTGGTCTAATGGTATCAGCAGCATTCCGATTGGTTGCACTGACTTCCATAACGCCTGCTCTCCTTTGCAAGGATGCCGTGTCGAGCGCTCGCATTTTACTGCAAAAGACTTGACGGATAGGTCGACATGCCTGGGAGCCAAATAGTTCTTGCCATGTATACGCCATTTAAACTTTGATTGGTATTCCGTTGTAATTGGCCCCAAGGGACAGCATTACTACTACCTTCTACTCAAGAGCTTACAAAACGTGCCAGACAAGGAAGAGAAAAACTCACGCTTCGACAGCGCCACACAGAGATCGGGACAGACGCATCAAATAAGGCGAAAGAAGAAACCAGAGAATCAAGAAAGAGATTAGAGAAGAAGGGCACAGGCTAAGCCCGGGTATTCTGGGGGGAAGAAGAAAATAAGGCGGTCCGATAAGGTGGGATCGGAGAAGATGGTGTGAACAGAGAAGATGACGAAGTTAGCGAAAGAAAGAACTTGCAGAAGGGGAAGAGAATGAAAAAAAAAAAAATGAAATAAAATAGATTCAACGCCCGTCGCCCAGCGACCCAAGACAACGCATGATGAGTTAAGGCTGAGTTGCAAGGAGTGAAAGGAGCCGGCACAGGTCCTGGAGAGAACAAGATCGAACAGCTTGGAGACCCGGGTTTGTTTTTTGGCGGTTCAATGTAGGGTTTCTCGGGCCCATTGACCAGAATGTCCTTCGCGGTTCGCTTGAGGGTTTAGAGCTGCTGTGGTCTGCCATACAAGCTCGAAGATGGCGGGGGTACTTATTCCCTTAGGGAATCAGGGGGACCCGTTTGCTTATGGAGAGTGTCTGTCGTCTCCAAAAGTTCTAAGTCACTTTCAAGACCCCAAACACATCCCTCGACCCATTCTCATCCGTGCTCGAGCCCGGCCGCGACCGATTCTTGCGCGTGTTGATGACGACCTCCCCCCAATGCTTCGGGACCGTCCCGCCGGGCTTGGGCGAAGCGGCGGATCGGCGCGGCGGGCGCGGGGGCGTCGTGTCCGTTTTCGTGACTTTAACAGGAGGAAGGGCGTCGGACGTCGAGGTGGAGGGAGCGACGGCACTGGGGAGGGTCGCGTGAGGTTGCAGATGGGGCTGTGGTTGAATTGACCAGATGTCAATGACGGAGCTGTGATGGGGTAAAATCTGGTCAGTAACGTGGCGGGGCCGTGCTTGCTTCCAATTTGCTTTTGGGATTGCACAAGGCGATGCACTCAAGGCGATGTGCGGATGCACTTACTCCGAGGTTCTTTGACAGATTGCTTCTAGGGCTTCACGTTCGCGCTTCAGGTAGCCTGGGTCAGGGTGGTTGCCTTGACTGGCATTGTTGAGAGATCCGTAGCCATAGCCGGGTTGGTTATAGATGTCTTCTTCGAGAAGGCGGGAGGACTCGCCCTGTAGCGTTCGCGCGCGGAGGGGATAAGTCAGTGGGGGGAGGGGATTTTCAGGTTATGCGCAGCGGGGAAGGATGGGACATGCGCTGCAGCGTTGCGAGCTTTCGGCGCAAAAGTCCGGGCACGAGGGGATAGAGCTGATTTGGCGAACTGGGAACGTACATCTTGACTTTCTGGAGGACTACGCCCCAGACATGAAGCGCAAATACCCATTTTAGTGGCGTATATTATCGAGATAGTGAAGGAGGGTGGGGTTGGTTCTGAGTGTGGTGTAAGGTTGGCTGGGGGATGAGAGATAACACCGGATCGGGTGGGCAAAGGAGCGAGTTGGAAACGAGAGACAGTAGCAATTCAAATGAAGGCTGTTGTTGCGAAGTGGAGGACACAGAAGCGCACCAGGCGGTGATACTGAGCGAGAAGGAGGGGTTGCGGAAGAGGTAGAGGTGGGATAAGCTGTGAGACGTACGGAGTAGGTAGAAATCGAGATAGTGAGGCGGGAATGAGTGCCCGGCAAGTTGACGGGGATGGCATTTCTGGCCCGTGCGTGGCGCTAGCGCATCCTCCAGCCACGGGATGGACTGCTGCAGCTCTGGTCGACCACGTCCGCCGCAGACAAGCAATGCTCCGGGCCCGTGGCCGCACCAACACTGCGAGTGGTAATAACGCCATCTACCGCAAACGACCGACATTTTTCGATTCCACCGCACCAACCAACCAACTAACCAACCAACCCACAGTCTCCCAACCGCCAGCTACACTCACCACCAGTAACGCAGGTAAACGGATTTGATTCAAAGCTGGCATTTGAAAGGCGGTATAACTCGAAAATCATCTGCACAGACGTAGCCAGTTAACTCACCTCCGCCATGTTCGACCTTCCCATGGCCAAACGGTATGTCAATTCTACCAACTACGCTCTCTCAACCTCAGACCTACAGTCACACTGACACACCACCGTATCAGCGTTCGACGCGATGAACTCCTATCTAGAGACTCAGAATCCCCGCCCGCATCTCCGCCGCCCGAGTCCGCCTCCACAGACGTCCATCAGCGCCTCGGGCAATTGCTCAATCTCGATGCGCTGCTCGCACCTGCGTACCCCGCCCCTGACATCGCCCAACAACAACAACCGAACGACTTCCAGGCGGATGACGAGGAACAAGAATTCGAGTTCCGGCTGTTCAGTGCCCCTGCCCCGACAGCCACCACGAAACCCGCAGCCGATGCGACGGCAGAGAATTCGGCCGCAAACGAGCAAAAAACATCATCCATTCCGGCGGCGACCGCGGCGCAGAAGCTACGGATCAGGGTCCGATCTCCCACTCCTGGAGCTGGAGGTGCGGATGATGGGCGCTTCGTGAATCCTTTCCGTGGATACGACCACTATTTCACCGCGCCGGGGTCCATGACGGGGGGAAAGGTGGACATCCAAGAGGAAGAGGCCCTCAGGGCCAAGAGGCAGCAGTTTGAGGAGGTAGCCGTATCTGGGTTGCAGATGCTGGGATTTGCTCAGGTGCCTTGGGTAAGTATTTTATCTTCTTCCTTGCGAAGACTACTTGGAAGTGAGGAAGTGTTGCTAATTGTGCTTCCTTGAAGCCTGGATGTTACCTCCCTTGGAAAGTGGTCCATCTGAAGAGTGAGAAGAAGACAAAAGGATCAAAGGCTGCGGGGAACACCGATGGAAAACCCACCACTTATGTGATTGATCCGCCCGAACGAGTCCCGGTCTCCAGTACCAAGCCTGGAAAGAAGCGACGCATTCAGTTGCGCAAACGCCGTACAGCGAGGGAGGCAGCGAAGAAGCGGGAGGAAGAGGAGGAGCAACGCAAGGCAGAGAAACGTAATCGGAAAAACCGCGAGCAGAAGATCAAGCGGAGACAGAAGGCTAGAGAACAAAAGGCCGCTGCCGCTGCCGCTGCCGCCGGCGGGTTAGCCGAGGGTCAAACTGCGCAGCTGAATGCGTTGGACGATGGTGCTTCTTCCGATGGAGGAAGTGATTGAGATTTGTTGGAAGTATATATCTCCCTCGGTCAATTCCAGCTTATGATACCCATGTCAATATCACACTGTTGCGGACACAAGACTGTCTTTTCATATACGCGTCTCAGGTTACTACTGCGCCAGAGGAAGTTGGCATGCATTTCAATTCGGACTCGATTTCGAATGATTTAAAAGGAATATGCAAGGAATTCAAGCTAACGCAAACAAGATAGGGTATTTTGAGAGGATGAGATTGGCCACAGAGTACAAGGGAATCGGTAGCAGTCAATGCCGGGTATGAGATGCAAGGTATTAAGAAAAAGTAGGTTTAAGGAATGGAAGATGCATGGTTCTCACAACGCATCAGTCGTCGCCATGAGAACGATTACTTGGACTCTTCAGCTAGACACGGTCTGTTAGTGTCAGAGCCTCGTCCCTTGGGGTGCAGCTTGCTCACCTTGGGCATGGCCGCTAGGATCAGCAGGCTTGTCAGCAGCAGCCTCGGCCTTCTTCTCCGCAGCCTGAGCGTCCGCCTCAGTTCCTGCGGCGGGAGCGTCTGTGTTCAATTCGAGAACCGGGGCAGCCGAGGAGGTCGCAGCCTCAGTAGGCTCTGGCTTCACACCTTCAGCGGGGGTCTCAGTAGGGGCATCTGGCCACATCAATTAGCGAATACTCGAATGGAAACTTCATAGTCCCTTGGCTCACCAGCTTGGGGCTCGGCGGCAGCATCGGCAGCGACAGGAGCAGCCTCGGGGTTTTCCTGGTCGGTCTTCTTCTTCTTGAAGATGGACTTGAGCTTAAGCTTCAACTTGGCGATGAATGCAGGAGCTGTATCCTTCGTTAGCTACCTTTCTGTGCCCTTCTCCATCCAGGAATGACCGTCATACTGACCCATTTTGAAAGTATTTATTAAGGTGACTTAGACGTATCGTAAGGTAGAAGGGAGGTAAGTAGTTCAAGGTGGGCAAAACACCGGCCACTGTTGATGCTGTAGTATTATCGAGGATGTTGTCAAAAGAGTGACTGAGGGTCAGAAGACAAGGACAAAGAACAAAGCAGACAATGAATAGAATTGAATGGACTTTGCGAGTTTCCTTTCGCCCCCCAGTAGGTATTTGTATTCCACGTGACGGGGGCACGGTCCTGATGGTGATGATCGCCTGTCTGTCTCTGCCTCCTTTCTCTTCCTCCTTTTTTTTTTTCCTCTTTCACTGCCTCCTTCACCGGTATAACCCCGCAGGCGTCTGTTTCAGGTTCACGGTGCCTATCAGGGGATATTGGCCCATTGACTAATCTTGGTAGCGCTCCGCTTGAAAGTCGGGCTGGAGGTCTACTCCGTGTAGGTCGGTTCGAGAGCGGACGAGGAGTCATTTTTAACAACGAGCTAGGCTATTTGGGCTTAAACTATCTTTTCTCTTTCTGCCATGGTCTAAATACGCATTCAACAAAAACACTCAGTCTACCGGTAGCGATCCCTTGAATCACCCGTCCCAGCTCTCGGACCAGAGATGGTGGTGAATTTTGGGAGACCCTACTATCTGTTGCCGTCACTTATCAGAATAGGGGGGAACAAAGGTGTAACCTGTCAAAAAACAAATCCAAAGGAACGGAAAATTCTGAAGGATCTGACAAGTTAGTAGAGCGATGGTGACAGAACGAACGCGCTACCGATCCACTATTACTTAAAGCGATTAAAGAGAAGGTCCTGGTAATACGCTTATTCGAAGCTATTTGAGCTAAACCAGTTGCTTTGGTGGGGTCATCGATATGAAGTACGGAGATTGCCCTACTTTTACACGGATGGAGCTCAAAGGCTGCCAGCTGCCAGGGGAAACAGTCGTGAAAAGGAATGGACTTCTCAGGGTCTGTTGACCCCTCCAATCTCTAAAATTTCCTCTACTATGGTTGTTTCATGGCGGGCCGATTGATTGCATCTTGGGCCGCTCTTGCAAGGGCCCTGTTTCGTCGGACGCTTGCATGCTGTCTGCGAGACGCGCTGAGATCTTGTTTCCTCTGCTGTCCGGTCGTCTAAGTTATTGCATGTTCAGTGCTGAGCGATGGCCGGTATATAAACCGGATTATAGGTCCAGTCCATGAATAGGCGCTGGCAGATCGAAGACCAACTCTGTTTTCTCGTCAGGGGCAAGAGGCTCTTAATTGTAAGGAGTTTAGGGCTTCCGCAAGCAGAAAAACCATGACTTGTAGTCGGGGATTCTCCCTGATAGTAGCCTGTGAAGCATTGAAAGACAGGGAAACAGAAACTCCTGTCAATTGCCAAAGAACACAACAACCAAGCGATGCCCCCTGGGCCATGATGTCTGATATTGGTTTATTCATTGTTCTTGTTCTTCGACAATTTGTTGCTGCTTCATCAAAAAATGCAAGGTGGCTGACTAAGCTGGCCACCGATCGCTCGGCCGCCTTCCCGCTTCCCGCTCGGCATCATATCGTCATCCATCCATCCACTGCATCGACAGCTTCTCAAGGTCGCGGCAGTGGCACATTTGAAACGACCCCCGCAGAAGAAATATCGAAATGTCCCCAGGTCAATCTATAGCGGAAATTGAGCCCACACGGCCGGTATCGGAGCAGACGCCTCTGCTTGGGGACCAGGACCAGAATGATTCCTATCAGCCTGGGGACTCTGCGGTGCCCTTTGCCGACGAACCCACCACCCGGGAGCTGATCCTGGTGATGGGGAGTGTCTGGGTCGGTGTCTTCCTCGCTGCATTGGGTATGTGACACTTTTAAGACAAACAACAAACTTCAGCCAATTCTTCCCTCTAACATCGCTAGATACCACGATTGTCGCGACGCTAAGCGCTCCGATCTCCTCGTCCTTCCACTCCTTATCGCTACTCTCATGGCTGGCCACCTCCTACCTGATCTCCAATGCCGCCTTCCAGCCGCTAAGTGGTCGTCTCACGGATATCTTCTCTCGTCGGGCAGGGCTAGTATTCTCGAATATCTTCTTCGCTGCAGGGACTTTAATGTGTGGTCTTGCCAAGAGTGAAGGTGCCATTATTGCCGGTCGTGTCATTGCGGGTATCGGAGGGGGTGGCTTGACGGCAATCTCGACCATCATCAACTCGGATTTGGTCCCGCTACGAAAGCGAGGGATCTGGCAGGGAATTGGCAACATTTGCTACGGGGCCGGAAGCGGTCTCGGGGGTGTCTTCGGCGGCTGGATCAACGACACGCTGGGATGGCGGTGGGCTTTCCTGATCCAGGTGCCCTTCATTGTGGTCTCGGGTATTCTGGTGACCGTCATGGTAAAAGTGCCGGTCAAGGAAACAGACGATGCCAAACTGAAGCGGGTGGACTTCTTCGGAGCATTGACACTGGTCACAACGTTGGTGTTGTTCCTGCTTGGGCTCAACACGGGGGGTAACCAAGTTCCATGGACGCACCCCCTCATTCTGGTCTCACTGCCGCTGTCCGCCGTATCTTTTGCTCTCTTCCTCTATATCGAAGCGAAGGTTGCGTCCGAGCCGGTCATCCCGGTCCGTCTTCTTCTGGACCGAACGGTTCTCTCTGCGTGCTTGACCAATTGGTTCAGCACCATGGTTGTCTTCGGGCTCTTGTTTTACCTGCCCATATTCTTCCAAGTCCAGGGATTCTCAGCCACGGCCGCAGGTGTGCGCTTGATCCCGCAGGCTGTGGGAACGTCCATTGGTTCGTTGGGAGCTGGCTTTCTCATGCGTCACACCGGGCGCTACAAAGTGTTTGTTCGCATCACCCTGGCTCTTCTGGTCATCTCCGCCATTCTGATCAGCACATTAAACCTCACCACTCCGTCATGGTTACCGTTTATTTACTTCTTCCTGATGGGCACGGCGTACGGCAGTATGCTGACGCTGACCTTGGTGGCGCTCATCTCGGCGGTGGACCACGAACACCATGCCGTGATCACCTCTGCGTCGTATGCTTTCCGCAGCACGGGCAGCACGATTGGAATTACGGTCGCCTCGGCCGTCTTCCAGAATATCTTAAAGTCGGGACTCTGGAGGCGATTTGGAGATCGAGATCATGCGGGAGAGTTGATCTCCAAGATCCGAGACAGTCTCGATGAGATCTCCCGTCTCCCGGCGGACTGGATCCCGGGGGTATTGGATGCGTATATCGACTCGTTGCGGGCGGTGTTTCTTACATTGCTGGGATTGGCGGTGCTGGGGGCGTTGGTTAGCATGGGGATGCGCGAGCACAAGCTACATTCCAATCTCTCTCGCCGGGAAGATTAGAGTAGATGTACATACATGGCATTATTTAGGTATACTAGGTATACTAGGTATCTTACACCATATACTACACAGTACTTAGTCAATGTATGAATGGAAGTGATAGAGAAAAAACTAGGCTTCCTGCCGAGTAATGGAAAAGACTACCTAATCAATACATCATCGATGATTGGGGCAGCCCGAGGCCCCCACCTGACCCTTTCCTCTCGCTGGCGGGAACTTCTTCTCTTCACGGCATCTACTGTAATAGTTATTAGTTCCATCCACTCTCATGCATCTTCCTCGCTCTCTTTGATACCAGTTCCTCTCTTGTTTTCAGAATTTCCCCCCCTCTCAGTGCGCTCATCACTGTGAGATCATCTCATTCCACTCCCTCCCCCCGTGGCTGATTGTACATACAGCAAAAGACGTGGCGACAGCGCCCTCTGCGCTTTTACGCATTATCTCTGCAAAGTCCCGCTCGTCCAGCAACACACCACTCACCACACCGCTTCCTATCCCTAGTCCCTCCGATCAGACCACCAGCCATTCACCACGTGCTGTTGCTTCAATCGAGGTCCGCCTTTGGGCTTCTTGTACATGGCTGGTACTCGGTAGTTCACTTGGGAGGAGACCGGCTTCTTTGGGTTGCAATTGATTAAACCGCCAGACACTCATCGGCTTGACACTCTGCCACTTTTACAGACCTCTTTTTTTTTTTTTATTTCAAGTCTGACCGCTGCCGGTACCTTCATTGTCCAGAAACTTTCTTGACGGTGACAGTCACGAAGACCCGACCAGGGTTTGTTTGCTTGGACGATCCCCTGCCGGCAAGCCTTGATCTTAACGGTTCCATTTTAGCTCTGACGCCTGGGGCGACCGTTGGATCAGCTATAATTGACCGCGCAAGACCCGTACACTTCCGCCCCTGACCTTGTCGTTCGATCGCCTTCGTGACACGGTTTTTCCCTTACCTCTTCGTGTATTTGCATTGTTATGGCAGTAGGGGTTGGGGCCAGTTTCCCCACAACATCTACCGTCGCAAGTGTGGTTTCGAAAGCTGCCCGGGTCTCGGAAATGGAGGTTGACCCTGCGAGGGAGGGAGTGGTGACGGCGCATACAAGTACGGTCGAATCATGCATAGATAATGAAATGAAAGATGCCGCTGGCCCTTCGACGCATCGTCGGAAACGTTTACTTCTCTCCACTGATAGCGCATTCGTCGACAATGTACTCCCCTCCTTGGTGCGGAACCCCGACATCGAACTACGATTGATCACCGACGAACCCTCGGCCCTTCTCTCGAGCGCCAGCAAAGTCCCCCATTACATGGATACCGTGGACAGCCAGACCTTTGAGAAGAAAACGGGCGCTCGGAAATGGCTGAAGGCCAAGGCGGCGGAGCTCTGCGACTGGGCCGATATGCTCCTGGTCGCGCCAATAGATGCTGGGGCGCTGGGATCGATGCTGTCGGGTCTGACCAACACTCTCACGCTAGCGCTGCTCCGGGGCTGGATGTCGTCTAAACCGGTCGTGCTCATCCCTGGCATGACGGTGTCGGAGTGGCATCATCCGCTCAGTAAACGGCAGCTGTGGGAAGTCCGGCAATACTGGTCGTGGATCAAGATTGTCACGCCAGTGCTCTGGAAGCCCGGGGATGCGGAAGAGCTCATACAGTTACCTTGGGATGGCTTGACTGTTCTCCACGACACGATCGAACAGACGCTGTCCATATCATTCTCAGATTCGCATTCAACGCCCAACCAATCGGCCGATGGCCTGAGCGGACCATCAGAGACCACGGACACGGGGAGCATACCTTCAGCATTGTCACGACACCTATTGCATCGCATGAACAAGACCGAACACGGCCCCCGCTCGCTACCGATGGAGCTCTGGCTGAATATCTTCGAGGACCAATTACACGACTGGGAGATCGCCAAAGCCGTGGGCATCCCCACGAATCTTCCCGTACCGAAAGAATGGCAGAACCACCTATTGAAAATGTCCACGCCAGCGTCTCTGGAATACACCATCCTGCGAGGATCGTTCGCGGCAATCAAGAAGCGCATCGACAGCCTCCCGCGCTGGAAGCCCCTCTCCGACCTCTCCCTCCACCTCATCTTCAAATTCTCTCGCACTGACATCCTCTCCTACCTCATCGAAAAACAGCATGACCTCCTCTGGACGACCTCTCTCCTCAGCGTCCTCCCCTACCGCGCCTCCGCCATCTATGGCAACCCCAATCTACTGACATGGTGGCGCAACGCCCCCGACCTCCCGAACAAGGATTACACCACCGACGCGATGGACGGCGCCTCGCGGGCCGGCTTCGTTAACGTGCTGGAGTGGTGGCGCACCTCCGGCCTGGAGCTGCGGTACACCGAGCGCGCCCTCGAGGCCGCCAGCGCCGAGGGCCAAGTCGCGGTCCTGGACTGGTGGAAGCGCGCCGCTTCCCCTTCCCCATCACCTACCCATCCCCTCAGCAGCAGCAGCAGCAGCAGCAGCCGCCGCACCCGCATCCCCCTGAAAGTCGGCAAATCTGTTCTGTTGGCCGCCCAATCCGGCCGCACCGCCTCCCTCGCGTGGTGGGACGCCTCGGGCATCCCCTACACGCACGGCGAGTCCGTCGCTCGCATCGCCAGCACCCACGGCCACGTCCACGTCCTGGAGTTCTGGCATAGGCTCAAGGGCGCCAAGATGATCTTCGACAGCCAGGTTTTGGTCGGCCCGACCAAAAATGGCCACGACAATGTGCTGGAGTGGTGGCGCCGCAGCGGCCTGCGCGTCGAGTTCAAGACCTGCGACATCGAGGAGGCGCTCGAGGACGCCGACCCGGTGTCGGGGGCTGAGCAGCGCGTGCGCACCTGGTGGGCGCGCAATGGGCTGAATCTGGGCGTGGGGACGAGTGAGTGGATGAAGACGAAGGTGCTTTAGGCTGTGCCTGATTCTTTTGCATTTCGGGGGCAGCCATATTTGTCTATTCGGTTGCCCCGCCATTCCATCTCCCTCTTCTCACCTGAACGCTCCCTCATGGCCATCGGCCCGCTCCTTCGCCCAACTACATATCCGCATATCCTGACTCCACCCCTGCTTACCACTGTCCTTAGCTGCAACCCCCAAATTGATGCGTCTTCCATCAATACTCAAACAGCTTCATCCACAAAAAGCCCAATCCTACCAGGCTGCTATCCCATCAATATTTATCCATAATACCCCACCCCTCCTCGGTCCTTACTTTTGTACCGGTATGCTCAGCGCAGGTGTACTGTTATTACTCTTCCTTCTACTTTTTACTCTACCTCCTTATATAGACTGCCCTATCATGCTGACGACCATTATGGGAATACGTTCATAACCAGTCCGCTTCATCTTCGTCGTTCAAATTCTTTTCTCCATGCATAATTGCATGCATTCTTTGGTTAACAACAATAGTTGGTGGGCTTGGGTCTGACGGGGTTGTGGGTGTTGGTTTGGGTGTCGGTGTCTGCATCCAGCTTTAGCCTTATCTGTGTAACGTGAATGCTCTCTTCCAGATGGTATAGCTCTTATCGGCCTGGTCGGATCCTCTAAGCTTGAATACTCTAAGCTTGAATACTCTATCTAAGCTGGGTAGTGGGATGATTATGTGCCATATCCTTCATTCATTGCGTTGTAATTGTAAAACTTCTATGCTTAAGCCCTCTCATCTGCGGAGCTAGAAGATCGAGGCGCGTAAGATAAGCAGGAAGAGACCAATCAAGGTCAAGAGAAAGTGGACTTCCCTAAATGCAAGGTGTAAAGAGCATCGCTCGTGCCAAAGAAATGCGTGCTAAACAGTCGTCTTAAAGCATGTTGAAAATAGAGGATCAGAATGGGATTCGGATCAGGAAAGCCAGTCAACAGGAGCATCGCTCGTGTGTCCTGTTACCTTCCCCGAAGAAAAGCGTGCTAGATAGTCGTTTCAAGGCATTGTTGAACAAGCTAGAGTATAAGAATAGGATTTGAATCATGAAAGCCAATCAATGGGCATGGAAGACGTAGTAAAGAAATGGGGAAATGGCATGGGTTTTGAGCGCCATGGACCAAAGTGAAAGGAAAAAGAAAAGGCAAACGCCGTCCGATCTTTCAGAAACAAACAAACACATACACCCTTGCATGATCATATATGGAGAATTCAAACTTCCTTCCTGCCAAGGGGGTTAGTCATGTTTGAGACAGGAAAGCGGTAGGGTTGATTAAAACCAAGCAGTGCCTGTATACCTACCAGGTGGGTTCACTTCTCTCGTAACTAGGGGTGCGGATCTCGTTCCGATCCCCAAACGGATTGTTCTCATCGTCGTCATCTTCATCGGTGTCGGATTCGGTGTCGCTGGAGATCTTACGTCTGGACGAGGATGACGGGACTGACAGGCTGAGCGGTCGCGGCGGACGCGGAGGCTTGGGCGGGTTGACGGTCAATCCGGCGAAGGACTCCGGGAGCTCGTCGCGGTCCGGGGTCCAGCCGCTCTCGAGCACATCCTGGTCACTGTCACTGTCGTAGTCGACGCTCTTGTCCAGGACCTCGAACGCCATGAGGGCCGTCACGAGCTCCTCGTTCGCGTGGATCAGACTGCCCAAGTACTCTCCGCTCTCGACGTGCTGGATGTACCGCAGGATTTGGCGCCGGAGCGTCTTGCAGGTCTCAAACCGGTTGAGGACCTCTGCATCTTCGCTGACCCGGTGCGTCTCGCGGTTGACTAGTTTGAGCGCGTTGAGGAGGTTTGTGCTGGCGACCGAGGCGGACGCCAACGTCTGCAGGAGCTCCGGCTTCTCCTTGTCCAGGCTGAAGGAGCGGCTGAGCGTCCTCTTCTCTCTTTTCTCCTTGCGCGAGGAGCGGCTGGATGTGTGTTTATGTTTGGGCCCACTGAGGACCGTCGCGGGCCCGTTCCCGGCTGACACGGAGACGGTATGCCCCATGACCGGTTCATCGGAGGTGCCCGAGTCTCGCAGGACCTTGGCCTTGGCCTGGGTAGCCGGTTGTTTTCTCTTGGGCAGCTGGCGATAGAGCGCTGTTACTCGTTCCATGCCGGGGGTATCCTTGTACGAGGCTGCCCATTGTCCGAACAGTTGCTTGCACTTCTCTTTGACCATGGGGTCGGAGACCGGATCGGTCGCGGCAATGCGCAATCGTTCCAGCAATGGCTCATCGGCAAATTCCCGCAAGAAGCGGTCGCCCGTGTTCTGGATCAAGAAGTCGAGGATCGTGAGGGCGCGGAGTTGGCGGTGCAGATTGCCATATTTGCTGCAGGTGCGCGTTAGTGAGTGGGAGGAGAAAAGGCTGGGTCGACTGACAGCTTCTTGCGCAGCGCGCGACTGGCTTCCCGCGGTCCACTGGCTTGTATGCGGATGGCTTCAATGAGATCGACAATTCCACTCGAGTCTTCGACATCGTATTGTTCACTGGTGAGTACCTCAATCTGCACCGTCACGGCGGTGTATGGCTTCTAGAGGAGCAGCAAGCTGATCAGCACCTGAGGTGAATTGAGAGGCGGTTGTTCCGTTGGCCGTCACAAAGCAGGAACAATCAGTACGTGCAATGAATGTGATCCGGTCGCCGGCAGCCAGCCAGACCGCGCTACAGTGTGCATTCCAGTTGAACTTACCGACGAGTGAAACATGGTGGTCCGGAGAGAGGGTTGGGATGAAGACAATTGCGGCCGTTAAAATAGCGTGTGGGTGTTCTGCGGGTGGATCGGTACCGAGTACTTTCACATGCGCAGATCGACAATGACACAGCGCTGGACTGAGTTGCCAAGTGTGGTGTTGTAAAAGGGAGGAGAGCAGCACAGGCTGAGATCCTCGTATGCTGTACGCCTACACTGTTGTTGTGCAAGTTCTTTTGCGAGTCCTCTCCAGTGCTATAGGGTATATTAAGGAGAAGTGCGCGCGAAACCAGCAGTGCAGTGACGTGTAGACAAGCCTGGGAGGGGGAAACAGAGAGTGGGCTTGCGCGCCTTGGCAATAATGGTCAGCCCAACCCGCAGATCAGAATTTCGGATGAAGATCCCTTTGTGAATGCAAGATTGTGCACCCAGTTAAAGATGCAGACAGGAGACAGAAGGACAATTGGGCGACCCCAACGTCCTGCGGTGTGAATTGATAACGAACAAGCCTGGAGTAGAGACTAAGTCCAGAATCTCGTGACTGCCCCTCGCCAGTTGCCCCCATCGGGTCTAGTGCGGGGAAACAAAAACAATTGCCTGAATTTCAGTCTTTCTGCTGTTCTTGCCTGGGGCTCTCCAGTGTATAGTACAGATTGTACGGAATGGAAGCAGTGATGTTTTGTCATTATCGTCTGATAGATGGCCTGAAGAGAGGTCTCTATGAACTGTTGCTGCAGCTTTGGCAGCATATTTGACACACTAGGATTGAACCAAGAGGGATGACGAAGCCACTAACCGTGGTGGTGGTCATCGTCGATATCCGATGTCAGGATAGTATAGAAACTCAACCTACGGCTGTTAAGCTGTGATACGCACTGGACTCTAGTAACGATGATTTATGTCGCGGTCAAGGGGAATTGAGGTCATCTCACACGTATGGAAGCGCCCCGTTTATGGCAGAGATGGATATTCCCATTCATAACATGGCGCATGAGCCGTGAGGGCTATTGATGACAATTTGCTACTAGGTGTTTTTGTTTGGTATACCTCCCACACGGTGGACAAGACAAGTTCTAAGTAAAGATCTCTTTCACTGTCTGCACTCTTGGAGTGTCGGTATGTAGAGTTATAATGGAGCAGTATTTGCACTCTTCACAGATAGTTGTCTTCGAGGAGTTCGCATTCTCTAAGCTGCTTGAAAGGTTCTTCCTGGCTTGGGCAACGATGATCTTACAAATATCCAGGTAGAAGATCACAACCAACTAAGGTAGCCACGCGTGCACAAGTAGATTGTTCAGAAAAATGCTTATGTTGAAGCAAGACTATTCAAAGAGCGATCTGGGACGGTGGACTGCCCCTCGTCTTGCCCCATTGGGTCTAGTGCGGGGAATCTACTCCGGACCACAAGTGCTTGGAAAATTCCAGGAGTGCTTGGCCGCCATTACGTACCTCTGTCTCCATTCATGGAGATTACAATTACCAGTTATTCTTATACCTATTTATTACAAGTGTCAAATTGTTAAGAATTCTTTCATTGACTACCACACACTGCAAACGAGAATTAGAAGCTAGATTGACTGTGGCGTACTCGTCTTCTTCAGGTTTGAATGGGTCTCCGGTCGCCGAACTCGGCGGATCCCAGCTCCATCCGCAAACCGCGACGGTCCATCGTCTCCCGTCTCGTTGTCTACTCCACTCTGCTACTCGGGGTCAGTATCATCTTAAAAGCCCGCCACCATCTGCTTTCCCCCCTTCTCCCCCACTTCCACTCAACCGCCGTCTCCTCCCCTACCCAACCCGCAACCATGGCCTACCAACAAGAACGCTACATTGCCGAGCTCGCCGTCCAGCGCGCAACCCTCCTGACCCAGGAGGTCTTCAACGAGAAGGCCAAGGGCACCGTGTCCAAGGACGACAAGTCGCCCGTCACCATTGGCGACTTCGGAGCTCAGGCGCTGATCATTCAGGCCATCCGCAAGAACTTCCCCAACGATGAGATCGTCGCCGAGGAGGAGGCCAGCACCCTCCGGGAGGACAAGGCGCTGAGCGCCGAGATCTGGCGTCTCGTCAAGGACATCAAGCTGGAGGACAGCGAGAGCGACAGCCTCCTGGGCGGCGCCCTGCCCAGCGAGGAGGCGATGCTGGACATCATCGACGAAGGCAAGAGCGCGGGCGGGGCCAAGGGCCGCGTCTGGGCCCTCGACCCCATTGACGGCACCAAGGGCTTCCTGCGCGGCGGCCAGTACGCCGTCTGCCTCGGCCTGATCGAGGATGGCGACGTAAAGGTTGGCGCCATCGGCTGCCCCAACCTGCCCGTCAACGACGCCGAGACCCTGTCCGCCGGCATCGGGTCTGAGCAGTCCAGCGGCGCCGGCCACGGCGTCCTCTTCTCCGCCATCCAGGGCGAGGGTGCCATCAGCCGGCCCCTGACCAACGCCGGTCTCGCCGAGAGCAAGTCCATCTCCATGCGGCCCGTGCCGGATATCGCCCAGGCCGTCTTCTGCGAGGGTGTTGAGGCGGCCCACTCCGCCCAGGGTGACAACGCCGCCGTCGCCCAGCGTCTGGGCATCACCGCCCCCAGTGTGCGTCTTGACTCCCAGGCCAAGTACTGCTCCATTGCCAGAGGCGCCGGCGACATCTACCTGCGCCTCCCCGTGAAGAAGGACTACCAGGAGAAGATCTGGGACCACGCCGCCGGAGACTTGATTGTCCGCGAGGCGGGCGGTCAGGTCACTGATATTTACGGTCAGAGACTGGACTTCAGCAAGGGCCGGACCTTGGCTGCCAACAAGGGTGTCGTCGCCGCCCCCAAGGCCATCCACGACCAAGTGATTGACGCGGTGAAGGTTGTTCTGAACTTGTAAAGAGGTTACGATTCATAATTTCCCTGTTATTGCATAATTTGTGATGTTTTTTTTTTCTGGCTGCATAAACTTGTCAAGCTATATCCACGCTAGATGCGTCTAAAAGTACACACACACACACACAAACAAAAAGACCAATCGCGAAACCCAGAGAACCATGCTCCGATATACATATACATACAGTAAAAGAGACAGAGGTATAAACAAAACACGATCACCGAATCTTCTTGGCCTTCAATCTGATGGTCTCTCCGTTGACGAAGATACCCTTGCCCTTGTAGGGCTCGGGCTTGCGCCACTCGCGGATCTCGGCCGCAAACTGCGTGACGACTTCCTTGTCGACGCTCTCAAGCAGGATCCGAGTCGGCTGCGGCGTGCTGGCCTTGACACCCTTGGGGATGGGGAGTTCAATCGGGTGAGAGTATCCGACCTTGAGGGAGACGAACTGTTGACCGGGGAACTCGGGCTCGACGGTGGTCGCCGTCGACTCGATCATGGCTCTGTAACCAACACCGACCATACTCAAAATACAGATGTGGCCTTCCGATACTCCGAGAATGTAGTTCTGTAGATGTGCGCGCATGGTTCCTGGTGGGTGAGGTAGACCGGGTCAGTCAGTGGGATTGTACAGACACCTAAAGGATCAAAAAGGATTATACACACCCCACATAGCACGCTGGTGTTTGATCTCGGCATCCTGGACCGAGAGCGTAGCCTTCCGGAGGGCCTCATCGTGTTCGACGGTGACGAAGGGGGGGATTCGCAGAGTCAATTCACCTAGCATTCACTTTGTGTCAGAACGCCAACCACAAAAGGTTTCTCGGCAGCAGATCAAAATCATCAGGACTCACCAAGAGGTCCCTTCACCTCGATGGCAACTTTGGGGGCTTCTTGGGCGTTTCCTCTGGCGGCAACGACAGGGAGATCGATGAACTTCAGCGATACCTCCGGAGGCACTGTGATCGGGGCACCGCCCTTTCGTGATTGCGTCGGGGAAGTGGTCGAGAAAGATTGTGTCCGGAGAGGGAGAGCGAACGCAGCTCCAGAACGAGCAGCAGCAGCACCCGCTCCCAAGGAGCCTCGCGCAAACTGCCGGAGGCAGCTCTGGGCCAAAAGATTCGACATGGCGATGTGGTTTGCGACGGGTGTTTTGATTGACTGGGCTGGGATTCTTTTGATGCGGACGGATTTTGTCCGGAGATCTTGCCTTCCAGATGCGGTTAGTGCGTGTCACGTGAGTGAGATATAGATCGGGGGTGGATGAGGTCTGCGTTTACTAGCTTCTACTTCAGCTCGCTGTTCGTGATGTCCTCAAGTGAGAGGTTGCTGGATATGCTCGCGGACGGTTACTATCAGCTGAGAGAGACTAATGGTGTCCGCCAAGGGAAGGGAATAACCTCACCTTCCCGCCTCGCATCTCTTCTGCACTCGCTTGCCTGACGATAGTCGACTTCTCAATTTACGCAACCTCATGCTTCGACTGACCTAGTACTCCAAGGACTATATCATACATAAGTACTATACTGCAATATCACAGACTTTTTTCTTACTTCATTACACCCAGTGGTGCAATCTTGCGGAACTCCGACAACAATATCCACCATGAGACTCACGATTACCTGCGCTTCTGTCGCTACAATGTCGCACTATATCTTAATCACTCTACTCTTCTTTGTCCTTAATCTCAGGAGCCTTGCAGCAGCAGTAGCTTACGAAGATGGTAAGCTCCTGTATAACGAACGTCACGGAAAGAGCTCACATGCAAGCAGGTCTCGCAGGCCATGTAAACCCTATCGCGAACGAGGTCGACCTGGCTTCACTACTCACCGCACGAGCTCTGAAGCAAGATACAATCATGCAAGAAGCTGTCGAGCTTCTGAAGTCCATGCAACTCGCCCCGTCCTGCAACCGGCTCGCGGTCTCAGATCTCATCTCTTCCTGCCAGTCAATTAGCGGTCGGCCCGAGAATCAAGACACAGATATATACCTGGGCCTGGAGCCTGTGCGGTCACTCTACGCGGCGCGCTTGGCTGTCTGCGAGCTCAAGGAAGCCAAAGCAGCAGCGCCGGAGGCGTGTCTTGCACTGATGGTTGCGCCCCGGCAGAAAAGAGGCATCCTAGATTTCGTGCGCTTCAGCGACCCTCAGGGTTTGCAAAAGTCGCGACTGGAGGCTTGTCTTCAGTCGCTGGAGACACGACCGCAGTGGTGGACTTCTTACAGCAATAGTCGGCAGAATGCTGTGGTTATCTGCCAGGCGGCCCGAGGCGAGACGGAGAAGGAGGAGCTGTTGGAGCTCTATCGCGCTATAGCCAATCAGACTGTCACACTTGAGCGTGGCCTTGTAATGGCATCCGCGGTGCACGCAGCTGACATTGCCCGCCAGAAGCAATTTATGCAGGAAGTTGAGACAGCGAGGGCGAGGCTGCGGCAGGATCTGGGAGAAACCATCTCGGGTTTCCATCGAATGATTGAACGGGCTTCGAACGGTTTGAATAGCTATGCTAGACTGGCCAGAGAGACCTTTGAGTCCATCTTTGAGGTGTTGCATCAAGGAGCAAGCTCGCTTGAAGAGGTGAGTTCTCATCCACTCATATGAGTATGGCTGAGAATCTGTAGAAAATCCAGAATGGTACTGCCGCAGCTGATCAGCTAATCCATGAAATGAACATTCTACACTACGAGAACATCAAGAACAATCAGGAAATGGCGGATGCGCAGCGACGAGATTACGAGACTAACAAGGAATTGGCGCTGTCCCTCGGGGCCATTCTCAATGCACTTGGCGAGGGTAGTCTGGCAAGCCTCTCGCAACTCAATGCTTCTCTTGTGAGTATTTCCCTACCATTCATCCTCAGTAAGCTGATTGGTGCAGGAATCCCTCGGATATATAACGCAGGTATTGCAGAACATGCACGAGGTTGGTTACAACATTCCAAATGGCAAGGGCGTAGCTGATCATTAAAGCGCCTGCCGGGACTTGTAAAAACACTTAATGCCACCGAAGCAAGAGCCGAGCACCTTTTCCAAGTGCAATCGCAGCAATATGAGGCGCTTCGAGAAACCTCACGATTACAAGAGCAGAATGAACTCCGCGCGAAAGGCACGGCGGCAGAGCTTAATCAAACAGCCGTCGCAGCCGAGAAACTGTCCAAGACGATTGACAGGATCGACTCTAGATACAGGTTGGGTCTAGTGCTGAAACTCCTTCGCGACCTGGTCTGGCCCCTTTGCAGCTTCGTGATGTGGAAAGTCGTGGCGGAGCGATCACGGCCCATAGCTGCTTTCTGTAAGTCTTCCAACTTATGTTCCGAGAGAGGTGTACTGACTCTTTGGAACTCCAGTTAAATATTTAGTTGGGCGCGAATAATGATACTAGTATTAACTCGGCAGGAATCTACTCATGATAGTCGCTTTCTTTTTTTTTTTTTTTTTTCTTTTTTTATGTTCTCTAATATCCGCCGCGCATAATGTGTACGATGAGATGATAAGTATAGCGATTGCTCTTTCTCTGTGCTTCGCATAAGGAAACGGAAATATACTGCGGAATACGAATTGAATGGCTCTTGCGAGGCCTCGTTGAGCTTTCCACATTCGGACACCTTTAGATAGAGCTGATGATCAGTTTCATCTGCAAGGCATTGGTCGCTCCAGCAGAATGGTGCGCATCACGGCGGCATCGAGTCTCGGTAGAAGAAGAGATCCCACTGCTATCACTGGTCCGTTGCTTGCCTCGGTTGCCTCGAGCGCCGTATTGTACGGGCAGGTAACTGACACAGGCAGTCAAGAGTAAAGCCAAGATGTTTCTCCGCAATTTTGCGGAGAAATTGACGATCCCCGGAAAAGTGGCTGTGGGGTACCGTACCGTCCAATAGCTTAGCCTCTCTTGTATCTCCCGGCAATCCATCTTTCTCTCAAATACCTTCAGGCCGGTACAATCCATCTCGAGGAATCACTGTGCTTCGAAACCTCCTCAAGTTACCCCACATTCCATACGTATTCCTGGTGGAGCCAGCGATTCCGGTAATCAGAACTGTATCCGAGCGGGCATGGCTATAAAAGGATCAAAAGGGCCACTTGTGCCCTTGAGGTCCGCATGTTCCTATTATTCTTTCGCATTAATCCATCCCTCATCATGAGAACGTTAAACCTCTTCCTGCCATCGTTGGCACTGGGTTCTGCAATTTCTACTAGACAAGATTCTTTTCAGACCAAATGTGCCAAGTTCGCAGACAAGATCAATCTCCCCAATGTGCGAGTGAACATCGTGGAATATGTTGCTGGGGGGACCAACGTCTCCCTGCCCGACAACCCCGCCACGTGTGATGCGACCTACCAGTCCGTTTCTACCGACTTCTGTCGAGTCGCCATGGCAGTAGCCACCTCAAACAGCAGTGAAATCACATTGGAGGCATGGTTGCCTCGAAACTATACTGGCCGGTTTCTGAGCACCGGCAACGGAGGACTCAATGGCTGTACGATACCTCACCTGTCCTAATGCACTTGATGCACATATTGTTTCCGAGTCTGACTTCCTCTCTCTTAGGTGTCGCGTACGATGACATGGCATATGCATCTGGATTCGGCTTTGCGACAGTCGGTGCCAATAACGGACACAACGGCACGTCTGGCGAACCCTTCTATAACCATCCCGAGGTCGTTGAAGACTTTGCCTACCGATCCGTGCATACCGGAGTCGTGGTCGGCAAGCAGCTGACCAAGCTCTTCTACGAGCAAGGGTTCAATAAGTCTTACTACCTGGGATGCTCCACCGGCGGTCGTGAGGGCTTCAAGTCGGTGCAGCAGTTTCCCAATGACTTTGACGGCGTGGTGGCCGGTGCTCCGGCCATGAACTTCGTGGGCTTGACCTCCTGGAGTGGTCACTTCTACCCCATCACTGGATCCAACACCTCGGACACCTTCCTTTCGGCTGATCTCTGGAGCGTCGTTCATGACGAGATCCTACGTCAATGCGACGATATCGACGGCGCGCATGATGGAATCATCGAAGATCCTGATCTCTGCCACCCAGTCATCGACACGATCATCTGCACACCCGGCTCCAACTCGACCAATTGTCTCACCGGAGCCCAGGCAAACACGGTCCGCCAGATCCTGTCTCCACTTTACGGGGTCAATGGGACCCTTGTTTACCCCCGTATGCAGCCCGGTTCAGAAGTGGGTGCGTCCGCGATCTACTACGGCGGTTCGCCCTTCTCCTACAGCACCGACTGGTACCGCTATGTGGTGTTCAGCAATCCGGACTGGGACCCCGCCACCCTGAACAGTCATGACATCGCTGTTGCGCTCGCGCAGAACCCTTACAACATTCAGACCTGGGATGCAGACCTGAGCCCGTTCCGCAAGACCGGCGGCAAGGTCTTGACATACCACGGGCTCATGGATCAGATCATCAGCTCGGAGGATTCCAAATTGTACTACTCGCGGGTGGCCGAGACGATGAACCTGGCTCCGTCGGAGTTGGATGAATTCTATCGCTTCTTTCAAATTAGCGGGATGGGCCACTGCGGGGGCGGTGATGGCGCCTACGGCATCGGGAACACGGCAGACACGTTCAACGGCGTCGCGCCGGAGAACAACGTGCTCATGGCGATGGTGCAGTGGGTGGAAAAGGGGATTGCGCCGGAGTTTGTGCGGGGGGCCAAGTTTGTGGATGGAGTGGGCAGTGAGGTGGAATATACCCGCAAGCACTGTCGCTGGCCTCGGCGGAACGTGTACAAGGGTCCCGGCAATTACACGGACGAGAACGCATGGCAGTGTGTCTAGTGTAATTTATAATATACACAGTATCATTGCATGCACAATGCACAACTGTAAATAGTCAAGCATGAAAACATGGTAACAACAAGTCCGCGATTTGAAATCGCATGAGATCATGATACATGGCTTACATTAGGGTTGGTGGGTGGCCGGGCAGAACCGGGCGGTGAGAACCTGCAGTTCCCCCTCGTGGGGCTTCCTTTGGCTTCGCTGCTGCTCCATCTTCCGCTTTTGAAGTTGTCTCTCGCGCACTTTGCGACACACTGACCAACTATCATCCAATTCAACATCTCTCCTATGTATGTACTGCTACCTCTACTCTATATATTCATCTTCACATCACCTTCTTGCATTATGAACTCCAGCCAGACATGCGCAGCCCAACCCAACCCAGACCGCCCCGGCAGTCGGAGCCCCCGCGGCCGCAGTGCGTGATGACTGCTTGGGCGTGGTCAGGTTGGGCGGCGCTGGATCTCCCCTGCAAGCAAACATGGCTGGCCAGCATGTGGTTCGTCTACTTTTATTCCAGTTTCAGCTACTTTCTCTCATGACATCCTCGGATTTTGTCTCCCTCCCCTCCCCTCCCACCACCATATTGCCCTGAACACCCATCTCCCCGCCTTCGTTGTCCTTGGTTGAGCTGATGGTCTTCCCCGCGTCCGCGCGCGGAACTAGCGCTGATAGTTTAACTAGCCTTAATTAATCCGCCGCCTCCTTGATTCGAACACCACCCCAGCCGACTGTGCTCTGCGCTTCAGCTTTCTTTGCGCCGTACCTGTGCGATAACACACGACCTGCTCGCAATCTATCCTCACCGTCCTCCCCCTAGATCCTAGATCCCGTGAGGCCGTAACAAGGCTTTTGAGACAACACCGTCCCCACCATGGACGAATTCGCACAAACCCGTGGCGGAGATGACCTATTCGACGATGAAATCATCCCCGTCTCCGCGGAGCAACTACAACAACAACAGCAACAACAACAACACTCCCCGCACACGCAGGACCACCAGTCGTCGTACGAGGAGAATGTCACGACGACATCTACACCGATCGACAAAGATCTGTCATCACCGGCGCGGACTGACACCCCGTCGCGATCGCGCGGGGGCGAGCGGCGGGGGAGGGGACGAGGCAGAGGGGGGCGGGGCGGGCGCCGCGGGTCGCAGAATACCGGCCGGAGGGGCGATGCCAGTGTGAGGAACAACCATAACCACAACCACACTCATAACCACCAGAAAGAAACTGTGGAGGGCGCTGTGGAGGGACCGGAAGAGACCAGGAGTCCTGTGGAGGAGGCTGCGACTACTCCCTCGGCTGCTGCTGAGACTGAGCAGACGGGTGAGAAGGTGGCAGAGGGTCCGCGGGTGCCTGCTGTACGTGGAGATCGGAGTGCCACGGGTGGGATCAAGAAGGTATGTTTTCCGATATTATGACTACGGGGGCTGTGGAGGGTCTTGAGTTTAGGGGCTAATTGGGGGTGATTTGTGGTTGGTTATAGCCGAAGCTTACGGAGGAGGAGCTCTCGCGTCGTATTGCGGCTGCCAAGGAGAATGCGGCCAAGGTTGCTGCGGCGCATGCTCGGGCTGAAGCGGACCAGGCGTCGTTTCTGGAGCGGGAGAAGGTTGCCGAGGAGAAGAGACGCCAGGAGCGGGCGCAACGTCGGGTCATGGATAACGAGCGGGAGCGCAACCGACAGCGCAAGTTGGAGGCCTTTGCGGGTCGGGAGTGGGATGCTCAGAAGAAGGAGGAGGATTTCAGCCCCCGTGGTGGCCGCGGAGGTTTCCGTCGGGGGATGCACGGTGGTATTTCTGGATACACTAGACGCGACTTTGACGGCCAGTCTGGCGGTCAGTCTGGCGATGAACCTACCGAGGAGCCACACGGGGACCACCCCCGAGGGGGTCATCGAGGCCGCGGACGTGGCGGGCGGGGCGGACGTGGTCGGGGAGGCCATCGGGGTCCGCGGGAGGATATTCCCCAGGTGGACGGGCCTGCTGAGAACGCGCCGGGGTTGAGCGAGTCGAGGTGGGCACCGGCTCCAGTGCTTGATAATGAGGCAGATTTCCCTGCGCTCCCCGGCAGCGAGAAGAGCAAAGATGTCTCGAAAGAGGGACCGAAAGACTGGGTCAAGGATAAACAGAACAACACTACAAGGGATGCCAAGGATGTGTTCAAGGATGATTCCAAGGACGACTCTAAGGGACAGGAACCCAAAGAACCCGTCAACGCCGCCAATGCCGCGAAGCTGGACCTTTTGGACGTGGACCCTCTATCGCCTATGGAGGGGTCGTGGGCCGAACAAGTCGAGTCTCAGTAATTGTTTCTCTTGGAATAAAGACCCCATGATTGATGCATCTTCTTCCCCAGTGCTGTTCCTGAGATATAATATGATTGTTTGATTCCTGTTGGTAGTCGCTGAGAGCTAATGACGTGATGTACATACAGGCACGCATTGACTTGACTTAGATAGTAAAAGACTAGGTTGAACATCATTCCTACTGTGTTACTGTGCCTGACGCTATACTTTGCACATGGTAAATAATGATCAGCCGTGCTGGTGCTGGTGCTGGTGCTGGTTCGGTGGTGGTGATTAACTCCAAGTTGGGGGTGGCAACCCGCCATGACGTGTGTTCATGATGAGATCACCAACCCTTCATCATCACCACGGGGTATATAAAGCCTTAGTAGCCATGCAATCTTCACCAAACCATACCTCACTACCTGCCCACAGTATACCAATTCAACGAATTCAGCTTATCTGTTTGAGTGAGTATTCCCTCGAACCCAGCAACCACCAGCCAGACACAACTATAACTTATACTGGCCCATGATAGTACAACCGCTGACACTGCACCTGCAGAAACATACACATACTTCAACCACCACCACCACCACCTCTACGTATCTCTTGAAAAGACATCCAACCAGACAAAATGGCATCCAACTCGAACCGCCTTCCCCAGGCCACCCGCGGAGGCGCCTCCGCTGAACCCACTCCGGCCAACAACGCCGGCGGCGGCAGCGGCTGGGGCGACTCCGGCCATCCTAAGGGAGGAATTTCGGTGAGCTGCCCTGAAGCTGCTTTGAAGTCTCACCCATAAGGCTTGAACTCAGCCCCTAACCACTAGCACCATACCCCCCTAACACCCTAACATAGCTCTCTCCCCTTCCCCCCGGCTCCCCTCTCAACCCGTTAACATCACCCCTCCCCCCCACCCAAATTCCACCCAGAAAAATACTAACAACCGAGAAATAGAACGACATCCTCACCACCCCCGAACTCTCCTCAATCACCGACCAAAAGACCCGCGCCGAGAACAAGTTCCTGGGCCGCTTCGACGAGGGCCAGGGCATGCAGGAGGGCACCTGCGCGACCGAGGACCACAGCTTCATGGAGCGGAAGCCTGGTGGCTCGGGGGCGTTGCCGGGGTGGGAGACGATGAAGGATAAATTGGGATTGTAAGTTCCCCTCCCCTCCTTTTTTTCTCTCCCAGGAGTGTGAACTGGGGGTGGAGAGAGGGTTTGGGGGTGGTTTTTTTTGGTGGGTGGCAGGTTCCGGGGGTGGGGGTTTAGATGAGGGGGTTTGGATGAGGGGGTCTAAATAGAATTGGCTGGCTGATATGGGACTTAGTCTCTATCCGGAGTGAATCGTCATTCATTCTTCTGGAAGGAACTGGGGGTCATGAGGTTTTCTTTTCTCTTATGGTGTAGTTTATGGGATACTTACTGGTTCGGTGTTCGTGTTTAATGATTAGGTTATGGAACGATATGAATATGACTCAAGACATTTGGATGAGATGCTACTGGTGGGTGGACTTTTGTTATTTTCGATTAAAGGTATAGAATTATATCATACAGCAAGGCAGCTGCACTACTCCGTCTTCGACTTCCCCCTAATCTTATCCCGCAAAGCAACAATCTTTCCCCCCAGACGACTCTTCAAGGTCTGCGCTCGCATCGCCGAGGCCTCCTCTGCCGTCACGAACCGACGCACCAACAAATTGAAGATACTACCAAACGCCAAGGCTATCACCGTGCTCGTTAGGATGATCACGTTGTACGGCATGCTGAAGTCCGGGGTCGGCAGCGGCAGCAGCAGACTAGTGGTGCGGAGGTAGATGGGATGTTCGCCGCCAACCTTGATCACCGCCGGCGCTACATTGAACCCCCGGTTGGCGTCCGGGGGATACTCCGTGTACCGCAGGATGGCCTTTTCGAAATCGTAGGTTAGCGTCACCGTCGATGCGGCCGGGACGGAAAGGGCGAGCTCGAGTTGGGTGCCGCGTTCGCGATCGATAGCAGGGCGGTAGAAGGTCTCTTTGATGAATTGCGAGGCCGGGACCTGGCGACGCAGCCCGTCGCGGCCCGTGATGGTCGCTTGAAGGGTGTGGACGTAAGGCCGAAGAAACCAGGGAAGGGTCTCGAAGTAGATGAAATCCACGGCGTTGGTGGCGGAGGGGTTGTCGAAGATGATGCGCATGCCGCCGCGTTCCTGGCCGTGGCCGACAATCGTGCGCTCTGCGCGCAGGACGGGCTCGTCGAGCGGCACCTGTGCTGTGGCCTGTTGCTCGGGGATCATGAGGTCGAAAGGCGTCGAAGACTCCAGTGTGAAGCAACGGGTGTAGCCGTCCGCCTTTCTGGCTTCCACCGCGCCGGGGCTGGCGTGCACTTCTCGTTCGTGGGGTACTCGTAGACAGACAGCTCCGTCGGCAGAGCCCTCGGTGAGAGGACATGATCCACTGATGCTGCGGCCGAAGACCTCAGACAAGCCCCATGCTTTCTCCGACGTGCTCTCCAGTGGATAGCAGGTATCGTCCGAGTGATAAGGTTTGGAGGTGTCGCACACGAGCTGCTCATTAGGCACTGGCCGGGGAATGGGGTTATCTGCACAGATATCAGCATCGTTTGTATATTCAGTGCAGAAGATACCAACCGCGAGGACGCTTGGATCGGTCAATGTCGAGCACAATATCCACCGATTGATCAATCTGCACAACACAGTCACTTGTCTCCGTGCAGATGGGACGCACATCCACAGACATGCTCTGCCACGACGCATCAAACAACTTGTGTCCGTCAAGGAGACTCGCTACGCCCGCCTTGCCCTTACATGGCAGGAGCTTCAAGAACGGGGTCAAATTCTCCGTACAGACCACCTCGCCAGGAAGTGTTCCGTGCAGGAGATGCAAGTTATCCAAAGCGGCGTGAGTCCCTGCGGGCTCAAACGACGCAACCGGTCTCGTAGTCCTCGTCGAGTCGATAAAGTTCAACGAAGCACAGAAAAGCCCGGAGAGTGACTGTGTTAAAGTAATCCATTTCGCAAAAGCACTACCTCACGTCAGCGTCCCTTCCATGACATTATTTTGAAGGGCAACCATACGCCTCATCGTCCACAGCATCAATCCAGGCCCAGAGCTCCACACCGGTGCCGCCCTCCTTGGTGCCGTTCCATGGGCGGGGACCCCAACTCTCAGCATCCCATCGACCCGTTGTGAACCGGAGATGGAGCTCCTTGGTATTGGCGTGGCGGAGGATTTGGCCTAGCGCACGGGGAAAATAGCGAAAGTGGCGCTCATCGAACGACTCCTGCGAGTCATTGCTTTGGAAGTTGAACGAGGCTAGGAGCGCGGATTGCGGAAGTGGTTGTAGAACGAGGCTCTCGTGGTAGTCGGAGGTTGCGGAGGCGAACGAGGCAAATGCGGCCAGGAAAAGTAAAGAGAAAAGCGATCGGACAGTCATCACGTCATGCTGGCCGACACGAGACTAAATAGTATCAATCCGGTTGAATCTGTAGAACCACCCCGGAGCGGCGGAGGGGGGGGCGCGACCTCCGGCGGTTGCGGTGCTGGTAGCAGATGCAGCGTCTATCAGTTGCGATGATACCTGCGAGTTGTCAAGAGATGGCGCTCCAATTTATCAATATCTGCTTTAAGTTATAATGAATAGCATGGAGAAGCAGCATGGAAGAACAACCGAAGATAATAGTCCGGAGCAATTGAGCGAGTGAGCAGGGAGAGAGTAGAAAGAGAGAGTGAGGGAGAGACGGGGGGCTCACATAAGCGCAGCCAACCGCGGTTAGCGCCAAGGCCCGCAGAACCTCCCGCGCCCAGAAGAAGCTCTCTCCATCTCAATCTCCCTCCCCCATTCTCCCTCAATCACCACCCACTCAATCCCAGGCTTCATCCTCCCATCATGGCTGCGGAACAACGAAAGCTGCTCGAGCAGCTCATGGGAGGTATGTTATTCCCCCCCTCCCCCCAAACACTCGGCGCAGCCCTCCACTCTCTTCATCTAACAACTAACCTCGAAATCTTCTTCTCTGCAGCGGACCAGCTCGTCGGCACCGGAGCCCCCTCTCGCAATGCGCAACTCCAAATCACAGACCCCAAAGTCTGCCGCTCGTATCTGGTCGGCACCTGCCCGCACGACCTCTTCACCAACACCAAACAAGACCTGGGCCCGTGCCCAAAAGTGCACAGCGAAGGGTTGAAGACGGAATACGAGACCGCCTCGGCCGCGGAGAAGGCCAAATGGGGGTTCGACTACGACTACATGCGCGACATGCAGAAGTACATTGACGACTGTGACCGACGCATTGACTCGGCGCAGCGCCGGTTGGAGAAGACCCCGGATGAGATCCGTCAGACGAATAACTTGGTAAGGGCCTTTGGAGAAGCTTTGCTTGAGCTCTTTTCTCCCCACTTGCAATTCTAACCTCAACTACTTGTTGGCATTCACGCAACCCAAACTAACAATATCATTCACAAATTAGCTCAAACAAATCGCCGACCTCACCAACACAATCAACAGCGGCCTCCTGGAGATCTCCGTGCTGGGCGAAACCGGCTCCGTCGCCCAGGCCCTCAACGAGCTGCACAAGATCCGCACCGCCAAGCACCAGAAGGAGACGTGCGAGCGCGACCTCAAGAATCTCCAGGACACCTCGGGCCCCTCGGGCCACCAGAAGCTGCAGGTTTGCGACGTGTGCGGCGCCTACCTGAGCCGGCTCGACAACGACCGCCGCCTGGCGGACCACTTCTTCGGCAAGATGCACATGGGCTACTCGGATATGCGCAAGACGTTCAAGAAGCTCAGCGAGGAGCTCAAGGGTCGGCCTCCGCCGGTGCGCCACCACGATGACGAGGACGATCGCGGCTGGGGCGGTGGTCGCTCTGGCGGCGGTGGTCGCGGGCCTCGGTATGGAGGTGGTGGTGGCGGCGGTGGTGGCTATAAGAAGCGCGGTCCGCGGTGGTAGTGGTAAGGCTGATGGTGGTGTGGTGATGATGCGAGCAAACGACGACGAACCACAAAACGATGATGAACGATGACTTTGGTGATAAGGCAGGACAGCGGGGGCTGGAACTGGGTTGGTTGTCTTCTGAGCACACCCGGCTATTTCCTTTTCTTCGGCGGAGCTGTACGCCTCCTCTTACTCTGGTTTTTGCATAGCGTAGGCGTTTCCTTTCACGGCCTCGTTGGCGGATGTCATGGTTTTTATTATTCTGTTGTTCTAAAAAGATACTAAACATTACTTATATTAGCGAAATAACCAATCTACGCACTACGTCACCAGCATACCTGGTCTCATTGCTGAACCGATTTCAAGACTTGAGGGTGTCATTTCTGGCTAGGGAGTATATGGTTGATCGAAATCAATATGCCGTTCTGCCGTACAAAAGTAAAATGCAGGAGACAAACGAACAGGCCTGTAAAACAGAAAACCCCTGCCATCAAGCCGGATAGAAAACATACATAACCACGCCTGTGTGGAGAAAGAAAAAGCCTGCGTGTCTGCATCGAAGATTGCAACATCAATGAAGGAAAATATAGATAGAAAATCCGGTATCGCCCAACTGCACATTTCAACGATGAGGAGAATGACAAAGAAAGACATTCACAAGAGAGCTGAAGTGATATCAAACACCAAGTCCCAAACATGATTTGGAAAGGGGAAGGAGAAGGAGAAGGCGGGGACGGGGGAGAGGAAAGTCGAGGAAGAGACATGAGAGATAGAAAAGGTGGAAGAAAGAGTACTGTACAGCAGCATTCAAGCTGCAGTCTACCGGTTGTTCTGCTGTCCACCATGGTGTCCATTGGCCGCCGTGACCTTGAATAGTTCATCGGTCAGCAGCTTGTAATCAGCCAGAGCCTCTGGACAGCGGACTAGAATCTCCTTAATCACACTCAACTGAGAGACATCCGCGTTGGGAGCCTGCTGTAGAAGTTGCGTGAGCGCGGGCGAATGGGCGGCCTGCGGACCCAGGACCTGGATAGCTGCCGGCAGACCTGTGAATGGGCCTGACTGGGCTGCAGCCTGGGGTGGTGCATAGGAGGGGTATTGTGTGGAAGCTGCGGGTGGTTGCTGCGTTTGCTGGCCGTAGGGGATGGGCGCCTGCGGCGTGGCGGGGAACGAGGGAGCTGGACTGGGGGTGAACTGGGAGGAATGGCGAGGAGGCGCGGGGGTCAGAAATTGTTGTGGCTGGGAGGGAGCCATCGTGAGGGGACTGGCAGAAGCACCAGGCTCCTGGCTGGATGGATGAGAGATGGACTGCACGGAAGGAGGGTTCGAATCGCCGGTCTTCACGGCGAAGACAACCAGAAGTACCCGTTCCGGGATGGGATCCTCGAGGGTGTTGTTCTCCAATAATTCGATGAAGTCGGGCTTCTTGGTTGACCCGGCCTCAATCGGTATCAAGTATGTATCCTTGACAGCTGGCAGAGGGTGTTTGCCCACCACCCCGTATCTATTGCGGTCTTGGAAGTAGCTGAACAACTTGTCAAAGCCAGCCTTCTCCTTGGGATTATGAGGACTGCTAATCGAGATGACAGTAACATCGGTCGACGAGCTGAACCGAAGACCACAGAGATAGTTGCCGGCCAACTGAATGTCGATCCGTCCGTCCACGAGTAAGGTCGAAGGGACCAGCTGGCTCCAGGGGATACGACCGCTGAGGTCGGCGCCTCCTGCATGCTTCGCTGAGGACGCGAATTCGGCGATGGTACTCATCATCACCTTGCCATGCCAGATCGATCCTTCATCGTGATAGTCCCTGGGAGAGTAGGGTGGCGATTCGGGTTCATCGTCCTTGAGTAGCTGATCAATTTCGGCATCGGCTTGGGCTTTGCGAGCTGGTAACTGTTCGCGAATGTGAGCTGACATTTCGGGGAAGACAGGCTCGTGGCTGGTGCCACCGGGCGAATGCGCCCTCGGAGGAAAGTCATCGCGACGAATATCCACTCCATCAGAGAGCTTGGATTCATTGAGGGGCTTCGAAGCGGCGCCATCGGTCTCAGTCGTCTGCTGCGTTGGACTGGTCGGACTCTGCGCGGTAGGACTGCCGTCGGCCTCGGCCAGACTGCGTCGAGATGCGACGGTGGAAAACACCGGCTCGCTGGCGGCGACATGGTTCTCATCTTCAACCAATTCCTCACCCTTATGGGTGCGTCTTATGCGCGGCCCTTGCTCTTGGATGATAATGTGTTGGCGCTCGGCCTCCCGCTTGATCTCCGCGTCCTTCTGCTGCAGCTCCTCACTGGCCATGTCTTGGGAGCTCATCTTAGAGAAGGCATCAGGAAGTAAACTACCTACGAGCAGACGATCCCGTAGAGAAGAGTTCTTCTTTACGTTGAACAGAATCGTCCGCAATTGAGTTTTATACGGGTCTGTGGGCTCTCCAGATCCTCCGCATATATTCTGGTACATAGCACTCTCAATCGAGAGTCCGAGCTGCCGCGCAACTTCCTCCGCTGTTTTCCCATGGGGCAAGCTGAAAGATCCTTTCTTCTGGGACTCAGAAATCTGATCTACAAATAACTTGACCAGGGCACTGGCAACACTTTTCCGAGCGGGATTAGTGGGTTCTTCCAGGTGCTTTGCTTCTTCCGTGGTCGGCGACGGTGATGCGACGGAACCTTGACGCGACGACTGCGCGACAGGTTCATCTTTTACTGTAGCCGGCTGGGGGGGAGGGGTCGGTGTCGCGGCGGATGGTGAGATCTTCTGCTGTTTGGGTTTCGGTTCCTATCGCAATTAGTGTCAGCAAAATAAGGATCAGTCATGAATAGACGAATACGTACAGCGTCCAGAGCTGAAGGCTCTTGTTGCTCCTCAAACTTGCGCTTCTGGGCGCTTGCCGGCTGGGCCTCGGAAGAGAGGCCATTTTCTTCGGGGGTTGGCGCCTTCGCGGCAGTAGCAGCTTCAGTAGCAGGAATCTGGACGGAAGGAGTGGGAGCAGGAGGTGTGGGATGTGGTGGAAGGGCAGCGGGAGCAGGCGCGGGAGCAGGCGTAGGCGTAGCGACGGCAGCTGGAGTAGGAGTAGGGGCAGGTGTCGTCGAGGCTGCTACTGCGCGCGCAGGTGTGCTCATTTCAACCTTGGCCTCACTTTGTCGACCTCTCCTGCCGCCTTTCTTGCCCTTTTTGCGTCGTGAAGCCTTCTTCTCTTCCGCTTCGATGCGTCGCCGTTCGGCCGCTTCCTCCCATGGCTTCTCACCCCGCGCGATTTTCTCCAAGAGAACCGGGTGATTCTCGGGCTTGCACTGCTCACAGAAGTATTCGTCGGGCTCTTCCCCCTTGGCGAACGTCAGGCCCATGCAGTCATTGTGTTGCCATGCGGAACATCGATCGCAGCAGATCATATCACGTTCGACGTCCTCCTCCTCTTCATATTCACCGCAGATGCATCGGATGATTTCTTCCTCCTCGCTGGGAGCCGGCGTCGGCTCCACGGACGGTTTCGCGGGTTTCTCTTTGGGCTGAGCTTTGGCTTTCGTCTTCTTAGCCGGCGTCTCGGTGATCATGTCGAGGTTCTTGTGCTGACCCTTAGTCGAGCGACCAGAGCGTCTCGGTTCGTCTGCAGTGCTTTGTTAGCTGCCTTCCATTCATGCCATGACTCGCCAGCTTGCCCGCCACCAACACCGGTGCATTGATAGTGCTGGCGGCGAAGCAAACCACGGTGAAATACGATAGCTTACCAGCCATGTTTGTAGTGAATGACTGAAGGGTTGTTCAAATTTCTACGGCGCGAAAATTGCTGGTTGCAAAGGAGAGAAAGGACAGGAAGGGGGAAATGAGCAACTGATAGAATAGTGTCCAAGGGAATGATTGCGCACGCCGCCCAGGTCACGGTTCTACGGTATCAGAAGAGCTAAAGCAATACAGAGGATGGCACTGGAGACTGGCACTGCTGGCCAGTCCGCGCAAGTATTACTTTATCTTCTCAAAGAGACTCCAGCGACTTATTTAGAGACGATGGGGGACGGAATTGTCCGTGGCGTCACCATGCGTGATGGGGAAAGGTCTGTTCAACCGGTTGTCGCGCGCAGAATGCTTGGCGTGGGCGGGGTTTCGCGTGAAAAGTGGCTCAAGCCTCACGGATTATTTATGCGTGGAATCGTGAGGTGCAAATGACGAATGTGCAGCGTGTAATGCACAGCAGCGGTCGTTGATGAAAGGTGCGTCCAGCAAGATCCGACCGGAGTTGATTGAGAGATGGGAGAATAGAATGATCGGATTGGGGGGAAGAAGGAAGAGGAGGAGATGTTGTCGCGGTTGAAGCTAACTGCCTTAGTAATCGACTAACTGACGGCACTAACCCAATTAGGCGGAACTTGCTGATTCACTCGCATTATAAGCAGCACGTGATGGCGGCTCCGCGGAAGAGGCTTGGCGCGCGCTGAGCCCGTTCTTCGTCGCGTTTATTCTTCCGCGCCCTTTCAGAGCTTCTCCGGAATCCCCACATAGATCGATTTTCTGAACCACCCCCCAGCCTTTGCCTTCAAAACGGTTCTACCTACTCTTCTACCTACCTAGTAATCACAACCAGACGTCCTACATTTCAAACTTCCTGTTCTCACCTTCTTCACATGTCATAATCCACATCAAGGCACAAGACCATGGCAGATATTCGTTCGTTACTCCGCAATGAGCTCGCCACCCGCAAGGGCTCCTCCCAGACAGGGAACACGAGCAACCGTGTAACCAAGAAGAGAAAGGTAGATTCTGCCGACGATCTGAGGCGCAAAAGGGTTCGATCTGCTGGCGCGGAGCCCATTTCCGCACAGACAGTACAACCACCGAGCGCGCAACTGATTGAGGAGGAGGCGCAGGGGGAGGAGGTGCTTGAACAATTAGACGAGGAAGTCGCGGGTCAGGAAGCCACGTCAGATGCTGCTGATCAGCACATATCTGAATCCACCGTCCCATCACTGGAACCCTCCGCTGCGACGGTGGCGGAAGCACCTCAGACCGTGGACGAGGATGAGTGGGCGGCTTTTGAACGCGAGGTGGTAGCGCCGACCCGTATGCCACACCGGCCTGCTGTGATGACAGTGGAGGCGACCATCTCAGCCGCCCCTATGACCACGGAGGAGATCGCCGCACAGCAAAAGCGCGAATCCGAGACGATAAGGAAGAACCGCGAGGCAGAAGCGGAGGGAGAACGGGAAGATGCGGCGCGCTTCATGGAAAACGAGTTCGATGAAATGGAACAGCTCGAGGAGCGCCTCAAGCGTCTCAAGCAGAAACGCGAAGAGTTGCGGCAGCTCCGAGCGACCGACGATGGCGCCATGCAGGACATGGTTGATTCTCCACCCGCTATTGCTGCGCCGGAGTATGAGCTAGGCCAGGCACAACCCGGTCACGAAAACGAAGATGCAGAGGATGCAGATGATGATGATGACGACGATGATGATGATTGGGACAACTGGAGGTTCCGGTAATTGTTGAGGTCAAGGTTCAGGCGTGGAACAGAAGAAGGCGTCATTTCACAGAGGTCCAGAACTTTCCTAAAAACTTACAGTGATACCCCATGAGCTATGTGCGATCTCACCAAAAATCGCTAATAATTAACCTAATGTGCCCCAGAACTCGTTGGCAGCGCAGCACGAATGATTACCTCTTTTGCCCTTTTGCTTTCATACTTCCAGTGACAGAGCATATCGCGTCCCGCAGCTGAGACGAGAGCTTTGCGCGATGAACCCCCTTAGAGAGAGGAAAAATTGGCTTAACATGTACTTTACATTTCGTCAAAATTGTATCTGTCTTATACATGAACTGTACATCCTAAACTGCCCCTTATTCTTCTTGGGGCCTTGAAGCTTGCTCGTCTGCTTCGAGATAGCTTCGCAGGCCACCCTTGTTGACTTGCATAGCCTCCTCAAGCTCAACCTCACCTTCTCTCAACAGATGTTTGCCACGGATAAGTTCGCCCTTTTGCTTTCGCCTCTCGTCTTGCACTTGTTTTTCTCGCTCTGCCAACGCTCTCTCGCGCTTTTCTCGCTCCACCCGTTTTCGCTCCAGCTCTTCTCTTTCCTCAGCCGTGAGGTTATCCTCTGGCGCCGGAGCCAAGGTCGAAATGTATGTCTCAATCAGTGGGTCGCGTACTTTGGGGGCTAGAGCGATGTATCTGAGGTCGGTGATGATAGATGTGGGAAGCGCTTCCAGATTTGACGACTTATTCAATTCGTGTAGCGGCACAGACCTCAGTAGAGCGGAAAGATCGGACTTCCGACTGCTTTCGGATTGTTTCATTCGAGATACCAGATCGCGGTAGAATTTCTCCCGGTCTTTGTCCGATAGCTGTGGATCTTTCATCTCTGGTTCTTTCCTGTACTTCCGTTTGAATTCTGGCCAATACAGTTTTGGAGTCGCGTGTTCCTGCAAGAATGACAGGTATTTGATGCGAGGATCTTTCTTCTCTTGCTTCTGTTTGCACTCCTTGATTTCCTGGATGCGATCGCGACTCCAGTTCGACCAGACATCGCGACGCGATTTCATGTTCGGCAGCACAGTGTAGCGGCTGTCATTGATGATGTGGCCTTCTTCGATGATCTTCTCCCAGGTTGTGAAGGGATTGATATGGAAGTCATTTAGAAGGTCACGGAAAAGAGCCGTAGCATCTTCTTCTGTTAGCGGCAGGCCTTCGGCCCCTTCTTCCCACTCTTCATCTCCCGGTTCACCGTACTCCCCGGGGTCAAGGCCATATTCTTCTCCCATCGCGGCTAGCTGATATTCCATGTCTTCTTCGGTGAATTCCATAGGCTGTGTCTGGCCACCATCCTCATCAATCTTTGGTCGCTTGAAATTTTGGTCTTCATCTTCGCTGTCCGTGACCTCCACTTCTTCATACTCATCACTGTCCGCCTCGGCTTGAAGCATGGGCCCGGGTGCCGACCCTTCAGCCCCCTGCCTGTGCTTTGAACTGCCGTCTTCTTGCTTCGATTCTTCAAAACCCTCGATGTCTTCGCCACGCTCCTTCTTCGCCAAAGCTTCTTGTTCCAAGCGATCAAACTCGAAAACCCCCTCCATGACCTCGGGAGGGATTTTCCAGAAACTCTCATTTGTCTCCGGATTGTGAACAAATCGTCTTCCTAGTTTCGTCTTGACGAGCACCCACGGGGCGCATCCAGGAATGGGGTGTTTCTTCTTGGGTCTGTCTTCTGGTCCCCGGCGTCGGCGATCGTAGTTGTTCCTTGCACCACGGAAATTCTCCTGGCCGTGACCTCCATGCTGTTGTCCATATTGAGGGATGGCATTAGATCCAGTGGCATGGAGCCCGAATCCGTGAGGCGCATAAGGGGTGGAAGAGAAGGGGGGCAGTGTGTCTATGCTCGCGTTGAACGTCGGTGGTTGCGGCGCTATCGTGGGCGGTTGGGATTGTGCAGGGACCGGTAGAGGTCTTGTGTAGGTAGATTGCTTGGTTTGCGCATTGTAGTAGTAGGTGTGGCCTGTTCTGAGTTAGAAGTGCAGTTCATCCGAGACTTCATTGCGGTCGACAAACCTGTTGGAGCTTTATGTTCGGTCCATCCTGGAGGCAGCGGAGGCGGAGGGGTATATGTCGACCTTAACATGCTGATTGACGGGATCGCTGTGTTGAGTCTGCTAGATAAAAATGCGATGACGAGAAAGATAAGAGCACATATGGGAAAGAATTTATTGTTCGAGGAATTGCTGGCTTGCGCCGCGGAGAGCTTCGCATGGAATCTCGGGGTGGTCCGAGCTTGGCGGGACGGATGGTCCAGTCAGCCCCGGGGCTGGTGGACGCGCCAGGGCGAAGTTGCCTGCTCACTTCAACGGGAGCTCATCCGACCTTCCTGCACAGCTTGCTTGCATTCTCCTCCATCACAACTCCGCTCTTTCCCACATCCCCTCTTTCACCTACACGATCGGACTATCTCATTGTCTATCTGGTTCTCATCAAGATGTCAAGAAGATACGATTCCAGAGTATGCTTGTTCTCCGTTGATTAATTCCTTCCGTGGGAAGCTTCCTAGCTAACCCGATGACGTTCCTCCGCAGACAACCATCTTCTCCCCCGAAGGTCGACTCTACCAAGTTGAATATGCGCTAGAAGCAATCTCGCACGCCGGTACTGCTCTCGGTATCTTGGCCAGGGATGGGATTGTCCTTGCCGCGGAGAAGAAGGTCACCAGCAAACTGCTCGAGCAGGACACATCTGCCGAGAAGCTGTACACACTGAACGAGTATGCGGCCCTTAGCCCTCCACCCTGTTCTGGCCTAACCTTTTGGGCAGCAACATGATCTGTGCAGTTGCTGGTATGACGGCGGACGCGAACATCCTGATCAACTATGCCCGACAAGCCGCTCAGCGGTACCTTCTTACCTACAACGAAGAGATCCCTTGCGAGCAACTTGTCCGTCGGTTATGTGATCTGAAACAAGGGTATACCCAACACGGTGGTCTCCGTCCATTCGGTGTTTCATTCATCTACGCAGGCTACGACCCACTTCGGCAGTTCCAGTTGTACCAGAGCAACCCCAGCGGTAACTACGGTGGTTGGAAAGCCACCAGTGTGGGTGCCAACAATGCAAGTGCTCAGAGCTTGCTCAAGCAAGATTACAAGGAGGACTGTGATCTGAAGGAGGCTTGCGCTATGGCGGTGAAGGTCCTGAGCAAAACGATGGACTCAACGAAGTTGAGCAGTGAGAAGAGTAAGCGATCTCCCTCGGACGGACACAGGGTCCAGCTCGAGTGCACCATACGCTAATGGAATTACGCTCTACAGTCGAGTTCGCAACGGTGGGAAGAACCCCTGAAGGCAAGATCTACCACCACTTGTGGAACGCCGATGAGATTAATGCTCTGTTGAAAGAACACGGGCTGGCCAAGGTCGACGACGAGCCTGAAGCTGGTGAGATTAAATAAATGAGTGAATGACAGCTTACTGCGTTTTGACCAAGATAATATCATTTGTTTTTGTTCAACAAAACATCATGCAAGAAATACTGTAGGCCGCTCATGGGAAAGTAGAATTCTGGGGAGGATCCGTATCAAATCATGGACCACAGTACACCCCCTTGAAGCTGCACCTGAAGCGCAACTGACGTTGTCCATGGGTGACGTGGCAAGCGGCGATATCAAGCTGCGTTCCCGGACAATTCATTGTACATTTGTCCTCGTGTATCAGAGTGGAATTCGATCCGGTTCTTCAAAGGTCTTGGATGATGAATGGTCCACGTAGCATAGGACGACCTCAATTGACATTGGGCGCCTGAACAAAGAAAGGCTTCGACGGACACAGGGTATGACATACAGTTCCTATATATTAAGCCACGCCCCAGAGCTCCCCCTGCTCCCGATCTCGTACCAACCTATGCATAAAATGCACGGTAAAGTACTCCACGATATGTTCTGTCGAATATCGATTGTGCTGGCAGTCATATACCACATTCGCAGTTTCATCATAGGAACGATTGAAGCAGATGGAACCATGGCCAGAAAACCATCATTCAATCGCCCAACGAAGCTCAATTCTCAGTCTGAGGCCCAGACTTGTTATATGTAAGGCTGATTTGAGGCAGCTTCGGGGGCAGACAGTTCCAAGTTAACACACGGGGCGGCGACTCTAAACCAAAGTGGCCGGTCGTCACGTGGCGATTGCCGAAACGCGGGGTTGGTCTATATCCATCTCCATATCTCTAAACTCACCGTACTACCCACCGTTTGTCTACAAGTTTCGTGGATACACTTCTTCATGTTGGCAGAGTTCTCGTCACAATATAAAATGGAATTCTCTGTGCTTTTCAGTTCTTCTATGCTGACATTGACTACACTGGCTTCCTCGTCATTGATCAATTGCTTCGGTGAAACGGCCTCCTGGCTCTGACGAACCGCTCGTTAACATCGGCGCTTAAGATGTGGAACTCATACCGAGGGATGGCGCCCAGAAATGCCAGATATTTAAGATTCAAAGAATTTTATTGGATTTGATCACTTTACTCAGGGGTTCTTTATTCGACGTGAAGGACTCCTGGCAACTATTGTGCGGCTGCAGCCTGAAGAGACGAATTCAAAGCAACAAAGGTCGAATTGACCACAACGTGAAACATCGCCAGTGAAACCCAGGGACTAACCACCGGATTACAAGCATGAACAATGACCGACGCATAACCAATGAGGGAATCGAAAACATGAAGAAAAGAAACAGCATCTTGCCCATTACATTCACTCCCCTTTTCTGCTCCCACAGATCACATGTTGACTCATGACAACGCTCGCTGTTTGTCTTGCTTCTCCCTTTTCAGCTGGATTATTTCTGTTTCGAGCTCCATGATCAGATTCTCGCATCTTTCCATGGAAGCTACGAGAGTGCCACCCTCTCGCTTCCACCGAGTCAACCGGTCCAGCTCGGCGTCTCGCCGCCGCTTCTTGGTTTCAATCTTATCGCAGAGGCGGCATTTGCCTTTCTCGTTGAAGGTCTCGTTCACAAGTCTCATGCCGCACGTCTCGCCTGTGCGGTACTCGTAATTGCAACGGTGAGCGAAATTGGTCCAGCTCCAGTCACCACATGAAAACTTCTTCTGGTTGTAGAAGCACATCTCTAATGCTTGCCGTCAGCTAATGGTTTCTCAGGGTCCGGATGAAACTCACTATCCGTTGATGCAGCTTGCGGTTTCAAGTTTCTGCCTTGTGTTCTATTGGCTCCGCAAAAAGCTCCTGCCGCCGTGCAGAGATTTGATAGGCTAAGCTTGCACGAGACCTATTGAAGATTGAGGATTGCCCTAGAAATGAAACACTTTCAATCGACAACAAAGTCTTATTTTGAATGGTTATATCTGAAGAAGCAGAGTTTGAAACGGTTATTGATTCAGAATTCGAGAAGTGGAAGGCCTCCGTGACCCTATTTATGTTTCGTCAAAAGCTTTCATGGTAACGGACGACCAATTATCGTGCCATGCCCATCATTTGTCGATCAAATCCAGCTCAGCCTACCATGGCTTATCGACTACAGCATACTATCATCACTCGCACACCATCCCATCCAGTGATTCTGCGGTTGGCTACGCTGGAATTTTCCTGACTGTGGAGACACGAAAAGTCCACACCCTTCCTGTTCGGGGCAACTGTAATCACCGGGTGATTCACGAATGCATACATCCAGCTGTCGTGTTCGGCTTGTCTAGCTCGTGCTGAAAATCCCTCATTCGCCATGATTGATTCCTGGTGGTCTTTGTCCTGCTAGCTCGGATTGTTGTTGCAGCCTGAGATAATCCGTTGATCGTCCCCGCTTCATCTATGGGTTTCCACCGCGTACGAAGCGGAATTCAAGAATCAACCAGGCCATATGCTTGCTGAATCAAAGCTCCTGCATGAGACGGTCGTTTTTACTTTCGTGCCAGCTGTCATGCTGTCCGTCTCACATCGAAACTCTTTTCCTCCCGTCGAATGGCAACCTAACAATCCGGCATTGAGTAGATGGAATGCTACAGATGCCGGTTGAAACGTCAGTGTGATCATGGCCCGCGATGACCTTGTCCGGTTTGTTAGATGTCTCCCCATCCATCATTCTGTGGCTACTTGCTTACAGCCAATTAGTTCGCCTGCAGTCAATTTCTAGTGGCATAAGCTCTTCAACGGAGTCATGCCGAGGACGACGCCCGATTCAAGATTGAATGTGCTTCTGGTTGCACTTTTCTTCTTCGATCTTCTGGCTGCCTGCTAATCTGCCCAATCGGTCAGGGTTTCGCTGCCTGGCTGCAACACTATCAGATTTGTTTTTTCAATTTACTGGACATTATCCAATCTGTTGCAGACGGGCTAACCCTCGTGCCTGTGACCGTCTCGTATACTCCGCATGTTTCTGTCTGGTCATTATAGACCAAAGAAATTTTTGCTCTCTGTGGTGGCGAAAGACGCGTCACTAAAGGACCTCGATTGGCAGGCGTCTCGTTCTCGGACGTAACTCTACAGAGTGAACATGACTTGCATTTGCATGACGAGCTCAGGATTCTTTGAGAGACCCATTCTCTTCAGCTGATCTCGCACATCTGCAGAGGATTAATCCCGCATGTGCCCCCGCTCAGGTGCAGGGTTTATCTTCATTTACTTGCTTTGCTCCGCTAAAACGATAGGTCATCATTTGTGCTCATAAGCCATGGCAGATACTGACTGTGGTACGGTGCACCTACAATTGAATCCATGCAGCTGCATTAGAGCTCGGAGACTCACTGACGTGGCACCCTTCGTCTGGCTCAATTGCTCGAGATTCACGTCTGCTGTGCTGAAGGAGGACTGTTCTCAACGGGAAACTGATCAGTACACTATTAGCAGGGCTTGAGGCTGTCTTTTCTCGCTTTGACTTGCCCCCGACTCGGCGAATAGGGGCTCAACATTTGCGCATCTCCGCTTGTCCGGGCACCCTGGAAATTGATTGCGTGAAATGCTTGCACTTGTCTGCCTGTAATACCGAGCATCAAATCATCGGCTGTTGCGCTCTGGCATCCGGCACACTGCGCGGGCGAGCATCGGTTCATGGACTGATTGTGGTTGCCAACTCAGCAGCTGCCGGATTGGGCTGACCACTGCCATGATGGAATTACATCAATTACACACAGTGCATTCACTTCAGACTTTCCCCGCCGCCGGGTACCAGAGCGCCATTTGCCACCCATCTGGCTCGTTTTGCAGGCTGTCTTACATTGGATTTCTCAAGTCCAGCCTCGTCCGTGGCAATTGCGCATCAGAAACAAGGATTTGAGGCCTGCGAATCTAGAAAATGGCCATCCCGAACCGGCCGACCCTCTTGTAATATTACCAAAACTGTGTGGTTGATTTCTCTTTTGCTGCAACAGTTTTCGATATGCCGGCTGCATACTACCGTGGGCAGGACATACTTCTGGCGACGTTGAATTTGGATTGCGAGACCCACCCACGCGCACCAATATGCTGGGTCTCTTTGGTCCCGTGACTGTAACGTGACCGGCCTCTTCTGCGCTTCTGCGTGTACCTTTTATTTGTGCAGTCAACAAATTGAACATGCCAAACAGGCATTCGAGGGATTAAGGTGAGAACGCGCTCTTTGCTGTTTCGAGCTCGCGAGCCGAGATTGGTCCATTTCTCAAAGGCTATAAGATAGCGTCAGCACTCCATATCCAATGAAGTTCGCCAGCTGACGAGCAGCTCGGGAAGTGTATGCAAGCTAAGAAGATCCCTGTCGCGATATCTGGAGCCCATGGGAAACACGAACTAACAGAATCGGTATGGATGGATGCCGGGTCCTCGCATCTGCAAGTTAGCACCTGAAATTGTCGTCCTGCGGGCCTCGGACTTGGTGCTTCCAATGGTGCATGCTGCATCTTTTCGGACCCTGCTCCTGGCCCAACCCTGGCTTTCTTTCTGAGGCCGAATGACGCACGAAGTATGTTTGGGTCGTTCTACGACTGCACTTTTCATTTCGAGTCCAGATATCTACAAGTTCCATCATGGTTATAACGATCTGGCCATATGCATCGGGCTCCAGTTCCGTTACGGGTCATTTGAGGCTTTGGTCGGACCTCATCATACGCAATGCCTGCGTGAAGATTCAGGTCCCCCGTGTAGAGCAAGGCATCCAGGTGAAACCAGACTCTGGTACCGAGCTGCGCGAGGACTGTGCCCATCACACTGAGAATCGGCCGTGGTTCATTTCTGGTAGGTGTGGATTGACGTGGCACAGCGGGCAAGCTTTGTCAAGAATTCGTCGAGCCAAACCCATCTACACAGTGCGCTAGACGTATTCTCGTAGCGGCCAAATCCCTGACTAGTACGCTCAGCCCTAGGTACACTTTGATTAAGCTGGAATTAGGCATCATCATATTGAATATGCATGAATGTTGCATGGTTTTCGAGTGTTACTGAGTGGATCATTCTGCGATTAAACACTTGTAAGGCTACCAAATGGTGAGCTGAGGCAAATGCACTGGATTCCGCATAGAACTTCTCATCCCCGTATGCCATACATTACCTAACGGCGTGTGGAACACAAATGAATCCTTATGCTTGCATCACGTGGTCTCACTGTACTCTGTAGTGGGTGCGCATCGATGACGTCAACATGATGGATGCGAGCGGCGGCCCTTCAGCTTCCCTTTCCTCCTCCCTCCCTGCCAGAGATCCAGATCTTGTCCTTCTATCATATCTTATTCTCTCCATCCGCTCCAAATCTCTGAAGCCTTCACATATGTAAGTTCTGCCAATTGTTGGTTGATACCAATCGGATGAGCCTTGCGACAGAGACACTCATACTGCTCTCTTTAGTACCACAAAACCATTACACCCTTCAATTGAAGTCATCTGTCTTTCTCAACTCAAACAAGACCCCAACAACACCACAAATCATCAACTCAACATGTTGGAACAAATCACATCCCTCGGCCGCCGCGCCCTGCGCCAGAGCCCCATCACCCGTCAACCCCTCGCAGCCTGGACTCAGCCGACGACCAGCCGACGAACCTTCCACTCCGTCTCTGCGCTGCGCACATCGCACAGCCAGCGCGAGGAGATGAAGTCCGGCGACCGGAACGTGCTCGACCCGCAGCCATCCGAGTTCTCCAAGACCGGCACCGACCAGGAAGTGTCGCAGCACGACGCCGCCTTCGACCCGTCCAAGACCTCGCCCGAGAGCGAGATCCAGGCCACGCAGGAGGAGACCAATCAGAGCGGTAAAGTGAGCAACCCGTTGAATGTCAGCGGTGCGAACAAGGATGTCAGCCATGCGCGCGAGCCGACGGAGGGCGCGCCAGACCGGAACGCGAACAGGGATGCGTCGAGTCAGCGGGGGCAGACGCCGAAGGGGAAGGAGGTGAACGATTGGAAGAAGAAGTATTGACGTGATAGAGTGCTTTTGATATTAGTATTGCCTGTGTATTCGTAATAGAGCCTATTGTAATTGGCTTTAGTTTACTATACTATTAAATTTATGAAAGTCAACAATGGAGTGATAATGATAGTTGTATTAAGTTATATATTTAATCGAGTCTGAACGCCCATGCACTCCCATTTTCCACCCATCATCACAATTTGGTTTCCCATAAAAGTACACAACAAGGTCCAGCGAGTCAAACCGCATTACATCATTTGTTTGTGCCCCCCAACTCTCATGCTTACTCCTTTCCCAGCCGAAGAATCTCACTACCATGCAGCGTCCACACCTTCTCACTTCCAGCCGGCACATCCCCCTCCAGCGCCTTCAACCCCGCATTAACAGCTGCCCTGCCGATGACATCCGCATCCTGCGCCCACCCATCCTTAAGACTGGGGTGCACCTTGCCCAGGAAGCCCGCGAAGCCGCGCATCACCGCCTCCGCCGGCCGACTCTCCTCACGCTGTCCGCCAATCAACCCAGGCCGCAGAATCACAGTGCGTTCAAATCCCAGGGCCTTGACGTCCTCCTCGATCTCGCCCTTCATGCGCGTGTAGGCAAAGAACGAGCCCTTGTCGGCGCCCGACGAGGAGATCAGCACGTACACCTTCACGCCGGCGTCGCGCGCGGCGCGCGCCATCTCCACGTTCAGGCCGTGCTCGATCTTGTACTGGTTGTCGAAGCCCCCGGCGGCGTTGCGGGTGGTGCCGAAGGCAGACACGAAGATGCTGGGCGTTGGGGTCAGCGAGGAGAGCTGCGCGGCCCACTTGGAGGTGTCGTCAGAGACGAAGGTGGTGAGTTTCTCCTGCGGCGCCGCTGTGGCGGGCTGCGGGGTGCGGCGCGAGATGGTGTCCACTCGGGCGACGGAGGGGCTTTTAAGAAGACTTGAGAGGATGAAGCTCCCCTAATTGGCGATCTTGTCAGTTCGGAGGTTTTGTCTTCAAAAGGGTCTTGAATCTGCGGATATACATCATGCAGTGGTTTCTAGAGCTAAGAGATGTATCAAGGGAGAACAACAAGGGCCTTGGCACCAGATTGGACAAAATAATTGTTTACTTACCACCATCCCAGTGGAACCGAGTAAAGCAACGTTGGCCATTATACTGATTATGAGCAACGACTCTTGATTAATATGTGATTGATGAGAGATGTACGTAGTGCGACTGAAAGGAAATGCGCGGATGACGTTGATTGGGGAGTGGTTCAGCGGGTGCATCACAAATACGGGCTTGACTGCCTGCCTGAGGCACCAGAAAAGAGCAGGTCATTAGTAATGCGGGGAAGTCGGCCGAAAGCGGAGAGATTCTGCCATGATGGCCCGCCTCCAATTTTTATCGATAAGAAATTGCGTGATTGCCACTAGCCGGATAAGGCAAGATCCCCCTGGGGTTTTCTATACGGAGGCAATGAATGGGCTTTTTATCCTCTCCTCCCTCCCCCAATTCCTACACACTTATTTCTCTCTTGTCTTCACCTACGAAGTATTCCGGTTGTGTGACACCGGTATTCAGACAAGCAATCCTCACAATGGGCGCTTCTTCCCCAGCCTTGTCCGCCCTCAGCGGTCCCACCTATGTGACCGCCCAGACCCTTATCCAGCAGGTGGCATACCTCCTCAGTGATAAGATCTTTTCTTACTCGCCTGAGTCATTCGATTTGGATGCTGCTCTCCGCCAGTGGGCTTCTAGCCAAGAGGCCAATGCCAATGGCGAGGCTCCTGAGATCAAGGCCATGGAGACCCGCCAGGGTGCCGGTAACATCGCTCTGGGTTACATCTTCTCTCAGGACTTCGACCTGAAGAAGCGCCACATCCCCCAGGGTATCGTTGCCTCCTCGGCGACGCTCCCTTACATGCGCGCCGCCCTGGAGCAACTTTCCTTGCTCTACTCCGTGGCTAGCCCTGTCGCTGCTCACGTCGCTGCTGTTGACTATGCTAGCGAGAACGGCCTCGTCTCCGACTATGCCACTGCCCTCTCCCTCGCGGAGGAACTCGGACTGGGTCTGGTGTCCAGCGCCTCTGTTCACGAATCGCAGCACATGGCTCTCCTGACCACTCTCCTCGCTTCTGTCCTGCCTTCCGTCCACATCTATGACGGTGTGCGTGTTGGTCGCGAGCACACTCGTGTTATCGACATCCTCGATCAAGCCGGCCTTGCTCGCACGTACGAATCTGTCCGGAAGACCTTGGAGGATTCCCGCAGCCGTCACCTCGATAATCAGGGCAAGCTCCTCGAAATCGTTCAGTCCTTGAACGGTGAGCTCGGAACCGACTATGGTCTTTTCGAATATCACGGCCATGCTGAGCCTGTTTCCGTGTTGGTCGCCTTCGGTACTGTCGAGGCCTCCCTCACTGCCCAGATTGCCCGTTCGCTGTCCAAGGACGGTGTCCGTGTTGGTGTTGTCAACGTCCGTGTCTACCGCCCCTTTGTGGAAGAAGAGTTCCTCCGCGTGCTGCCTAAGTCCGTCAAGACTGTTGGTGTTCTGGGACAGGTTGTCAATCAGCAGGCTGTCCAGGAACAGGGCGTTCGTTCCGCCCTTTACGAGGACGTTCTCGCCGCCCTCACCTTTGCTACCGACCGCGAGCAGGCACCGACTTGCGTGGACATCAAGTACCCCCGTTCTCAGCGGTGGGATCTGATCAACACGGCCGCCGCCTTCCAGCTCATTCACGAGAAGCCCATTGTTCAGGCTAGCTCTGAAACCGAGCCCCTTCAACTGCTGGACCCCTCCGCTGTTCAGGAATACTCCTTCTGGGACACTGACAACTCAGTGGGTGCTGAGGTCGCCACTGTCCTTTCCCAGGCTCTGGCTGCCGACTCCGCCAGCAATGTCACCACCAGCAACGCTCACGACAACCTGATCCAAGGTGGAGTTGTTCGCGTCGACATCCGCAAGAGCTCCAAGATCTTGGACGCTCCTTATGCTGTCACTGCTGCTGATACCACCTACGTTGGCGACGTCAAATTGCTGGGTGATGTTGACGTGGTGGCTTCCGTCAAGACCGGTGGGAAGATCATTGTCAACGCCCCTGGCGTCAAGGATGACGAGCTGGAGAAGAAGCTGCCCGTGGGTTTCAGACAGGCTATTGCTGAGCGTGGAATTTCCCTCTATTTTGTCGATCCCTCTGCTGCCGGAGAGTCCGTCCCCGAGTCCTCCGTCCTCCAGGTCGCCTTCTTGCGTGTGGCTCTGCCTACGCAAGAGTCCGTTGGCATCAAGAAGCTGGCCTCGATTGTCGGCAATGCCGACGCCTTGGAGACTGTCAGCAAGGATCTCGAGAAGATTCTCCGTCAGATCGAGGTTCCTGAGTCCTGGAAGACTCCTGAGGAAGGATCTCAGGTTCCCCAGTTGCCCAAGGACATTACTCCCAACAGCTTTGTTGCATTCGATAAGGAAGAAAGCGAGCCTGCCTCTTACCTTAAGGATTGGGAGGCTGCCGCTAAGGGTCTGGCTTTCAAGGAGGCCTATGACACCAAGATTGTTCTCCGTCCAGACCTTGCTACCAAGACCTTCACTGTTCACGTCAAGGAAAACAGACGCCTGACCCCCGTCACCTATGATCGTAACATCTTCCACATCGAGTTTGATCTTGGCGACTCTGGCCTCAAGTACGACATTGGCGAGGCCCTTGGTGTCCACGCCGAGAACGATACCGACATGGTCAAGGAGTTCATCAAGTTCTACGGACTCAACGCTGACGACATTGTTGAGGTGCCCAGCCGTGAAGATCCCGCTGTTCTCGAGAACCGCACTGTCTACCAGGCGTTGGTCCAGAACATCGATATCTTCGGTCGCCCTCCCAAGCGCTTCTACGAGGCTCTTGCCGAATTCGCCAGTGATGAGAAGGAGAAGACCGACCTCCGCACGCTTGGTGGGCCCGAAGGTGCTGTGGAGTTCAAGCGCCGTGCTGAAGTCGACACTGTCACCTTCGCTGATATTCTTCTGGACTACCCGTCGGCTCACCCCGACTTCCACGACCTGATCCGTATCGTTGGTCCCATGAAGCGTCGTGAGTACTCCATTGCCTCGTGCCAAAAGGTCACCCCGACCACCGTGGCTCTCATGATCGTCGCCGTGACCTGGACCGACCCCCGCGGCCGGGACCGCTTCGGCCAGGCGACTCGCTACCTGAGCCGCCTGCAGCCCGGCACTCCTGTCACCGTCAGTGTCAAGTCCAGTGTCATGAAGCTGCCTCCCAAGTCTACTCAGCCCCTGATCATGGCTGGTCTGGGAACCGGTCTTGCTCCCTTCCGTGCCTTTGTCCAGCACCGCGCCCTTGAGAAGGCCCAGGGCAAGGAGATCGGTGCCGTCCTGCTCTACATGGGCTCTCGTCACCAGCGTGAGGAATATTGTTACGGTGAGGAGTGGGAGGCCTACCAGGAAGCCGGTGTCATCACCGTCCTCGGTCGCGCCTTCTCCCGTGATCAGCCCGAGAAGATCTACATCCAGGACCGCATGCGCCAGACGCTGCCGGAGATTGTCCAGGCATACATCCGCGAGGAGGGTGCGTTCTACCTTTGCGGTCCCACCTGGCCCGTGCCCGACGTCACCGCCGTCCTCGAGGAGGCCATTGCTATCGAGGCGAAGAACCAGGGCAAGAAGGTCGAGCCCCACAAGGAAATCGAGAAGCTCAAGGACGAGGAGAGATACGTGTTGGAGGTGTACTAAAGTGAATGACTTGACGGTTGGGTGGTGGTAAAAAGGGGTCATGGATGAGTGGGACACTTTCTGTACATTTTGTCCGCAGCAGGGATGATCAGATGACCTGGCCTTCCTGTTTGAGTTTAGCGCTCTTTGCATATAGAACATCCATCAGGATTCAGCTTGGATAGACTTGTCAAAGCAATCAACTTGTGTTCGTTCACTTCCTCTCTACTCTGTGACTGCTCTCATTTGGTTTGACTGCTAGCGGACTTCTCACATGTCTTGGAGACAGTAATCACCGGGACAAAAGCGACCATCTTTTGTAAATCTATGGGGTATATCTAAGTCTGTCTCCATCTTTTCCAGGTTTTCCCTTTTTCCCTGACCACACACTTTCCCCTCTTCCAACAGAAACTCTCCCATCCAGCCAGACAAACCTCATCCTCACTCATAGCCATAGTAACAGGAAATATATAAACACAGAACAGACATCATAGCAAAACCATAAACATACATACATACATACATACATACCACACAGACCAGCCGTAAAGACTCCATCCCCGCGTACAAAAACAAAAATCTATATTCCGAGCATGCTTTTTAAGCTCGACCCATAGCCCCCAGTTTCGTCTTCCCATACGCACCACCCTTCTCCTTCCGCAACTCCAACGCCCGCCGATATGGCGGCGCCGTAGGCGGCTGCACAGGGTCAAGGCTGACATGATCCGGGGGCAAAGCGTAGGAGGCGTCCGAGTCCCAGGCCGAGAGATCGCCGCAGGCGATGAACCGCGGAATCCAGCGGTTCTCGCTGCTGAACTTTTCGTTGAGGGGCTTAAGAGCCAGGGGCTGCTGCTGCTGGGGCGCCTCGGAGCTGGCCTGCGAGTCGGGGTGGAGGAGCCGCGCCGTGGTGTTGTGGGTCGTGAGGGTGGTGTTGACGGGGGCGGGGTGGGTGACTGGCACGGGCTGCCGCGTCGTGGGCTCCTCGTCTGCGACGACCTCCACCGCGACGTTACTGCCATCGGGAGTAAGAGTAGCAGGGACAGCAACGCCACCGAAGACGGGGTTCTTGAGGGCGTCCATGCCCTTCAACCCGTCGTGGATGGAAGGAGGGATGAACCCCTCGCAGACGACAAAGGCTTCCAGACTGCTGGCGCGGCTGCTGCGCGGCTTGGCGACGCTGACCTTCTCGAAGACGGTACGCAGCTGCGCGTACAGCAGGTCGACGTCGCGGCCGCGGAAGATCTTGGCGACGAACTTGCCGCCGGGGCGGAGAACGCCCAGCGCGAGGTTCAGGGCTGAGTAGAGGAGTTGCGACTGGATGTAGATGTCGAGGTCGTGGAGGCCGGTTACGTCGGGGGCGCCGTCGGAGATGACCAGGTCGACGGGGTGGGGGGGTCGGAGGGCGGTTGGGGCGGGAGTTGTAGACGGGGAGGAGTTTGTTGTGGTGGTTGTGTTCGAGGGTTCTTCCGTGGTGGTGGTGGATTCGTAGGCTTCGGGGTCCAGAGCCCGGAGGAGAAGTGGGATGGTGGAGGGGTGGGTGATGTCGGCTTTGAGGGTCGTAATGCCCTCCAAGGGAGCCATGGGCTGCAAATCAATCGAGACGATCTTGACGTTCTTGCGCGGCTTCAGCTCCTCTTCTTCGGTGGTCGTCGTCTCATTCGCCGATTGCGACTCGCTGCTGCTGCTGCTGCTGCCATCATTGTTCTGAATCTGCTCAAGCGCCTCCTTCTCCCTCCGTTTCTTCTCGACCCAGGCGCGTCGCCCGAAACTCTCGCCCTTTATCAGCACTCGACTCAGAACCTGACTCCAACTACCGGGGGCGGCACACAGATCGACCACCCGGGTCACCTTCTCCGGGTTCTCGTGCTCGAAGAGGTCGAATTGCTCGTCGATCTGGATCAGCTTGAAGGCGGAGCGGGCGCGCCAGTTCTGCTCCTTCGCCAGCCGATAGTAGGCATCGCGCTTGTCCTTGGAGGATTTACCCATGGCTTCCAAAAAGTTTTCGAGGTTGACTGAGGCAATTGAGATGTGGATCGTCCAGCAGCAGGAGGAGGGGGTGTCTTCCCGAATTTCTTGCGGCCTCAAAATGTGTGGGGCGGCGATAAGATTCCCAAAAGGCGGTCAGGTCTGCTTTCTGCCGCTTTTTTTTCTTTCCCGCAGGTTTCGCAGGCCCGCGCTCTGCCTGTTGTTTCTCCCTTTCAGCTAATTTCTTGACCTTGCGTGGTTGCGGGATTTTGATTATTTATTCGAGAAACCCAGTCATTGCATACTCATAACATGGGTCAAAAACGCCAGCGCGAGGCGAAGGGCGCCGATGTTCAGACGAAAAAGCAGAAGAAGAGCGCCCATGCCGATGTTGTCACCGTGAACGACCTCAACTGGAAGGAGGTCGCACTTCCGGATCGGATGGAGGATGCAGGAGGCTTCTTTGGGCTGGAAGAAATAGACGGTGTCGACGTCATCAAGGGAAGCGGGGAGATCAGGTTCAAGGTATGCATTCGAGCTGGTATCCGTCCGCAGAGGTTGAGATTGACGTTGGCAGGCTGCTGCTGGCAAACCACCAAAGTCGATTTTGAAGAAGAAATCCGCAGAAGAGCTGGATGAAGAAGCCAAGTTCGACGACGAGTGGGCTGGGTTTAGTGACAATGAGCCCGAGGAGAAAACGGAAGCGCCTGCCACGGAAGAACAAACCGAGGAGCAAGAGTTCCCCGAGGCTCTGGTGACAGATAAGAAGCAGGAGACCAAGGACAAGAGGAAAGAGAAGAGGGATAAGAAGCGACAAGAAGCGAAGGAGGCGAGAAAACTCAAGGCCGAGACGAAGCAGAAGGCAACACCCAACCAAGAAGACAAAAGCATCAAGCCTGGTCTTTCCTTTGCAGCTCTTGAAGACGAGGATGAGGATAACGGTGTCGACATTTCCGAGTGGGAGTCGCTGGGTCTCTCTCCCGAGGTGCTTACCGGTCTCTCTAAGATGAAGTTCTCTACGCCCACGCTGGTCCAGAAGTCCTGCATCCCTCCCATCCTCGACGGCCATGACGTGGTAGGAAAGGCATCCACAGGTTCCGGAAAGACCTTGGCTTTCGGCATTCCGATTATTGAACACTATCTGGAGATCAAGCGTACGCAGTTGCGTGACGGGGCCCAAAAGAAGAAGAAGGAAGATACGGACCCTATTGCTTTGGTTCTCTCCCCCACTCGCGAACTGGCACATCAATTGGCTAAACACATTGGTGATTTGATTCAGCAGTCGCCAGGTGCCAATGCACGTATCGCTCTGCTGACCGGAGGTTTGTCTCTGCAGAAGCAGCAGCGCCTGTTGGCTGGTGCGGACATTGTGATTGGAACGCCTGGTCGAGTATGGGAGATTATGAGCACGGGTCAGGGTGTAATCCGCAAGATGCAGGGGATCAAGTTTCTTGTCATCGATGAGGCGGACCGGCTACTCAGTGAAGGTCACTTCAAGGAAGCCAATGAGATTATCACTACTCTTGACCGCGTAGTGGATGGGGACTTTGAATACGAACAGAAGGAAGAGAGCCAAGAGGAAGAGAAGAAGAAGAGCGAGAGGCAGACCCTGGTCTTCTCGGCTACCTTCCACCGGGATCTGCAACAGAAGCTTGCCGGCAAGAGCCGCTGGACAGGAGGCGATATCATGGACAAGAAGGAGTCTATCGAGTACCTTTTGCAGAAGCTGAACTTCCGGGAAGAGAAGCCCAAGTTCATCGATGTCAACCCCGTCCAGCAGATGGCGGAAGGACTCAAAGAAGGCATTGTCGAGTGTGCGGCCATGGAAAAGGTAGGGCTGCAGTATGCTAACACTCTATGATGAATCCTTACTAACCACTCAAACCAGGATCTCTACCTCTACACGCTGCTTCTCTACCACCCCAAGCACCGTACCCTCGTCTTCACCAACTCCATCTCGGCCGTCCGCCGTCTCACGCAGTTTCTTCAAAACCTTCAACTCCCAGCACTGGCCCTTCACTCCTCGATGGCACAAAAGGCTCGCCTGCGCTCCGTAGAGCGCTTCTCTTCCCCGACCTCCGACCCCAGTTCGATCCTCGTAGCCACTGATGTGGCGGCACGTGGTCTGGATATCAAGGGCATTGACTTTGTTATCCACTATCATGCGCCCCGCACCGCCGACACCTACGTGCATCGTTCCGGACGTACGGCCCGTGCGGGTGCCTCTGGCAAGAGTGTCCTAATCTGCTCCCCGGAGGAGATGCAGGGAGTCATCCGTCTGGCGGCCAAGGTGCACGCCAACATGGCAAACAGTAAGAAGGTGCCTCTCGAGTCTCTGGAGTTGGATCGCCGGATTGTGGGTCGCGTCAAGCCCCGCGTCAAGCTGGCGGCCAAGATTTCCGACTCGACCATTGCCAAGGAGAAGCTCTCCGCCGAGGACAACTGGTTGCGCAATGCCGCAGAAGACCTCGGCGTTGACTACGACAGTGAAGAGTTCGATGAGTCCGCGGGCCGGGGTCGCGGTCGCGGCAAGGGCCGCCAGGAACGCCAGCGCAAGGCTGGCGAAGTCACCAAGGGCGAGATGGCCAGTATGCGGGCGGAGCTAAAGCAGTTGCTGTCGCAGCGCGTCAACGTGGGTGTGAGTGAACGGTATCTCACGTCGGGCCGGGTGGATATCGAGGCTTTGCTGCGCGGTGAGGGCAATAGTTCGTTCCTGGGGCAGGTGGACGCATTGGAGTTCTGATCAGAGGAGGGCGAGAGTTTCTTGATATATATGTATATAGACATCATTGAACAGCTGCGTTCACATCATGCATTCTGTTTCTAGACGTAGTTGACCGACCTCCCACGGCGATTCTGCCAGCCTCCGCCGAGTTTGCTTGCCACTTGTGTCATTTCCTCCTACTCCAGTGACCGTGCTGGTTGGCATCAACACCTTCTGCGTCGGCTTCGCCACGGGCCCGACGTATCTGGCGCCGTTCTCCGAGGTTTACAGACGAAAACCCGTTTTTGTCGGCATTGACGCTCGTGCCGTGGGTGCTAGTGTGGGCGAGGCAAAGACTCGCCGAGGATTCGCGGGCGGAGTGGGTTGGCGAGGGAAATCATGGGTGATGCACAAGTCTCGATAGTGGCTGGCTTGCTGTGTTGGATAAGGTCGCTTGGTAGAAGAATGTCTAGGCGGATAATACCTGTATATACTGCAGTTCAGTGAGATCTAGCGAGAAAGGCTTGCTTATAGCCCGTTTACATATTGATACTTTATAGAATACTGCCAATCCTTTACTGAACACTGAAAATGTCTTCTTTTGACAGACATTCACCAAGATCATAACAAGGGCTCATTGACAATGGCGATGTCTGTGTGAGAGTACCGGCGCATTGACAACCAGATGGCTGCACGTCGATAAACAAAATGTATACTCAGCAACATGCATACCTGCAAGACCCCGAAGCAAAACAACTTAACCATGCTAACCGAAACCCTGACAACACACATATGATCTCATTCCTGACTCAATCCCGAGCCGAGACGCCGCCCCACCCGGCATCGCTCGCAGCGGAACACCCGCCCGGCAAGGGCTGTGATTGGATGACAGTCAGCCCGAAGCACCGGGTCCATGGCTCCCACGTGGGCTTACCGAGATAGGAAGTATGATCCACTCCGTCGGAGAAGGGCCAGGCTTTTCGTGTTTTTTCTTCGTTGTTATTCCACGACGGTGATTTTTCCTCGACATTATATCTGCAGATACCAGAATGTCCTCTAGAGAAGTAAGTATGTTTCTTTCTGACGCGATCTGGGTAAAGACCGCACACCAAGCACCAACTACCAAGTACTAATCATCGCGCATCATCGCTAACTACCGAATAAGACAATCCTAACGCCTGGGCACAGTTAAAAGAGTCAGCGCAGTCAATCCACCTCCAGCATTATAGCCTACCTCTCGCCAGCCCAGCACCAGACTCTCGAAATCGAGCATATAAATCCTCGACCGCACCACCTCGACCTCTCCACTCAATTGCAGAAACATCCTCGATCCACCAAAATGTCCCACCTACCGCGCCTTTGCCCTCTAACCCGCCGCCTCCTCCCTCGAGTCCACCATCACAACCACAATCACCAGCTCAGCCCCCTCATCACAACCACCTCACAAACCCGTACCCTCCGCTCCGCAACCGCAACCTCCGCCACAGCAACCACAACAACCACCACCACCTCGACAACAACCACAACAGAACCCCCCCAACCCCCCTATTACCACCACCTCCAGTCCCACCATCCTCCCACCAAGTCGACCGGATCAACCCTCGAAACCCTCGCCGAACACCGCCTCCAAACGCACCCCCTCCTTCTCACCCTCCGCAACGACGCCTCCTACACCGAAACCCGCCCGCACCTATCCATGGTGCCCGCGCACCGCGCCTCGCACTTCGTCGCAGGGACGCTCTCCGGAGCGAACAAGGTGACCGTGCCACCTTATATGTTCACCCGGACCAAGCCTTCTCCAACCGCGCAGCCAACAACGCAAACAGCCCCAGCCCTCCACGCCAAAGAAGGAGGAGGAGCTGCTGCTGCTGCTGCTGCTGGAAACACACCCAAAACGAAAGGCCAAGTAGCCCAAACCGTCTCCCTCTTCCACCTCGGCACGACCCTGAATGGTCACCCGGGGTACGTGCACGGCGGCCTGCTGAGCGTCATGTTCGATGAGACCTTTGCGCGGTGCGTGGCGGCCTCGTTTCCTTCTGGGGTGGGGATGACGGCGAATCTGTCGGTGGATTTCCGGAAGCCCGCGCTGCCGGATCGGGTGTATGTGCTGCGGGCGGAGACGGTCAAGGTGGAGGGGCGGAAGGCGTGGGTTGAGGGGACGTTGACTTCGCTTCCTAACCCTGATTCTCCTGCTGCTGCTGGTGAGGGGGAAGAAGGGACGATGGTGGCGGAGGCGAGGGCGTTGTTTATTGAGCCTAGGTTTGCGGAGGTATGTTTTTTTCCCTTTTTCTTTTGTTGTTGGGGATGGAGGTTACTGACGTTTTTCTAGTCTATGGTGCCCTTGTATCGCAATTGATGGGCTTCATGTGGCATTTGGGAGTAGCGGGTCGGTGGAGGGTAGAGATGGAGGTGGAGTACACTGGAGTGCGTATATACCCGGATTTCCTCACAAATAGAATAGATTTAGACAACATAGATAGACATAGACATAGACATACGATACACTGACTTCGAGTCAACATGCACATACACGTACAATCTCACAAATATTTGCATTTCTATCTAAATTGACCAATGCAACAAGACCCCTAGCAACGCCTTTTCTCCTCAAAAATACACACATGTGAAGCAACTCACACCCAAATGCCTACCCGAAAGAAGCACACAACCCATGCATCGGTCCCATCATCAATCCCTGCCGGATCCCTCCCAGAACTCTACGACAGATGGAATGCCCCCTGCCCCTCCTTGATAGCAACCGACAACCGCTCGCGGAGTGTATCCAGGCTGCTGTAGTCGGGAAGCTTCAGATAGTTCACGCAGGTCATGACACTGGGCAAGTAGTCGTCCGGGGTGTAGGGCGGTTCGCTGGGGCGACACACCACGGTGAAGATCGGGGTGAGACTTTTGAAGCCTAGACGCCATTAGTATTGGTCCTGAATCCTGCTATCAACGAACTTACCGCCGATGGGCAGTTTGGGACTGCCGGTCACAAACTGCAAAAAGTCCCGTCGCTGTTGCGCGTTCAGCTCACTCATCGTCTGCAGCAAGTTCCGCACGCTCCGGCTGTCCATGTTGAAGCCATGGTCGGCTTTGATGGAGTCCATCAGGGCTAGAAGAATTAGTGACTTGACATGACACACTGGGAAAGCCACCTACTCTCAATAGTCCAATCTTCCTCGGCACGACCGAACAGCATGACCAATTCGTTAGGCGTGAAGGTCCGCAGAGCCGAGTAAGGGAACACTTGGGAAAAGCCCGCCCGGAAGGCCGCGACTTGGCGCTGGACTCCACTGCCCAAAGTCATGTCCACCACTCGGTCGACATACAGATCCACATTGTCAATCACCACGGGAATATTGGAACCATCCTTGATGAGCTCGATGGCTGGATAACCCGGAAGTGTAAAGTCCAAGCTTAGATCTTCGACCTTGACCCCACCAACCTCAATCGCCTGCAGCGCCTGGGCTTTCTGTGACGCAGACAATCCCCTGTCCTCTTCGACGTTCTTCTTCGCATTGGCAAAGCGCTTCAACAACAACAAGGAGTTGGCAAGATCCTGGTCGACCGCCTTTACAGTCCCCAGCGACGGTGCGACAAATGTCGAGCTGTCGGCGATGCGGAAGAAGGCTGGGTTGAACGAAATATCGATGATTCGAGAATCAAGCATCGACCTGGCAACAAATTTACCGAGAATCTTGAACAAGTGCAGTTGCTTCTTGCCGGCCTCCGATGCAGCCTGCGCCTCACTCATAGGGGCGGGGAACAGACCGCGCTTGCCAAAAGCATACTCTTCGCCATTGACGCAGTCGTTCTCCCTCCAGATCTTGAGCTTCTTCTTCGAGAATTCCTTTGAGACGGTAGAGTAAAACTCAAGCGTAGGACCCAGGCCTGTGCCCACCTCCTCGAAGTATTCAACCTCCAAGACGCTGGGAGAAGACCCATAGAGTTCCATGACCTTGATGGCAGACTCGAGAATCCGGCTTCTTGAGATTCTCACTTTCTGCCGCTGCAAACGCCCAAGGATAGGCCGATCATCCCGTCGGCTATCGCTGCGGCTGTCGTCGCCGTTCTGGGAATTGTGCCACCTCATCATCGCACGCGAATAGCCAAAAGCAGTGGACTGAAGGAACAGGTGCCGCGTCTCAAACGGAAACAGGAAGGGGAAGAGGCGGGCAAGATCCTCGCTCCAGCTAGGGAGACAATTGCTCGCCACGATGAGAGGCTCCTCCAGTTGCCGGTTGAGCTTGGCTGTCAGTTTGGTGTTGATGAATTGTGCCAGTGGCTCGGGTTTCAGCGCGACCAGCTCTTTGGTCTCCGCAATGATCTCGTCGAGAGTGGCATTCATCTCGTGCAAGACACGTAGCAGCTGGAGTATCCTTGCTGTCGTGGGGCCTTGGCTCAAGGAAGCCGGCATCTCTTTAGCCTCGGCTTGACCAGAGGCACCAGACCCGCTCTGATTGATGGTGGAGGACTCAGGAGGCGGGGGGCCTGGCACACGCCGGAACTTGACCGTGTGGATCGCCGACCACACATTCTTCACGCTAGGGTCGACCTGCTGACGATTGTGGTGGACTGCGCGATAGATAGTAGTGTCGCTCGGCACCGGGTGGTCGTCAATGCTGAACTCGATATGCCAGTCAGAAGGAATCGAGGCCATGGCAGCCGCATACGACGAGAACGGACGGCCTGCTGTTGCCAGAGAGCTTCCAGACGGGGCGTTGGAGGCGGAACTTGGTGCGGACGCTGTTGACTTGGACGCTGGCGTCTGTGACGGGGTAGCCACCCGGGTGCCGTCTTCTTTGCGAGCCGTCACCTTACCGGAGGAGGCAACCTCCATGTTAACAGCAGTAGGGTCCTGGGCGTTGTCCTCGGAGAGATCTTCATCGAGATCATCCACGATGGCGTTCAATTCCTCATCATCACCATCGCCATCGTGTTCATCGTCTTCGCTCATCTGCCGCTCGTCTGCGCATTCGAGTGGCTCGTTGTCGTGCTCACTTTCGACACCAGCGTCCTGACGTGCTGATCGTCTGATCCTCGACTCGGACTCGGTAGCGCCCGTCTCTGCCTGGTCAGTCGTCGTGTCCGCCACTGTCGACGTTCGTGGCAGCTGAGGGCTACCACTGCCCGGATGTTCTGCATCAGCCAGCTGCTCGCGAAGCCGGGCCGCATTCGCGTTCGCAAGCTGAGCAAGGATCGATTCGTGGTTACGGGTCGGACGAGGCCGATCCGACAGACTGATTCTCGGATGCAAGAAGTCGTCTAATGCTTTGAAAGTCGCGATGGCATGGATCGAGACCATGATGTTGCGGTAGGTCCGGGGAATGTCGGAATCCTCATCGGCCACCAGCTTCAGTCGGAGTTGCTTGCCTAGCATGTAGGCGGCATTGCTACGCGTGTTCTCAAGTGAATTGTGGCTAACAGTTGTGACCTCAAAATGCTCAGTCCTGCTGAGCAAGTCCTGCAATTTCTGAATGAGCACACTGAAGGGGGTAGTTGCGGTACTCTGGCTCTGGGCCTTCTCCGAGATTTTAGAGCCCATGAAGGCTTGCAAGAACGCAGCACGAGCCTCGCGCATGGATGCAGCTGAATACGGGTTAGTTCATAACAGTCAGTGGTGGTGGCAGTTTCTTACATTGGAAATCTCCAAACACCTGGAGAAGAACCTTAATGATGCCGGAGTTCAGCAATTCAGAGCTGGTAATGCTCTCAAGCGCATCGCCGTCGAAGTATGTTGCCAATTTCTCAAACAGGGCAAGGCCTTCGTCATGATCTTCTCCCAAGTAGCAGGTCTCGAGATCAGCAGCTAGAGTCTGCAATTCTTGGAGGATCTCCTCGGCCTTATGCCGCATATCCTTGCCTTGGCTGGCTTCGTATTGACTAACAAACGCCTGAGCGTTGCGAATGACGAGATCCTTCATTGCATTGGCGAGTTTAGTGGCAACGAGTTGACCCGAGATCGATGAGGAGCTCTCGGACATATCGTCGTTATCTTCGTCATCCTGCTCATCGTAGTCGTCTTCGTCTTCATTGTCATCGTGTCCATCGTCGTCGTCAGAGCCCAGTGAGGAACTGTCCTTGACGGGAGCTGGGGCAGGTTTCTCTTCCTGGGTGTCCTTTGTGGTGGCGTCACCAGTCTGCTTGTCTGACTTGGAGGTAGACAGTGGCTCCTGGGCGAGCTTGACAATCTCAGGGATGACGCCTTCGCGATGGAACTGATGCCGATAGACATGTTCCAGCCGTGTAAACAAGAGTTCCGCGCATCGGATGGCGTGCGATACCAAGGTTGGGTGATCATTCTGGGAGAGTATTGCCGCCAGAAATGACGCATACGGTACTGTTTTCAGAGCATCCTCGATCAGGCCAACGTCCAGGTTGTGAAGCATCTTGAGCTGCGCAGTGAGAACCTTTTGCCGAACCTCCAAGTTCACAGTGCTAGAGTATGCGTCGGTCAGAGTCGGTAGCAGTATCATGGCGAACCGCTTGAGTTCTGTTTTACATTCTAGCAGCAACTCGCGCCGCTTCTCGGCACACTCCGACGCTTTGGGATGCTTGCTGCCGCCATTGGTCCCTATGACGCCTTCCAACTGTGGGACATGTCGGCTCGGGACGCTAGGTAAGAGCTCACAGATGACATCGAGAGTCTCAAAGACCTGTTCCTTGGGGCGATGTATCAATGCCTGCATGACCAAGACACTGTCCATCTTCACAGCCGTGTCGTCTAGGTTGACCGGAGGGGAGACGCCCGTCAAGATCTGATATAAAGTGTCGACCACGTCCATCTTGAGCAGCTCGACAGACAGTTTGGGGCTAGCTCTCGAAGTAATTGCCAGAACACGCAGGAACTGGGTGTGAATATGCGGTCCAATGAGGTTGGTGGTTCCAGGCAAGAGTAATCGCAGCACGGCTTTCAGCATGGCGGGTTCAATCAATTCCTCCAACTTTTCGGGCTTATGTTTGTAACTTTCCACGATACGCGAAACACAGAGACAGGCCTGTTCGACTACCTTGGGGTCGTTGCTCGCGAGCACAAGGAGCAGCGTCGGCATGACATCTCGGACCACTGGGAACGAGTCGTGAGGGAGATTGCGGCAGCAATTAGCTGCTGTGGTCACGGCGGTGCGCTGCGTGCTGGTAGGGAAGAATTCAAGGTAAGTCAGACAAGCTGTCAGTCCACCCTCCCGCACAATCGCGGCGGGGAAGTCAACTGAGATCTTCGCCAAAGTCTATATCATACGGCTGTTAGCGCCCATGGAAGTACAAAGGGGGGCAAAAAACTCACGCTGAGAGCCTGCTCGGCCAGATCGATGAACTGAATGTCCAATAATTTCTGGCACAAGACCGGAACAGCTCCACCATACACCACATTCGCCACGGAGCCACGGAGAGCCTCCATCAGGTTCGCCAAGCAACGACATGCAAGAAGCATGATCTCGGGGTTTTCCTCGCCGAAGTCGTTCGGTTGCATCAAAGCGACCAATTCTTTGACATACGGATCCGGAGAGAACTGGCCTGACAAGTTGTCCTCGTTGGATACCAACAGCAGATCCGACAGCTCTTGCAGGGCGATAAGTTGAATGGACGGGTCATCCTTCATCCTCAAATTATTCAGGATATCGCGCAGACGCGAGGTCATGCCCGACATCATGCCGCTGAGAGCCCGCAAGGTACTCTGCAGGCCTAGGTGACTTCGCGCTCCAAAGAGACTATTATGGAAAAGGTCCGCATCATCGTCATCGTCGTCATCATCGTCATCATCGTCGAGAGTCGACGGAATGGCCTCTTCATGGTTATCACTTGGCGGCGATGATTCGTGTTCCTCAATCTGCTCTTGCTCCTCCAAGTCCTCCTCAGCCTCTCTCATAAGGACATCAGGATCGGTTTTGCCCGGACGCCTTTTCTGCCGGCGGGCTGGAGAATGAGTGGACGGGGTACGATCTGTAGCACGAGGTCAGCTTCGCGGGACCGCGCCTCTCATTGTTCCGAGAAATCTGGCTTTACCTTCCAACCGTCCGCTCTTGTTAGTTTTCCGTCGGGATGTAGGCGGCGAGACGTGAGCCTTGGACGAGTCCTCCGTAGGCCGTGAGGATGAACTAGAGAACTTGTAGTCAGTATTCTACCACAGTAAGAGCAACACTCCCCAGATGACTCACCCCGACTGGGACATAGTAGCTGGACGATTGCGAGTTCCGCGACGGGTAGGAGGAGTAGTGGAGGCCGCTTGGGGTGCTGCCGGGGAAGGAGGCGACGCTGCACGCCGCTGTCGTTTGCTCTTGCGGGGAGTGGAGGAGTTGGGTTGTTCGGCGGCTTCCGCGGACTGATCAGGACGAGGGGCCTTGCGCTTCCGAGACGACGCCGAGCCAGCGGCGGGATTCGTGGGAGAAGAACCGGCGCTGGTAGTCGGGTGAGGTTCCGCAGCGGATCTCGCAGCAGAACGAGTAACCCTGGAGGACATGAGAAGGGGTTCAGTTCGAGGTGATGGAAAAGGTGATGCTCGTTGAAACACGTAGACAGAATGGTAGGACCGAGGTGAAAGAGAAGGAGGGGAAGCTCAAGGGTAATGGCGACGTTGGGGGTCAAGGAAAGCGGCACGCGGTCGAGACACCCGGCCGCATGTGCAGCTCGTCGGCACCCCCTCACGGATACCGCTATACTCGAACGAAGTGAGGTGTTGGTGTAGACCCGGTCGCGAGGAAGTGGGAGAAAGCCAGAAATATGGGATCTCAAAGATGGGATCCAGACGGCAGACGACAGAGGGGAATTTGGCAGTTGATGGCGGGGGAGTCTTCAAAGGGGAGATAGAAGTGATATGTACCTGGCGGTAGAGGTGGAGGAGGGTTCAGCGGATGGGAGAGCGGAAGCGTCCTGCGAAGGGTCCTGGCGGTGTGAATCGGGCCTTTGTCTGGCCATATGTCGATAGCTAACCAGAGCTAGATCAGTGAAGGGGTTGCTCGTCAAAGGACGCCGTTCAACCCGCCATTCGTCACTGTGGGAATTGTGGTGACTGTGAGTGGAAGTGGTATGGCGACGATCCGGGGTGAGCTACGGCGAGACCCGGTCGGGCGGGCAGCTAGCTTGAAGTGTAGCAAGGTTCAGTGTCAATGTGATATGGGTTGCGGGTTGAATAAGTGAGGGTGAATGAAAATGAGTCACGTCAAAGTGAATCAGATCAGGGAAGAAAGATGTTGGTTGAAGAAGACAAGAATGAGTAAGAGAAGAGTTGATGGGATGAGGGGGAAGAGTTGCCTTGACTGATTGACGTGGTGCCGGGCGGTGGATGACTGTCCGGAGGGCGACAGACACCCAAGTGCAACTAACTAGTAATTCATTATGTACACCGCTGTCCATGAACAACGCACACTCCTCTACAATACAGTGAAGGCGATCATGTTTCTTACTGAGATTCAGACTCGAAGCTCAAATTGAGTCGGTTTGAAATCACGACATCTAAAGCTTCATGAGAATCGTTGATCCGGAAGAACGACTGCAGAAATCAACGTCACGAGGAATGTCATGAGTTAGACTCAGCGACTAACAACAACGGGTAATGTCTCTGAGGACCTTCCGGCATACAAGCCGACTATGCACCATGCAAGTCTCGCTATCATGTCTCCCACACTGGAGATCACATACCCAAGAGCCCGAGCCCGCTGACGCTATTCCTGCAACTCTCCCAAGATCCTCTGTACTCATCAAGTACTCTGTAGAGTCCGAACAAAGTGCCGAAAAGCGCAAGGAGGCGGGCCATGCGGATGACTGCATCAGCGCGCGGGGATGAGGGACTCCTTATCGCTCACATTGGCTGTAGATACATTCTTCTGGTCTGGGTTCAGACAAGACTCTGTCTTGCATGGAAGGGGGCAAGTGGCCTGGGCTGCCACCCCTTACATTCTCCTGTGTCGAGGCATCAAGGCAGCCATCGAGATCGAGTAGAGTAGCGTAGCTTACTTAACTTAGTGAGTTACTAACTAGTAGTTACTGCCATTGTAAGTTAAGTTAGAACATGAGTAGACACGAGACAGACCAGAGTGGGGAAGAGTAGGAGGAGTACTTAACTCCGTCGGTCTCCATAGTTCTCTGGCACTGGCGACTAACTTTCATAACAATTCATAACCTCCAAAAGTAACTTAGTTATACGACCCAAGTGTGTTCAAGGAGTTAGACTTCAACTACGTCAACTGCCTTATACAGTACTCCACATAACCACTAGAGCCTCTTCACAAAACTTCTCTCCTTCTAAGCCTCGAAATATTCACGATAGAACTCACAAATACCTATCTCCTCTCCAAACCCCCTCAGCGGCCAAAACTCCCCAATTAGGCAACGCGATCACCTCATCGCCCGAGTTGGAGAAAAAGCGACACCGGACACACCGAGCATCCGTCTTGGTCGTTTTTTTTTTCTTCCTTCCCCGCCCGCCATTTTTCCCAATTCCCCCTCCATCCCCCCACGCTGACTAAAACCCGCCCTTCTTTGCGCCGCCGCCCGCATCCATCCACATTCATCCAACTCCATCCATCCATCCATCCATCCATCCAACCACTCATTCATTTATCTTCCGAATCCCATCCATCCTCCTATTACATCGGTCATCTCACTTCTTCTCTTACCGTCTCACACATACTCCCTCTACACTCCAGTAACTCACTCCCTTCACCTACATCTAACCTCACCTCCCATCACCTCATCTCACCTCATCTCACCTCAGCCCCATCTGCATCACCCGGCAACACCTTAATCCATATACACCCACTATTCGACCACACCCCATCCCAACCCGCTCTCATTCCGAGAGCCCAGCCCTTTCAGAAATATGAGCGAAACCAACATGATCAACACCATTCCCAACGGAGGAGACGACATCCTCCGCACGCCCTCCCCACTCCCGCCCGCACCCATGCAAGACTACACATTCCCGGAACACCGCTTGAAGCGCACGATGGACGACCCGGAGAAGACGCCCTTGCTACTCGTCGCCTGCGGCTCATTCTCGCCCATCACCTACCTGCATCTCCGCATGTTTGAGATGGCAGCCGACTACGTCAAATTCAGCACCGAGTTTGAGATTGTGGGGGGGTATCTGTCGCCGGTGTCGGATGCGTACCGGAAGGCCGGGTTAGCGAATGCTGAGCATCGGTATTAATCCCATCCAATCCCTTATTTTCCAACCCTTCTCAAACAAGCAAAAAAAAAAAGACTGAAAAGTGGCTGATTGTTTTTTGCTTGGAAGTGTGGCAATGTGTCAACTGGCCGTCGATCAAACTTCCGACTGGCTGATGGTCGATACCTGGGAACCGATGCAAAAGGAATATCAACCTACCGCGGTGGTTCTGGATCATTTCGATCACGAGATCAATACCGTTCGGCAGGGGATTGAGGCTGGGAATGGTACGCGCAAGCCGATTCAGATTGCTCTGCTGGCTGGCGCCGACTTGGTGCATACTATGTCTACTCCGGGCGTGTGGAGTGAGAAGGATTTGGATCATATTCTGGGCAAATACGGGGTATGCTCGAGCTCTCATCCCCCCTATTTTTGCTTGCCCTTTTATTACCATTTTACCAAAACAACAACAAGATCAACAATGCTAACTTCCTTTCCCCAAATCAAACAGACCTTCATCGTCGAACGCAGCGGAACGGATATCGACGAAGCCCTCGCCGCTCTCCAGACTTGGAAGAAAAATATCCATGTCATCCAGCAACTTATCCAAAATGACGTCAGCAGCACCAAGATCCGCCTCTTCCTTAGGCGCGACATGAGCGTGCGCTACCTGATCCCCGTCCCGGTCATTCATTATATCGAGCAACACAACCTCTACAAGGACGATGCGACCGCTCCGGCGTCCGACAAGGGGAAGGGCAAACAAGAGCCGGGTTCGTCGGGTTGAAGGTCTTTTCCGCGGGGGAGTTCCAAATGGCTCTAAGAGTTTCCGACGCCTCTCAACTCGATCCTCACGTTTCTCTCTCTCCGCCGTCCCTTATACGTCTCGTCTAATGAGTTTATTGAACAAAGGACCCTACGAGCCCGGAGGGTTGTTGGGCGGTTCAGCCCCCCTCAACGAACCGGATCCCATGACTAGCATCTTCTTAGCGGGATGGATGGTTTCTCTTCCTTCCTTTTTCTCATCTGCAATGGATCCGGGTTCTTTCGGGTGGTACTGCTGTTTTTCCCTGCCGTCACATACCTTTTTCGTCTCCTCTCACAAGGGCAACTGAATGAAAAGCGGAAAGAGAAACGCCACGGCGCCCCGCACTACACTGCCACTGCCTTGGCTCAGCCCACCCTCCCGCTATATGGAATAAGGACCTCCGCCCGGCCACTCTTGTTTACCTCTCATGACGCGTCGCGTTCAAGATTCGGGGTTTTTCTTATCTTCAGAAGGCGTCTTTTATGCACTGTCACGATTAATGCGTTCTTGCCCTTTGTCTTAAAGATACCATACATACCATAGATTTCGCTTAATACCCTAAGACCTCTTCCTCATTTTTGGTACTTCAATCTTCGAACCTGACAACCGATGCGGAGTATCATCTACTCAGACTCTACATCATATGTGATAAGCTCTAACATTGATCTAAGGGATGAATGAAATTCCGAGAATAGGTATGTGGGGGAAAGGAATGTCCCAAATTCCCCCTGGGGTATAATGATATTTTGGTGGAAAAGCAACAAGCCACACCCGCAATAAGTCTAGTATGTATATCATCAAAGATGGTCCGGCCTAAGCCAAGGCTGCCTTTTCAAGAACCCAACAAGGTAGGCAGTATCCATTTGCCTCACAGAGCAAAGCGAGTTGTTCAAAGACATCTGGCATGCATGTAAACAAAAATATGGACAAGAAGATGGGGTCAATGAAAGACCACAGATCGTAGATCAGAGTCATGAGGGGAAAAAACAACAACACAAGAATGCAAGCGCACAAAGAGCCCAAGAGAAGAAAAGTCATGGAAAGCAAGTGAGGGGTTGTGCACCAAGAAGTCAAATGCAAAAATGTCAAAACATGAGTCATATACATCGTCACCAGATTTTGACCCTGCCATGAGGGGCCTTGCGGACACAAAGGCAGGGAGCTAATCGTCACAGTCATTCCACAGATCCTCGGCCTCGATCACGCCCAAGCACTCGCCATCATGCATCAAGGCAACCACAACCACAGACGTACTGGCCGCGGCATTAGCCTCGGACACTAGCCGGCGGGCCTCGTCGACGGTGCTGGAGCTCGGAATTTCAAGCCAGTCCTTGCGGGGCACGCTAAAGGGAAGACCCAGATCAACAAACGAGGACACTTGCATATCCACGTAGTTGCTCTGAGAAAGGAAGCGGAGATGTCGAGGAGGAATGATCTCCGACGGAGACAGGAATACCCATGACTGCGCATGGGGATGTTGAATGGCTGTAAGAAGGATGTCCAGGAGGCGGATCTTGTCCGACGCCGACATCTTGGGGACTTGGTCGAGAGCAGTGGACATATCCGCGACGCGCGGTCGTTGGCCGTCCTTGCTGTCCGTTTGAGGGAACGAGCTGAGCGATCCCTGCGTGGGGAGGTAGTCGGATGGAGTAGACGTGCTGGAGGCCGAGGACATGCTCATAGGGGTCAACGCCAACGAGGCAGCCCCAATTGCCCCGCCTGGATGATACCCCTTGAAAACCTCGGCCGGGCCCCGGCCCGGAGTGGTGTGCAGTCGTCGCGCCGTGGCGATAGCCAGGGCATCCCCCAGTGCCAAGGCTACCGTGGTGGACGAGGTCGGGGCACTCACGCCAATGGAGGACTCTTCATCCTCGTGGATGGGGGCAGGTAACAGCATCCCCATGTGCGAGGGGTGGAAGGACAGGAGGGGGCAGGTGGACGGATGCAGGTGGGAGGTGATGGCAATCACTGGCACTGTCGACGGTATATGCGGAAGCAAAAGCAGGAGTTCGGGGGTGCGCCCGGAAAAGGAAATTAACAAAAGGGTATCATGCTGAGCGAGGAGGCTGAATTTAGCACACAGTTCAACATCAATAAAATTCAGGGTATGCGGCCATGTCTTACCGGTCGAATCATGCCAAGGTCGCCATGTAGGGCTTCCGTCGGATGCAAAAAAGCGCTGTAAATGCCTAGACTGTTCATGGTGGCCTCCAACTTCTGGGCAATCTTGCCACTCTTGCCCACTCCGCAGCAGACCAATTTCCCGCCATGCTTGATGGTGCGTACGATCTGAGTCACTGCGCGCGCAAGGTGTTCCTGGGCAAGCGCATCGGTCTGGTAGATCTGCTCCAAGTGCGCCAAGGCCGCCCGCTCGGTGGAGATAACGTGGATTGCGGTCGATACTGCACTGGCAGACACTTTGGAGGCCGAAAGAGCCATGTCCGAGGGCTCTGGAGGAGTCATGGAGAGGAACTCATCGTTGACGGCGGAGGAAATTGCATGGGAGAGGGGCATGGCGGCGGCGGGAGAGAGCGGGATGGAGGGGATGGGGGGGAACTGCTGCTGGAAATGCCCCATGATTGCGCTGCGGGTGGAAAGAGACTCAAGAACGACCGCGTCCTCTCCCAGGAAGAAACCTGGGAAAAGAGAACCCGGACAAAAGCCAGGAAGGGGGAAAAGAGGGGAGATCGGAATCGAAGGTGGGGGAGGAAGAAGAAGAAGAAGAGAGAGGAAGGGGAAGAAGAGGTGGCGGGGGGGAGGAGAATTAGTAGAAAGAAAGAGAAGGGGAAGAAGGAGAGAAAAATGCGGAGGGACGAAAGAGGAACGGAACGGGAAGGAGTTTCTATACAGATTACAGATAGATAACACTTGAAACTACAATCACTGCCTGCCGAGAGAACAGAATGAAGAATCTATCTCTAACTTAGCCTAGTTACTACCGTACAATCAGCAATCGCATCTCCTTGACCCCGCCACGATCGACCAGTCATTGGCGCCGATGAGGGCATTTCCTCCATCGGCTGGACCCCCCGAATCAGCCGCTATCACACCATTGCCGCGGATGTTGATGTCTTCGCACGGTTCGCCTTGACTACAGCTATATTATTAATCTTGATTAAGATAGATGTAACTAACTGACTATGGTAGTCAACTTCGTCCATTGAACTAACTTAGTTACCGTTAACTATAGTTACATACAATTACAATCACATCTTTGCCGCCTCTTCCTCTCCCTTAATTCCTCACCAACGGCTTAATCCCCTTGTGAATCGCCGCAATTCCTCCCGTAAGATTCTCGAACCCACGACCGGGGATCAAGAAGCCAGCCTTCTGGATCATGCCCCGGAACTCCTCCTGACTGGGGAACTTCTCGATACTCTCCACCAGGTACTGGTAGCTCTCGCGGTCGCCGGCGACCAACTGCCCGATTAACGGGATGGCGCTGAAGCTCCACTGCTTGTAGACGGCATTAAACAAGGCGTTATCGACCTTACTGAACTCCATGCACGCAAACACACCCCCGGGCTTCAGCACGCGGAAGGCCTCATTCAGCGCCGCCTGCTTGTCCGTGAAGTTGCGGATGCCAAACACGACCGTATACAGATCCACCGAGTTGCTGGGGATCGAGGGCATGCTCTGCGCGTTACCCTCCAGGAAGGAGAGCCGGTCCGTGTTGTAGTACGGCGTCTGGATGCTGCGCTTCTTGCCCTCCGCCAGCATGTCCGGGTTGATGTCGGCGATCGTCACCCGCGTCGCCGTGTCGTGGTTGATGTTGGTCGCGTGGTCCAGCATGCGGAACGCGATGTCGCCCGTACCGCCCGCGATGTCGAGGATGTTCCAGCCCCCGGTCGTCCCCAGTTCGCGCGAGGGCAGCGAGGAGCCCGGGTTCAGTGAGCGGACGAAGTGGTCCTTCCACAGCCGGTGGATGCCCAGCGACATCATGTCGTTCATGACATCGTAGGAGGAGGCGACCGAACTAAACACGGTTTTCACTAGTCAACACGCAAGAGGGAGTGTCAGCCTCGGAACCAAGAGAAGGGGCTATGCACGTAGACCGCTAGAGCTTACCCATTGACTCCTTCTGCGACTCGGGGACATTTTGGAAGCCGAAATGGGTGAATCGCTCCTCCTCGGAGCCCGGCTTGGGCGGTAGAGCCTGGGCCTGTCGTGTGCAGGAGAAACACCGGTAGGGAGTTTCGGACACGGCCAATCGCCGTCTGGTTTGGGTTTGTAAGCTCCTCCAGAGAGATCGAGACGACATGATGGTGGTATTGGGGTTGTGCAACAGTCAATCGGGCTGAAGAAAGGAAGAGATCGAGAAATGGTCCGCCCCCGGCGGAATTCTACGATAATCGCATGCCTCAGGCACTCACCCTCAGGCCTTCCTTATCGTCTCGTTTTCCTTATCGCCGGCATGGCATCATTCACCACGGTATGAATTGCATTCATCCCACAGCCAGCCAGCCACAAATAGAGGTGAAGTGGTTTGATTTCTCTGCGAACATGTCCACCAGCATTGTGCCTCATGACTACTAATACCAGCATTAGAGGAAATCTCAGAGCATCTGAAGCAACTCCTTATCCCACTACACATGTCCCGGTTATTACACTACTAGGTATATATTTGACATCCATTCACCAATCACCAGACAACATAAATAACTCAGTAGTCGGAGAACAATTCTACCCTCAGCAGCATTCTCCCACCCTAAAGAACCTCACAGTCACTCCCAACAGCACATTTCACCGTCAGGTCCTCTTCTGCAACACTGTCCCCTACCCAGAAAGTCACACCCGCTCCACCAACTGGCGCTCGCCAATCCTGCACCGTGACATCCCACACACTCAAATCTTTCCTGGTCACATTCATAGTCACGACTTCGCTCTCCCCGGACGCCAGGGTCCCGGTCTTCGCAAACGCCCGCAACTGTCTCTTCGGGGTGTCTACTCCAAGAACTGCCTCATCCGGCATTTGCACATACAGTTGTGCCACGGCTCGTCCACTTCGTGTGCCGGTGTTGGTGATGGTCACCGCTACCTCAAAAGCGGTTTCGAAAAGGGCAGGGTTGCCACCCTGTCCTCCCCCGGCACGCGGGGCCGCATGCGCCGTGGTGGAGTAGCCGGCCGGGTACGAGTAGGTGCTTGTGTTGGTAACGCTCTCGGGATCATCCAGATACGGGTACAGGTAGCGCCAGATCCGATCAAGCGTGCTCGGCCATGCGACTTCTTGAGGATCGGGAATATCTGTGGGATAAGTTGGGACCGAAGCCTTGCTTGCTCTCGCAGCGGGATATTCGGTGCTCAGTTCGGTCACAGTGGTCAGAACTGGTGCCGAGTACTGGAACGTCGTGTACGACAATCCGTAGCCGAAAGGGTAGCGGGGGGTGATGTTGGCTTGTAGAAAGTAACGATAGTCGATGTAAATCCCCTCATCAAACCAGTCCTGGATCTGGGACAAAAGTGGCTGTGAGGTGATGATGTCCATGGAGGATGGGTAGTTTGACGCCGATGTAGGGATAGTGTAGGGCAGATGGCCGCTAGGGCTGACCTCGCCATACAGGACATCCGTGAGCGAATAGCCGGCAGTCTGGCCGGGGAGGTGAGCAATAAGCACAGCCTTGACGCTAGGGAGGTCAATAAACGATTCAAGCAGTATAGGGCCAACAGTATGGATCACTACAACCACAGTCGAGAACTCGGCCGCAGCAGCTTGAACGAGCGCGTTGCCGTTGTGCCACGCATCGAAGCCTGCGCTGGTGCGGTCTCCTGGATTGGACTCGACAGTGATGTAGTTCTCGCCAGAGTCAGCGTTGATGAAGACCACAGCGATGTCGGAAGTGGATGGGGTGGCGAGATTGGCAGGGAACGTATCCGACAAGTAAAAGGTAGTCGAATTCGACGTAGTAAGATTGGCAATGGCTTCTTGCGGCGTGACGAGTGAAGGGAGGTGCGAGGTACCACTTCCCCAGCCCATCGTAAGGACGCCCTGGTCGCAGCCCATGTCACTACAGGAGTTGAGGCCGGAAGTGTTGGGCCCAGCATCGGTACCAAACACCTTGAGAGCGGCACTGCGCTTGAGGGGCAATGTGTTATTCTCGTTCTTGAGGAGAGTGATCGCATCTCGGGCAACAGCGTGCGCAGTGATGTTATGGTTGCCTTGCACGTCGACATATTGGTTGACAACGCCCGTCGGGGAGAACAGGGCACCGGGATAGAGAGGGCCTGTTTTGTCGAGCGTGTTGCTCGAAAAGTTGGGCAGAGGATAATCCTCATCCTGACCCATTTGATACCAAGTCGCAACGATCCGAGTGACCTTGAAAACTTAGTATGAAAGGAGCAGGAGGTTGACGATCTCATACCATGTCATTGAGTCGATCCAGCGGCACTGTTCCGTTGAGGATGGCGGTTGATAGCTCGGATCCCCAGTAAGCATCCCCGAGCAAAGGGATGGCCCCATCGCCAGGCATAGCCATGTCAAGTCCGGCGAGGGCAGACGAGACGCCGCCCTGCTGAGCCAGCCAGTCGGTCATGACAAACCCCTGGAAGCCTAACTCGTCCTTAAGGATGCCGCTGATGAGCATGCTATTCTGGCTACAGGCCGAGCGATTCACCTATCCTGATCAGTAAATCCGTCTGGCCTACTGTCTGAGGAACTCACATCGTTGTACGCCATCATCACAGAGCCCACGCCAGCCCGGACTCCCTCCGCAAATGGCCACAAGTACAGTTCATGCAGGGTACGGTCATCGATGTTCGATGAATAACCTTGAGTTAGAACCGAGGTCTCGCGATACATCTCTTGCTCATTCCCAATGAAATGTTTCAAACAAGCTATCGCACCAGTGCTTTGCATGCCCTGGATCGTCAATGCGCCTCCAACTGCCTGCAGGGTCGGATCGGCGCCGAAGCCTTCCCACCCGCGTCCGCCGAGTGGCTTCCTGAACATGGGTCCGACCACTGGACCAAGCAGAACGTTCACACCTTTCCCGCGAGCTTCTTCCCCAAGTTCGACACCACGCTGGTACATCAGATCCTTGTCCCAGGTAGCTCCAACAGTTACCCCAGGAGGGAACGCGGTATTATGGTCCGAGTTGCGGATTCCCAGAGGGGAGTCCTGCATACAGAGGTTTGGTATCCCGAATCGAAGTGCGCTACCTGTTTGACCGACGCAAGGGCCCATGAACATTCCGGTACCGGTAGTGAGGTTGACTTTCTCAGCTAGGGTCATATTGCTCACCACAGCCTGAGCTTTGGCGTATGCAGCACTCCAATCGGATATCCAACCTCCCGGAGGGGCCGGATAGTAGGGAGGCGAGAAGGCTTCAGCGTCATCGTCGCGGCGGCGGTGATCGGCTGCAAGGTATCCTGGAAGAAGCAGGGTCAGATAAATGAGATAATGCCAGACAGGAGTCATTGTCAATGCCCCTGAACGGAAGAAAGGACACGGTCAGACTCAGGAAAACCTTACCATCACCGTTTATGACCCGACAGGCTGCTGAAGATATAGCTACCTGTCTTCCTACCCCAGTCCAAACAGGGATCTTGGATCACGCGGCCTCGAATCACATATGCAGTCTGCACACACCATGACATATGATAGAAGAAAACCAATCAGTGTACAGAGCACCACAGTCAATGTCAACAAGGCAGTCAATCATTGCTGGATGAATAACGATCTAGGGCGACTGGACAGTAGCCTGCACGCATTCCGAATGATGAACGACATTAATCAACCGAGGTAATGGGGTGCGTTGCTGAAAATAGCACCGGTCCGCGCCAGTCCGTGCCAGACAAGGTATGAACTCCGGTGGCTGATAGTTGGTCCTTTTTGTGGTGGTCAAACTGCGGGGGCGTTCAGCTGATGTACCTTTAGCAAGCGACATAGATGAACTGAGAACTAGACCGATGACACCTGCTCATGCATGACAACCCGGTAATATATATGAGGTTGCACTGCTTGTGATTGGGAATATACATCATGTTTGTTGCTGGCAACTGGGTTGTAAAGATAGTTGAGAGTAAGTAGAGAGAGAACAGGCTTTGCGTAAGAGGTCCAGGGGTATCCAGAATCAAGCGAGCCTGTAAAGTGGTCAAATTTGTGCAATGCGTGGTGATGATCCATATCTTGGATACTTGACAGCGGAGGATCGACAGGGGAACGAACAGCAGACAGCGTGCTTGGATCAATAAGCGAACCCGGCTATTCTTGTTCCATCAACAGTCGCCACCACCAAACCAGTAAGGTCGGTCCAGTCAGACACCAGTTAATCTCCCAATCGCAAGCCCATCACCTCCGAATCAATCTTTCGCAGCAGGGTCCTTGTCTCAGAATCAGCCAACACTTTGCCCCTGAGCATCCGGATATTGCCGTAACCAGTTTCTTGCACCTAGACTTTCAGCGCTCTGCTGTGTTCAGCACTGGATCCACTAAACCCTTAGTTCAGTGCTTGGATGGAGGAAATAGCGCGGGGGTTTGATTGATGAACGGGTGTTTTGACCATCAGCTGATTGCAGTCAAACAACACGCCTCATGATCGAGGAGATAACTACTACATGCGCGCGTATAGAGAGGCGAGTGCTTCGGTGCGCTACTGGCGACATTGTGGATCAGGTCTGTCGAGCTGAGTTGGTTAATCTACCTGCTTGAAGGTGGTCAGAAACAGGCATATTTGCTTATCAGGTCCACAGGGCTGTAAGATTACATAGTAACAAGATCCCGGCTGTTGATTCATGGATGTAAACCGAGAAATCCCTTGCTGAAAACATGGTCACTTGACTATTTGTGGTCGATGAGCATGATTGAGTGGCAAGAGTGTGTTCCAAGCTTGTGTGTATCGTCCGCTCATTTAGTGCCATGGATGATTTGAAGACCGGATTCCGGAAGTCGAGGCGCATTGGCTGTTAGACGAGGGGCCAGCAGTGTTTCCACCCTTATGGCCCATGGTTGCATAGATCCGACCTGCCTCTTGATAGTACTAGCAGAACATTTCCAATAAGGATCAATGATCGGGTAGGTGCATCTCATTTGCACGTTAAGTTGTCCTATCACTCATTGTGAAATAGGTGTTGGACCATCCACCCAGAAGGCAGGTCTAACTGTCTTAGCGACAACCCCACCACCCACAGTGAATAAGTCGTTGATCTAAACCAGCCGGTCAGTAGCTTCCAAGTTGTTGTGTCAGTACTCCGAAAACCAAAGTAAGCAAGCCAAATAAAAAACCAGAATGTCTTGTCTATTATCATAATTCATTCCTATAAATGTCTATCTATCCGCTAGTTGAAGTATCCGGGGAAGAGCCAGTTCATGCGCTCACGGGCCTCCGGGCTCCAGTTGGGCTGAGCAGTGCTGAGTCCGAACTTGATGGAGCCCTCGACATGCTTGGCCTGCACCAGCTCGCTGTGCTCGTCCGAAGCCAAAGCATCCAGCACAGCCGTCACAAAGCGCTTGGCGTTCTCCGCATTGGCCTTCATGTGGCCCATCACCATCTCCACGGTCACGTCCGCGGTAGACTCGTGCCAGCAGTCATAGTCGGTGGACATGCAAATCATCTGGTAGGCGATCTCCGCCTCACGGGCCAACTTGGCCTCGGGCAGGCAGGACATGTTGATGACGCTGCCACCCCAGGAGCGGTACATGTTGCTCTCGGCGCGGGTCGAGAACTGAGGTCCTTCTGCGGTTTATTAGCGTCTGGATTGTGTCTGTGTATTATTGTGAGAGGGTCATACCCATGCAGATCAGAGTACCCCGGTCATGGAGAACCACGCCCTCACCCTCCAAACTGTGTCCGCAGGCTCGCACGACCTTGGTAACGCCCTCGTCGAAGGGGTCGCCGAACGGCACGTGGGCAACGACGCCGCCCTCGAAGAAAGTGAATGGACGGATGCCCTTGGTGCGGTCAATGACCTGGTCGGGGATGACGAAATCGCGGGGCTTGATCGCCTCTTGCAAGCTGCCGACAGCGGAGAAGGCGATGATGGTGCGGACACCGATGGAGCGGAGGGCAGCGATGTTGGCACGGGCGGGCACCTCGTGGGGAGCGATCTGGTGGTGGGCGCCGTGGCGGCTGAGGAAGGCAATGGCGACGGTCTTGTTGTTGTGGGAGCACTTGTGGTGCAGGATGGTGATGGGAGAGGAGGGGGTGCCCCAGGGGGTGTTGACGTTGAGGGAGGCGACCTGAGTGAACCCAGGGAGTTCGCGCAAGCCCGTACCGCCAATGACGGCAATGCGGACGGGTTCTGGAGGAGTGAGTGATTGCAGAGGACAGATGGTGAGGCGGGGTAGGGTGATGCTTACCGTCGTAAGTGGTGGGAAGGACGGTCATTCTGCCGGCTATTTGTTTTGGGGATTCGATGCGGATGCGAGGTTTGGAAATGGAGGAGAAATGGCGCCAGAAGGTAGACAGCATGCAAGGATGAGAGGATGAAGAGAGAGAGAGGAGGATAAAAGAAGGAGGAGGAGGACGAGAGAAAGAGGCCTGAAATTCTCGGCGGGGTATTCCCCAATCGGGAAATGGCGATCTTATCGGTCGGTGCCTGAGGTGCCTGCCTGAGTGCCTTGGGCCACACTTGTACGCAAGCTGTACCAAGACCAAAGAAAAAAAAGATATACTTCATGAGTTGATACAACTCCTTATTAATTCTGAAAGTATACATAAGCGCTACATTATCATCTAGACATCTAGACATTAAAGCTCACCATTAGGCAGGCCGCCACTCGTAGTGATGAGCCCCCTTGGACACTGGCCCCGGGTCCTCGCCCTTGACGCCGGGCTTGTTGTATCCGTGAGCGCCAAATAGGTCCATCTGGGCCTCCATGAACTTGGTGGGGAGCATGGTCCCAGCCTCATACTTGAGATACTCCAAGGTGGCCGAAAGAGCCGGAGTATAGTGGTCGGCGACCGTGGAGGCCAGCACGGTGTCTTTCAGCGCATCGAAATGCTTGTGCAACTCTTGCGCCACCTTGTCCACAGACTTGACGTTGGTCAGAGACTCGGTCATGGCGGGCTGCAGCAGGTCGGCGATCGCCTCGGACTGGATGATGCAGCCGTTGCGCCAGATCTGCAGACACTTACTGAGGTCCACGTTCCATCCTTCGTCGTTGGAGGCGCGAGCGATCAACTCCAAGCCCTGACAGAACGAGGCGAGGAAGGCACAGTAGACTGCGCGGCGGATCTTCTCGATGCACGTCTTCTTGTCCTTGATGTTCTCGAGCGGTTTGGGCTTGGGGAGGTCCAACTTCCGGGCGACTTCCAGCCGCTCGGCGCGGTTGCCACTGGCGATGCGTAGGAAATGCGCCGTGGCCAGCGTGGGCGCGGAGACGTGCCGGGCGGCCGACTCCATGACGGACCAGTAAGGGGTGCCTTCCGTGTCGTCGTCATCCTGGACCACCTTGTCGAGGACGTCGTCGAGGACGAAGCCTCCCTCTTGACTGGCGCCTTCGCCTTGCTTGTCGCCTTGAGGCGTCTTCTTGGTGCGGAGAATCTGCACGCCGATGTCCAACAAGAAGTTGTTGCGTAGCTCACCTTCCGAGTTCCACTGCTCGAAAATATCCGCGATCTCTTCGTACTGAAGGCCGAGCCCGTGGTGCAGAAGCGACCAGGCCTCGGCGACGGTGGACAGCATGCCGCCCTCGATGCCGTTGTGGACCATTTTGACGAAATGGCCCGACCCGGCGGGTCCTATGTTGGTGACACAAGGTTGCTTGGTCTTTGTGTCTTTGGCGGCGTATTTCTCCAGCAGCGGGAGGACGAGGTTGATGGCGTCGGGGTCGCCTCCGGGGGAGAGGCTGGGGCCATGACGGGCAGACTGGTATCCCCCGGAGACGCCCATTCCAATCCAGCTGATGCCACGCTCGGCGCAGCGTTTCTGGCGCTGTTCCGTGCGACGATAGTGTTCATTGCCGCCGTCGAGGATGATGTCGCCCTTTTGCAGGCTGTCTTGGATTTTGTCGAGCACGGAATCGGCGGGGTCGCCGTGAGTGATGGAGAAGATGAAGAGTTTTTGGTCGTTGCCAAGGCTTTGGGTGAATTGATCGACTTCATTGAAAGCTTGGATTTTGCCTTTTCCGGTGAACTGGCCCTGGTCGATCCACTGGCGGATGCCGTCGAGGTTCTTGGGATTGACGTCCCAGATGGAGACGTCGAGGCCGAGCTCGTTGAAGGCAAAGGCCATCATGGAGCCCATGTTGCCGGCGCCAACGATCCCGATGTTGGAGAACATGTTGACTGTGATTTTCTTTGAGTGTGTGTGTGTCTATTGTGTACATGATGTGTTGGTCGTGTTAAATGTTGTGTTTTATTGTGGTGAGGAGAGTCGACGCAGATCTTACATCATTCCGATATCCGCGCAGCCCTAATAAATAAATGACACTGACATCATGCAGTTTGACGTATGGTCTATGTAAATACTCCTTCCCCCAGCGCCTGGTGATCGAATGGATCCTGTACAAACAAACATTGTTTATCATTGATTCAGATAAACATTCACAAAATGACTCTCGATATTCCCTTCTCGTTTGCAACCTGTTCTATTGGGAAGCCTACGGACAGTCTGCCCGCGAAGCTGCAGGCGCTGTCCGAGGCGGGGTTCAAGGCGGTGGAACTCGCCTATCCGGACATTTTGCAGTATGCGAAAGAGATTCGGGGGGAGACAGCAGAAGATGATTATGAGGGGTTACGGGAGGTGGCCAAGGAAATTCGGGGGGTGTGCGATAAGATGGGCGTCCAAGTGATGATGCTGCAGCCGTTTGCCAACTTTGAGGGCTGGCCGGAGGGAAAAGAGCGCGAGGATGCCTTCAAGCGGGCGGAGGGATGGATGAGTTTGATGGAGGTATTGGGGTGTGATTTGTTGCAGGTACGATGCTCTTTGCAAGAATACATCCCTCTTTCCTATATGGATGTTATACATTTATCATATTACATACATACTAACAACAATTCAGGTCGGCTCCACCGACACCCCCCTCTCCAACCTCACAACCCACCCCTCCCTCCGAACTGCCATCATCCGCGATCTCCAGCAACTCTGCGACCTCCTGGCCACCAAGAACATGCGTCTTGCCTACGAAAACTGGTGCTGGTCGAGCCACAGCCCGGACTGGTCGACCCTCTACTCGCTCCTCACCGAGGTCAACCGCCCGAACATGGGTCTCTGCCTGGATACTTTCCAGACCGCCGGCTCCGAATACGGGGACCCAACCACGTCCGACGGGTTGATCGAGACGACCGACGGGAAGGCAAACCTCTCGGCCGCGGAGAAGTTCAAGGCGAGTATGGCGCGGCTGGCCAAGACGATCCCCGCCGAGAAAATCTATTTGCTGCAGGTGTCGGATGCGTACCTCCCACACCCGCCGCTGGAGGATACGGTGGTGGATGGGATGCGACCGCGGGCGCGATGGAGTCATGATTTCCGTCCCCTGCCGTACACTGAAGGCGGGTATTTGCCGATCGAGGAGGTGGGGAGGGCGGTGCTACAGACGGGGTTCAGGGGGTGGTTTTCGATGGAGGTGTTTGATGGACGGAGGAGAGAGGTTCCGCTTCAGGAGTATGCCAGGGAGGGGATGCGGAGTATGCGCAAGTTTGTGGAGCGGTGTTCGTGATGATCATGGATTGATTCTTTGTACTAGTACTACAGTATATATCATATGGTACAGGAGTGGGGTGGTAGTAGTAATGTATATGTTTACTAAGAACTAAGTATGGCTGTATGTTTTTACACATCTTTATATAATGCTAGACTGGTGGATGGAAAACCAATAGGGTGGACTACTAGTAGTAAATTGAACCTAACGCCAAACTAATGCAATAATCATGGTATCATTAAGCGTTGCTGGGGTAAGCAACCTTGTAGGTGGGGACGAACTCCTCCTTGATCGACCGCAGACTCACAAACCGCGACAGCAGGTTGCCACTGCCCGCCTTGTCGTTGGTCCCGCTGGCACGCGCACCTCCAAACGGTTGCTGGCCCACAACAGCACCCGTGCTCTTGCAGTTGATGTAAAAGTTACCCGCCGTGTTGCGCAGGGCCTCGTCCGCCGCACGCAGCACCTCCCGGTCCTGCGCGAAGATGGAGCCCGTCAACGCGTACTCGCCCGTCTGGTCGATCTTCTCGCACATCCGTGTGAAGTCGGCCTCGGTCTGGTCCGCGTAGGTGTGCACCACCAGCACCGGCCCGAACAGCTCGCGCGACAGCAGCGGGTGGTCGGGGTTGGAGGTGCGGTAGACGGTGGGCGCGATGTACCAGCCCTTGGACGAGTCGTAGCTCCCACCGGCCAGTAGCTCCAGCTCGGGGTCGTTCTTAGCCTCGTCAATCACCTGGGCCAGCTTGTTGAACGACGCCTCGTGGATCACAGGGCCGCAGAAGTTGGTGAAGGTCGTGGGCTCGCCCATGGTCAGAGCCTTGGTCTCAGCCGCCACGATCGAGAGGAACTCATCGGCGATCGACTCGGCGACGTAGGCGCGCGAAGTAGCACTGCACTTCTGGCCCTGGAACTCGAAGGCGCCACGCACAGTCTGCACGGCCGCATTGCGCACGTCGGCCGACTTGTGCACCAGGTGGAAGTTCTTCCCACCGGTCTCCCCGACGATCCGGGGGTAGCTGCGGTACTTGCCCTCGGCGACACCGTTGGCGATCTGGCCGTACAAGCTGCGGAACACCGAGGTGCTACCGGTGAAGTGCAGAGCGGAGAAGTCGCGGTGGTTGAGCACGGTGTGGGTAACCTCAGCGGCGTCTCCCGGGACGAACTGAATGACGTTCTTGGGCAGACCCGCCTCAAGCAGGATCTGGTGGACGAGCCAGTTGGAGGCGATGGCCGAAGGCGAGGGCTTCCAGACAACGACGTTACCCATCAGCGCAGGGGCACCCGCCAGGTTACCGCCGATGGCAGTGAAGTTGAAGGGGCTGATAGCATAGACGAAACCTTCGAGAGGGCGGTACTCCACACGGCTGCACCAGTTAGTGGGATCCGCAACAAATCCAGGCACGAACACTCACTTCCAGACACCCGGGGAGTGGTGGACGGGCTGGGTGGCGTAGAGCTCCTCGGCGTACTTGACACCGAAACGGAAGAAATCGCACAACTCGGCAGCGGCGTCAATCTCCGCCTGCCAAGCGTTCTTGCCCTGGCCGTGCATGGTCAAGGCCATGAGATCGTAGCGGTACTTGGTGGAGATCAGATCGGCGGCCTTGAGGAAGATGCTGGCCCGGTCGGCGAACGAGGTGGTGGCCCAGGTCTTGCGGGCCTCAAGAGCAGCGTCAATAGCGGCCTGGACATCGGCGACGGAGGCATTGGCGTAGTTGGCGACAGGCGCGTGGTTGGCCGGGTTGGACTGAACCAAAGTCTCGGAGCTCTTGATCTCCTGGCCGGCGATGACCAAGGGCACGTTCAGAGGGCCGCTCTGCTTGGTGCGGGCGAGGGCCTCCTCGAGGGCCTTGCGATCAGGCGAGCCGGGGGCATAGTGTTTCTATCAGACCAAAGTCAGCCAGCGACACCGACCAGCAAGCGCAAAAAAAAAAAACTCACGTTGGGCTCGTTGTCAATGCGAGGGACCTTGAAGGTGGCGTAGGAGCCCATGGCGCGCGACTGGCGAGCCAGGCTGGCGGAGAGGGAAGCGCATTTGGGGAGACCCCGGGCGCGAAGGAGCAAGGAAGACTGCATAATGACAAGCTCTCTCTCTCTCTCTCTCTCTCTTTTTCGCAAAAAGCAAGACAGGCGACGAGAGAAAGAAAGAAGAGGAGAGTGGCGACGCGGGGGAAACACGAAGCTTTAATTGCAGATGAGCAGGCGAGGACAGGCGGTTACTGCCGGTGAGCTGACTCAGCCACAGCCAATGGGGATGGCAGCCGATGCGGTGCAAGGGGGTTTGACCGGAAGGAGACTGATTTGACCGGAGACAGTGCCATATTGTGGTTGTACTGTAGGAGTAATTGAATTTTGGGAGATGGAGATGGTGATGTCTGCTGCTATCAGGAACACCGGCACATGCCGGGTGGGTCACAGTCACCGGCCCGGTCACTCGCCTTGAGAACCACCCGATAGATTATCGTTGGCATTTTTGCTATACATTCTGTGTCTGGCATCTGTCGGAGTACAGAGTAGAAACGAGGTCAAATCAAGTCAATGGCTTGACTAACCAAAATAATGATTAGTCCTGAATATGTCATCTGTTGACCTGTCAAAATTCTCAAGTGCATTCCCCAGATCTAGTGGGTCTTTCCCCGCTAGAGTTAACTTCAATAGCTTCTATCGCGCATTCATACCTGAGGCATAAATAATCTATGTCTATACCACCTATTCCAGCATCTTCGGGCCCATGGTACTTAGTAACAACATCTCTTTGAAGGGAGCGCAAATCAGAATTCCGTAGAACGTGGCAGTGGTGCTGCACTCCAACTTGATAGTGTGCGCCTTCAATATCGCGTCTCATTATACCAGTAGCATACTACATATACCTTGCCTTTATCGGTGGTCAGGGCCTGTTCCGAAAGCCTCGAATAGTACTGGGTAGTTACTACATTGCCCTTGATTCACAGAGAAGGCTGCTTGCAACAACTCCTCCTGATACCTTCGGTGAATCGCTCTGACACTATTGGTCGGGTATTCCTATGCCAGCAGTCACTGTTTCCCTGGCTCATTCATTCAGTAGTGAAAGTATAAGATAAGATTACTATAGGATGCAGACTCGCTCGGCGGACTGCCTTAAAAATCGTAGCCGAATGCTGCCATCAACCAACCATGCAGGTGTCCTCTCTTCTCTCCAGATCAACTTCCCCCAGCATCATCTCGTGAGCCCATTCTGTCCATCCCTAGTATATCTCACTACACCCTCATGAACTTTTCCAGCTCGCCATAACAGACGTCTATCTTCCCCAGATCTATGAAGACTTGAAGGCGCTTGACAAGCCACAGTCAAGAAGCGCAAGCTTCAGAGTCCTGTGTCCCGTACTGTCCCTTCAAACATGATTCCGTTCAGGGCCTCGAACGCATCGATAAAAGCCGTGCAACGCCGTCCATCATGCTTAGTCCCATGACAAATCCATCCGAATCATCGAGCTCACCACGAGAGAGCGTCCATACTAGACCCGGTTCGGAAATTACGCAGTTCTAGGAATCTGGGCATAGAATGAGCAGTACTGAATCCCACAAGGAGCAGCATATCTTACGCGTAGAGCAATTATTCTTGATAGAGAGCTAGCTTCTCTATTAGATGTTTGCAAAGAGCTTCTAGCATAAGCAGAGTAATACTGCGTGGGCGATCTATACCATTGCGCGGTGCTCGGATGTTGCTGAATATCTATAGATTAGAGCGAATATGCACGATTGACTGTTTGCTGCAGCCAGCGATGTAAGTCATCTGAGTTGTTGTCAGGGAACCACTCTAAATTACATGATGGATTAGTTCCAGTTGAGTAGGTTTCAAATTTGGAGCCATCGTGCTTTATACAATGTCCGTCAATTATTATGTAGTAGGAATTATCCATCAAGCAAACACCCTACATGGTCTGGTGGCTGAATGGTGTTGCGAGGTTCAGATCAATCAAAGTTCATGTCTACTAATAATATTCATCTTTGCATGGAAAACAGGCCTACTACTTGGATACGGCTGCGCTGGGTATCTTCTTCTAATATAGACTGCAGCGTCATCTAATCTAAAGCTATCTAACTAAAATAAAGCAGGCACAGTGTGGGCAAGAAGCCAACTTGATTAATTAGAGCCTTAGGATCTTTGCTGTAAAGTAAACAACGCTAAGAGACGTGAAAATATGTCTGAGGCAACACAGCGACTATACAGAGTAGTGCTGGAAGACATACAGCTGTGAAGATGAGAATATTCTGGTACTTATTAATAAATCACTTAAACAACGTGTACCAATGATCTTGCAGCGTGCTTAAAGTACGTGGCCTTACCGGGTACAAGGAGGGGTTGTTGCTCTCAGCCTAATGGAACTACAAGGCCTAGTAGTCAATCTGGAACTAAGATGACTCTCTTGATTGAATATTAAACTGAGAACCACACTATAATTGCCACTGAGTCTCTGGTGTGCTCACCACCTGGCCAAATCAACCCTTTCATCGGGAAGGCGTGGGAAGGTGTGGTTCATGGAATGGAGTTGCTATCCTAAGCTCCCGCTTCAGCTCGTTCACACCTATGGATTAAGCCAACGCACCAGCCACCTAAACTGGCTCCCAATCAGGCAAGCTATAATTAACTATCCAGGAGCTTGTCCCCCTCTCTTATAAATTTCATAATCCCCACCGCTATATATAGTTTAGGTCTTGCCATTTACTGTAATAATGTTTTTCTTATTCTCTGAGCTATTGGAATATTCATCCCGAACATCTCTCAAGCTGTTGCAACATAAACTATGACCTAATCAAAAGTAGTATACTTTTATATATAATCTATAGAATTCTGTTTGCCAGCTAAAGGTCGCTAATTTAGTTGCTGCCTAAGGAAAAGAACAGATTATTTGCCTGAGCAGCAAGACTAGGCCTCTGATTGGATACTAGGAGCAGACTGCATTAGCATGTTTTAAGGCGCTTAAATATGGCTCTCAGTCAGCTGGTGTTGGCACAAATAGATAGTTTCACCGAATCCTCTTCATCTGCTATCTGTTGAAAATTGTCTCAAATTCTCCTCGTTATCTTCTACTCCATCGATCTCAAATACATTTTCATTCGGGTAATTCATTATACACAATGGGTAGTAAAGAGGGCTGTTCTCTCAAACGCGTCTTAAAAAGGACTTTGGGAAAGGCAAGAAAGACAGAGACAGATGACCCTGATAGAGCTGACACTCGGATTTCAACTGGGAGCCCTCAAGGTATGAAATAGATACAACTAATATAACAACTTCTATTTTTTTATATTTAACCCTTTTCTAATATATAACAGTTTCAGCCCCAGCAGTGCTAATCACTAAGCGGCCAACTACAGACCCTCCTATCAGAGACCCGACCGTTCTTAGCGAAGAGTCCAAGACAGAGCGCAACCCTATAGGAACTATTGGAGAAGAGATAACTACATCTTCAGACATAGAGCAAGCTGCGAATTGTTCTATCACAGAACCGTCTACTGTTTCTCGCTGGGACCAAGCCTATGATCAATTGAAAGTCGACCAGCCCGGGCTTTTACTCGACTATGAGACTCTTTTATCCAGAGTACCTATCAAAGGTAGTCCTGAAATCTCAAGTATAGCCCTTCAGCATATTAATATCATATAATAGCTCAGTCAAACACTCCTTCGGCCCGTGGCTCGGTAGACAACACCGGTGATATCAAGAACATCATCCCCGCGAATGATCCAGCTGCGCGTCAAGAGATAATGAAAAGCATTATTGAGCTGGGACTGAAGCATGTTGAGGACAGAAAGTTCAGGGTAACACTTTTAGGCCATGAGATCAGTATACAAGATGAGCTGGACAGAGTTGGTGGAGCAGTGGAATGGGCTCAGGACTATGTGAAAGATGCAATCAAGGACGTGCCGTATGCGCCAGCTGTGATGGCAGGTATTTCACTTATCCTTCCACTTCTGAGAAGCCCAGCCAACGCCGAAGCTGCAAATCGAGAAGGACTTACATATGTGACATCGCAAATGCGCTACTATGTTCAGATGGAGCCACTTCTCCTACCTGAATATCTGAAGAGTGGTGTGAATGAAGATCTGTCTGGGCGGGTGATAGATCTATACAAAGCTGTCATTACTTTCCAGGTACAGAGTGTCCTTAGGTTTTATCGCAGCAGAACTAAGAACTACTTCAGAGATGTCAGCAACTACGATAACTGGAAAGATCAATTAGATCAACTGAAGCAACAAGAGGCAGAGCTGGACAAACAGTTTAAATCAGCTTTGGTAGGCACCGGTGTCAATCAATTGGTCAAGCTGACCGCAGAAGCGAAAGAATCACGGAAAACGCTGAGCCATATTCTTCTTAATATCCAAAAGCAGATGCAGGAGCTTGTTAGCATCGCTCAAAAGAATGAGAAACGCTTAACAGATGCTGAGGACCGACGCCGTCGAGAAAGTCTTCATGCCAGTGATCCTGAGGCTGATAAAAAGCGAATTCAGGATGAGAAAGGCGGTCTGTTTGAAGACTCATACCGCTGGGTGCTCGATAACGAAGAGTTCAAAAAATGGAGGCACAGCAATTGCTCTCAGCTCCTATGGATCAAGGGTGATCCTGGAAAAGGCAAAACGATGCTCATGTGCGGTATTATTGATGAGCTTTCCGAGGAGGTGACTGACGAGGGCAATCTTATATATTTTTTTTGCCAAGCAAACAACACCCGTATCAACAATGCTACAGCAGTTCTGCGGGGACTAATATATATGCTTGTCAAGAAACAACCCTCCCTTATCAGTCATATCCATGATAGTATATCTGAGGATGATAATTCATGGTTTAAACTACAAGATATCTTTTTTGGTATGCTTGGAGACTCGACCTTGAAAAAAACATATCTTCTTATCGATGCACTGGATGAGTGTACCACAGATTTAAAGAGGCTTCTTGGCCTTCTGGTCAATAAATCTTCCGCAAATTCTCAAATAAAATGGATTGTGTCGAGCCGCGACTGGCAAGAAATCGAGAAAGAACTTGACAAAATCACACAAACTCAATATTGTCTTGAGTTGCACGAGGAAATCCTTTCAACTGCAGTTGAATCATATATTCGCCATAAAGTGAATGAATTAGCAAGAAGAAATGGATACAAACCGGATCTACAAGATACAGTGCAGGATTACTTGATGTTGAATGCCAACGGAACCTTTCTTTGGGTAGCTTTAGTGTGTCGGGGACTTACTGATGTCGATCATTGGGACGTCAAAGACCACCTAGAAGAGTTCCCTGCTGGTCTTGATGAGCTTTATATGCGAATGCTAAGTCGGGTGATGGCATTGAGAAGAAATAGTGCTACGATATGCACTTCAATTCTGGGCATAACAACAACCGTTTACCGGCCGATTACATTATCAGAGCTTATGGCTTATGTCGACTTGCCTCAGGAGATCACAGATGACATGCAATCTCTGAAAAAGCTAATAGGACTTTGTGGCTCTTTCCTTGCGCTCCGAGAAGACACAGTTACCTTGATCCATCAGTCCGCGCAAGACTTTCTCCTGAAATACGCATCTCAACATATCGCTCCTAATGGGCTACAAGAGATACACTACTCTATCTTCTCAAAGTCTTTGGAAAGTGTGCATGCAAATTTGAAACGGGATATATACAATCTCAGAGACGATACACTTTCTATTAGTGAAGTCAAGCAGCCAGATCCAGACCCACTAGCTAGTACATGGTATGCATGTCTATTCTGGGTAGATCATCTTATTGACTACTTTCGCGGCAAAGAGACAAGCCAAGAACTGGAAGGCTTTCCTTTAATCAATACTTTTCTATGCCAGGACTTGCTGCACTGGCTTGAAGCTCTCAGTCTATCAAGAAGGATAGCAGAAGGAGCTCGATCAATGCTGAGACTTGAAGGGTTATTAAAGGTATGTATCTATAAGTCTTGATAACTTATCTTTCTAATAAGATTGTAGACAAGAACAAAAGACCTCCAGCTGATTGACAGAGCTCGAGATGCATACCGCTTTATTCTCTATCATAACATAATGATAGAGAATTATCCACTCCAAGTATATACTTCAGCAATATTCTTTAGCCCTCGGAATAGTACAACAAGGATTCAATTTGAGTCTGAGGAACTATCGTCGATGAATGCCAAGTCAATGATAGGCGAGAGCTGGAGTGCCTGCCTGCAGACGCTCGAGGGCCACAGTGGCTCGGTCTTTTCAGTGGTCTTCTCGCATGACTCCAAGCTGCTGGCGTCTGCTTCCGAAGATCAGACCGTCAGGCTGTGGGACGCCGCCAGCGGCGCCTGCCTGCAGACGCTCAAGGGCCACAGTAATTGGGTCAAGTCAGTAGTCTTCTCGCATGACTCTAAGCTGCTGGCATCTGCTTCCGATGATGAGACCGTCAAGCTGTGGGACGCCGCCAGCGGCGCCTGCCTGCAGACGCTCGAGGGCCACAGTCACTGGGTCAACTCAGTGGTCTTCTCGCATGACTCTAAGCTGCTGGCGTCTGCTTCCGGTGATCAGACTGTCAAGCTGTGGGACGCTGCCAGCGGTGCCTGCCTGCAGACGCTCGAGGGCCATGAAGACACAGTTCGCTCTGTGGTCTTCTCGCATGACTCCAAGCTGCTGGCATCTGCTTCTGGTGATCAGACCGTCAAGCTGTGGGACGCCGCCAGCGGCGGCTGCCTACAGACGCTCGAGAGTCATAGTAAATGGGTCCGCTCAGTGGTCTTCTCGCATGACTCCAAGCTGCTGGCGTCGGCTTCCGCCGACCAGACCGTCAAGCTGTGGGACGCCACCAGTGGCGCCTGCCTGCGGACGCTTGAGGACTATAGTCGCTTGATTACAAATCATAATCCGGATGTCCTTAACTTGACTTACCTTGCGAACTCGCTATTCTCTCAAGTAAATCCTGAATTACTGGAATCTCAGGGATTTGAAATCAGTCCTGATGGAACCTGGATTACATGGAATTCAGTAAAGCTGTTGAAGTTGCCGTCAATACTCAAGATATCAGCTGCTGCTGTAACATTTTCGACCATTTGTGTTGGTTTTGGATCAGGGCAAGTTCTTATACTGACTTGTGATCGTTACTAACTAGTGTTATCTACTTAGAGAAGTACATGCGAATATAACATCTTATTATTTACGGTCGTCTACTCTCCTTTATTTTCTAATCTCTTTGCAAAAGGAGGGCCTGGGATTATTCACGTATTTATTATAACAGGTTTTGCCACCTGTATGCTTTCAAACTCTATTAGCTTCCACCTGATTATAAATCTTACCTTGTTATATGACTCATAATATATGTTAACATTAGATATGTATATTCAACGTGTAAACTTTCTGGATAGATAACACTTTATAAGATTAATATCAATAACAGGCCTTAGTTTATGTTGTCCCGCTCGATATTCCACCCGCGCTAATGTCTTGGCAGTGAGTCTGCAGAATATTTCTGTTGTATCTATTGGTCAAGGCAATTTCGAGATCCTCTGTCTAGTCTTACAACTGACCTTCACTTTCACTCACTTTCCCTCCTCCCACTCTCCCCGATTTATCCATTCTGGCAATGATTTGGTGCTACAGCGAGCTGGCGTCTCCACCACCGCATGCTTCAATGGCTTCCAGCTGATGAAGCCTTCAAGGGTCCAGGATCCCCCGGTGGAGACCCGAGTAACCAAATATCCAGCTCCGCATACCAGCCACAACGACTCCCGTTGGAAGCATTCCGTGCAACCAGTTCCTCTCCCCCCTCCCTGGCCTCCCATCTTGATTACTACTACTACTACTACTAATTACTTGACAATTCTGGCTCCATGATGACAAGACGTCACTTTTCTGTTGATGCCTGTCTCGGCTAAACTCCGATAATTCCTATTTGTCATTGTGAATTTGGGATAAACCCCCTTCTTTCTCCTCTTCTTGCTTCTCCTCCCTGTGAAGTGCGTTTCCCCCAAACGTGTCTTCTTCCTGCCAGAGCATAAACCATGCGTGCGCTACCCACCACAGCGATCACGCTATTAGGCGCATCTTTGTTGCCCTCTGCAACCGAAGCCCAGTATGTCCGAGATTTGAGTGCCGAGGACTGGACACTGAGTAGTGCCGCCTTGAATCGCACGGTGCCAGCCCGATTTCCCTCTCAGGTGCATATGGATTTGCTAAGAGAGGGAATCATTGGTAAGGATTCTGACCTCTCTTGTCTCTTGGTTAGACGATTGGAATGATTACTGATCGTGTGCCTTGTCTATTGTTGACAGATGAACCGTAAGTATACACCATGCGCCATCTCTGCAATTTCTCTTGGTGATGGGAGGGAGTGCATTCGCCGAGCTGACACACTCTCCTCAGGTATAACGATTTGAACGATTTCAATCTGAGGTGGATTGCGGATGCCAATTGGACATATACCAGTGGGAAGATTGAAGGCTTGTAAGTGGTACCAAACCAATACTCGGGTAAACCTGGGGCGGCAGATTTGAGCCGGAAGATGCTAATCGCGCTCCTAGAGGCGATGACTATGACTCGACATGGCTAGTTTTCGACGGGCTGGACACCTTCACCTCAATCTCGTTCTGCGGCCAGTTCGTCGCGGCAACGAACAACCAGTTCCGACAGTACATGTTCGATGTCTCCTTTATTCTTGAGGGCTGCGGTGAGAGTCCGACCTTGAGTATCGAGTTTGGTAGCGCGCCGAAGATTGTGGATGCAATCGCTCAGGATCCTAATTCTCCAAGTGAGTTGTTGTCCTTCAAGTGGCAAGAGTTCGGGTGTGGGACGACTCGCTGACGATGGGGATTAGCATGGCCCGAGGGCGTGCAAATCACATACGAATACCCGAATCGTTGGTTCATGCGCAAGGAGCAATCTGATTTTGGCTGGGACTGGGGTCCAGCGTTTGCACCGGCTGGGCCCTGGAAGCCCGGATATGTGGTTCAGTTGAAGCAGGCGGAGCGGGTATATGTTCGCAACACGGATCTGGATATCTACCGGCAAGGACAGATCAATTACCTTCCGCCAGATCAGAGCCAGCCGTGGGTGGTGAATGCCAGTCTTGACTACCTAGGCACTCTGCCGGAGAACGTTTCCATGGCGATTGAGGTGAAAGATATCCAGACGGGCGAGATCCTGGCGTCCCAGCCACTAACAAATGTCACCTTCGCTGAAGGCTCTGTCACGGGAATTACAGTTTTGGATGGAGTGGAGCCGAAGCTGTGGTGGCCCCAGGGCCTGGGTGAGCAGAACCTCTACAATGTCACCATTGCGGTCACCGATGGGGGAAACCGCTCCATCGCTGAAGTGACCAAGCGGACTGGCTTCCGAACGATCTTTCTCAACCAGCGCAATATCACCGATGCTCAGCTAGCCCAAGGAATTGCCCCGGGCGCGAACTGGCATTTTGAAGTCAATGGGCATGAATTCTATGCCAAAGGATCCAACTTGATTCCGCCTGATAGCTTCTGGACCCGAGTCACTGAGAAAACCATGACTCGGTTATTCGATGCCGTCGTGGCAGGCAACCAGAACATGCTCCGCGTCTGGTCGTCCGGAGCCTACTTGCATGACTACATCTACGATCTGGCGGACGAGAAGGGGATCCTGCTGTGGAGTGAGTTTCAATTCAGTGATGCGCTGTATCCAACGGATGAGGCATTCTTAGAGAACGTCGCCGCGGAGGTAGTCTACAATGTGCGACGCGTCAATCACCACCCATCTCTGGCCCTGTGGGCTGGAGGCAATGAGATCGAAGCGCTGATGCTTGTGCTCGTTGAGGCGGCCGACCCCGAGGCGTACCCTTTCTACGTGGGCGAGTACGAGAAGATGTACGTCAGTCTCTTCCTGCCACTCGTCTACGAAAATACGCGGTCTATCTCCTATTCTCCCAGCAGCACGACTAACGGCTACCTGGACATTGACCTCTCGGCGGCGGTGCCCATGGCTGAGCGATACGACAACACCACCGAGGGCGAATACTACGGCGACACAGACCATTACAACTACGACACGAGTGTCGCCTTCGACTACGGCTCCTACCCGGTGGGTCGGTTCGCCAACGAGTTTGGCTTCCACAGCATGCCGAGCTTGCAGACCTGGCAGCAAGCGCTCACCGACCCTGACGATCTTGCCTTCAACAGCAGCGTGGTCATGCTGCGCAACCACCACTACCCCGCCGGCGGCCTCATGACCGACAACTTCCACAACACCTCGCTCGGCATGGGTGAGATGACCCAGGGGGTGCTCAGCTACTACCCGACGCCGGACATCCCCTCGGACCCGCTGGCCAACTTCAGCGCCTGGTGCCACGCGACCCAGCTCTTCCAAGCCGACATGTACAAATCGCAGATCCAATTCTACCGACGCGGCAGCGGCCTGCCGGAGCGCCAGCTGGGGTCGTTGTATTGGCAGCTCGAGGACATCTGGCAGGCGCCCTCGTGGGCGGGGATCGAGTACGGCGGCCGCTGGAAGGTGTTGCACTATGTGGCGCGCGACATCTACAAGCCCGTGATCGTCTCCCCGTTCTGGAACTACACGACCGGCGCCCTGGACATCTACGTCACCTCGGATCTGTGGACCCCTGTGACGGGCACCGTCACGCTCACCTGGCGCGACCTCGCGGGGCGGCCCGTCGCGTCCAACGGCGGCCTCCCCGCCGCTCCGCTGCCCTTCCACGTCGGCGCCCTCAACACCACCCGTCTGTACCGGATGAACCTGAAACAGCAGCCCCTGCCGCGGCACGAGGATGTCATTCTCACGCTGGAGCTGAGCGCCACGGGTCGCTTGCCCAACGCCGCCGCCGCCGCCGACGACGACCAGGCGGAAACCACCTTCACGCATGAGCAGTGGTTCACCCCCGCGTTCCCCAAGGATTTGTCTCTGGTTGACCCCAGGGTGCGGCTCACGTATGATGCGGAGAGAGAGAAGTTCGTGGTGGAGGCGGCCGGCGGGGTGGCGCTGTACACTTGGCTGGAACATCCCGAGGGGGTGGTGGGGTACTTCGAGGAGAATGCGTTTGTGCTGGTGCCGGGCCAGAAGAAGGTCGTGGGGTTTGTGGTGCAGGAGGATGAGACGGAGGGGGAGTGGGTGAAGGATGTAACGGTGAAGAGTCTGTGGGATTTGAATGAGGGTGGGAAGCGGAGGGTGTAGATGATCCGTAGTGGGGGTTATTGGTAGTAGTAGTGTCTTTGACGATGTCAGTTTGTGTGTATATGTATGAGCGAATGAATTGCCAGCGGTTATTAGTTATGGGCATGAAATCGCTGCACCAGCACCAAAAGACGAACCGTCTCTCTTCCTCACTTCCAAGCACAATTTCGTCTTACACCAGCGAACTGCCACACCCGCCCCCCTTGAATTAATTCTCCATGGTGGGTCTTAGTCTCGATTCTGCATGAACTGTTTATCCCTCTATCTTCCAATGATGTGTCGAACCGAACACCCTCACAACATCGACTCCAAGGGCTGCCACTCTCCTGGACACAACAGAATCAGGGTAGTACATCATCCATTTCGTGCTTGAAAAGAATCTCCAACAAGAACCCTAACCACACTACCAACCAAAACCTCGAAATTCTACCCGTCCGTCCAGATAAAAAGAAAGGGAACTAACTATACACAGATCCGATTAATTCTTAAAAGGATAACAACAACTTACTAGGAAGTGAGTGGCACCTCTAAGCGCGCGTCGAGCAGCACGTGACACCACCCTTGCCCTATATCTTAAGCTCATCAGACCCGGCCTCGGCATCTTCTGAAATCTGCAAAGTGATGTTATCTTGTTCACCTGTTCTTAGCTGTAGCGCGCTACGGATCAGTCATCTGTTCCGTCGCATCCGTCAGTTGGGAGCTTGAGGATACGCTCTCCCATGTGTCCCTTCATGCCCGAACATACTCGGAACTATTCCAGAGCTTTTGCTTCAACAAGCCTGACAGCCTCTTCGTGGTGGTGGAAGCGGATCGCAGCGGTATAGGGTCAATGCCTCACTTGAAGTAGTTCGCGAGTAGCACAGTCGACATTTGAAAGCGCAATCAGCCCCACCCAGGTACTCCACAGATATACCGCAGAAGAGGCTCACGGGAGACGCTCATGCACTGATTGAGATAGCTAGTCTTGGTGTGCCTCAGTTGATCCTGCTGACCTTTAAACTCAGATCTGCCGGGTTCATTTGAGCTGTGGATCAGCTGGACATAGAACCCCCAGCTACCCTGATAGAAAAGACTAATTAAAGTTATGTCCATGTCCTACAGAGTCCTAATATAAATATCCTCAGTCCTAGAAAACTGAGCAATTCTAGTATAAGAACAGGCATAGGAGTTGTACATTAATTTCACAAAATACTTTGACATAATTGAAAAGATATAAAGAGTCTGGTCTGGGAGTAGTTCAAAATCAGGCCGTGGCTGATACTGTTGCTCTCGAGTCTCCAGGTGGTGAAGAGCGGTCGACGAGTCAATCATGGCGATGGCGATGTTACAATCCCAACGCACCGAACCGAGTACTGCGTATGGTGGCTAGAAATCATGAGTGGGTCGCAAGAGACAATGGTTGGAAATATTAACATGTAATGCATTATGCGTAACGCGCTATTGACCCTGTCCATCCCAAATACTATGCAATGCATGCAATGAAATCTACTCATGCAGTAATCGTACAAATACAGACCCGGCACGATAACAATAAAAAGGCATCATGTCCACCAACAAAAACAACCACGATGTTGATACAAAGAGTGATAAAGACAGACGAGGTCAACCACAGAGCATCAACCCTCAACGGTTGTGGCCAGGGCCTGTTGCGCAAGCTTCCGATTCCTTTTAACCAGGGCATTGAGTTTTTTGTCGATCGTGTCCAGCTCCTTGCGCGACACCTCCAAATCTTTCTGCGACTTGACCGCGAAAGAGCGCAACTCCTCCGGAGTCATGCCCACGACGTCGTCCAAATCCGGAATACTGCCCATGACGACGCCCGCGGCACCCAACATGTGCTTGGCTGTGGCTGCAGCAAAGGAGCGCACCGAGGTGGCGGTTGCGTTGACCAGCTCGGCGGTATTGGCGATCGCCCAGTTGTGGCTGCGGGTGCTGTCTGCCTCCATGGCCGAGAGAGCATTCGGTGGAGCAGGTACGCTCGAGGAGCTGGCGACCTCAGGCCCGCCCGATAGCGAGGCCGAGGCCGACACGGAGGATAGACTAACCGAGTTCTCATCGGCCCAGCAGATATTGAAGTTCTCTGGTGTGGCGAACAGAGCATCGAGACCACCCCCGCGATTGGTCACATCCGGTTCCGTAATGGGAGCAGACGAGTAATCTTGGAACGACTCGACCGCCCAAGCAATGCTCTTCTCCAGCGCTAGGTACCGATCTTCCTCTTCCTGCGACAAGTGGCGAAGGACGCAGCCGCGAGGGGTGATTAGACAGCGGTCCTTCAGCAAGCCGGGGTCCGAGTGGATCCGAATGGGCTCTCCGCGGAGCAGGGCCTTGCGGTGTTCATCGGCAAGCTCAATGGGTTGCTTCAGGATCTCATAATCGTCCGCGGTGCACTTCATGTCGAAGCGTTGACTGAGATTGGTAGGGTTAAACAAGGGGTGATTGTTGAGATCCAAGTGGCCGGATTGGTGCAGTTGCGCAAGCAAGACCTGCAAAGGCGATGTACGCTCGGCGAAGAGGTCTTTGATCGAAACGCCACTGGACTCTGCATCCTTGATCAACTGTTCGACAGTGTTCTTGGAACGCCAAGCTTCAGCTGGAGCTTCAGGCTCGGGGGGTTGCTTCACCTCAACAGGAGGGGGAATAGCGGCCTGGGGTGCCTTCTCCTTGGAATTGGTCTTCTTCTTCGCTTCGACTCGTCGCTCTTCCTTTTCAATGCTCTCAACACTGACAGGAGTGACAGGCTTCTCGACTTCTGCAGGAGTTCCTGGCTTCGCAGCTGTCGTGTCACTATTGCTCACAGGAGTCTTCTTAGTCTTTCGCTTGCGACCAAGAATGGGAGCCTGCACTGGTTCTTCAGCTATCGTGGAAGATTCCGTTTTCTTGGCTTCCGCTTCCTTGGCCTTCTGGCGCCGCTCCTTCTTGGCTTGACTCTTGGTAACAGCCCGCACTGGGGCAGAGCCAATTCGGGTCGACGCGGGAGGGGAATTAGCACGGGACACAGATGCTGACGTGTAGAAATCGGCCTCGGACCCCATGTCACCGGGAGTATCTGGCCTGCTCATGGAGGAGATGCTGGGACGCCTAGAGCGGGCTTTATTCGCAGCCGGAAGGGACGAAACCGACTGGGGGGCAGAAGGGGGAGGCGGGGTCTCCGTCTTGGGCGTATCAACCACGCGAAGGACTCTTGGCTGTCGTGGAGCCGATGAATCAGAGGCTCGTGAGACCCCAGTCAAGGGGGTATTGGGACGAGAGCCAAGAGCAGAAATTGAAACCGGTCCGTGTGTGCTAGGAGCCGACGTATCTGCCTTTGGGATGTTCTGGGGTGTGCCCAAAGAGAGATCCAATTTGATAGGCTTCGACCTTACCGGGGTGGAAACCGGTTTCTCATTTGCAGAAGTAGCTTTGGATGCGCCTGCAGTTTGCTTGTCCGTTGCAACAGATAGGTCACTCTTGGCTTGCAAGCGAGCCTTGCTAGTCGACTTGGGTACAGGCGAGCCCAATGAGATTTCAGATACGTTCTTGACACGACTAGACGCTGGCACATCTTCAGAGGTATCCTTGACCTCAGGCGACGGTTGCCGGGACATGTCTGTTTGAAATACTTGAGACGGGGTCCCCAGACGAGAGAAAGGGGGATTCAGTCCCGGCGGAACGGAAACCGAGGTGGTCGGGCTAGACGGATTCAAAGGACTCTGAAACAAAGCGGTTGGATGGGCGTGTGGAAGAGGGAGGCCTGGGGGCAGCGTCGGCGTTCCAACGCGAGCAGAGCTTTGCGAATCGCTGGCAAATTGAGAACGAATGAGATAGCCAAAGCTGTCAACGGGACGCTTGTCCTTCGGCTGCGCTCCGAGCGGAGGGAACTCTTCGTCAACTAGAAGACCAACCCCGGTTAGCCGTCTTCATGTAAATCATGCATGCGTGTGATGTCATGTAGAAGTGACAAAAACAGGGGACGAGGAGGCCCAAACGACAAAGATAGCAAGGAACTCGCAAAGGCAGGGTATGGTGACAGACTCTCCCGAGACAGAACGAGACGACGCGCAGATACGACAAGGGCAGGCAGGCAGGCAGGCAGGCAATTAATTACATAAAGGTCCCCAACCGATATGGCCAGGCAGACACACAAGGCAAGTGTCTAGATGAACAGTGGTTGTGAGATATTGGTTTCGGATAGAGGACCCTGCTTGTGTTTATCAAAAGCCAGGGCAGGGAGGTTAACGTACATGAAAACCATGACCAGACCGAGTGGGCCACCAAGATGCTAAAAGGTCAAAGCAGCAAGGATGCAAGAACAACAGGAGTAAACGACAAGCCACCGGATTGCGATGGACCTTGGAGACACAAAGGGGCCCGCTGAGGCTCAGGACGCCAGAGCTGCACGCGTAACTCGAAACAGACAGGGCAGCAAGCAAAATTCAAGACACAAAATAAGACAGGTTCAAAGAAAGAAAAATCGCAGAAGTTAACAGTTTCATGAGAGATAACGCCAAAGGCACGCCCCGCCCGAATTCCTTGTTTTTAAGAGCCGTTTGCTTAATGCATCGTTGCAAGAGTGTGATATGTTGCAAAGGATTCAACACGAATGAGGAAAGGGCAAGCAACATCGCGATGAGGAATAAGAAGAGGAGATCATATCCCGGACCCATCTAGATAAATATGATATCATGTCATCAGGAATAAAAGGAAAAAGGGGACGCAGAGAAAAAGGGTAGTCATCATCAGTAACAGGGGAAGAAGGCAGAACGACAGGGCAATTAGGGCATTAGGAGGAGGTATGGATGAGATGATAAGGGGAGGGGAAACAATCACCAGCGGTTGAATCCGCCGCCATACATCATGGTCTGACTGTACCCACCTTGGCCCTGACTCCCGTACAGTGCTTGCCCAGCAGTAGCAGCAGCATTTTGATGCATCCTCGCCTGTAGGATGCTCGGGTCCGCAAGATCTACTACACCACCTCCACCGGAGGAAGTGTTAGCGTGTCTGTGCTTCTTCCCCTTCTTCTTCTGCTTCTGTGGCCCAGATTCGGGGAAGCTCCCCGCCTGAGAGCCATAGAAAGAGCTCAGAAGGCCATTATTGGCAGGAGTCAGGGGAGGGGGGGTGTGGTGCTGCTGAAGGAAAGGAAGGATGAACTCACGCTTAGCGGCCTCTTGACCCTGCAAACCACCGGCACCGGCACCATTGCGGCCACGCAGCAACTCACGCATCAAGTCGGGATTCGCTTCTTGCTTGCCGATGCTGGCTCCAAGTCCGAGACTAGTGTTCGTGGTGAAACCGTGTCCTTGGGCGAACATGCCACCGCCGCTGATCGGAGGCGTACCAGCCGTCTTCAAGCCAGGAGGTGGTCCCTGCACACCACTGGGGAAGTAGCCGCCGCTAAGTCCGTGCTGTGGGCTAGGCGCCGCGAGTGGATTAGGAGTACCAGCAGACTGCATCAACGACGCCTGTTGGCTTAGCATGCGGGCAGTAGGCAGGTTTTTAGAGTTGGCTTCGCCGGCGAAAGAGAATCGAGAGTTCTGACGGTTTTGAGCTTGAAGCGAATTCAACTGCGCCACCTGACTCTGGAGCAGACCTTGGCGGACCTGCGCAGCTTGATCAATGGCCACGGAGCTGATTCCACCCTGTAACTGGTCAAGGGCAGCCCGATCATTGACAGACTTGAGGATCATCAACTGCTGCTGTTGGAGAGGAGTCAGACTGCGACCGGCGAGGTTGAGTTGTTGATTGAGCTGCTGAAACTGATGGCTTGAAGCGGAGACTGGAGAGCCCACGGCAGAATTTTCGGTAGTACCTTGCTGAGAAGGGGGTTGAATGGCACCATGAGACTCGCGGCCGCTGCGACCTCGAGGCGGAGCCACATCATCGGGCTCCCCTCCGAGCTGCAAGCTTCCACTTTCCCGGCTCTCTTCTTCAGCAGCCGCTGACTGGAGGAGTTCCTGTTCCCGCCTGAGACGCTCCTGCTCGGCCTTCTCGCGCATGGCCCGACGTTTGACACCACCATACGGATCGATGAAGGAAGGATGGTTTTCAATCAAAGCAATCTCGTCCGCCGGCAGTCCAGCCGCCGAGAAGATAAACTTGAAGTCGGGCGAGTTCACGGCCTTGACAAGGTTATCCAGCAGAGGGGTCTCGGGTTGCGGCGGGGTCTGGATGGCCTCAGGGGAACGTGGAGTTGAAGATCTTCGGTCCGACTGGGGTGATGACTGTTGAACAGGCTCGGGCTGCGTAGCAGGCGGCGACTTTTCCACGGGCTTCGATTCTCCCAAGACAGGCGTCACCGTAGCCATGGCTGGCCGAGGGCTCTGTGACGCTTGACTGCCGGTTAGACTAGCTCGTCGAGCACGACTCAAGACCGCATCCTTGTTCGCCCAGCTAGCCGAGGAGGGAAGGGCGGGGCCATCGGGAACCCGACTGCCGGCGGCATCGTCTCGACTAGGTTGGCGGCGCATGGGTTGCGACAGAGGCTGAGCAGAGGTTCGAGTAACGTGCGGAGCGATAGCGTATGCGGGAGCAGTCGGCGCTCCGTTGGGCCGTTGACTGGACAGGGTATTCATCGACGAGAGATCCTGGCGGCTGTAGCTGTCGCTATCCTCCCCAGTCTCATGCAGGAAGGTGCAATTTCGGTTATGGCATTGTTCGTTTCGGAGGAAGGACGAGCAATATTTCGTGGTGCCGTATTGCGCCCTACGATTGTTTAGTAACCCGACTACCGGTCGCGATTTGCCTCATCAGGGAGCGAGAATGTCAACTTACCGCAACACCCGATCACCGTTCGCCGACCCATCAACCGCCGCTATGCAGGTTGCGGCGTCCTGCTTCCTCGCGTAGGTCACGTAAACGCCAATGCCCTGGTTCGGGTTGCCGCCGGGCTTCGCCTTGCTAACGACGATCTTCTCGATATCACCGTACTGACCGAAATAATCTCTGCCGCGCAGTGTCTGCAGCAGCTGACTCTCATCCCGTATTGTGGGGTTGAGCCCAATCACGTAGACGAGATTTTTCTGCACGACTCTGACACCGGCCAAGTTCTTCCGACTCGACGCTTCGATCTCACGCTTTTCGGCCTCTTTCTTCTTCGCAGCGGCGGCTTTGCGATGTTTGAGGGCCAGGTCTGCCTTGAACCTAAGAAAATGCGGAAGAGATCCCGTTAATGCCAAGACCTGACCGAGGGTAGGTGCAAACCAATTTGCGGCGGAATTAACTTACTCGTCCGCATCAGGAACCTTATATTGGATGGTGCTTTCATCGTAGACACGTCGGCAGTTGGGGCAGCGACCTTCCTCACTGTGGGTCTTGATGTTGTTGTAGCAGAATTGACAGATCTGCAAAGTATGAGTTAGTGAATGGACGCGAAGGAGCCGTTCGACTCCGTCAGGGTAAACAGAAGAAGAGAGATCGCGAAAGACGTACCTGATACCCACAAGGACAAGGTTTAAAGTTCTTATCGGACAAGTCGAACTCTTCGATACAAAGAGGGCTAGAGGAGCAGAGGTTGTCAGCCCGAGGAAGCACCCGACAGCGCAAGGCCAGACACGTACCAGAACTCGTCGTCATCGTCGATGACGGAATCAATCTGTTGACGACTTGACATGGTGCAAGGTCGGAAAACTGTGCGATGTACAAATGAAGATAGGAAGGACGATCACAAGCAAAGACTAACACCCATCAACCGAACCGGGGCGGAAGGGGAGGGAGGAGGAGGAGGAGGGGGTGGGGAGGGGAGGGTTTTGTGAACGGAAAGGTCTAAAAGGGAGCAGAAGAGGCAAGTAAGATAGAGCGCCCAAGAGGAAGGAGAGATGAAGCAAATAACTAGCAGGACCGAGTCCGAAGAGAGAATAGAGAAGAAACGGTGGGGTAATTGGGGGGCGGGTGGGAGAGAGGGAGGGAGAATTAGCAGGAGCAGCAGCAGCAGCAGCAACACAGCAAGACGCAAGAGGGAAAGAGAGGAGTTGGAGGCGAACAGAGAATAGCGAGAAGTGAAGCTTTGCTGGATCGGGTTTTGTGTTTGCAGGGTTTGCACACCCACCGTGCTTTCAGTCACCAACAACTCTTTGTGCCTGAGGCTGTCACGATCATATCCGCTTATGTCAATTCTCCCATGCACGTGACCCTGCACATCTTCGGGGCAAAAGCTCCAATTGCAAGGGAACCTCCGCCGCCCGTTGATACTCGACCCCCTCCCCTCCGCTCCTCTCCATCCTCCCACCCACCAATTCTCTGCCATTGCCATTCGTCGTCATGGCTGCTACTCGCTCCTTGATGCGGCTGGGCACCGGCCGTGCCTTGTCCTCTGCCACCCGGTCGTCCGCCCGTGCTTTTTCAACGACTGTGTTGAAGGCCTCGACGACTCCGGTCACCGATCATGTCCCGAACATGCGCCTTGCCCAGCGCTCTCGTATGTCATCAGTTTGCCCTCCATGCTTTCTGGACTGCGACTCCCGCAGAGTACCCTGTCGGGCGTTGGTGTCACTCCCACCTACCACACACTTCAAGCCAAGCTAACCTATAGACTCCACCCGCAGCTGAGGGAGCTCTGCGCGCCCCCGTCGTCAACCCAGCGGACAAGTACCAAGACAAGGCAGAGGGCCTGCACAAGTACGGCCAGTATATCATGTCGTGCCTGCCGAAGCACGTGCAGCAATTCTCCGTCTGGAAGGACGAGCTGTGCATCTACGTGCCCCCCTCGGGCCTGATCCCGACGATGACCTTCCTGAAATACCACACGGCGGCCGAGTACACGCAGATGTCGGACATCACGGCAGTTGATTTCCCGACGCGCGACCAGCGCTTCGAGGTGGTCTACAACATGCTGAGCGTGCGGTACAACTCGCGCATCCGCGTCAAGACCTACGCCGACGAGGCCAGCCCCGTGCCCAGCGTGACGGGCCTGTTCGAGGGCGCCCTGTGGTACGAGCGCGAGGTTTACGATATGTTCGGCGTCTTCTTCACCGGCCACCCGGACCTGCGCCGCATCATGACCGACTACGGTTTCGACGGTCACCCGCTGCGCAAGGACTTCCCGCTGACCGGATACACGGAGCTGCGGTACGACGAGGAGAAGAAGCGCATCGTCATCGAGCCGCTCGAGCTGACACAGGCCTTCCGGAACTTTGAGAGCGGCAGTACCGCCTGGGAGCCTGTTGGCCCGGGCACTGACCGGACTCCTGAGTCGGTATGTTCTGTTTGGGTGTATCGACTAGTGAAAATGCTAACATGCGATAGTTCAAACTTCCCACTCCCAAGCCGGAGCCGAAGGAGGAGGAAAAGAAATAGGTGTAGTTTAGATTTCTTATTATTTTTTCGGCTGTTCTGTATGTACATATCGCGTCTGTCTGAATTATTTATGACGTTGATGTTGCTTCGTAGCATCTGCGTAAAGCATACCTACGTACTCATCGTGGTAATTTCTTTTCTCCGTCTTGAACTTGAAACGCATTAATCGTACGCCGGAAGCTTTGGTACCATCAAATCACTTGAACATTTTGCCCAATTATCAAGCTGTGATATGTATCGAGTCTAGCCCACTCCCCTCATCAATGATGTTCATAATGATACCTATCAACCCTGATGGATGACAACCTCCGTCACCGGACAGCAATTCACCTCAAAACCCATTGAACCAATGACCACCCCGCTAAAGTCATCCCTCCCAGCCAATCCCATACCTCGAATCCCCCTCCGCCTTCCACCCTCTAATTTTCTCCCTCCGAGCAAATCCTCCGCCTTGGCAGAATCCCAATCTTATCCCGCAAATCTAAAAAACTTCAGAAAATCAAGTCCGAACTGGAATCTACATCCAACCTGCCCCCAACCTCGAAAATCAAACAGTCACCTCCCGAACTCCAGACTGCAAGACCCGCAAACACAGACCCCAATACCTCATACAAACAAAAGCAAAACCGAAATGCCCAAACGCAAACTCTCCGCCCTCACTCCGGGGAGCGATTCCGACCTCGAACCCACCACCAACAAAAAAGATAAATCCGACTCTCGCTCCCTGCACATCCAGACCGTTCGCCTGAAACAAAAGTTCTCGCAAGGTGTCGAATCCCTCTCCAAAGCGCTGAAGCTGGCGCGGGGCTTCGAGCGCCAGAAGTGGAAGCGCCGCGAGAAGAAGGTCAAGACGGAGGGGAAGCCTGGGGATGTGGAGCGGTTGGCGGAGGAGTTGAAGATCCTAAGGGTAAGCTCCATTTCTTTCGGGTCATATTGGAATCACAGAGGGTTTACGAGGGGATGGGGGGGAGGGGGGTTGCTGCTGGTTGAGTTATGCTGGAATCGATGGCTAATCTTCGTGTGTAGGAACTCGATCCGATCAAGACAGCGACAAAGTATCTCTACAAACAACTACTAAAAACGAAACGGATCGCCGAGTCGGCTACCTTCCAAGAGTTTCAGGAGCACATGGGCAGCAAGTTGTCGGCAGAGGGGCCCCAGAGCAATTTCGAGGCGAATGTGACGGCGCGCTTGTACAAGTCGACACCCGTAAAGAATGTGTTCCCTGGGATTATGGACGGGATTCGGTCGTTGTTGAAGATCGACGAGAAGAAGCCAGCGGCAGACAAGAAAGGCAGTTCCAACAACGAAAAGGCGGATCAAAGGGCGAAGAAGGGTGAGAAGCCGGACCCAAAACGTGTCGCGGAGGAGGTCTCCGGTAGTGAGAGTGAGTCGAGGCAGGGACGGTCACGGCCGCAGCTTGATGATGGAGATGTCAGTATGGACGATGCGGAGAGTGTCGATTATGCGCAGTACGATGGTTTACTGGCCTCGGGCTCGGAGGATGAGGATGGGGAGGACGTGCACGAGACTCGGCGGCAGATGCTTGGCGACAGGGGCGATGAAGATGAGGATGGGGACGAGGAAAACGATTTCGATGAGCGCATGTTGCAGCGAAGACCCCCCTCCGATATATCCGTCTCGCGCTCGCCGAGCCCGGAAGTGGACGAGGAGGAAGAATCCGACGCACCCCCCTCCAAAAAGGCCAAGCCCGCCCAAAAAGGATCTGCCAAGCCTGCGACCAGCACGACCTTCTTGCCCTCCCTCATGATGGGTGGCTACTGGTCTGGATCAGAGTCGGAAGCCGAGGACATCGACGCCGCAGAACCACCAAAGCGGAAGAATCGCATGGGCCAGCAGGCGCGTCGGGCGTTGTGGGAAAAGAAATACGGCGCCGGCGCAAACCATGTCAAACAGCAACAACAAAAAGCCAAGAAGGGCAGGGATAATGGCTGGGATCCCCGAAAGGGTGCAACTGATGGCAATCGGGTTCCCATCGGGAAATCCGGTCAGGGCGCACGGGGTCGACCGCAGCACGATGGCGGTCGGCCGCAACGAGGGCCGGCGAAGAAGCCACAGGATGATAAGCCTTTGCATCCGTCCTGGGAGGCAGCCAAAAAGGCTAAGGAACAGAAGGCCACGGCGGCCTTTGCCGGTAAGAAAGTTGTGTTTGATTAGATATCCCATATCCCAATATTAGCATGTACATCATTTCACCACGAGCATAGCCATTTACAAGCATCTCAGATGAATGTTCAAGTTTCGTACGTATGTATGTATGTATGTATGTAGACGAATCTGTCCGGACGACATGGAATATACACGATCTAGGTATCTTAAAACGGATCCATGGCAGGGCAACCGCCAAGCATAAACCCCAAACGATGCATGCAGCGCTGTCAAAATCACAAAAGCCCCGCCAATGGCGGGAAACTATTCATTCATAAAATTCATCCACCGTGTGTCGGATGACCCCGGCTTCAACTCCCCAGTCAAACTGGATTGGTTCTCAGTGTCAAAGCACGGGATCGCGGTAAACTCGCCCAGTTCCTGAGGCAAGTTTGCGACAAAATGATCCAGCCCAAAATGTGGCATCTCTGACAGCTGGTGAGACACAGAGAACTCGGTCGAGTCAGGGATGCTAGGATTGGCCAGCTCCTCTTCTGCCGGCTCAGTCGTCGTCGGTGGACCAGTCATGGGCGTCATAACCGGTGGAAGACCGCCGCCATTGGATGGGTACTGTTCGGGGAACGAGATCGGGTCGGGAGAAATTGGTCCTGTCTTCCACAGCATCTCCCAATTCTTGAACCGGTCGTAGGCTGACTCCATCATGCCAGCAGTGCCTTGAGGCTGCGTCTGACTGTACTCCTCAAAGCGACGAATGGCCCGCTCAAGGGTTTCGATCACACTCACTGCAGACCTTGCAGAACCAACACCCATCGACATGATTTTGATGAGAGCCATGCCTTTGTCGAGGGCCTCGCGCAGTCGCTCAGTGCGCTTGGTCAAGCTCTGAGCGAGAATGACGAGAAGAGCCGCACGGCAGGAACTGAACTCGGTGAAAGAAGCGCGGGCCAGGCCGGGTTCGTCCCGCAACAGACGACATAGGTCAATAATCTCTAGTGCAGCTTCCACACAGTCCGTGACTAGTGTAGAGCGGTTCTTAGACAGACCCGAGGGAGTCTTGGCTGGAGCGCCTGGGACGGTGATGGCCTTCATGCTGCTGAACAGGAAAGGTCGTCCCAGGAAGATCCGAGTCAAGCAATAGTCCAGTTTGAGATGCACATTCGAGCGGAAAAGAGGGCCGGAAGGGTTGAGATCCCGGCAGTTGGTTTCCTCTGGCAGAGTAGCCCACCAGTCGACCAAGCACTTTCGAAGGTTTAGTAAACGTTCCAGGCAATCCGATTGTTGGTTCTTTCGCGATTTCCGCAGGATGGATCTGGCTTGATTAGCTATATGCAGACCCCTTAGGGGACTCGTGACGTACATTTCGTTCGCAACTTGACCCAACTTCAATGTCAGCTTGATGAGCGTCACCATGTTTGTGTCGTTGGCGACATGTCCAGACGGTGTCAAGCCCGGGAAGTCTGTCGGAAACGGGGCATCCACATCTGCGTCGGAAAGCGATACCGGTCGCCCGTGAAGGATGCTGACTCGCCTTGAAACTGTTAGCAGGTCAAGGCAGCCGAATGCGAAGTGAGTCCTACTTCTCTATCGTGTATGCAGTCCAGAAGACACGATTGCGAATCTCCACCATACGCGGCGACATTCCCTCCCCCGAATACTTACGGTGCATGCCATTTTGAATAGCCATTTTCAGGGCTAGGCCAAAATACGTATAGCACAGTCCCGACGTGTCCAGTGGCAAAAGGTAGGTTCCAATCAGAAGGCAGGCCTGCACGCTTCGAACCGAAGCCGTGGCAATAATGTCCGGGAGCAATTTGGACGCGAATTGGTAAAAGGTAAGACCAACGTCATCTTCCGAGAAGTGGTGGTCGTCGGCGTAGGCAGAATTCGAGGACAGCCGATTGACAGGTGTGGCCGATTCCATGTGCGCGAACTGAGTGCCGACCGCCAATACCATCAGAATAGCACATACGGTACCTGCATCCTTGGAAGAGAGACTCGACGGATCCGTGTAACAGATGTTCAGCTTATCCTTCAACCAATCTTCTTCGACATAGAAGTTGTTCGTCTGAGCATATTTGAAGAAGATCTGCACCAGAAAGTCTGCCACAAATCGGGGTGGAAGACAAGTCACGGATGTCGAGATAAAGGTTGATCCGGACTGTAATTGGGTGGCCCGCCATCGCTCTTCAAAGGGTTCTGTTTCTGTGGATGCCTGGAAGAAATGAGCAATGATTCATGATTCTGCCACTACGAACTGTATACCTCTGGTCCGGCATGCTTCATCCATTCGTCAATCTTTTGTCGGATCTTCATGGAAAAGTTGAGGTAGGAGAACTCTCCAGAGTATTCTATAGAGATTGTCAGACTCGCTCACTGTAGTCCGGAAGCTGTAACACCCACGGGTAGTATTATCCGGTAGGGCCTTAATGGTGAAATCCTCGTCGTCGATTGCCAGATCCTCCATGTCGTCGCCGTCAAGTTGTGTCGACGATGCCTCCGTTCCAGAGCCTCTGTGTTTGTGCTTTAATTCTTCGGCCATCTTCCGCAGCGTATGGACATCGAAGGAAATATTAGGTACATAGTGCTGAAGAATGCGTTCCATGCATCGGACCCGCTCTGACTCGGCAATGTCATGTCCTCTGAGGGCTGTGCTCCGTTCAAGTAGTCTAAGTCGACATCTGTATCAGCGTGTGCAACAGTTATGCTAAGGTAGTGAATGCTAAGGTAGTGACGCAGAGGGAAAAGAATGGGGGCTGGTTGGTCGCCTTACGAGATGGAGGAGGAACGGGCGACCTTCTCCGCATGATCGGGGTGAGTAAAGACGCATTGTCGCTGATAGCGCAAGCACCGGCGGCATGGAACTCCTCCTTCGCATTTTTCCTTGACCCGGCGGCAACCATCGCAGCTGCGATCATATCAGTCAGTATGGAACAGAAAACCTCTCGGGGTACTTTCGCCTTACGCTCGCACGGCTCGTTTGCGATTCTCCTCGGAAACGCGGGGTCGTTTCTGCGGGCCCATTCCAGCAGGGGTGGTCGAACCCTGATCCATGGCTGTTCGAGATCAAGGAGGACGATGCAGCGACAGGCGCATGATAGAAATCAGAGCATGACCATGTGGGTGGTGTAGAGCGATCGAAGTGCAATGAGTGGAGTGGAGTGAGTGAGTGAGTGAGAGAGAAGGTGATCCCGAGGAAAGTGAAGGCGGTGTTAACGGACGATAGGAAAATTCCAAGAGAGAAAAAAGAACAAGGCGAACTGATAAGCAAAGCGGCAGCAACTGCCACGAGCCATGGTTTTTTCTATACTACTACTACATACATTTGATTCTACTAACCGAGTGCTTTCTGCTTTGAAACCTTTGATATCACTTACTTGATCGTTATGTTTCACTCCACCAAGCTAATGCTTAAAACCCATCTACTTCCATGCCAATCCCCCTCTCGCGTCCAACGTCCAACAACTTATTTCCAATAACCAGATCCATGATTCCCATGCCCACGCACTTGAAGATCACATTGCAGCTCTGAGGCACCTCCACCGGCGCGCCCTTAAGCTTACCATACAACTCACCAACCTCAATCAACTGCTCTTCCTTCATCTCGGCCAGAATCAATTCGCCCGATTCCTCTAGACAGGCCTCTTTCAAATCCACGTAAACTTTCCCCCCACCCGAGAGTAGCGTTTCCGTATCAACCTCCCGCATATGCGGTTTGTACGATCCGATCAGCGAGATAAATCGCTGCCGGAACGGCTGTAGATATGACGCGGGGAAGTTCGGCTCCGTGGCCGGTGTACAGCTGAACAGGACGTCGCACGCCTGCAAGGCTGCCTGCAGCTTCTCCTCCCAGGTGTCAGTGCCTACGGCGTCCTTGGCGACCGTCGTGATGCTAACATGCGGGTACCTAGTACGCAGCGCCCCTAGAACCTCCTGCTCCAACTCCTCGAGGCGCCTGCGACCACGGTTGAGGATGGTGATTGAGCGCACGTGTTCTGGGAACAAGAGTAGAACCAGTCGCGCGTGCCATTCTGCCTGGCGGCCGGAACCCAGGATGACCACGTTCTCCTTGCTCAGCGACTTGCAGCGAACGAGCAGGGACATGATTGTCAGGGCTGTGCGGAAGGCGGTGATCTTGGCCGCGCTCAAGAGACCCTGTAGACTGCCTTCGGGCGAGAAGATATTGATGACTCCGATGAGGCCATGAGACTGTGAGGCCGTAACGATTTTGATCCCTGTGCTGACGGTGTTGGAGACGGGCATGAAGAGGGAAAGGTTCTGTTCTTTGGTGAGAATGGTGCTGCGGAGGGGTTGGTGAATGCGGTGCTCCGTCTCCGGGAGAATCGATTGATTGGAGACGGCTGTGAGAGAGTCGCAGAGAGCATCGAGGAAGTCATGGCATTGCGGCTGATCCAACTCGCGCAGGATCTTAGAGACATCGGGCTCAGCGAGGATCCGCATTGTGAAGCGGATGATTGAACGATGAATATTCGAAATATATACTTAGTACTATGTACAGTCGGTAGTATGTTTCAACTGACCAGCATGCAGTTCAAGATAGTAGTACTTGTGTGTGACATGCACTTCTCGTCCAAACGACCAGTCTCACGATACAAAAGCGCTCAGATAGGTTGGCGATGTCGGAGCGGTGGCCGATCAGGTGCATGTGCCATGAGGGGGTTGGGCCTGGCTGCGGCGGAGATACTGCGGGGTAAGATAAACCATACACTGGCATCTTAAGTTAAACATTGTATGATTGTACTCACTCCTTTAACTCTGAGTCCGGTAGGTCGATTTAACCTTCAGGCTTATTCAAATGCGCTATAGATCTAAGCTTCATGCACAGTGCCTCGCATTAGCTACATCCAGACTGCTCGATTATCTCCAGTCCACGATACTCCGCAGCAGCCCCCATTGGAAGCTCTAGACCATTCCTGCCCAGATCCATACGGAAGATTATAATTTTCTGAGGTCGACTATGTCACACCAGTCACCACCGGACATATGGACGCAAGGGAATGGGGTCATCATTCTTATCGCTTAGAAGCTAGTGACCACATGACGTGCGGCCCCATACAAGCGTAATTATCCAAGCGACTGCATGGTGATATTATCTCCCCCGGTCGACGGGCCGGTGGTCGGAAGCCCCACCGGTGCAGCAACAGGTTGACCGGCCCGGTCAAGCGATTAAGAGCGCTCCTTGCGCATTGCTTTCTGGGCTTTCTGGATAGAATTGGACTAAGAAGAGAGAGAGAGTAGATTGTGCTTTCGAAGTGATCTCTAAATGATCTTTGTTATCCTTTAAAAATATATAGTCATCATGCTGTAGAGCCTGTGTACTGCTGTGCTGGGTCAAGTTAATGCAGTACTAGGTAGTAGTTGGTGTAAAGTACAGCATCAAGTGACCGGAGTACCACAGCCGGTTCTTCCTGAGATCTCAGGCATCAATAGGCCCGAGTGGCGGTGATTGTCTAGTCTAGACCCGATGTAGTCTAGTGGGCAGGAAAAAAAGAATCAGGGACCGTTGCTCGCAGTTCATTAGGTAACATAAACTCATCGCTTGACAAGAGACTTGACAATTACTTTGAAGCTACAAGGTGGGTTCCTTCTGGTTGCGGAGACTCAACCCCGGATTTTCCTAGAGTGGAATGCCACGAGGTTGATCAGACTTCATTCAACTGTACAACAGATGCCTGGATGGCAGCTCTCCATGATCAATCGATATACTCCGCATTCAATACCATCTCACGCGTTAGAACAAGCGACAGATTCGCGCAGTGGCTGATAATGATCGCGCCAGATAGCATCAGCCCGTCTCCGCAGCCAGCGAAGATAAGCAGCACTGAGTTTAATCCCTCCCCAAACTCTTGTGCCTCTCATTCGTATAGCGGAGGCGCAAACCAGGGAGATAAGGCGCCCATCCCCACAAAACGCTCTCCCCGATTCCATTCAGACCAATTGCCACCTTGGTCGGAGCGCCATGCACGCGATTTCTGGTTTAAACCTTGAAATAAGATTATCTTCGGTGAAAAAATGACACTGATAAGCGCGCTCAAAATTACCGCTCTGGAGATGCCATTGCCTCCGTCCCCTCGCCCTGGCAGTTATCTTATAAAATGGCCCTAGTCACCAACGTATTGGTCTCCAAGCCATCATTGTCCATCTCTCTGGCTACGATATCATGGCCGCTCCAACCTCCAAGTCTTTTGAGAAGGCCACATACGAGGACAAATCTCCTCATGTCGATAGCCATGAAGACCCAGAGGCACTCAAGGGGGAGGTCCAGCTGGGGCCCAACACGGAGACTCATCGTGGGCTCTCCTCGCGCCAACTGCAACTGATTGCCATCGGTGGCTGTATTGGCACCGGTCTCTTCGTCGGATCGGGCTCGACTTTGTCGACCGTGGGTCCAGCACCGCTGTTCATGGGGTATTTGGCCATGTCGTCGGTAGTGTGGTTTGTGATGAATATGCTGGGTGAAATGACCACCTACCTCCCTATCAAGGGCATCTCCGTGCCTTACATCATTGGGCGATATACTGAGCCTAGCCTTGGTTTCGCAGCTGGTATGTATCACTTCTCGCTCATCGCTTAACTGATTAGTCAGTCACTGACTCGAACATCTTCAGGCTATAACTATTGGTAAGCTCGCTCTGTTCTGTCACCCCCGGCGAGAGGCTCATCGCTTGCAGGTATTCGTTCGCTATGTTACTCGCCAGCGAGGTAACAGCAGCGGGTATCATCATAGAATATTGGACGACCAGTGTTAATGTGGGCGTATGGATTGCAATCGTGCTCCTTGGTGAGTCCTCCCAATCTCGGCATTAGAGACCAGACTAACAGCTGCCCAGTCATTCTACTCCTCAACATCGTCGCGGTTTCGTGGTACGGAGAAGCGGAGTTTGTTTTCGCAATGCTGAAAGTCATCGCTATCATTGGCTTGATCATCCTAGGCATTGTTCTCTTCTTTGGAGGGGGTCCTAATCACGATCGCCTGGGATTCCGATACTGGCAGCATCCCGGCGCATTCAAGCCCTACCTGGTCGGCGGAAACACCGGTCGTTTCCTGAGCTTCTGGACAGCTTTCATCAAATCCGGCTTCTCCTTTATCTTCTCTCCTGAGTTGATCACGACAGCTGCTGGAGAGGTCGAAGCGCCCCGTCGCAACATTCCGAAGGCAACGAACCGTTTCATCTACCGAATCTTCGCTTTCTACATCCTGGGAACCCTAGTCATTGGAGTCACTGTGGCCTACAACGACCCAAAACTCCTGTCCGCCGTGGCTGCCGGCAGCTCGACTGCCAGTGCCAGTCCGTTCGTGATTGCGATCCAGAATGCAGGAATCTCCGGCCTGAACCACGTCATCAATGCGGCCATCCTAACCTCCGCCTGGTCCTCAGGCAACGCCTGGGTCTTTGCTGGCTCCAGAACGCTATACTCACTCGCTTGCGGTGGCCAGGCGCCCAAGGTGTTCACCCGCTGCAACCGCAACGGCGTGCCCTGGGTGGCCGTCCTCGTCACCTGGACCGTAGGACTCTTGGCTTTCCTCAATCTGTCCAACTCGGGAGCGACTGTCTTCTACTGGTTCACCAATCTCACGACAGTTGGTGGTTTCATCAGCTGGATACTCGTCAGCATTGCGTACTTGGTGAGTGTTCACCCATACCACAACCCGCACAAATGCAACCCCCGCTAATCCGCATACAGCGTTTTCGCAAAGCCATGGCCTTCCACGGCATGCTCGACTCCCTGCCATTCAAGACCGCCCTTCAGCCCTACGGCGCATACTACGTCATCTTCACCGTCACGCTGCTGACCATCACCAACGGCTACGCGGTCTTCTTCCCCGGCCAGTTCACGGCGGCTGATTTCCTGGTTTCCTACATTGGTATTGTCTTCTTCTTGGTCTTTTATGTGGGCCATAAGCTGTGGTACCGAACCCCGTGGATGACCAAGGTGTCCGAGGTTGATGTGTTCACGGGTAAAGACGAGATCGACCAGCTTTGCGAGAACGACTTTGAACGCAAGCCGCGCAATTGGCTGGAGCGGGTCTGGTGGTGGATTGCCTGACGTGACAGCAATATTAAAAGGGGTTTAGTAATTTTTCTGCTGGCGGATTGAGTTACTGTTTGTTAGATGTTGGGAGGGTTTAAGAGTGTATATACCTTAGCAGGAATATAGGAAACTCCTCGCCTAGATGCATGCGTAGGTGGTATTCATTTTTCCCAGTGCGTTTTCTGTCTCATGCCTCCAGACTGTGGGCTTTGCTGTAATATCGGTAGTACTTATGAATGATCCTAGACCCTGGCATGCAAAGCAAAGAGAAAATAACTGTAGTACAGTCGGAGCCGCATCCGGTAGCATACTTAGTTGGAGAGGATCATAGAATTCATATATACTATAAATTAGATAGAAACCAACTACTACTACTACTTTGTATATAGTGGGGAACGAACTGAGAGGGTGGGCGGTTGCAGGATTAAGCATAGAACGACGTGCATCCACTCCAGCGTATGAAGATGACTCATCTATGCACACTCATAAACTAACTCACCACCAACCTATCCTGCCGCGGCATCTCCGGACAACAACTTAGCCATCGATTCCACCTCTATACTTCAATCCTTATTCAATCCAAAACCCATCAGCCTCGCCGCGCGCTGGCCCGCAGGCCCGGCCAACCCAAACCCCCCTCGATACACATATCTTCTTTCGATCACTGCCGTGCTTTCCCTCAGGGAAACCACCTATACAAGATGCAGGGCTTCAGTAAGGCTTTCCTCCCCCACCATCAAGTTTGTCAGCACCATCACTAACCTCCCTCTCTTCACAACTACTCAGACATGGGACGGTTTGTCTCCCTTCCTTTACTTGGTCCCTCGCCCTCGTGGCAAACCCAACTCCCCACCCCGCAACCTCCATTTTCAGATCTCAATCTAACACAACCCCCCACAGCTATGTCCCCCCCGACGTCGAAGGCACTACCTCCGGCAACGCCCTCCACAAGAAACACCCCCTCGGCGCCCGCGCCCGCCACCTGAAAACCACCGGCGCTTTGATCGTGCGCTTCGAGATGCCGTTTGCGGTATGGTGCACGACGTGCACGCCGCACGAGACGCTGATCGGGCAGGGGGTGCGCTTCAACGCCGAGAAGAAGAAGGTGGGTCACTACTACTCGACGCCCGTGTACAGTTTCCGCATGAAGCACGCGGCGTGTGGCGGGTGGATTGAGATCCGCACGGATCCGCAAAACACGGAGTATGTGGTGGTGGAGGGGGGACGGCGGAGGGATGTGGGGATGATGGATTCTGTGGGCGGGGAGATTGTGGTGGGGACGGGGCAGAGCAAAGCCGATGCGTTTGCGAGGTTGGAGGGGAAGGTGGACGATAAACGGCAGGCCGATGAGGCGCGGGATCGGATTTGGGAGCTGCAAAGCCGACAGATGCGCGACTGGGAGGATCCCTACGAGCAATCGAGGCGGTTGAGGAGGTCGTTTCGGGAGGTGCGCAAGGGGTTGGAGAGGAAGGAGGCGGAGACGCAGACGCTCAAGGATAAGTTGAGTTTGGGGATTGAGGTGCTGGAGGAGAGTGAGGCGGATCGCGTCCGCGCGCGGATGGTCGAGTTTGGGGATGCAAGAAGCGGCGACCGGAGAGCGATGCGGTTGAAGCCGCTGTTTGCCGACGCACACTCTGCACCCCCAGCTAGGGTGGGGGATGCGGCGGAGCAGCGCAAGGCTGTCCTGCGCAGTGAGCTGAGGGGGAATACTCGCGCGGTGGTGGATCCGTTTCTCAGTAGCGATGCTAGTGAGTGGCGGCCGGAGAGCAAACGGCGGAAGGTGGTCGCAGAGAGTAGACCTGGCGAGGAGGCGCGGGGAAGCAGTGCGACGCCGGAGAATCACGGTAAACCAGTAGGGACGGCCCCCTTGGCTTCCGCTGCGCTGGTGGACTATGCGTCAGACTCTGATTGATTCTACATGGCCGTACATAATTTGTGGCGTTACTGGTTGTTTGTGATACCCTGGATCAGGTCGATACATACAATGTTATCATCTCGTTAAATTCTATTATTGTTGCGAAGTTTTTTTTTCACCTATGGTTGTAGTGTGACATTCATCATGGGTACTAAAGGGTATATAAATAAACTAAGATTTTCGTAAACTTATTTAGCCCAAGGCGCCTTGGTGGGCATGTCCGGGGCTGCACCACCCGGAGCCGGCCTTTGCTGCGCATTCGCCCACGGCGCTCGCGTGGGTGCCATGGGCCCAGGAGGCAAACGGGAGGTATCAGGCAAAACCGGGACTCTAGCGCCTGAAGCCCAAGGTGCAGCTGTATTACCTCCCATGGGATTGGTCTGTGATCCGGCAGCCCAAGGAGCCTTGGTGGCCGGTGCGGCTTGTCCAGAAGGGTCTTGAGATCGAGACTGGGGTCCTGAAGCGGCGTGGACAGTAGACGGAGGAGGCACCGCATCGGGATTACGATCCCAACTAAATAAGGATCCAAAGGGGAAATGCTGGACGACCGGGAATTTGGACAGAACCTCGGCATTGTACATCTTGATCATACCCTAGCAGCTGTCAGTTGCCATATCTCGTGGGGTTGAAACGCAACTCACCTTGTTGATCTTGGCCCAGCCAGTACGAATGCCCGAGATATCGTAAAGCATCGGGCTATGTTCCCAGAAGGGCCCCTTCTTCACATCATAGATGAAACCAATAGCAGAGAAATACATGTTGCCTTGTCGCTCTCGTTCCACGACGGCCGCCTTCGCGACACCGCTGGGGTCAGGTGCGTCAGGGAGTGAGCCTTCCTCGGGCACTTGATCTGTTGGCGAGAGAGCCGGGGCAAACTGCGCCGAGCCGAAGATGTACGGGATGAACGAATGATCGTCCAATCCCCACACGCCGTGAGACCCGGCCGGCTCAAGGGTGTATGTCTTGATTATTGTGCGGACGAGTTCGAGGTAACTCATTCAAGTTAGTAGGATGCTGATACTTATTGGATGTCAGACTCACGGTTGGATCACGCCCAGAACGATAGCTCGTTCCTCCACCCCGGGAGTGTTTTTGGGAAACCCGTTCAGCTTCCACAGGGCCCCCAAGAAGGCCAGGAAGCTCAGCTCATGACCAGTGCCATAGTCAAGCCGTTGAGGGCTTCCCCAGCTGCCCAGAAAATAGGCTTTAAGCTCTACCTCAGCTGTTGGGCCATCAGGGCTGGATGATTTAGAGTGGAGAATGTCTGCGGACAGGCATTCTGCCAATAAGTCTGAGACTCGGCTCTCCACAATTTCATACCACCTGCGGAAGCTCATGTTTCCGAACCGGCGAGGCCCTTTGTCCGGTGGTGCTTCTTCTAGGATAGCTTCTAATTTGGACAGCAGCTGTTGCAGTTGACGGACAGGCGCAGAGTACTCGACCGCATCGGAGTTCAGAGGCCAGGTCTGGACACCTCCATCCGGCGACATGGTGGGGAACATGGAACGATTGAGTTGCAGCAGAAAAGTCATAAGATCCACATAGGCTTTGGAGCACAAGAATTCGGATACATCCTGGTGCTCGTGGATGCGTTTTATGGGTTCCCTGAAGCTGTGTCCCGCGGAGGGGTCAATGAAAGGCAAGACACGGACCAGCCCATTTGCAGCCATCATCGACTGGGTGTGATTGGTATAGGTCCAAGTGGTCGGTCCAAGCGTTGGGAGAAGTTTTATCTGATAGATCACTTTTTGTGGCCCTCGTGAAAGTCGTGTGTTGTTGGTGTGACGGACCGGGGGACGGTGGGGTGGAGTTGGAGATGCTGTTTGCTGTTGCGCGGTCCCTCTCTTATCGATAACGGTCGATGACGCTTGGATGGATTTGTTGTTTCATTGTTTTGGGGCCGCAGCCGCAGCCGCAGCCCGCAGCTTCAGCTGTCAATCAATCAACCACCAACCCCCTCCCTCTGACTCTTGTCCCCACATAGCTCCTCGCTCTGCTTTCTTTGTCGCATTCAAATAGCACTATGCTATGAAGAAGTCACAGTTACTACTCATTTTGAGGTCTAAACTCCATGGCCATTCAACATGACAAGGTCTCCGCAGTCCGCCGCCTTGCGACGCAGGAAGCGTGACTCCACCACCCAGTCAGTGGACTTTTTGAACACGGTGATGCACACGAGCTTGCCCGCCAGATCCGAGGTCAACCCCCCCAAGTCTACTCCGCATCGCACACGCCGCACCACGTTAGCAGGACATCAACTGTCTCGCGACGATTTTGGGGAGATTCCACCTTCTCCTGAACCGGGCCCGGCATCTGAGCCCCGACGCCGCGTCTTGAAAAACTCCACCATCGCCCAATCGCCACGGAGGAATCGACCCCAAAGGTCTGTGGAGATTGAATCTAGCACACAACCGGAAACACCTGAGGCGAGCCGGCAGGATTGCGTTTCCGCCGAGGCAGATGACGGGAACATAAGTGATGAAGGGGAGGACGACAATATTGAGGAGGACGAAGATGCGAGTGGTCTTACCGACTTTCCCGACAATCAGGCTGGTGGTAATGCCAATGGTACTGAAATAATGGAGATTCCAGACGACGGATCATCGGAAGATGGTGTTCCTCTGGATCTCTTCTCCGAGGAAGAGGTTGCAGCTGCACAGCGCGTATCGAATTCGCCTTCCACAGAAGAAGACAAGCCATCAGTGAGGCAATGGGCTTCAATGGGCAGTGTCGGCTCGAATGCGGTTCCGGACACCGGTGGTTCGGAGAATGAGCAAGGGCATGCCTCCGAAGCAGAAGACAGCAGCCGATTACCATGCTTTAGCCCATCTTCAGATTCTGCGAGCGATGCGAGTGAAGAGCTTGGAAGGTCTTCGGAGGATGCATCCGAAAATGACTATGCGAGCTCTCCAGGTCTCTCTTCCGCGGATGCGTACACCCGTGCCGACAGGCGTGGAATGGCGGAGAAGGGTTCCTCGCCAAAGTCTATGAATAAGAGTATGCGAAGACGAACTCAAGCAGCAGCAGCAGCAGCAGCACTCGCAAGCACGTCGCGCAAATCGGATAGGGAAATACGAATGCAGGAACCAAAAACGTTGAAATCCTCTACCATAGCAACCCGAGATGGATCGAGTTCCCGCGACAAATCACGAAGTGGTGATTCTCATGCAACCCTGCCACCGCCACCGTCACCGCTATCTGACAGCAGCAGTGAACCTTCCGATGACAACGAGTACGAATCCGCCGCATCTGACAGTGGCTCCTATGGCTCTGGCAATTCAGACGCACATCATTCAAGCGTCGAATCGTCCCCCATTTCATCCCCCAGAAAACGAAAACGAACTGGATCGTCTTCCCGACCGGTTCGAGCAACACTGTCTCCTGGCGAGCGAGGTGTTGTGCAGGCGACTCATGGTTCGCCATCAACAAGGGGCATTGGATCTTCAGCCAGTGCCCGTTCGTGGAGTCGATCCGACGAAGGCTCGGAGCCTCTTGAGGGCTCCGGGGACGAGCTGGATTTCCTAGCCGACAGTCCATGGTTTCAGAAGGCATCCAAAGCAAATCATCAGCAGCAAAACTGGAAGGCCATCATCCGGCACGCCCGGAAACTGAACGAACTGGATCCTGATAAACTCACCGCGAGGCTCGATCCGATCCGAAACCGGATTTATTCGCTGTTCGCATTATACAGAAACCTCGTGGAGCGCGCAAGATGTGGCGAAGGTCCTTCTGAGAATGAAGTTGGCAATTGCCATGAAGATATCAACAGCGTGAGACGAATACAAGGCGAGCTGCGAGATGAGGTATACCTAGAGAGCCAGCAAGGTCCTGCCGCGAAGAAACGGGTGATGGCCCTGGTGAATGCATTCTACACAGAGATCATCCCGCCTATGGCGAGAGTTGTGCTCCTTTGCTACGAGGTCTCCCAGATACAGGAGAAACTTTTCGCAGAGGCTTATCAATATTTTCAGGATACCCTAATCATGCTCTCCGAATGGTGTCTGTGGACTGACGCTCTCTCCGAATGGTTATGTCAGGTCAGTTGCGTTGAGTCGGAGCTCCGTCGTGCGCTGGGAAAGCTCATTCAAGCATTAAACCAACGCGAATTACAAAAGCGGCCACGGCCCAGGACTCCCCAAGGAAAGAAAGACGAGCCACCTTCTGTGAAATCAACCCCGTGGACCGAGCAAGAGGAGAAGGCGTTAATTATAGGGTTACGGAAATATCCTGGTAAGTGCATCCCATCCCTGGCCGTGTTCTGAGTGAGAACTGAACCGATGATCTATAGCAAGATCGACCAACCGGTGTAAACTGATTATGAATGATTTCCGGCACGAGCTCCGGAACCATACTTTCAAAACGATGCGGGAGAAATGTAAAGAGATGTATTCTGTTTATGTCTCACAGCTGAGAGAGCAGCTGGAGACCGAGGAAGGGCAACAGAAATGGAACTGGGTCCTGACTATCCCAGGGTCGCGGTAGTTTCGTCGACGACGGTTTAAACCATGGGTGGGTGGAGGGAGAACAGCCGATTTGCTGGAGAACCATGGATCCCATTGTTTTGAATTGCGGGGAATGCACAGTAAACAGCTTCAATTCCACGTAATTATTTTCAGGACTGATGAATATTAATGGGGGGGAAGAAGAGGGTAATTGTGGCAGTGGGAGTCTCATGTATCATCGAGAACAGTGTTTTCCGGAGGTGGTGTGCAGAACTACTCCTCCATACAGCCAGCAAGTAGCAAGTGCCTCCTCCCGACACATACTGTAGCTCCTTCCCCCCTCCTCCTCCTCATCCTCCTCCTCCTCCACAAGGTCTCTCCTATTCTTCCTTCTCCCTCTTCCCGCTTCCTCCTCTTCTTCCTCCTCTCTCTTCTTCTTCCTCCTCTTCATCCCCCTCAATTCAATCAACTCTTTCCTCACTCCACCTTCATCTCTCTCTGTCTATTTTTCCCTTGTACCTATTTACCTTGTAATACTATAATTTTCTTTCCTTTTTCTTTGTTGTTGGTGTCCCCCTGAGAGTGTGCTTGTTCTTGTTCCAGTTCGCGCGGTAAGTCCATACCAGTGACCTCCTCTCTCTCCCCCTCTCCCCCCCCAGCTGTTCTTGATCTGCATATCCGGGGCAAAAGCACAAACCCCTCCTTTCCATACCCTGTGTTTTCCTCTTCCATTGTTCGACAATTCTATCCCAAACATTTCAATTTGACTGCCAGTTCAAAAGTCTCTCTCATTGGAAACCCCATCTCTGATCGGGTGCGCGAATTGTCGGTCTGATCCCCGCCTGGCACCCCCGGAGTTTAGAGAGAGGGCTTAGCCAAAAAAAAAAAAAAAAGGAGATCCGCCTCGGCTACCCGTTGCTGCTCCCCTCCGCGGGTGGCCGGTCTGAGGGAAACCAAAACAACTCAATCTCACTTGTTGTTGGTTTATTTCCTGGTTGTTTTCTCATCAATCGTGTTCTTCCGGTGCCATTGCTTGTTTCTTTCCCCTTTCAAGCAGCTGGAGCTGTATCTGTCATCTGCGTTGAGCTGTTCGACATTGTTTACTTTGCATTTTCCCCCTCAATTTATTTTGTCTTCGCTGTCCGAGCTAACGTGGACACTGTCAATTCGCTAGACTCCCCACTTGAGAACTCTCTCTGGCCCTCCCCTTTTAAGACGCCTTGGGTTCCCACCCCCTTTTGACCAACGACTCGCGACCTCCTCCCACACCGCATCATGGCTTCCACTGAGGATCCCGTCGCCCCTGTTGCTCCCGCTGAGCTTGACGCCGACATCGCGCCCCCCGCGACTCCCGTCGAATCAACCATCCTTTCCGGGAGCGAGGGACCGCTGACAAGTCCTGATGTCTCTCGGGACAAGGAAAATGTCAAGGCATCGCCGGTCAAGAAGAGCCCGACAAGCACCACAACCACCAGACGTCCGCTCTCCGGAACGACCAGCGCTACGAAACGACCCAGCTCCGTCTCCGGACCCCCTAAGACCGCGACGTCGACCTCGCGCACCTCCACCACCAATGGCACCACCCTGAACAAGCCACCCACGCGCCCTACCAGTACCACCACCGTGCGCAAGCCTCTCGGCACGTCCACCACCACGAGCTTGCACCGGTCTCGCGCATCGGTTAGTTCGGCAGATGAGAAGTCCCGGTCGGTGGCCAGCTCCGGAGACGAAAAACGAGGAATCTCCAGTGCGGCCAAGCGCATGTCTCTGGCAGGTACCCCCGCCACTCGGGCCCCTGTCAAGTCCACCACATCCACCGTGGATCGACGCTCCAGCATTGCGGGCTCCACCACAGCGGAGAAGAGAACGTCCACTTCTCGTCCGAGCACAGCATCCACCGTGAAGCCGCTTGCCAGACCGACCACTGCAACGTCGACCTCTCGCCCGACCACGTCCTCATCCACCACGGCACGCCCAACCACCCGTCCGTCTTCCATGGCTTCGAAGCCTGTTACGTCAACCGTGACCAAACGCTTGAGCGCTGCGCCAAAGCTTGCCGGAGAAGATGCGGAGAAAATCCAATCCCTGCAAAACCAGCTGTCCGAGAGTGAGGCCACTGTGTCCAAGCTCAAGGCGGATCTGGACACGGTGAACATCAAGCTTACCGAGCTGTCGTTGGCTCCGAATGAGAGTGCTGCCCAGGACATTGACGAGGCCACCAAGGCGCTCCGAGAGCAACACACGGCGGAAATCGAGAAGCTGACGGCTGCGCATGAGGAGCAGCTGCAGGCCTTGCGCGTTCAACTTGAAGAAGCAGAGGTCAAGCACAAGGAGCTCGAGGAACGGTCTCTGAAGGACCTAGAGGAGGCCGCTCAAACGGCAGCCGCCAAAGGAGACGATGAGACCGCTAATGCCCTGAAAGAGCTGAAGCAGACTCATCAGGCTCAATTGGAGGCGCTCGAGAAGGAGCTGGAACTGCAGAAGGCTGCGGCTGCTGGATATGCCGAGCAACTCGATGCCTTGAAGGCTGAGTTAGAAGTGCAGAAGAGCCAGTACGTGGAAGTCACCCAAGTCTTGGAAGCCAAGGCCACGAAACTTGACGAACTCCACCGGGAACTGAATGGTCGAGACCAAGTGGTGGAAACTCTGCACATGGAAATGGATCGCCTGAACCATGCCAAGGAACAAGAGGCTCGGGCGGCTGAGGAGGCTGCCAAGCAGACCATTGCTGCTCTAGAGGACAAGGTTGCGTCGCTCGAAACCAAGCTGGCCGAAGCTGGATCCGTCACCGACGGAAGTGGCGAGGAGGCTGCAGCCCGCCTGGCTGAGAGAGAGCAGGAGATCGTCGAGCTGAAGGAAGCCCTCACGCAAGCTCAAAGTGAACTTGAACAGGCCCGCGAGTCTGCGGAAGTTGCACTATCGGAGAAGATCAAGGAGCTTGAAGCTGCCCATGAGTCTGCGGTGGCCAAACTTCAGTCCGAGCATCACGAGATTCTTGACAAGATGCAGCTTGAGCTTCAGCAGGCACGGGATGCTACCGAGACTGGCCTGGGAGAAAAAGCCAAAGAGCTTGAAGCTGCTCACCAGGCAGCTATCGATCAGCTCCAGCTGCAGCACGAAGAAACTCTTAAGGAAGTGCGGGCCGAGCTCCAGAAGGCACGCGAGGAGACCGAGACCGGCTTAGGCGAAAGGTCAAAGGAGCTCGAGGCGGCTCACGAAGCTACGATCGCCAAGCTTCAGCTCGAACATGAGGAAGCTCTTTCAAGTGTGCAAGCTGAGCTTCAGCAGGCCCGCAATGACACTGAGACCGGCTTGGGAGAGAAGGCTAAGGAGCTCGAGGCTGCTCACGAGATTGCGGTTGCCAAGCTTCAGTCCGAGCATCAAGAGATCCTGGCTAAGGTCCAGGCCGAGCTCCAACAAGTGCGTGCTGAGACTGAGACCAGCTTGAGCGAGAAAATTGAAGAGCTCAATGCTGCGCATGAAGCCACAATCGCCAAGCTCCAGCTTGAACATCAAGAGGCTCTCGACAAAGTCCAGGCCGAACTTTCCGAAGCGCGTAATGCCACGGAGACCAGTATGGGTGAGAAGGCCCAGGAGCTCGAAAGCGTTCATGAGGCTGCCGTCGCCAAACTCAAGTCTGAGTATGAAGAGACCATTGCCAGTCACGAGGTCACCATCGCCGACTTGAAGAACAAGCACGACGAGGCGCTTGCCTCGGCTGCCGCAGCCCACGCTCAGGAACTTGCGATTGCCAAGGAGGCGGTTGACTCCGTTGGCACCACCCACTCTCAAGAACTCCAGGAACTCCGCGACAAGCTTCAGGCATCCGAAGCCGCCTACGAGGCCGCGCAAGAGGACCGCGAGGAGTTGCTCGCTGAGCTTGATGCCGCGCACCAGGCTGAGATGAATGCTCTCCGGCAACGATTGGAGGCCACGGAGCAGCATCTCACCGAGGCCCGACAAGCTTTGGACGATGGCGCTAACTCGGCGCAAGATCTGGCTATCCAGGAGATTGAGTCGCTCAAGGAGAAGGTTGGTGCTCTTGAATCGCAGCTGTCCACTGGGCAGGGTGAGATCAAGTCCCTTCAGGATGAGATCCAGACCAAGCAAGGCCAGGCTGAGGCCCTTCAGCAGAGCCTGGATGCTTTTGAAGACAAGACCAAGACCAAGGACGCCCAACAGCAGAGCCACTTAAAGACTCTGGAAGAGTCTGCTGCCGCTGTCAGCAAGGAATTGGAAGACAAAGTCAAGGAAGCCGCCGCGGTTGCTGAGCAGCACGCGCAGACCCTTGACTCCATCCGGGCGGAACATGCTGCTGAACTCGAGAAGGCTCGGACGGATGTTTCTGGAAATCAGGAGCAGGCACTCGGGGAGCTGCAGGCCAAATATGAGGAATCGGTTGCCCTGTTGCGGGACTTGGAATACAGACATGCGCAACAAATGGAGGCTCTGCAGGCCGAGCTCAACACAGCCCTTCAGCGCCACGCCAACGAGATCACCTCCCAAGCTGAAGTTCGCGCCCAGGAGATTGCAGAGCTCCAGAAGCAGCACGAGGAAACCCGGGCCCAGCTCCACGCTGAGCTGCAGGCTAGCCAAGCCTCCAAGGCCGCCGAATCGGACGCAGAGCACAGCAAGGCGATCGAGCAGCTTCTGACCATTCAGGAGGAGAAGCTTTCCAACCTCCGTGCTGATCTCGAGTCTACGAACCGGGCCAAGATCGAAGAACTACAGAACTCTCACGACGCGGCCCTGGCAGAAGTGCACGCACAGCTGGTGGAAGCTCAGGCTGCTGCTCAGGACGCTTCCATCCTGGACAGCCTGAAGCTAACCATTGCTGACCTTGAGGGCAAGTTGACGGAAGCCGAGCGGTCTGCGGCGGTGAGTGGCGAGCTCGCTGGGAAGCACAGCGCCGACCTCTCCAAGGTCGAGGCCGAGAAGCATGAGTTGGAAGAGAAGCACCAAGCCGTGTTGGCGCGGGCCGAAGAACTCGAAAAGACCCTGAATGCTTCGCAAAGCGCGAGAACGGAACTTGAAGCGGTCCTGCAACAGCTTGCTGCATCCAATCACGAACTGTCGCAGCTCAAGAGCCAGCACGAGACCCTTACCAGCGAGCTCGAGCATTTCCGTTCGCAGAATAAGAGCATGGAAGAGCGAGTCCTGCAAGGCGAACGTGACCTGAACAGCCAGATTGATAAGAACATGTCGCTCCTCAACCAGCTGGGAGAAGTTGACTCGATGATCTCGGCCAGCCGCAAGCGCACGCGGGAGTTGGAGGCGGAAGTGGCGGCGCTGAAAGCCGACAAGGACAGTGCCAAGGGCCCAGCGGTTGGCCTTGATGGCAGCCGGTGGGCTGGAGAGACCCTTGCCAGAGAAGACGGTGGTTCCGCCGCAGTCGAAGGTGAGGACCTTGGTTCATCTATTCAGGGAACGGTGGGATCTCCCCGTTTATCGTCATCCTCGTCTCCTACGGGACTGCCCCAATTTCACCCTTTCACCTGACACGCCCGTTCCCATTGTGCCGACATGGATTGACTGATTGGTTTGGGATATGATAGATGGCCAGTATCCAAGAGCAGCTTAAACACATCCGTACCACCAATGATGACTGGTATGATGAGCACCGACGGTAAGACTTGACTGGTATGCTTGATGGCGGACGTCTGCTGACTGGGTGCTGGGTAGGATTCTTGGCGAATTGGCCGAGTTGTCCCGCCGGGCGACGCCTAACCCTCCGAGTCAGTCGACGACACCGCAACCCGAGAAGTTGAGCGGCAACCGCAGCAGTTCGGACGAGCCCGGGGTTGAGGAAGGATCCTCGTAAGGGGCGAAGACATTGGACTCGGGGGAGGATGACCTATTTCCTTTGTGGTATGATGTCCGAAGAGGAATTTCCTTATTGTCTGTATTGGCCTAGGCTGTATGTAATAGAATACTCAGGATACCCCCTGTTCTCCGCTTTCTTGTGACTTCCTGTGACCACCTAGTATTTCCAGTGTTCTACACAATTCCTGTCGGCCGTCCAGAGAATCCCATCCATTGGACGTCAGGTGTGGGTTGCACAAGCACAAAACACTTGACATTATCCACCAGCGAGTTCCCTCCCGACGGGGAATGGTTTGGTCTCTGAACCTTTGCCGTGCGTGACACACCACCGATGTCCCGGAGGGGGGGGGTTTATGGTTGTAAGCCTAACTTTCCCCATAGGAGACCGGGGGGTTCCCCTTTGCCTCTCGCCTGGCCGCCTCGCTGCGAGGCCGCATGCGCGTCCAATAGCTCTGCACCGTCCCCCACCAGAATTTTTTGTTCTGGTGTGCTCGGGTCCGCCGGGACTGCTCGTAGCGCGCGGGGGTCAAGACGCGCAGCGGCGGGGAGAGACGGGGTGGGTAGGTGGATTTGGCGTGTGGAGGTCCTGTCGATACGTCCGAGTCGGTGTCAGTGTGCCTGGGTTGGTTGGGGCGGTCATCTTCGTGATCGAATCGTTCTGGCGTCGTGGAGTCGAAGGAGGAGCGGCCCCGTCGCATCCAGTGGAGGATTTCGAGGGTTTGGGGGGTGTTTTGGGGAGTAGGGATGATGGGTGTGTCGATTGGTGGTGTGTTGTTGGAGACGGCTTCATTGGGGGTGTTTTGGGGAGTGTTGTCAGTTTTCTGCTGGTGGTGCTGCTGCTGCTGCTGATGCTGCAACTCATGGTGGTCCTGGTGGCTGGCATGGTTGCGCTTGTGCTTATGGTTATGGTTATGGTCCTGGTGCGGGTATTGGTCGTGATGCTGATGATGCTGGCAGGAGTGATGGTGCCCCGACAACTTCCACAGATCCTCCGGCCGACGGATTTCGTCAATTCGCCAGGGTCTTCCTTTCCGGGGATGCGTGCGGGGTGTAGGCTGCGGGGGCGCTGCTGCTGCTGCTGCTGCTGTTGTTGCTGCTCCGTCCGGTCGTGTTTCGAATTCCCTATTTGCGTGGTTTTGGGTGTGTTTGTGGTTGTGCGGATGAGAATCGGAATGGGCGACTGCGGTGGTAGTGGTAGGAGCAGCAGCAGCAGCAGCACCGTCATCCTGTAAGTCCTGCTCCCCAGACTCACGCTCACACTCACACCCCTGACAGCCATTACTGCCATCACGAGTACTCACACTCACATACCGAAAACTCTCCCCCGTCAACCCCGCGGAAAAGGCCCGGCAGTAGGCCGAATACTCGGCGTGGAGATTCTCGCTTGAAGGGTTCGGGGAGGTTGAGGTTGAAGTTGAGGTAGAGGATGTGGCCGAGGGGGAGACGGAGTGAGGAGAGGAAGGTTCAAGGGGGTTGGGTCTGGTGGAGATCTTGGTTGGTGGTTGTTGTTGCTTGGAGCCTGTTGCTTGAGGAATGGATTTGGAGCTGGAGCGCGGGGGAGCTGGGGTGGCCGTAGAAGAGGGGAGATGGTGGGACAACCAGTGGCGGAGGTGATGGATGGTGGATTTGCGGCGGAGGATTGTCTTCTGTTGCTTCTTTTCAGGATGGAGGAGGGGGGATGGGTTGGTGAGATTTGTTGTTGTGGTGGTGGTGGTGGTGGTGGAATTGAGGGGAGGCATATTGCAGTTGCAGAAGCATCAACTGTAGTTCATACGGAATAGTAACAGTGACGAGGAGGCTAAGCTTTTGAGGCAGAGGCAAAAGGATAAATTGGCACCTCGGATGCATGACGGGGTGAGATTGGGTTATTATAGTCGAGTCAGTCACTGCAGCGATAAGAGAAAGAGACCAGTCACCAGCCCAGGCAAGCCAACCTGCAAGTAAGATGAGACATGCAGCTATAGCTTTCTTCACATTCACTTCCAGGTAACTAACTTGTTATTCATGTAGTGAAGTCAAGGCCATTGAACAGATATAGTGAATCTTCTTCCCTCCATCCCACCCTTGCTGCCTGCCTGCCTGCCTGCATGCACTCATTTCCCTCCACCTACAGTAGCATGCACCATAGCATCAGCTCAATCAACAGCTTCAAACTCCCGCCTCGTGGCGTTAAATGTCGTAGGCCCTGTCCTCCCAGGGAGGGGGAGGAAATTACACAGCACACCAAATACTGTCTATGCATCCCGTCTAGCGTAGTATGTATACACTCCACGATCCATATACACTATATACTATATACAAACCCCCCTATTCTACTCCGAATCATCCAGACACTCCGTCTCTTCCCAGCCCCCAGCGGCCGACTTCACGCATCGCTTCGTCGCCCCCCTCCACCAACCGCCCATCCGCGTTGGCCGCATTCTGGCTGCCCAAGACGCCCGCCACGCACTCCCACCCATTGCGTCCCCCTCCCCAGCGAAGCACTTCTTGCTTGTACCGTTCGCCCGCCTCGCGGTCGACCGCCGCCTGCCCGCCGCGGAACACGTCCTCCCAGATCTTGTTGGCGATCGCCCGATCGAAGATGTAGCTGTAGTAGGTCGCGCCGTAGCCATACAGATGGCCGAAGAAGCCCTGCCACGAGGTCGGCGGCCGCGTGTCCGTGGGATCGGGCAGGCTGGAGTGCTGCGTCGCCACTTGATGGTAGAGCGCCGTGCTGTCGAGGGGCCGATCCGCCGGCAGCGTGTGGTAGGCCTGATCCACGAGCGCCATGAGGATCTGCGCCTCGTTCTCGACCGCCCCGTACACCGACCCGTGGGCGATCCGGTCGGTTTCCATGCGCTGCATCATGCTCGCCGAGAGCGGCGCGTCCGTCTCCCAGTGGCGCGCGTACAGCGCCAGCACCTCCGGCGCCAGAGCGAAATGCTCCATGAGCACCGAAGGCAGTTCGGCGAAGTCGGTCGCGCACCGCGTGCCCGAGATGGACTGCAACCGCGTCTGCCCGAGGATCGAGTGTAACGCATGACCCATTTCGTGGAACAGAGTGCGCACACTGTGCTCCGTCAGCAGAGCCGGGCGGCCCGCCCCCGTCGCGGGCGGCTCGGGGAAGTCGCACACCAGCGCGATCGTGGGCAGTTGGCGCAGCGTCTGGCTTTCCGAGTCAATCGCCGTCGCCATGCCGTCGTTGGGATGCGCCGACGAGTCCAGCACCGCAGCGCATTCCGCCACTTCTTCGGCGGAAATCTCCCGCGCACACCGCAGGGTGAAGTGCGCCGGGTTCGGATGCTTGTTGGGTCGCGAGAACAGATCGCAGTAAATCACCGCAAGGTGTCGCCCGGACTCGTCGACCACGTCCAAGCGCCGCACATCCGACATCCAGGTCTCCCCCGGGGCCGTCTCCCGAGGCACCAGCCGCACGCCGTACAGTCGCTCAAAGAGACGGGACAGACCTTGCATCACCGTTCCCAGCGAGAAGAACTCGGGGACGGCGCTCAGTTCCCGCGACCGGCGCGCCATCGAATACTCCTGAACCCGCCCGTGCACATAGTACGCGTGGTCCCACGGTTGCAGGGGCGCGGCGCCCTTCATGCGTTGCAGCTCCGCGAGCTCTTCCTTCACCAAGACCCGGTTGCTACCGACGAGGGCGGTCAGGAACTTGGTCACGGCCTCGGGGCTCTTGGCCATCTTGTCATGGAGCGTCATATGGGCGAAGCTCTCGAACCCGGACACCTGCGCCAGCTCGGCCCGTTTCGTCAGCAGCTGCTCCAGGACCTGAATCTGACGCGAACTCGACGTCCGGGTGGCCAGGTAGATGTCTCGACGGACCTCCTCGCTGTGCACCGACCGCAACGCCAGCCGCGGGATCAGGCCCATCGTCGGCACCGAAGCGGTGCGATTCCACCGCTTGATCTTCTGCACCAGCATCGGATCCAACCCCCGCAGACTGTTGGCGTTGACCACCACATGAGCCTTGGCCGGTTCAGCACCATTGACAAAGGTTGACCCCAGCTGGCTGACCTCCGTGGAGAGGTTGACGAATCGTTGCCGTTCGTTCGGGGGCATATGGATGGCCGAGTTGGAAAAATCCTTGATGAGGATTTGCGCCACGATCTTCTCCTCGTCGGACCAGTGCGCCGTGACCTCCGGGTTGGCGGCCGCCTTCTTCAGCTGATCATTCAAGCCCGTGGTGGTGTTTAAAACGTTCATATACTCGAACATCAAAGCGTATGCCTGCGTGGCCGCCTCCTGCACGCGGGGGTCCGGATGGATGACCCGGATAAAGTCAGACAGGTCGATCACCCGACACAGCAAATCGCTCAGCCGGTCCAGATCACGGGCCATGGTGCGATATTCCTCCAATGTGGACGCAGCCAGCACTTTAGCGACAATCGCCTGGCATTTCTGCAGGGTGGAGGTGGCAAAGACGCGGAAGCCATCCGGACTCGTCAAGTACTGGTTCTGAACCAAGCCGGTGGGTTTCAGCTGGGCAGCACTGCTCTGGGAGAATTCCCGCCAGAAAGGCTGGGAATCAAACATGCGTCGGAGGGTCTCATCCTCAGTTTTCTTCTGGTGTTGATTCTTGCTGGAGGGGTAGTCTATCGCCGGACGAGGTGCGGCAGCGGTTTCCAGCGACCGTCGAGCCTGCGACAGACAAGTGCGACAAGTCCACGGACGTCGCCGCAGCGGCATGAGCATGTGAGGCGACCCCATGATGATGATCGGGATTAGGTCGCGTGGAGGGCTTGTAGAGGGGATTTCGACATGGAGGTGGATCGGGTTATACCATGGAGACGAGCGGGATTTTTGTCCAGTAGAGAAAATAAAAACGGTATATTCGTTTCGTATCGTATAGAAGACGTAGTAGGGTAGTAAGATATCGAAAAGAGAGAGAGAGAGAGAGAGAGAGAGAGAGAGAGAGAGAGAGAGAGAGTCAAGAGGGAGGAGGAGAATCAGAAAGGGATCTCTGATGAAAGCCCGCCGGGCGATGACGGAGGAGAGGCCGAGAGCCGCGACGGAAAGGAAAAACTGTCTGCTCTGAACCTCCCGTCCATTCCGTCCCGACCTGCCAACTTCACCCTCACCTTCTCTTCACACATCATCTTCCACCCTCCTTCTCCCCTTCTCCTTCGTCCATTGGCCTCTCTGCACCATGTCTTTCCGGCCAATGTTCCAACAGGTGAGAGACGTCGATGGTTACAAGCCCGAATCACCTCACTGACCCTTGAAAACAGCGGGCTGTGGCCCCCATTGCGGCCTCACTTCTGGCTGGAGGAGTCGCTCTCTTTCCCCGGCGGACGGCCTTTGCAGAGGAACCCCGGGACCTGGTACGACACGCCCGTCAAATTAGCATCCAGTGATGACAACCAGCAACGAAGATTGACCCCTGCATCCAGAAAAAACCCATCTACGATGACTACGAGGACGAGCTCCCGACCACCAGCACCATTCCTACTCCCACGACGCCCGCCGCCGTCTCCTCCTCCCTCATCCCGGCCACGCCCACCTCCTCCTCCGCCTCCTCTTCCCCGACCCCTACAGACATCCTGACGGCTCAGGTCCGTCAAGCCCGGCTATTCCTGTACAAGAACTCTCTGGCTGTGGAGACTAGCTTCAACAACTTCCTCTCGCGCGCCCTGCACATCGAGAACGCCTTCACCAACACCGTCGCCTCGCTGGCCCCCTCGCCCGAGTCCGGCGAGCGCCTCCTGCCCGGCGGCGTCTACGTGGTCGTTGCCGCCATGGCCGGCTCCATCGTCTCGCGCAACCGCGGCCTGCTCCTCCGCACCGCCTCCCCGCTCGCCTTCGGCACCGTCGCCGCCTGGACCCTGCTGCCTGTCACCATGCGCAACGTCTCCGACCTCGTCTGGGAGTACGAGAAGCGCGTCCCCGCCCTGGCCGACACCCACCTGCGCGCCCGCGAGCGCGCCGAGCACTTTTACTACACCGGCGTCGCTCACAGCGCCATGGGCCGCGCTATGATGGAGGAGAAGATCGGGGAGGCCCGCAAGAAGTTGGAGGAGATTGTCAGCAAGGGTCACTAGAGTGGAGCATTTGTTTTTGTTTTTGCGGTGGCCTATTAGCCTTTTCTGAGTGCCTCTCTCTCTCTTCCACTGAAGCGGATGTGATATACTGTGTTGCTCCTTTCCGAGGTTTCTATGACTCGAGCTAGAATTAGCTTGTGTGCTCGATTGTTTTGGGAGCGTATGATCAGACCTACCAAAACCTCCCTATCTACTTCCTGACATTGTTTATCCGCTTCCGTCTCTGTGTCTGTCTATCGGGGTGCGAGTCTGTGTGTATGTGTGTACTTTAAGAGGGCTTAGAATTGAAGGCGCGCACGGTTTCTAGACACTGTCTATCTACTCTGGAATTGTCAAGTTGCAGAAACACATACAATACTTCAACATACCCCTCCGTCTACGCTACAAACTGGGATCTAAGATCGCAGATCTAGTCGAACCAACCCTAACCGCTCCACTCCGGGAGATGAAATACATACTAGACGGAGGCACTGAACCCACAGACATGGCCTTGGTTCTTTTGCTCGCTTCATAGCTACTCGACAACCGGACTGGGCGAAGCAACCCCAGACGGCGGGGGAGGGCTCTGCAGCGCCTCGCCCTTCTTCGGCGGTGGCGGCAAGGGCGTCCCCTTCCGACTCGATGGCGCATAGTCCTGCTCTTGACTCTTCTGCAGCCCCTCTGCGAAATACTCATCAAACGCCGACGCACTCGGCGCCGCTCTCGCCTTGCGATGTGATGATCGTCCATGGCTGGCTACCGCCCCCGCCGATGCCGGACTCGCCACGCGATTCGTCGGGGTCCCTGCCATCGGCGGCGGCGGCGGGGAGCTGAGATTAGCCGGTACAATGAAGTGCGGTTGGTGTTGTTGTTGTTGTTGGTGTTGTTGCTGCTGCCCCTGCCCTGAATCCACCGCATCTCCATACCCATACCCTTCAACCGCTTGTTGCTGTGCATGCTGCACCCCCCTCACCCTCGACCCCGCCCCAAGCCCATCCGTACCCCCCACTGTCTCAAACACCACCTCCCCGGGCCCCTCCACCTCCTCCCCCAACCCCACCGGCAACCGATGCAGCGCCCCGAACCCCAACTCCGCCCCCAGCGCCCCCTCGCCGCCCCAGCCGCGCGTCGGGATCAGCTGCACCTCGCGCACCACGTCGAACTCGCTGTTGTACACCCACAGCACCAGCGTGCGGTCCAGGTGGTCCTCGACCAGCTCGCCGAGCGCGGCCTCGCCGCGCAGCGTGCCGCTGGGCGTGCCGATGATGTAGTCGGAGTGCGGGAGGAGACCCGCGCGGTAGGCGGGGCTCAGCGGCGAGGGGATCGACAGGACGTGCCAGATGTTCTGCGTGGAGGCGAGCGGGGCGAGTTGCACGGCGAGGTTGAGGGTGGGGTTGTGGGCGGGGATGGGGAGGGAGACGGTGTGCGACTTTTGGCCCTGCAGAGTGGTTTAGTGGGTAAGTTGGAAGTTGGTTTGAAGGGTGGTTGGAGGGTGTTTGGAAGGTGCTTGGAAGCTGTGGCTGGCTGGATGGATGGATGGCTTACTTTGGCGCTCCAGACTTCAAAGGTTACGCGGGAGCCGGCGCAGTTGCGAACTTCGGTTGCGAAGAGGTTTGGGTCTGGGTCTTCCTGTTTCGAAGGGGTCAGATTGTGCTTGGTTTGTAGGTTGTCAGTGTCACACACGATTAATCGTCCATTGATGCCGATGATAAAGTCAAACCACGGCTCTAGAGGCACCTCCGGATCCTTGTTGCGGAGTACCTGAAAGCCGAAGGAGTTGTCCGCTGTCGACGATCGGGGTTGCTGGGCGGGCTCGGCCTCTAGCCCGATGAATCGGTTGAAGGCGCCGAACATGTCGACAGTCCAGAGAACCAGAAAAGTAGACAAGAAGAGAGGATTGGAGAATTCGCAGTGGTCGTTGAAAAGTGTAGCCCGTCAGGCGCAAAGCAAACGTGGAGGAATGAATCGGGAACAAACAGCGCAAACACCGTCCGGACGGTCGATGAACTTATCGCTTATCGCGATTTGGCCCCGTTTATCGGTCTCGTTCTGTCGATGATAAGTCAATGCGCTGCTGCTGCTGCTGCTTCGACCCTCTAAGCAGTGTCCTCTCAGCTCATGGCACGCGATTCGAATGCTGACGTGCCTCCGCCGGAGGTGCATCATTACAATGAGCTTGGGGAAGTGCCGTGGGATATTCAGAAGTGAGTGGAGCGGTCATCGGAGTTGGCGTGTGTGTGTGTTGTGTGGAACTAACCAACCGCTGTCTACAGCTACTGGGCTCAACGATATAAGATCTTCTCCAAGTATGACGAAGGAGTCTGGCTGACGGACGATGCTTGGTTTGGCGTCACTCCGGAGCCAGTGGCCAAGTACGTTTGTGATCCTGCCTGCTCGAATGGCGCCTGCGATCGAAGTACTCACAGCCTCAGTAAAATCGCAGAGCATATCGCCAGCGCCGCCCCACCTGATCGAATGGTTCTGGTCGATGCATTCGCCGGTGCTGGAGGAAACTCCATTGCCTTTGCCCTCTCCGGTCGATGGAAGCGCGTCTACGCCATCGAGAAGAACCCCGCCGTCTTGCAGTGCGCGAAACACAACGCCAAGATCTACGGCGTGGCCGACAAGATCACCTGGTTCGAGGGGGACTGCTTTGATATCATCAAGAATAAACTGATGGACCTAGCCCCTTACAGTGTTCTCTTCGCGAGTCCCCCGTGGGGAGGTGGGTACTCTCTACGGTGGTGTTGCCGGCGGAAACATCGTGCTGACTGAAGCTGCCCAGGACCCGGTTACCGCTCGGATAAAGTCTTCAACTTGCGGACCATGGAGCCTTATTCTTTAGCGAAGCTATATACTGAGTACTCCCTATTCACTGAGCACATGGTTCTCTACCTCCCGCGGACTTCGGATGTGAAACAGATGGCCAAGGTGGTCAAGGATGGCCAGAATGCGACTGTGATGCATTACTGCATGGAGGGCGCGAGCAAAGCTCTCTGTGTGTATTACGGTGGGTTCAACATAAACTTATTGGAATGAGTGACAGCGCTTGGGTGCTGTGCGCTGTTTCCCTGCTTTTTTTCACTGGAGTGGTTCGTGATGCAAGAGTGAAATCACTGACCAGGACCATTTCGCAATCCTGAATTTACTGTACAATATTTATCATTCACATAGAAGTAATTCAATACCCCCTTTGAGTAAGTGACAACTTAAGGATTAGAGTGTCGACTGTAAAGTAGTAAGAGTAGAAAGAATACGAACCAGCGACGGAGGGATTTCCAGCTGCTTTCCCGATTGGGACCAAGGCGGTGTGCAGACCCTCTGCCTCTTTCTCTCGCCGCTTCGCATTCCCTCCGCATCTTCACGCTGTCGGCCGATCCACCCTCCTCTCACTCTTCATTCACTCATTACACAGTTCTCGACGCGTCCAGGTCGGTCATCATCTCTGGTAGACAGAGCCGGCCCCGATGCGCCCGAACGCGTAACATCCCTCATACCCCACCCCACTCTTCAAATCTCCGATCTGCCATCAGCCAACTCTCTCCACGATCCCGATCACACTCTGATTGCTCGACCCCCTCCACCTTCACAATGCCTCACGCAACAGAGCCGCCGGTCCCAGAGGCCGAAGACTCTGCCTTCGACAATGTGATGCGACAGATGAACGGGCCCTTCGGGGAGGGCGGCATGTCCTTCGACTTCCTGACGCGCGAGTTGGAACCAGGCGAGAAGGCCGACGACGCCGTGGACTACGAGGATTTCGACGACGATGAGTTGCCCGAAGAAGAAGAGCGAACGGGGCCTCCGGCCGACGATAACAGAATGATGGATCTCGGCGAGGACGACGCCGACAAGGACCTCTTTGGGGCCGAAGACGAGGATCTTTTTGGCGGTGATGGCGGCGCGGACGATGACTTCGGTGCTGCCGCTGGCCAGGAGGATGGGAACGATACACAGCAGGGTCCGCGCGATGAGTTGGACGATCTTTTCGGCGAGGGTCCCTCCTCGCCCGGCCCGGATCACGCGGATCCCACCAGAGACCTGTTCTTCGACGAGGAGGAGGACACCACGACGACGGCCAATGAACCACGACCCGTCATGAAGGAGGCGGCGGCCACGGAGCCGGTGACGGGGCCCCCGGTTGCGTCGTTGCCACAGGAGCCCGCCGCGCCGATGGATGAAGATGAGGTGGACCTGCTGCAGGAGGATGAGCCGCTAAGTCCCACGGCGGAGGACATGGATCCCGCGTCGCTGCGGGCGTGGAAACTCCAGCAGCAGCTGTTCGCCATGTCGGCGTACGGGCCGGATAACCCGCCGGCTCCGCCGGAGAATGTCGAGGAGTTGCTACATTCCCTCTTTCCATCCTTCGATCGAAACGCCCTGCCCCGGTTCCTCGAGCTTATTCCGCACAAGAAGGCTTTCTTCCTAGGCAAGCAGCCGATTAAACCCCCGAAGCCGGTGATTCCGAGCAAGGTGAACATCGAACTGGCGCAGGACCAGGAACGAGTGTTTAAGGCCGCAGGTCAGGTCTTCAAGCGTCCGCATGAAGCAGAGCATTCGGGCTTAGTCACGATTCTAGAAGCTGCGCAGGAGGACGAAGAAGAGATCAGAGATGACTTTGAGCACGATACGGACACGGACGAGGCTTTACCTGGAGGGATCTCCCTGCATGACCTCCAGACGGTCTGCGCGGATTGGGATGTCAAGGACGATATCTCCATCATGGAGGTGGATGAGCCGGAGCCTCAGGAGGTGGATCCGATTGAGGACGACTGGCTTCTCGAGACGAATCGTCCCGCCAAGAAACGCAAGATTGGTCGAGACCCGATGGAGGTCGTGGCGCTCGCTCACATCGACGTGCCAGTTGTCGATGACCCCGAGCAAGCAACGTCACGCATCGCCCAGAAGGTGATTGTTGACATGAATGACCCGCACATCCTTCTTGACGACCGAGGACCGGAGAACGCCACACAGAAACCCAAGGCCCTGGGAGCTCTCAACCGGGATGAGTTGGACGCAAGCGTCACGAAGCGCCTCACATCGCGTTATAACATCTCCAATGATCAAGCCTACGATATGCTCAAGCAGAACCATCAGAACAAGGTTCGCAGCACCCTGGGTAATGTGACTCTGGAGCATAGTATGCCTGCTCTCCGGCTCCAGTGGCCTTACTACAAGACGGAGCTGGCCAAGGCCGAAGCTCGCTCGTTTCACCGTCCAGCACTCACGTTCAGGCCCGGGCAGACGTGTTGGTTCAAGAACACCGCTTACATCAAGCGCAAGCACCAAAGGGGCAAAGATGTCAAGGCGCTCTTCGATTCTACAAAGTCCCTTTCTTTGGCCGATAACTCAAACGTTCTGCTGGTCGAATACTCGGAAGAAGTTCCTATCATGCTATCCAATTTTGGTATGTCCAACCGCTTCATCAACTATTACCGCAGAAAGAGCATGGAAGATCCCACACGGCCGAAAGCAGAAATCGGCGAGACTGTGGTTCTGCTTCCTCAGGACAAGAGTCCGTTCTCGATCTTCGGTCATGTCGACCCCGGTGAAATCACGCCCGCCATCTCCAACTCGATGTACCGCGCTCCGCTCTTCCAACATCAGGCCAAGTCCACCGACTTCCTGATCGTGCGCAGCACCACTGGCTCGGGCGGTAGCGACTACTACATCCGGAACATTGAGAATCTGTATGTGGCTGGGCAGCAGTTTCCCTCGGTGGACGTGCCGGGCCCCCACTCGCGCAAGGTCACCACCGTCGCGAAGAACCGCATGAAGATGCTGGTCTATCGCCTGCTGAAGAAGAGCCCCGACCTTCGCCTCTCCATCAGCGACGTGACTGCGCACATCCCCGGCACCAGTGATATGCAAAACCGTCAAAAGGTGAAGGACTTTCTCCAACACGACAAGGACTCGAAATATTGGGTGCCCATGGAGCCTGTACCGGAACAGGATGTCATCCGGTCGTGGGTGCAGCCGGAGGATGTGTGTTTGCTGGAATCCATGCAAGTCGGTCAGCAGCATCTTCACGACACGGGGTTTGGCAATGATGCCGAAACTGGGGGTGACAATGATGACGAGGATGGAGAAGGGGAGAGCTTTGAACAGCAAATGGCACCCTGGAAGGCCACACGCAACTTCCTCCTGGCCTCTCAGGGTAAAGCGATGCTCAAGCTGCACGGTGAAGGTGACCCCACCGGCCGTGGGGAGGGTTTCAGCTTCATCAAGACCTCCATGAAGGGTGGATTCAAGGCTGTTGGCGAGAGTGTCGAGGACAAGCTTGATGCGCAAAGGCTCAAAGAACTGGGAGGTCACAGCTACAACGTCGCTCGGCAGCAGAAGTCCTACGAAACCTCCATTCGCCGCATCTGGGATGCGCAAAAGGCCAGTCTATCGTCGACGGTTGAGCACTCGGACGAGGAGAGTGATATTGACAGAGATGATGAAGCGGAGTTCAGCAAACCGACCCCTCGATCTGAAGCACCCACGCCGGCCCCGTATCGGCGTGACGACGAGACGACCAGTCAGTTCAGTCGGATGAGTTTGCCAGACCAGAGGGGCAAAGTTCTGCGCATTATGCGGACATACAAGGACGAGAAGGGTCAACTTTACCAGAAGGAGACCATGGTTTTTGATCCCAAGGTTATTCGGCACTACATCGCGCACCGTCACCACGTGGAGGCTTTAAGCACCAAGTAAGAGTTCCCATCACAATTCATTGCACAGGGTGACTAACCATCCCAGGCTTGATTCCCTTCAGCCTACCGGTGATCTGGAGATTGATGCTCGCAACAAGAAACTGTATGTCTCGTTCTCTGCCCCAACGCTACGTTTTAACGGCGCACAAGAGAGGTCGAGTACACTAACCGTTTGACCCTTAACCCAGTCTGGAAGCCGAATTGAGCCGTCTCAACCGCAACAAGGAGCGTCGCTTCGCTCGCGAGAAGCAGAAGGGAGCTGCCCGTGCCTCCGCCGGAGATTCACCTGCCGACGGCGGCGGTGGCTCTGGCAAGTCCGCTGGCACACAGCGCAAATGCGCCAACTGCGGCCAGGTCGGCCATATCAAGACCAACAAAAAGTGCGTTCTCAACCAGGGTGATTCCCTGCATCCCAACATTGATTTCCAGTCTTCGTTCTTCCATGCGTCTTCCACACCCCCTTTTTCCCCTGGACCAGCCTCGCCCTCACCCCGCCTGTCCATCTCTGCCTCTTCTCCAGCTTCCACTATCGGAGGAACTGCAAGAGGTGATGGACGAAGGCGCATGGCACTACCCCTGAAAGGCATTCTAAAGAAACCCACCATCTCTGGACCCGATCTTGGTTCTGGTGGCTCCAACGCTGGTCCCTCCGCCCGGATTGCCAATTAGAGGATGCAAACCAGCCCAGCAACCCGCTGCTGCTGCCCCCTCCCTTTTACATACCATGACGCGCAAAGACCCCATCTGAATGAGCTTAATCCAAGGAACCCAAGCTAACTTGTGAACCCGCTGCTGTCAAAACAGACTCTGCCCCCTCCTCAACGGAACCATGAAACCCGAAGACCGCGTCAGCGACTCTGCCTTTGCCATGGGCGCGCCTCCCGCTCTGTGAAACCGTCGCTGACCCGGATACCTCTTACCTTTTTACCCTTCTTCGATCTATGCGCTGCGCACGTCGCCTCACCATCCACGTTCGCAGTCACACCCAACTTCTTCAATATCTCTTACTCTTCACCATATGATACCCCCAAACCTCCACTTCTCGTCTCTCGGCTGTTCTCCCATTCGGTATCTTACCCTGACATGATTCCAAACAACGGCCATTCTAGATTTTTCTTTTTTATCTCAAATCGCAGGTGCAGCGTCATATCCGGATTGTTTCGCTGGGGAAAATGAATGAAATCACATGCACTATCAGACACCAAGCACTCTTTGCACAGTACTTATTCAGAACTGCATCACTGGTCCATGTTGTTAGCGTTAGTTAGGCTTGGCGTTGGCAATGGGGCGAGATTCATGTAAATTGCCTCTATTGATCTGTTACTGGTATTTTTGAGCAAGTCGGACGGTGGTCATTTCCAGACTAGGTTCTCAATAAGATGGAGCATTTCATGAATCATTGTCCTGAATGTGGAGTACCTGAATGTAACCTGGGGCTAGTAGCTTGCTCGTTTTAGATGTAACCTACGGCATGAGTATTCAATTGAGCAGAGCCAAGCGCCTCGTCCGAAGATGTGGAGGTAACTGTTCGTTGCATTATACTAATATCCAATAATGATCGACAAGCGGGGACCCAGAACAGACCAGGTATCTCGCACCATAAGGATGGGTTTGTGATGTCTGTCCCATAACAATGTCTAATGAAAAATACATCATGAGCTTGGAGTTCACATTCCTCATGCCGGTGCTTAGTTTGAGAGAATCCACGAGGCTGCCCGACAGACCAACAAATGCTACGAGCCATAGAGTTCCGACAGCTGGCCTCGCCCCAGACGGTGTCGACCCCGATCAGGAGTCAGGGCTACTGTCACGGACTTGGGACGGCGATAGGTGTAGCCCAGGAATGCTCCTTTCTTGCGCATCTCAAGCACCGTCCTTCGCATTTGACGGTCACGTAGCAGCTTATCCCGCGGGCGTTTCCGCTCCTTCCTCTTGCGATCCTTTGGCGGAGAGGCTGGCCCCGGCCCTGGCCCTGGATCTGGGGTCGGACCGAGTGCGATCTGTCGACCTACTGCCTGGGGCAGGGAAGCTTCAACTTGGACTTGAACTGGCTCCTCAATCTCACTCTCATCGTCTGGGTGATCCGGGTCCGACATGACAGAGACGTCGTCATGGTCGCCATCGTATCCTGCATCGTCGAAGTATCTAGTATCCTCCCAGCCTTTCACTTTAGGAATGAACGGCGGCACAGATTGATGTATCTCGTCCCACTTGGTGTTGCGAAAGAAAACATGGTTCTTGATGTCTGTCGCGTCGTTTGGGAAGACATACAAGCCCTTGTAGTTTTTGCTACGATGATCCATGTTATAGAAGAAATGCCGGGATGGCAACCGGGAAGTCAGAGAGTCGTTGACCTTGTACTTGCTTGAGGACAGGCGATGCTCTTTCTCTTGGAGTAGATAGTTTATAAGATCAATTGCGTCGGCCGAGATTCGCTTATCTGAGGTCCTGCTGGCGGGGAAGCAGAGCGTCTCGTGGTGATGCTTTTTTGCTGTTTAGCAGCATCAAAATAAAAGTATGATGCGGGTACATACGTGTATCTTCATCTTCGTCTTCTGACGATCATGTGAAGCAAAGGGCGTGAAGCCATAGAGACACTGTGACGTCTAGGTTAGCAACATCTCTCACGCTCACCTTCCGTCTTACCTCGTATAGTATAATGCCAATACTCCACCAGTCACACCGGCCGTCGTATAGCTCACCCCGAACAACTTCCGGTGCCATGTATTGATTAGTCCCGACAACGCTTGCGGCGAGCCGGCGCTTCTGGGTGCGGTCACGCCATCCAAGCAGACCCATTGAGGGTGGTGTGCAGTCGGAATCAGATCGATTTTCATGGATAGATGTCTTTGGTGGCTTTCGTGCTTCTCTTCTATCCTGAGAGTCCCCAGTCACTTGAATGCCCAGCTTCCTGAGCAAGGAGTATCGCTGCTCGTTGTAGTACACTTGATCATGAGCCCAGTGCCCGTCAAAGGCCAGCCCAAAGTCGGAAATTCTCAGGTGCCCAGACGCAGATATGAGAAAGTTGTCTGGCTTGACATCGCGATGGATCCAGCACAGCCGATGGGCCTCTTCGACACAGAGAATCATCTCCGCAACGTACCATCGAGCGATTCCTTCAGGCAAGATCCCTTGGCGCATCAACAACCCTAGGAAGTCTCCGCCCACCATGTAGTCCATAACAAGATAGAGATGGTCACGATCCTGGAAGCTTGCAATCAATGGCACAACCCAACGAGATTTGGCAGACGCAACAAGAAAGTCTCGCTCAGCTCGCAGATGGCCCTCTTGACTGTTGCGTATCATTGCAGACTTTCGAATTACCTTCATCGCGAAGACATCCTTCTTAACGCCTACCATCATCCTTCGCCGTGTGCTTGTAGTTCCTTCAGTAACCGACATTGACCGAGCCTTGAGTTTTGCCAACTCTCCTTTGTAAAAGTAGTGCTTTTCCGCATGTCCGTTGCTACTATAACTTTCAACTGCCTTCTTCTCTCTGACCAGCCGCACGATCCCGAAGCTTCCCCTTCCTAGAACCTTAATCGCTTCGAATCCGGCAAGAGAGACCGCTTCGTCCTGTCGGCCACAGTGCGACTGACTTTTCAGGACGCGGCACTGACGCAAATACTGTCGTTCCTGGGTGATCCAATTTTCCCAAATTCTCGCCCGTTCTTCGGGTGCCAATGGGAGGCCATATATGTACTGCTCGAGCTCGTGCTGGCGCTGCGAGCGAAGATCCGCTCCACAAAACAGGGAGTTGAAGTATGTCTCGAAGAATACCTTTGCATTGGCGGCAGCTTCCACGGTAATAATTGACGGTGACTGACCGAGTGAGCACTCGACCGCTTGGACGTGAGGGCACTCGTTGTTACTCGGAGGTGGCGTTACTTCTTTTACCTGTTCGACATCTAGAAGGTCCTGCTTTGAGCCTCCTGACGGCTCTCCGGATTTAGGAGGGGTGGTGGGGGGAGTCGTGTTGAGCGTGGAGCGTGTGCTACTCGGTGATACACTTTCCTCTGGTGAGGTCTGGGGATCGGAGCTCTCCTGAGCACTATCACCTTGCTTGTCCAAAGGAGGAGGAGCAAGGAGTGGGCTTGGAAACTGAGGTACCTGAAAAGTGGGCCGCGAACGAAGATGTGAACGACGTATGACCGTGGGGTTCCCGAAAGTGGTTGATAGCTTGGTCGACACAATGTGCGTAAGTGCTGTAGGTGTCGACTGGCTTCGTTTCAAGACCTCCGCCAACCGCTTGGAGCTTGGTCGCACGATTGCATGACAGGCTTGGGTGGTTCCTGATTGTTGTGTAGCCTCCAGGGCGGCTTGGGCATTATGAGATGAATCTTCCAACGGGTTGACATTGGAGTCAGTGATGCCAGCAGGACTATAACTTCCAGACGGAGATTGATGTAAGACTGTCCTTTGCTCGGAATCTTCCACGTTCTGTTCGTTTTCGATGGGAGCTGGGAAAGAAGGGAAAGACTGCAATGGAACGCGGTCGTTCTCAATAGTGTGAGGGTCATCCGGATCGTGGTTCGTCACTGCCTTGAGCACTTTCGTCATCCATTAGCTACAATGAAATATGACTTGATATGAATGAGCAATGACTTGCCTTGAGTAGGGTTGCGAATGCCCAAAAGTGACAATATTCTTGAGCTTCTCTGCCGGATACGTTCTCGAATACTGTCCTTACTTTTGAGCTGGCACGCATGGGACTCAGAGCTTCGAGCACCGGAAATCGAGGTCTCGATTATAGACGCTTCACTGCTCATGAGGTCGATCGGACTGCGATTGTTGTCTGGAGTTTGGGAGCCGTCATTCATTTTGAGTCGAGTTGGGTCAGCTTGGTATTGATACTGTAGTATAAAAGTGTGGCTTCTGCTTGCTCCGTGGGGTAGAAAATGAAAGAAAAGCACCGTAATGTACCTTATCAATCTGAAGAGACATGGAAGTCTCTTGGGTATGAAGAAAAGACTTGACAAAGACCTTGAGGGAGCGTCGAGGTTGTCAAGAACTGCGGCAGCCCCGAGTAGGCAACCCCGACAAGGAGTCAGTCGAGCGAGGCAAGAGCGAGCGCTCGTAAGAAATAAATACGGGTGGTCTACAATCATCTACATCTACATCTACACAATGAGACGGGATTATAATGATGGTATACAATCACTTTTGAGATTGTGGACACAGATATTCCGTTACTATCCTCCTCCCTGCCAAATGCAGCGGACGGCTGTGCAAAGAAACAAGTCGGATATCACAGAAGTCAAAGTCATATATTCGAATAAAAACCCCTGAACACCGGTTCTTTTTGGTGAAAGAAAAAGAAAAATCATCCAACAGACATGGTAGCAATGGAAGGATTAAATGCGATAGGATGAGGGAATGTTCCCGCAAACGTGGTGCTGCCGGGGGGGCTAAAGGCAACAAGCGAGAGGGCGAAAACAAGCATTCACGAAGAAACTACTTATTTGATCTCAAGCAGCTTAACGTCGAAGATCAACTTCGAATTGGCGGGGATGCCGGGCAGGGCACGCTTGCCGTAGGCAAGGTGGGCGGGGATGGTGATGCGGCGCTCACCACCGACAGCCATGCCGGCGATACCGATGTCCCAGCCCTTGATAACCTCACCCTTTCCGAGCTTGAAAGTGAAGGGCTTGCCCTTCTTGTTGGCTGTAGTCAAAATATGTCAGCAGAGTCCATTACTCAATGCCGGATATCTAACTTACCATCGAAGACCTTGCCATCCTCGAGCTTGCCAATGTAGCGCATAGCAACAGTGTTGCCGGCCTTGGCGGCAGCACCCTTGCCGAGCTTCTTGTCGTCAATCTTGACACCCTTGACCTCCTTGACACCCAGAGTGCCGGTAGTCTTCTCAGCAGGCTTAGCAGCGGAGGGAGTGGGACCCTGCTCCAGGTTCTTAGCGAACTGAACCTTCTTGCCCTCCTTGGCTTCCTTCTTCTCCTCAACGGGGGCAGCCTCGCCGTTGTTCTTCTTGAGCTTCTTCTGCTGCTTCTTGCTCAGAGCAGGCTCCTCGGCAGCGGGCTTGGCCTCCTCAGCGGCACGCTTGTTCTTGCCCTTGGTCTCAACCAACTTGGGAGCCTCCTCATCGCTCTCAACCTCGGTGATTCTGGGGTCTTCCAGCTCATCAAGGTCGTCGCTCTCGTCCTCCTCGCCCAAAAGAGCCTCGAGGTCCAGATCCTCCGCACCAGGGGGGAGGTCGTAGTCGTCCTCATCGTAGTCATCCTCGTCGTCGGAGCCACAAGGACCGTGCTCATCAGCGGGGACGACGTAATTACCGGTCAGGTAGATGGTGTGGGTACCGGTGACCTTGAAGAAAACACGCTCCTCCTCACCGACGGTGATGTCCAGAGGCTGCTGGCAGTTCTATAGTGCAATTGAGTCAGTGATTCGTCACATGGAGTTTGAGTGTTTCCGTTTACCTTCTCGGGATCCAGGGTACAGAGGACGAGCTCATCCAGCTCGAGACCCTCGTCGGACTCATCATCAGAGTCGTCATCGGTAGCGGGAGCCTTGCCCTTGACCAGCTTGGAGATAGCAGCCTTCAGGTCGAACTCCTCATCCTCATCATCGTCCTCGGAGTCCTCGTCCATGGCATCCTCGATCACCTTGCGAGCAGCGGCAAGCTTAAGCTTGGCGGCCTTCTCCTTGTCGCTGGGGCCGCCGTTAACCTCCTCATCATCCTCGGAATCCTCCTCGGTGTCATCCTCGTAGTCCTCATCATCAGACTCGTCCTCGAGGTCCAAGCCAGGAGGAGGGCGAACAAGCTTCAAGGTGGCGCGGGGGCGCTTGTTAGAGTCGAAGCCATCCTCATACTCGGGAGCCTCATCGGGGTCGATGGCAGCCATGGTCACACGGAACTGTCATATAAGAGATTAGTTTGCTTCCTCAATTGATCTGAACTAATTGCGACCTACCATGGCAGCAGCCTCAGGGACCACGGCGGGAATCAGAGCTCCGCCAGCGGGAACTCTGAGCGCATAGACGGCAACAGGCTGAACTCCAGACATTTTGTATATGGATATGTGATATATTGGAGGGGAGGAAGGTGGTTTTTTTAAAGAGGGACACAAACAGAGCCCAACAGAGATAAAGAGAGAAAGAGAGAAAAGGCAGAGAGAAAATCGTCTACCACAGATAGCACGGAAGAACGAGAGGAAAAGAAAGAGGAGGAGGAGGAGGAAAAGTTTTGAGGCCGCCGCAGCAACGCCCGGATTTGCGGTGGCTGATCGAATCTGTCATCTTCACCGCCTTTGAGCTTTTTTTTTTTTTTTTTTCTTCCAGAAATTTCCCGGGCAACCAATCACTGAGTATTGATCCACTCTATCACCGCCTTCTCCATCCATCGAGCTCTTATCAGATCACGTGTCACCACTGGTTTCTCCGCCGCCCCACACGCCATGCATTCGAGGCCAAAGTCCGTCGCGCCCGGCTTCAGGACCAAACGCTTCGACCGGGAGAGACCACTGCATTCTTACTTAGTACTCTTTCTCTTGCCCGAACATGCTGCTTCCTGAAGCCCAGCATGGGCTCAGTCTGGCATCAGAACTCCAGCGCCGTGCGCAAGCGTATTCAGAGTCGTGAGTGAACTATTCTCGTTTCCTGTGCTGCCTGCCAGGCACCTTCGTGTTGCTAATCGCTTATCGCATCACTATAGATCAGTTCGAAGATGAGGGTGGCGAAGAATATGAAGCCTCCACCTTTGGTGGCTTCACCGACTACATGCGCCGGAAGAAGCTCAAATTGCAGAATTTGGACGCTGAGATACGCTCCTCTGCTTCTGAGAATCCCCCAATCTTCCGAGGCGTGGTCGCGCACGTGAACGGCTACACCCAACCGTCTCTCCAGGACCTCCACAGATTGATTGTCAGCCATGGTGGTGGTTTTCTGCAGTACCTTAGCGGCAAAACGGATGCCACCCATATCATCGCCAGCTCATTAACCCCCAAGAAACGAGAAGAGTTCCGGAGATATCGGATCGTGAAACCGGCATGGGTGGTGGAAAGCGTCCAGGCGGGTCGCTTGCTCCCCTGGGACCAATATCGAGTCGTCGACGAGGGACATGCCCAGAAAGTGTTGAAGTTTGACAACGGCCGCATACTTAGTCAAACCAACAGCCCGCAGTCGGGCTATCGCGAGCAGAGCATGGCAAGTTGGTACACCTCTCGACTTCAGGCAGCGGAGGCAACGAATCCTGTAGGGTCTCCTTCGGGACAAACTGCAGGCTCGGTTTTGGGTGAAAAACAACCAAACCTGGCTTCGCAGTCAGACTATGGCGATTTTCCTAGCTTTTCGATGGACGAGGCGGGTAATGTTCAGGCGTCGCAACAAACCAATATAATATCATCTTCGCAAGACCATGAGTCAAAACAAGACGAGTTAAGCCATAAAACTGTCTCTCCTCGACGAGAAGTTCCAGAGACCAAGTTGCCAGCGCCTCAACAGGCCAGTCCCTCCAAGGGAGAAATGACTTCTGAGGAATACAACGCTCAGCTCTTGACGGATCCCCGCCTGCGAAACTCTAGTGTGGTCAACCCTGAGTTCATCCAACAATATTACAGAGAGTCCCGTCTACATCATCTGTCGACGTGGAAGGCGAATCTCAAAGCCCAGCTCCAATCGGCAGCCGCGCAGAAGTCGCAGTCCCAGTCCAAGAGGGCGAAACCCGTGGCTGGTGCCAGACGTTATATCATGCATGTGGATTTTGATTGCTTTTTCGCCGCTGTATCAACGCTGAAACACCCACATCTGGAAGTAAAGCCAGTGGCGGTAGCACATGGCTCTGGATCCGGCTCTGAGATTGCAAGCTGCAACTATGCGGCCCGCGCTCATGGGATCAAGAACGGAATGTGGATGAAAGGCGCGTTACAGGCGTGTCCTAGTCTGCAGGTTGTACCTTATGACTTTCCGGCATACGAGGAAGCAAGTCGAAAGTTCTATACTGCCATTCTGGCTATAGACGGCATCGTTCAGAGTGTGAGCATTGACGAGGCACTCGTGGATATTACGGAACTATGCTTGCAGGCCGGTGGCTCGGATGGTCGAGGAGTTTCCGAAGGGTCCATCTACCGAGAGCAAGCCAAAGCCGATGAAATTGCGCAAGCATTGCGGGCGACCGTAAAGGAGCACACGGGCTGCGCAGTCTCCGTGGGCATTGGTGGCAACATCCTCCAGGCCAAAGTAGCTTTGCGCAAAGCGAAACCAGCCAGTCAGTTCCAGCTGAAGCCCGACGAGGTGCTCGACTACATAGGAGGTCTGACGGTACAAGGTCTCCCGGGTGTCGGCCATAGCATGGGCGCGAAACTGGAAGAGCTCGGCGTCACATATGTGAAGGATGTGCGAGAATTGTCGCGGGAGAGGCTCACCTCTAGTCTAGGTCCCAAGACCGGTGTCAAACTCTGGGAGTATGCACGAGGGATTGATCGGACTGAGGTCGGCAACGAGACGATACGCAAGTCTGTGTCTGCCGAAGTCAATTGGGGAATCCGCTTTGTCAACCAGACTCAGGCCGAAGACTTTATTCGATCCTTATGTGACGAGTTGCACAAACGACTAGTCGAGAGCCTTGTCAAGGGCAAGCAGTTGACACTGAAGGTGATGCGGAGAGCAGCCGACGCGCCCTTGGAGGCTGTGAAGCACCTGGGACATGGCAAATGCGACATACTCAACAGAAGCGTCATGCTCGGCGTAGCCACCAGTGCATCCGAAACTCTCGGAAAGGAGGCTGTGGCAATGCTTCGCAGCTTCGGGATCTCGCCAGGCGATTTGAGAGGGCTGGGGGTCCAAATGACCAAACTCGAACCCCTCAACTCAGGGTCTCCCCGCAAGCCTGACGGCAGCCAGCAACAGCTGAACTTCAAGGCGTCGCCTGTCCGGGCATCACCTATCCGCAAAAGCATCGAGCGACCTGAAGACCCCGACGAGGTAGACAGCCCTAGTCGGGGCGAGTCGGAGACAGTCCGGTCCGTGCCCTCGATGCATGAGAGCGGCCACAAGCCGTTGAACGTCTCCGGGACACAATTCATTATCCCGTCGCAAATCGACCCGCAAGTCGTCGCAGAGCTTCCCAACGACATCCGCTCGAAACTGATAGCCCAGGGTCGATCGCGACGCGACACGCGCTCGACCTCTCCCTGTCCGCCCACTCGCCCACGCCCACGACCCACGGGCAGTGCAGAGCTCCCTCCGCCGTCGCAACTTGACCCGGAAACGCTCATGGCTCTTCCAGAAGACGTCCGAGCCGAAGTCCTAGGCTACTACACCCGCGACTCAAGCACCCCGGACGATCAGCCTCCCGACCCCAGGACCTCAGCCCCTACCACTAATACCACCACCATCACTGCCACTGCCACCAACCCAGCACGCCCGACATCCTCCTCCTCGAGCTCTTTGAAGCTTCGCAAGCCCACAACACCGACCAAACGACGGCGCGGCCGCCCTCCTGTCATCAAATCCAGCCTCGCGTCCACCCTGACGCAAGCGAAATTCGTCCTCCCCCATTCCCCGACCTCAGCCTCAGCCCCAGCCTCAGCCTTAGCCTTAGCCTCAGCCCCAACCGCCGACCAACCCTCAACCACAGAAATTTCCGCCGACTTCCTCGCCGCCCTCCCAGAAGACATCCGCCTCGAGATCCTCGAAGAACAGCGTCGAACGCGTCTCCTCCAACGACCCGCCCTCCACCCATCCGCCCACGCCAGACCACCCACGACAGCCCAAACACATAATAATCCCAACCCTGCGCCCAACCGCGAGAAGACCATCCAACTACCCCCGCTACCCCCACGCCCAACCTTCACTTCCAAGCGCCTTTCGTCCCTTCCGGACCTCCGCAACGCCATCTCAGCATGGTACCACGCTTTCAACCCTCCAGCCCCAGGCCGAGTCCCAGACCCCGAACAGTCCAGCGCTAGTACTGCTGACACCGAAGAGGGGGAGGGGGACGACGACGAGGACGCAGGCCCCTTTGATGAGGACGTCGTCTCTCTCGCCCGGTACCTGAAGCGGGTTGTCCTCGAGGAGCGGGACCTTGAGAAAGCCGTCGCCGTGGTGCGGTGGTTGATCTGGTTGGTGGAGAATGATTACCCTGGGATTGGTTCGGACGGGTTTATTGATGGTGGGAGTACTGGGAGTACCAGTAGTCAGAGTAAGCTCGAGGCCTCCTCATCGCAAGAGGACGCGTTCCGACCCCCCAGTCCGAGCGGAAAGATTACTAGCCCGGGTGGACTGCAGCAGCAGCGGCGGCGGCAGCAGCGGCGGGAGCTTCGACGGCAGCGCGCGGGGAAGAGATGGGGGGACGCAGTGAGGATTGTGAAGGAAAGTGTTCTGGAGGCGGTGGGAGACAGGGGCCTGGGGGAGGTTGAGTTTTGAGGAGGATGAGTTGTGATGAGTCCGAGGTTGGATTTGTGATGGATGGTTTTGATTTTGTACATAGGGTTTGGTTGGGTGGGTGGGTTGTTGATGTAGGTTGCACCGGGGTGGGTTGGTAACCTGTATATTAAGCAGTTGGTTGATTGTTAATGTGTGCAACAGGACACTGTCGATACATTTCTACTCAAGGTTTTAACAAGAGCTTGAACCAGTGTAGTAGATTAACACCCCAACTTGTAGGGAACTGCTGGGTAGAAACTCAGTATAGGGAGATAGTGCGATAAGTTTGTTCCACAGAAAATGATATATATGCCTCTGAAACCATCAATGCATGCGTCAGTCTAATCTACACCCGATTTAGACACACCGTCCAACCAACTAATGGTCTACATTCTCGATATACTCTAAACCCCCCACCCATCATTTACACTCTATCCAGGGAGACAGCCTAACGCCCCCACCCACCCACCTCCCAAAAACCAGCCCACCATCCTCTCCACACTCGCACCACCACCATCCACCACCGTCCCCGCCGCCTCCAACCCCCTGCTCACCCGCCTCGCCTTCTCCGTCCGAAACGCCAACCGCCTCCGCCTAGCCAGCACCGCCTCGTCGACATCGTACTTCCCCGCGAAGAAATCCACCAACTTAGCCGGCGGATTGCGGACGGGGTCTGGATGGGCGCGGAGACGCCGCACCCATTCTTTCGGAGGCAGTTCCTCGAATCCGTCCAAACCGGCGCGGCGGAGGGCGGGAAGGAGGTCTCGGGTCCAGTGGAAGGATTGGGGGTTGACGATGTTGTAGACGCTAGTGTTTGTGTCTGCGCTTTCCGTGGGGAACGGCGATGGGGATGGGGATGGGGTTGGTGTTGTCGATGAGGCGGCAGCAGGAGGGGGGGTAGTGGCGGGGAGGGTAGAAGAGATATCAATGACAGCCCTCGCCACCACGTCCACGGGTAACCAGAGCGGGTCCTCGTCGAGGGCCGGTAAGGCGCCGATGGTGCGTGCGGACTGCAGGATCAGCGGGATGGCTTCGGTGGTGTTCCAGATGCCGTGGACGGTGTCGCCGATGACCTGGCCGATGCGCAGGATTCTGACTCCAAAGCCAGGGGTCTGGGCGGCGGCGCAAGCGCAGATGTGCTCGGCGACGAGTTTGGATTGCGCGTAGCCCATGCCCTGTGCAGCAGACAAAGAGGTTGGCAGAGCTTCCGGGACAGGGTTGAGGTCTGAGTTGACGACGGCGCTGACAGAGGAGCAAAAATTAAAAGTCGCCGGCTGGGGCCGCTGGACTCTGAGGCACAGCGACAATAAATTCCTGAGGCCGCCGATGTTGTCCTTTTCCAGGCTGGAGAGGGTGAGGTTGAAGTTGACGGACCAGGCGCAGTGGATGACGGTGGTCAATTCGGTGGTGAGTGCGGTGTATACTGCAGGGGCTAGGCCAAGGCAAGGGTCGCTGAGGTCCGAGGGGAGTGCGACGAGTTTGTTGCGGGCTTCAGGGGTCATGCACGTGTAGATACGGCGCGCCTGGAGGGATTGGTGCAGGCGAGTGTAGGCGTCGATGGGGGAGGCAGCCCGGACGGGGCAGTAGATCTTCTTGACGTTGGCGTTGGCTGCCAGCTGGGCTACAACATGACTTCCTAAAGAGCCCGTGGAGCCGGTGATAAGCTGGTACATATTAGCAAAAGAGTCATCAACAACGGCACGGAACGACAGCTTACGATATATTGCCCATCCAAGTCATTCGCACACGGCACATGCTCCTCAAATTGGCTGTACTTGTCGATCATCGCCTGCATCTGCTCGACAATCGATTCGCCGCTGTCCCTAGCACCAGTCTTGAGACCGTTCAGGTAATGAGCCAGCGAGCGGACTGTCGGCTGTTCAAAGGCAATATTCAACCCCAGCTTGTGTCCGTTCGTATCAATCTTCCGCGAAATGACGGAGCGCAGCTGTGTAGCCTGCAATGAGTCCATGCCCAGGGCGAAAAAGTCTGCATCGTCGGTCAAATCGCCTCGACTCTTAGGCGGCAGGATCTCCGATAGCTGCTCCCTGAGAAACGACCTAAGCTCTTCCTCCGAAAGCACCAAGGCCCCAGTCGTGGCATCGTCAGCCTCATAGGCCTCTTCGATCAGACGTTCGTATTCCCGGTAAAACCCCTGTCTGATGACGGTTCCCTTGTCCGTGCGAGGATATTGTGCATCCGCTGGCAAGACACGGACCATGTTCTTCGAGAGCTGGCCAAACGCAGGCATGGACTCGTGCGCTCTCTCCACGGCAGGCCATATGGCTTCCACAATCTCGTCGTCAGTCAGAGCTTGCGAGTCAGGGGCACGGATAACAGCAAGCCCAATACAGGCCTTGCCGGCCCCGAAGACAATGGCCTCGCTGACCGCGCAACTTTGCCGGACGCGTCCTTCAAGGTCGAGAGGGTTCACCTTCTCGCCGTTCACGAGAACAAGCGTATCGTCCAGCCGGGCATAGTACTTGTATGCCGTTATGGTAGGATGCTTGACGAACAGATCCTTAGTAGCATACGAGCCATCCGGTCGATTGGACATGACTTTGGAGGGCCAGCCGTCCAAACAGATGAGCTCAAACACCCCGGGAAAGCGCTCCTCGAATTGCAGATACTTCTGCACGAACTCTGACGGACGAAGCCAGTCCCACCCTTTGTCATCTCGAGGTCTCGTCGACATCATCAACTGACCGGTCTCTGTTCTACGATCTGTCAGCAAGCTTACCACGTCAACAGGCGTTGAGAGACTTACGATCCATAGTGGCTGATAAGATGCACACCGTTTTCGACTAGTAGATTGCCCAGTGAGTCCGGACAAGCTGACCCGCCAAACATCACCGCCTTGAACTTTCCTAGGGCAGCAATCCCCTCGGGGGTCTCCGCAAGCAGCTTGAGTCCATAGGGGACACCGTAGAAAATCTCGAAATTGTGGGAGTTCATGATATCAAGGAGGTGTTGCCGCGTCAGTGGTAATCTGGCGTTGTAGAGATGCAACTGCTTGCGGGCATGGATGGTGCGGAACAGACAGCTGATGCCGTGATTGTGATACAGCGGCAGCGTCACGAATCCGGACATGTTCATGTGCCCCGCGTAGTTCTTCAGGGCCGCTTGCTGTGTATGGAATATGGGCTTTGGAAGTCCCGTTGAGCCGCTGGAGTGGATAATCCACGCAATATGCTTGGCCTCTGTAGCAGGATCCAGAGATGGTGTCAGATTGGTGTCGATTTCGTCGTCCGGGACCGGAAAGTCGTAGCAGTCTTCAGTCGGGATCTCATCAATAAGCAGATCAGGAACACGCTTCTTGACCTCTTCGGCCGTTTCTCTGAAGGATGGGTGGATGAAGATGTGTCTTGACTGTGTTCTTTCCAGCAATGACACATAAGCATCGACCGATATCCGCGTGGACAGCAGTAGACCAGAATGGCCGAGTTTGGCCAACGACAGGAGCATCACAAGGTAGTTCAGGTCTGAAGGGCCCAGCAGCGACATCACTGCTGGAGTCTCTGCGGAGGATGTCCGAGGCGGAATGCGTTTGGCCAACACTTCGGCCACACGGAATGCGTAGACATCCAGCTGGCGAAGAGGATAATCCACATACTCAATGCCGGTGTGTGGATAGGAAATGACGGGCTGCGCCGGACCCAGTGAGGCACGCTGGCGCACAAGCTCATCGATAGTTGATGGTTCTTTTTGTGATGTTTGGAAGGCGACACTGTCGTCCTTTGCGAGAGGTGCGCGCAAAGTGGGCGGTTGCAGAAGTATGGCGGATAGCATCTTAGTTGAGGGCACTGGATTTCACATAGAATCAGTTCAACATGACCTCCAACGTACAGACGAGTGTCTGATTCTTATAGCGTCTAATCTGCCGCTAATCCGCATGCTTAACCCTCATGGTAGGAGGGCCTCGTCATGCACTGCTGATGGTGGTGGATGGATATCCGGTTAGTTCGGATATTTCTCCGGACTTGAGTGCATCACGACATCAGTCACTGAGCGACAGCATAAAGGCTACATTGCGACCGCAATGCATGCACTTGGAGCATGTCAATAGAACCACTGCCAGAAACCATACATGAGAGTAGAAGTGTTCACGCAAGGCAGAAAAATGACAAAAGTATTCCAGGTCGTATATGCAATATGTGCAGTCAATCACCAGAGAAACACAGCCAGTGAACTAGCACTTCCAAGACATAATTCTAAGATGCTACATTTAAAGTGTGGGTGAATGATCCAAGTTCGTAAAAGCCTACCGCAGTCAGTCTTGCAGCATCAAGAACGTCCAATGGAAGCAGCTCTCACTTACCCACGAATCAATTTGCGTCCACAGAAGAGAGCCCTCCAGGCTGTTCAAAAAGCTCAGATCCATCTCCGATTCCAGCGGTGACGGTGTGAAGTTAGTTGGCGGTAACGCATCAGGCAAGTTGGAAGTACCGGCCTCCAGAGGTCTTCCAGATGGATACATGCTAGTCATGCTCATCTGCCCTGGAGCTACCACTGAGCCCTGCATCTGGCCGGGGAAGAAGACAGCCCGAAACTGATCCGAGGTGTCGCTGGATGAACCAATTCGTCTACGAACCTCCCGCCTCAGCTCCTCCAGAATGATGCTGTAGCGACGGCTCGGGGAATTCCTCCGCGTAGCCTCCGCCAGATGCTGCTGGCAGCTTTCCGCAAGGCTGAAAAGTGAATATAGACGGCTGACATCCTCGATTCCGTGGCACGAGACTCGAAAGGTAGTAGATAATCGATGCTGTTGAATGGTATATATGTACACCACAATGATGGCCCAAAAGCACATATAGTGGGTGAACCAGAACGACTGTATCAGGACCCTCTGTTGGGCTAGGCTATCCACTAATTCCATGGCTTGCTCGGCAGCCGCGATGCATTTGAGCACATAGTGAGTCACTGAGGAATGTGGTATCTGCGGCATCCGGTTGAGATCCGTGAAGTCGTTCAGCAAAAATGAGCGGGTCGTATGGATCACTGCATGTGAGTACGCCAGTTGCAAAACCTGACTCTGCCTACATAGCGGAGGGATCAGGCTCGTCGCACGGACACTATTGAACAGGGGAGGTGTGGCCGCTTTCCACTCTTCAAGCTTCGTCATGAGACGTGCAGCCATCTCAAATGACGCTTCTCTGGGTAGGGAAGTGACAGAATATAACTGCCGCGATATCTCGCCAAGTATACAACCCAGCCTGCGAAGTCAATCACTGTCACCACGCACGAGAAACGTGGGTCATGCGTACCTGAAGTGAAGAACGGAAGCGGTCATCATACAATCGCCCACCCCTGATCTAGTCGAAGATCCCTGCAGCATGTCTTCATCATGAGCCTCATCGGGAAACTCCTGGTCAATGTCCTCATCATGTAGTAGTCGCGGTCTCCCGAACATAACGCTGAGATATTTATCCAAAGTATATGTGCTCCAGAACAGGCGTTTCCGAAGCTCCCTTTCCAGATAGGACTTGCCATCGTGCAATGCTTTGCCACGGTGCCTGCGGTGCAACCCCAGGGCAGTCACCAGCTGAAGTGTCGTACCAAAAGAGTACCAGCACTCATTGGCTCTAGAGGAAGAGAGTAAGTAGAAACACAGGCCCAGTCTCGCCTGAACCGTTTCTATCCGCGGGGCTCCGGACTCAAGAGCAATAATAGCCTTAGAGGCCGCATACCATTGCTCGCTGCGAATGTATCAGTCCGCGCAGCAATCCCAGGAATTTTCTCAAGGAGACTTACTCACCTTCCATGCTGCCTCTCGATCCGACTGTCCAGGTCTTGCTCCTCATATAGGGTGGCCACAGCAAATATCATAAATATTATAGCTGTTCGAGCTACCATGTGGCCAGTTGGGGGATTTGATACGGAGAAATTACAGTCATACACCTGTTGAAGCCATTGATCCACACTACCGCGGTGCAAAAAGCGATACGTAACCATAGACAGGTCGAAGTAAGTACTGACCAATTCCCGCGCCTTCTCATACGGAGGGAGTGTGAACCCGGCATCGTGCTGTGCCGTGTATGGCTTATCTCCGAACATGAACACCGAGGTATTCTTAAAGGAGGATTCATTCTGCACTGCATCCGGAAGAGTCCGTTTCTCGTCCTGATGCAGGCGACGCCAGACGCGATTGAGAAAGGACAAGCCGGAGGCCGGCCCCAGGTAGTTTCCTTCCAGGTCGGTCACCGCTGGGTCTGGTGAATTGCGCTGAGAGGTGAGATGGTTGCTGTGAGCATACGAAGCCTGGTGGGAGCTTGATCTAAGGAGTGGCGAGGAGCATGCCACTGACTGTGAGCGCCGGGTTCTTGGGCCCCGGACCGTCCGGGTGTCCTCCGGCTGATCGCCAATGGATGCGGGCAGAGGCTCAGGAGGGAGGCCTCGTGAGTAGGCGGCGTTATATTCACATGCAAGTGATAGGCGCGTACATCTTACGCAGGGAATAGTCCCACTGCACCGGGTCTTCTTTTCCTTGCAGTGATCGCACGCTCGGGTGATCTTCTGACGAGGGGTATGGATCTTGAGCACGGACGATGACCCGAGAGTCCTTCTTTGGCGCTTGGTAGAAACTGAATTCCGGTCATTGGTACTGGATCGAGATCGATGGTGGGTGTGAGTCTCGGTGTTATTGTCATTGTTATGCGCTGTGTTTTCCGGGGGCGATAGACTGTCCACCGCAGCGAGCACAGTGGCAGCCATATGGATAAACCCCGGATTTCACGGTAAGCTGAGTAAAAGATATGGTACCAGTCCAGGAAGCTGATATCAATGGGTCGCGATGGAGAAGAGCGATTGCAAGCAGTAATCATGAAAGGGAGACATTTCCGGGTGGGGGAGAATTCGACATTTATCCGAAGCAGATCGAAGTTGTTCGTAGGCGGATTTCCAAAGGCGGGGGAGGAAAACAAACTGCGGGGTTGAAGGAGAGAAGATCGACCAAGAGATCGACTAAGAATGGAACCTCCCTTCCTTTACTACAACTACGACCTAAATAGTGCACCATTCATCAGTCAGTCTGAAAGACGTCTTAGCAAGGACTACGGTGAGTAAAAAAAACATAGAGATGTAGATCCAGATTCATATGCAAATATGGATGCACTCCGAGTCAGAATACTAGTAGTAGTGCAATCGTGAGTCGGCAGCATAGAAAGTTCATTGGAATGGAATATAGATTCAGTAACTTGAGACATTCTGATAAACCAAGGCAAGCACTGTGGCGCACAATATGAACTAGTGAGATCAGAGATTTTCAGCAAGATGATTGCCATGCTAGAAAATCTGCTCAAACGAGACCCTTGACGTACGCTTGATATGATGCCAACCAATGTAGCACCACAGCGTCACAACCACCAAGCTTCCCATAAAGTCCTGAGGACATTCGAGGACATTCAACAGAGAAAAGCATGCCATGGTCTACGCCTAGCATTGGAGCAATGGGCAAACCAAGGATACGATACTATACAGTAGAATCGCCTCAGTGTTCCATTTTGAATTGAGTGGCAACATCATGGGTTGCCCGCAGAGAGATTCGTGGACACATTGGCTCAAAGGCACAGTGCCTGTGGCAACATACGAACATCAACTCCGGCCTCGAGAGATACCCGTCAGGCTACCAGGGTCAAAGACGAATTCACCCGCATCTTTCCTTGCTTCTCCGGTTCGGTCATGTTCACAATCCTTATTCCAGCTTGTCCCAACACCAGCAACGTATCGAGTCAAGCTGATTGCCGCTCTTCCTTCCTGCCCGCTCTTTGCATGCCCTAGCGCGGTATATCTCATCGACCAGGGACGCTATGCGCAGCCCCAGACGCGATGGGCCATGGTGGGGGTGCGCACATCCGAACGAGGACTGCCGGCTGCAGCCAGTGTGTCACCAGGGCTGCAGCAGAAAACGATTGACCGCGAAGGGCGTTCAGGCTATCAGTAGGTGTTCTGTACATCCCCCGTCACGATGTCCGGCAAGTTGGAGATTGACTCGTCGCTAGACCCCTGGCTATCAAACTCATCTGTTTCCCGAGGACTGCGGGGCGGCAGGTGCTGTTGCACCAGGGCATAAAGGCTCGCATACCCGTCGGGCTGCCTTACTCTGGTCAAAACCTCCTGTGTGAGTTCATCGCTCTCCATCCGCAATAAATCCATGACGCCCTCCACTATGGTTTGGTAGAACCCCAGCAGTTGCTCGGTACGCCTCTCGGCCTCCTTGTGGCGCTTGTCCTTGTTTTCGAACCTGCAGACACGGCCGTGGATCCGGCAACGAACGCAGGGAGGTTCTGCTTTGTCTAGGGTGCACTGTAACGGAGATCTCCATGTCAGAAAATGGCGGGTCCGAGGCCGAGTTGGAAGAGGGATCAGGAAAAATCCGTCATCAAAACCGCGAGCGGGGAGTTTGAAGAGCAGGATTGCAAGTCAAAGAACGCCGGTACATACCCTGGATCGCAATAGCTGACACTCAGTGCACGCGTGAGATGCTCGCCGCGTCTTCCCACTATTCTTGCCGGAGGATGAGCCCGGGGGAGTAGAATCTCGATCTCCATCCTCCTTGGCACTCTTGGGCGCAATAGGACGATAGGACGTGACACCTTGTTGGATCATGCTTCAGCCCAGATGGGTACTATGACTGAAACAACCTTAAGGCAAAATAACGGAGGATCAAATTCCTCGGGATAGGGGAGAAGGTAGAAAAGAACGAGACAAGGAGAGCTCCTCCAAGGAGACACGTCTATGGCATAATAGAGAAAAGAATCATGCTTGGTCCGAACTGCTAAACTTCTCGCTACAGCAGCCTTCTGCAGATGTTCTGAAGCTAGGGGAAAGAATGAGCATGGATGGGTGGGTGCGAGACCGAGCGAGTCAGCCAAGCCAGCATCGAGGGGGAAAAAAAAAAAAAAACATCGAGGAAATCCAGTGCCAGAGACTACAAGTTCTCCCCCTCCCAGAGCCTGACGGGGGCAATTAGGAGAAGCACCCAAAGTCAAACTTGACTGAGACGGGAAAGGCAACCAAACTCGAAATTGGCAGTCCTAGGGAGCAGCATCTGGGGTCTTCTACGCGTCAATTGGTCTAATTCCTTTTCTTCCTGCACAGCCTGATGATGACTTCGATCAGTCCTCGAATTGGTCTTGTGGCAGCTCCAGTCTTCGCAGTCGGGTCTCCCTAATCGGCCAAGAGAGTGAGGGAGAGTTGGCGGGGACACGCTGAGGGGCCGCACTCGCCCGCTTGCTGACGGACCAGTGAGCCCATTCATGCTTCCCCCCTTCAACTCTTTCTAGGTACCAAATGGTCTTCAAGGGAAACCTGCCGGCCGAATGGGACTGGGCTTTAAGTTAGGTTAAGATGAGGGGAACCGCTGGCTGGAACGGTAGTTGCACCTTAGTTTTGACGTGCAGGTGACGAAGCCACAATGACGGTGAAGACAGACAAGGTTCTGTCAACTCCGGGGAGAGCTGACCGACAACAACCTCAAGCAGTGCAGCGAGTTTGTGACAGAGATCTCAGTCCTGGTTCAAGTGAGGGGACTTCCCTGCGGCACTGCCGAGACTCTCGAGCCTCGTCTGACGCCGTGACAAGGAGCATGACATCCCTTGTCTGCAGCGCCCCATTATTGCTCGGAACTTCTCTCCAGGCAGTAAGAACAGGTTGTCGTGGATAAAGCAAGGGATTACACGGTTCGAAGCCACGCTCGCGGTGGGACGCTGTGGACTTCTGGCGAATTCGAATGCAGGAGTGGCGCGGATATAATTTCCTTCGGAATCCTTTGGACGGCAGCTGATGGATCACCAAGCGAGCGGACCAGCCCCTTTGACCCAAAGTTGGTATGTTAATCGCTGATTCCGATATCGACTAATGCCGCCATAGGTCCACATTGCCCACCATCGCCTAGCGAGGTTTGTCTGTAGTGTGTTCTGTCTGCATCCATGTTGTCTGCAATCCACACCGGCTTCAAGCCACCTGGTCGGCCCGCATCGCAGACGATCCGAGGGCACTCCCCAACTCGGTGCGTCTCAGTCTACTCGATAGGTAGCATAGAATATAGATAAAGGAGCACCTGAATCAGAGTGCGAACATCAAGCTTGACCTTCATCCTCGTCTGGGAGAATAGGCGACGTGAAGTGGAGCAGAAGAAAGGCATTGTTCTCGCAGTCACTGGCGGTCGACTAAGCCCAAATCGGACGAAGCGGAAGCCAGAACCCCCGGCCCATCCGCTAGCCCCGACAAGGTATAGCTCAATTCATTCATTACTCAGGTTGAAAACTGAGATACATTTCCATCTACACAGTTGTGTACAGCAGCCACTCACTAGCTAGAGATATGAGAAAAAGTGGACAAGACGAGAAAATTCTGGTTGCTAGCTATCGACTGTGGGGAATCACGGAAAGGCATGATGATTACAAGATAGCCTGATAATGATAAAAGCTTGAAAAATATGCAGGAAGCGAAATCGCGCTTGACCAGAAAAAAAGTGGTGCAAAAAGAGAGATCATACTGTCTCCAATGTTCTTGGGACCTCGGCGTAGACTCGAGGTCGTCTCAGTAGATTGGCCGACCTTCATCCCATTTTCGGGCGACGGGGGTAGAAGTCTGGCTGACCAAGGGACGACCGTCCTCGGGCGACGCAGGTGAGAAATGCACTTTATGCACATCAGTGCTGCTGCTGCCGCTGCCGCTTTCAATCTCATTGCGGACGCTGCTAATTCCCCCGATCCACTCCCATACACGGGCAACATCGCCTCCGCGACCCTCCCGCACGGCAGCCCGGACGTTGGCATTGCCCTCAACGATACTCCGCACGCGCTTCCAGAGACCCTCACGCCGACTTCCGCGCAGTTCAGATCGGAGCACATCATCACGTAACTGTCCAATGGGAATGTATGGCTCTCGGGCCGCACCGCGAGCATGCAGAGCTGCCTGTGTCGCGAGACGGTCGAGCGTGGTGGCCACAAGTTCGGGGACCCGAGCCATATCCGAGCGGCGAGCCCGGATCTTGGAGCGAATATACAGGGTCAAACAGGCGGCCAGGGTTAGAATCGAAAGAGGGAGTCGATACGCGAGGAGAGAGAGTCGGACGTAACGGCGGAACGCGCAGGTGAGGGGGAGTCGGCTGACGGAGGTGGACGTGAGGATGAGGACAGAAGATGGTCTGTAATAGTGTGGGCATCACTGTTAGTGCCATCATACAAGTCAGAATCCGAATCCTTGGGTGACGCCAGAGGAAAGCCAGGGTGCTGCGAATACAGTGGTCCAGAAGGGGGAGACTAAGAAGGACTTACTGTTGAACTCGGGTGACGACCTCCTCTTTGCCTACTACCTCACCCAGAGCCCCTTTCCACAGATCATCAAACTCGGCGTCACTCATTCCCTTGCGGCGTTTCTTGCTGACTTCTTGCTTCAACTCGGATTCACTGATTTCCGGGCCCTTTTCGCCTTGGTCACCGGGCACGATTTCTCCACACTCCCACTTGGCCCGGCGGTCGCGGAGAGTCTCAATAGCTCTGTCGGCAACAGCTTTGACTCGGCGCGCCTTTTCACTGTCGGCCTCACATGTGGGTGCAAGAGGTACGAGTCCGCCAAGCGATAAAGGATGCGCCTTGAGGATGAAATCATGTTCACAGCGAGCCTCAAAGTTAGGGTAACAGAAGGCATGGGGAGGGCATGGTTCGCATTGCGGTTCGAGAACATTAGCCCATTCAGGAACCCGAGTTTCCGCCAAAGACCAAGTAGGCTTGCCAATACCGCAGTATCCAATTTCGATCTTTTCCTTGCGCCACCAAGCGCCAAAACTAGCAAGAAGAGCGATTATAATCACCCAAGGCGCAGCACGGCTAGCTGGTCGCGAGTTCTGAGGTCGAGTGATAGGGGCGCTTGGCGGATACATCAAGTGGGCTCGGTCTTCCTCAAGTGCCAACTGCTCCTCGGGAGTGAATTCTTCACCGGCACTGACTTCGCTGTCGCTGTCCTCGTACTTGACCGGTACCTCCAGGGGCTGCTGTGGTGATCTCAACTTCGGCATGGCGAACTCAAAGGAAGATCGCTTGGTAGGGGTGAATCCATCGTCCGCATGCATGTCCACGGGTGTCATAGATTTTCTGGACCGCAGCCCGTTGCTAGAAGCGGGGGAGTTGAGCGAGAATCGCGAGACGCTCTTCCGTCCAATACTAGAAGCTCTGGGGCTCCGGTGCTCCCAACGGGCTGGCGATCCACTTTGAAAAGGATTATCATCAGTAAAGACACTCTCTTCTTTGGGTTCTAATTTGACCGCCGAGAAGGGAGTCTTCGGTTCTGGCTCGGTCTCGGGTTCCGGAGGCGGTGCGGCAGCAGGTGTCATTTCACTTTTGCGTGTTTTGCGGGCGGTCGACTTTCGGGGTGTAGCGGTGTTGAATGGGACAGGAGTTGCAGTCAGGTCATCGTGAGACTCCGTGTCGGACGCGCGAAGCCGTTTGCTGGTCGACCTGGGGACAGTTCTTCTCGAGCTAGCGGAAGGCGTGGCTGATACATGGACATCCTCCGTGTCGGCAGTTGATGCTCTGGTGCTGAGTCTCGAGCGTGCGCGCCGGCCGCCAGTCACAGTCGAAACAGTGGAAGGTGTTGGCGGGGGAGGCATTGATTCTCGGCCAGATTCATGGTGTTGATCGTTGTAATCGCTCACCACTGATGAAGCGCGACTTCCCATATCCGTAATACCCTCACTGGTCCTCCTCACCCTCTCTCGTTCGCGCAACAATCTCTTGGCTTGTGGCAAGACTTCTGTCTCGAGAATGCTGATAAGCTGTGCCTTCTTGGCTGAGGCCGGATAAGGCACATCGTGGCTGACAAGGATGGAGCGGAGACGCGGAACAGTAAGCGTGTTCAGGTCGAAGTCAGGAGCCAAATATTCCAAGCCGTCCGCCATGATGGAAGAGTGATCCTAGCAGTGATCAACGCCACCAGGAAGGGGTAGGGAAAGAAAATTGAAGATAGTGATGGTGCTACGGCAGAAAAAAAATCCCGGGGGGTGGGGAGGAGGGGAGTAAGAAAAAGAAGCCGGTTGGGCGGTCGACACCGAAATCTGAAGCGAGAATCCTGATTCCGATGATTTCCCAATTTCGTCAGAGACGCAGATCCGTCAAAACGAATCGTCTCCAGGGCAACGAGAGAGCGCGGGTCGAGCCAAAGCAGCAAACGGACCAAAGAAGCCAACTGGCCAGTAAGAGATTCAACCACGAAGACGGCTGGGGCAGGTTCTCATCACAGTCAGTGATGTTGCAAGGGAGTGTTGAGGAAATATCGACGGAGGGCGATTGTTGTTCGATGAGAAGTTGATAGTTAAGTTGATTGAGGATGACAGGAAGGGGGTCCGTTATGGACATCAGTCATGTGACGGTGTGATACTCACGGGATTGGATAACTACCTTCCCCGCCAGTGATAGCTGACTAATTATACATTGAACCACTTATGCATAGTACTATGTCTCATAGTACTATGTCTAGAGACTACATATTGCAGTACACTCTACCTAGGCCGTTTCACCTTCAGACACATAGTAATTGGTTTTCCATTCAGTACAGAATTACCAGGTATCCATAATGCATACCAGTAGACAAGGACAACGCTGCCACCTTTGGCTCCTAAACCCACGCTTTGCGATTCCCTGTCACACCCCGCCCTCCTTCGAGACGCCCGCAGAAGTGTAGCAAGAGGTTGATGCGAAAACAAGAATAAACGGGAATGAGAAGAGATGATAAATACAAGTATGATTGATTAGAAAGACCCCGCGATACTATATTCATCAGGATTATAAAGTACGGACGAGATCCGCCAGGGTTCGTCTCGCCAGATAGACTCTCTCCTTCGTGAAGAGAAGAACAGTGAAGTGGCATCAGATTGCTTGCTGTGAATTTCATCTGTGGCTTGTTCTAGTGCCCGCACTAACAGCTACCTGTTCCTTGAGAACACGGTACTCTTCAAGCCGGTTTTGCAATTCTTGCATGAGATCAGCAATGGGCGTGGCATGGTCACTGAGTTGATCGCCTGGTTTGAATGGTCGCAGCATGTGCCGAATGGACAGAGTGTTGACGCAGACCTGGATTTCATCAGAACATATCTTCACGTAGAATACTGTCAGTGCTCACCTCGATACGCGTCACCTGTTGTTCCACCAGGCTGACCACAGTTGAATCTGCAAGTTCGCCGCCATGGTTCTTCACAACGTTGAACAAGGCAACGTTCGGTTCCTTGAGTCGGACTTCACCAGGATACTCCAAGGCGCCACAGAGCCTCTCTATCCGGAGAGTCAGTTCCCACAGCCGCCAGATGAGATCCGTTTGGATCTCGAGCTGCGAGTGCTTGCTGATGGTGGTTGGGGCATGCTCATTGGACGCATCCTTGTCCAAGGTCGTCAGACGCCCTGAGAGTGAATGGGGGTAGATCAAATAGAGCGGCTCCGGATTCTCAAGGCCCTTCAGCTTTCGCTCACCCTGATCCTTAATCACAAAGCCTTGGCTATTGAGCTGCTGTAGCTCGCGTCGGATATTATACCCCAGGTTGTCCACAGCATAACTCTCTTCGGAGCCAGTCGAGGCAGCCCGTTCGCTATCAGCAAATACTTCCAAGTTGCGTTGAATGTCACTCATGAAATCTGAGGACACAAAGATCTGTCCACCATCTGCGACGGCAGAGATACGTGAGGCACGGTTGACCATTGGACCAAAATAGTCCATGCGATTGGTCACCGGATCCTTTTCGCAAACAGGTTCACCCCAATGTATACCCATGCGGACGGACAACCCGCGGAAGATTACGTTGTTCTCCATGTCGTACTGAACCTGGCACTGTGGCTGTTCAAGAATTTCGGTTGGCCACTCCGCTTCCAGAAGCTGCGTCTGGCAGTTAAAGCACCAAAGCAAAGCGGCCGTAGTTGTCGAGAACGCGACCATAAAAGCGTCACCCTCCGTTTTCACCTCATAGCCACCGATGATACCCAGCTGACGACGGAGAATGTCGTTATGAATCTGGATAGCTGAGCGCATCGCGTCCGGGCAAGTTTCCCAGAGGCTTGTGGATTTCTTGATATCGGTGAAAATGATAGCGAGTTCTCCAACAGGAGCGTCCACATAGTCAAAGCGTGCGAGTCTGGAATCGCCAGGGGTATCACGCGGTTTTTTGGTACGCTTCGTACTGGGTATGATTTGATCCTCGGGAGGTCCGACCATGGAGAGGCTGGGTCTCAACCTTATCTTCTCCCGTTTCTTCAGATCACTCACGCCCAAAATCATGACCATGAGTTTATTGTTAGCTCCAAATGAAATAGCGAGGTCTCTGATCTTTTGTGCAGCTATCATGAGATCTCTTCGCTCAGCTCTAGCGACATCCACAACAAGGTCCGGAGTCACATAATCCCACAGTTCTCTTGACGCCAGAATGATCATCTCATCCTGTTCTGTGAGATTAAGATGCATCGTGTGGGGTGCCGCGATAACTGCAGGCATCATCTGGAAGTGGCCGAACGATCTTGAGACAGTAAGGGTATCATTCAGTTTACCGTTGCGGGAGACAAATCCGCCTGCAGCGCGAATCCTTGCCCTTTCGTGGGATTCTGCAGGATCATGGTTTCGGGTCAAATGCTTCAACGAGCCATCGGATTTGACAAGGATAGCCTGTGCATCCCCAACATTGGCAACAAACAGATCCATGTTATTCAAGTAGATCACCGTGGCAACTCCGCCTGAATGAACATCCTCCTTGTTCAACCGAACCTTCTTCTGATCCGCAGGATCTTCCTGGTAGTGACGCACATCTTGGTCAATCGATTTGTAACACGCAGATGCCATGTTCTTATTTAGGGTCAAAAATGCTCGTCTGAGTGCATCTAGTGGGGTCTCCAAGTCTTCGGTCCGAATCCGTTTGAGCTCGGATGAGAATGTGTTTATGAAATTCTCGTGCAAGAATTTGGCGATTCTAGATCCTCCAGTAGACTGAGACTGACCGTCAAACATCCCTACCACTGTCTCCACTTTGTCGGGCTTGAGTCGAGGAACAATCATATCAAAGATAGAAAGATGTTCGCTTTTGCCCAGAAAATCGGCCATACCGTATGCAAGAGACCCAGCTAGGGAAGCGGAAGTCCGGACACGACGATCCTCTGTCTCTTCGGGTATTGTGGAGATTGTGAGGGTGACGTCCATCAAGCCGAGAACGCGGAGGTGCGTCAGGGAGTTGAAGTCAGTCAAATCTGTTCCAGGTGTGATGGGCGTTCCCAATGAGGACGCATGAGGTTTGATCTCCAATCGTTTGTTACCGGAGAAGTTGAGGTATTTCAGGTTACGATTCCAATTCCAATTCCAGTCATACGGCCAGTTAGAGACATTGTACTTGAGGGCATTGCTTCCAACATCCAAAATTGCAAGCTTGCTGACTTTGCAGAGTTCGGCCGGAAGGACTTGAAATCGGTTCGCATTGATGTGCAGGACCTTGAGGTTGCTGCCTTCTTCGAGATCATCGGACGGGAGGGAGGTGAGCTCGTTGCCCGAAAGGTATAACTCGGTCAACAATGGCCAACGTCGCAATAATCCTTGAGGAAGCTCTGTCAATTCGTTGTAGGAAAGATTGACGACGCGTAACTCCGGGATCAGCGATAATTCTCGGAAAATATCGTCCTCCAATCGGTTGTCTGCTAGGTAGAGATTCCTCAGTGATCCTCCAAATGTCGTTGCAACGTGTTGTGAGAAATTGGAGTCTTTGCGGGAAGACGGGCTTCCATCAGTGAGCGAACGAGACGCAGCGGACACTTTCCGTCCCCCCTGGCCTAATGATGAGGCGATAGAGGGTTTTCGATAAGCAGTCCCGTTTGGTGAACCTCCGGTGCTAAGTGCACCAGCTCCTGATGCTTGGCTTGGCCGGCGTGCTTCCTTTTCATCAACTGCGCCGAGGTCTTCGTAGTTAGGATTATTCGACAATCCTGGTGTCACTGCAGGTGTTGCAGCAGCTGCGTCAAGTGGAAGCTGAGGTTGGGGACTGCCATGCTTAGGGAAACCTTCCAGCACATTTGATGAAACATTCAGAGTCTCCAGCCTGAGGCAGTGCCAAATCTCGGGTGGCAGTCGCCGAAGATTGCATTCCCTTAGATTCAGATACTTGAGCTCGGTCAAGCAGCCAATGGTGGCAGGTAGCGAGGCCAGGGGATTTTTGATCATGCTAAAATGGTCGAGCCTGCGCAATTTTCCGATATGGGGCGACATTGATACGAGATGATTCTTGTCAAGAATCAGCTTCTGCAGATTGGGCAGGTGCTCGAACAGCGTGTCCTTGAACTGAACCAGCTTTGCGGAAGCGATGTTCAGAGATGTTAATGTTGGAACAGGTCCATCAATGTCGAATTGTGTCATGGGACAGTGATCGAGGATCAAAGTCCGCAATCTAGGAAATGATCCCTTGAATTTCGAAATGGCATTGTGGCCAATGACCAGTTGCTCTAACCGTGGAAGGAGGCAAAGGCAGTCAATATTAGTGATTTCATTGAACCTCGCGTCGATTTCCCTGAGATTGTCGAGACCTCGGAAAACATCATCAAGCGAACCCCTCACAATGTTATTTGTCATCCAAATTCGCTCGAGTGTCGTCAACCGCCCCAAGTGAGGCAATTGGGAAATGTTGTTGAAGCTGATGTCCAAGTCCACAAGGCACTTAAGGCCACAGAGCAGCTCTGGAAAGATTTGGAAGTTATTCGATGATATGTTCAAGCTCCGCAGATATTGGAAATTGCCAAAGTAGGCGGGAAGCTCTGTTAGCCTATTATTGGCCATCTTGATGCTGACAAGACCATGCAATCTATCCAGGTTAGCATGACTCAAGTCTTCTATCCGATTGTTCGATATATCAAGATATGTCAGTCGACTTGCAAGGCCGAAACTCGCAGGCAATCGAAGAGCGTCGTTGCCGATGAACTTTATTTCTCGTAGATTGATACACCCCTGAATGAAATCCTTAGGCACATCCAACGATAAATTCTTGGAGAGGTTCAATGATATGATCTCGGGCGCCTTCTTGTAAAGGGTAATCGGAATAGTGACCAGGCTTCGGTTCGATAGATCCACGTGACTGAATTTCTGGTTTTTGTTGAGGACGGGCTCGCTCTCGAGACTGCTGTAGCCACTAATACGGGCTGGGAGGAAGGTGAATCGAAGAATATAACTATGGTCTTCGCGGCCAATCTCCTCAATCTTGTCCTTCTCGGTATAACCAACTTGTTCGAGCATGCGCTTCTGCATGAGAATGGGCATCTCACTCGGGCCGAGCTGCCTGGAGAGATCATTCTTTCGCATCACTAACTCATAATTATTTAGATGATCAGTGAGGAAAGATTTTCGACCGAGGAGTAAGAGGACATCAGCAACAGTCGCATATAAACCAGCCGAAAGAGTCGCGAAGGTCGAGTCAGCGCGAAACACTCGTATGAAATAACCCACGCCGTCGGGTTCGGAGATGGTCGGACCAGGCTGCTCAACGCCATCATCTGGCAGTAGGGATGATATATCATCCTTCTGCTTCTTAACATGCCAACTCTCGGGCGCATCCCAGTTCCCGGCGGGGAGGTTATCTCGGTTCGACCGATCTTCTATCTGCGCGAAAGCTCCATCTGGCATCCGACCCCGTTCACTTGGAGACGGCGGGTTGACGATGCCCTCCATATGCGAGAGGTCTGTGTCGAGAGCCCACATATTGGAATCATCTGAGAACCTGGGGTCTTTGCCAGCTGGGTACTCATTGCCCGCACCTCGCCGGGCGCGTAGCTTAGATGAGCCAATCACTAGGCCTTTACTATCCTTTTTCCGGTCGCTTTCTCCGTCATTATACCTAGAAGATGTCGCACTCTCAATGCTTCCCTGTCTCCCACGTCTGGCGGGAGAAGCTTCTCTCCGTGCCAATTTCGATGCAGCAGCTTTGGTGGTTTCCTGCACGGCTTTCCCGGTCGCTAGATTTTTCAAGTGTCCATGCTTTGGGCGACGTATCTTGTCGAGGAAAGAACGTTTCCCCGGCTGAGCATTCGGAGAATTCTGGCCCTGGCCCTTGGCGTAGGCACTTTGAACGCTGGGTGTAGGACTGGTGGCACGTCCCAGGGTTGTTGTCGAGGTCATTGGAGTCGGATAATTGAGACTACCTTCCCTAGATGGGTGAAGTCCAAGCGAAAGATCGTCTCGCCCCGTTGCCGGACGGGCTGGGTAGCCAGCAAGATCACCTGCCGCCGTTGGCTTTTCTTCTTTGCTCCGAGAGTGGCGGTGGCCGCTAAAGTGTCTCCGATTAGGATCTCTTTGGGCCGCGGCCGCACGCTGCCCTTCGGTTGTGGGCGCTTGGCGGACGGGAGCCTCTCCGAATTGAGGTATATCCTGGTTGAGGTCTGCATCAGCACGACTCAAGCTGGTCTCTCAAGGAGATAGGCAACCGCGACAGTTAACGGATGCCTTGCTTGTTACATTGACTCACGTTGAAGCTTTGGTACATCCAGGGGGTTATTTCGCTGGACGGGAGAGGGGTTTTAGGTCTCGTGTGGTTTGAATGGTTCCTATCGTGTGAGATATCCGCGGTGCTGCGTGATCCATCTGAATTGGCTCGTTCTCGAGCTCTGAAGTAGTCGATCGACGACGGCTTCGAGATCGACGTCTGAGTGTTGTTGTCCGAATCGTGCTTGGATTCTCCATTGCCTTGGTATTCGTCGCCGAAAAACCCCTGCAGCTTCTTTCGGAACAGTGCACCCGTACTGGATTTCGAACCTTGGCTACTGGCAGTCATAGCACTAGCTACCGAGGGTCTCCGGTGGTCAACATTGAAATCCAAGTCGAGCGGCTCACTTGTGTATGTCTGGGCGGTTCCGGGACGAAATGTGGCGGAGCCAGGGGAGGCTTCTTGCTCCGAGTAGTCATGAAAGAAGGTACTAGGAGCATCGGCCGCCAGCATCTTTGGGGAGGAGGACAACGAGAGGGAGGGGTCAGGATGAGAGATGTCTGTAGGGCCAATGCTCAAATTCGACGGCCGCCCGTGCGAGTCAGACGCGGAGGAGTGGTTTCGTCCATCGGTGCCTAGCATGTTCATTGCTTTTCTGTGACTACCAAATTGTGGCGGCTTGCGCTGGTCCGTCGAAGTTGAATCTGGGGAGGCCCAAGAGAATATGGAGTTATAGAGATCGGCGGGAACCCCTAAAGGTGGTGTTTTGCGGCCCCGTGAATTGGATCTATGGAGTGTCAGTACGGTATAACGCAGTCATGAAGAGCGTTCGCTTTGTGTGAAACCCCGTGAAGACGCGGTCGCATTTGGACTGAACACCCAATCGAGGGAGGAACAAGGATATAGGAATTGGCCAGAGGTACTGAACCACGTTCGAGAGAGGTGCACGATGGCCATTATGAGCTGATTCGACACACTCCCTCTCACGGATATTTTGTAGACCATCTAATCACTCAAACAAACGCATGTCACTGGGTCTACCACCGGGTCTGGTGCACCGACAAGCATCCGGCATGGCTCGGATAATCCTGCGCAGCACAGGGGCTGTCAAGAGGAAGCATCACGCAGGTAGTCGAGGGTAATGGACAGGCAGGGAATATATAATGCGGGTGTTCCTACCTTGTCAATTCCCGACCTCCGGAGAGCGGGGAAACACTCCGCCCATGGGAGTAGGCATGGTGGTGCTGCTGATGCGGAGCGCGACCTTCTCTGACGGTTTCTTGTGACAGCCAGCTATGTGCACCCGAGCTTTCTGAGCTGCGTCGGCCTTCCGACCGATCGCCAGCCCGATATGCCATGCTTCCCATGTAACTTCTGATGGTTTCCGAGAGGTGAAGGAGGGGTGCGGCGGGTAGGCGGTCGGCTGTCGGGACAGGCGGTCACTAAGAGAAGAGAATTAAAGGGGGGCAGCAGTAGCATTAATGGTATCGGATATAGCCCCAAGGCGCAGGTAGTGATTCCCTTTTTGAAGAAAAATGAAAGGCCGTGCAAATGGATTGCCGCTTGGTACAGGAGTTGAGATGCCGGTGGAGAAAAGCTGGTTGGAGGACGAGGCACGGCTGGGTGAGTATACGGGGTGTGTTGAAAAGGAGAAGGTATATGAGGTTTAGGAGAGCGCCTCAGTCGCCATCGGCGACTGCTGATGTATGCTGTTGAAGATGAAGATCACGGTGGAAGAGGCGTACTGTCGTGACAAGGTGGTTTAGCGTCGGGCGCGACGGGGAGAGGACATGCTTCATGTTCTAGAGACTGAGCGGCAGTGGTGATTGAACGAACGTCATGACACAATCAAGGCGAACGCACGCTGCTCCATGGGGGGGGAGATGGAATTGTGAACAATAGACACGGGCAAAGAAGGTGAGGTTAGTGGATGGAGGATGGAGGGTCCAGAAGTCTAATAGACTCTAGACTTGGGGGAGG